TATTATAAAATAACTTCCCCATGTTTTATTTGAAACTAAACATGTAGCATTTAAGCGCTTTAATTTCATTTTATTTGATCATATTTATATCTCGTTCTTTGACCTGCACGACTAACCATGTATTTCACTTATATGTGCAGCGTATCACTTTATTAAGTGATTTACATTTATTTTATGCTATAATGAGTTGCGAAAATTGTGTTGTGAGCTACGAAAAAGGGCCATTGCAAGGATAATAGATTTTGCAAAGTTGTCAAAAAGAGGTCTGTTGCAAATGGTAACTCAATTGTGATATTTACGTTCCTTAATGAGGCAAATTGAAGTTATCAGAGTGAAAAAAGAGGAAGCTCCAGTTTTATTATTATAAAATAACTTCCCCATGTTTTATTTGAAACTAAACATGTAGCATTTAAGCGCTTTAATTTCATTTTATTTGCTCATATTTATATCTCGTTCATTGACCTGCACGACTAACCATGTATTTCACTTATATGTGCAGCGTATCAATTTATTAAGTGATTTGCATTTATTTCATGCTATAATGAGTTGCGAAAATTGTGTTTTGAGCTACGAAAAAGAGGCATTGCAAGGATAATAGATTTTGCAAAGTTGTCAAAAAGAGGTCTGTTTGCAAATAGTAACTCAATTGTGATATTTACGTTCCTTAATGAGGCAAATTAAAGTTATCAGAGTGAAAAAAGAGGAAGCTCCAGTTTTATTATTATAAAATAACTTCCCCATGTTTTATTTGAAACTAAACATGTAGCATTTAAGCGCTTTAATTTCATTTTATTTGCTCATATTTATATCTTGTTCTTTGACCTGCACGACTAAACATGTATTTCACTTATATGTGTAGCGTATCAATTTATTAAGTGAATTGCATTTATTTTATTCAATAATGAGTTGCGAAAATTGTGTTTTGAGCTACGAAAAAGGGCCATTGCATGGATAATAGATTTTGCAAAGTTGTCAAAAAGAGGTCTGTTTGCAAATAGTAACTCAATTGTGATATTTACGTTCTTTAATTATAAAAATAAGCTCTACAAAGTTCCTGGTTTTTAAAATAAAATTTGATGTTGAGATAATCCTGAAATTGCCTAAAATCAAACGGGAGTTTCTGGGTGTTTTTTGTACAAACGACGACTATTTTGTAAATTCATTACTGAAATTTTTAAAATCACGGTTCAAATGCAGACCCAGCACTGTTTTTAAAAAAAAATTAGAATTAATCAAAGTAGGTATTGCTTATTAAAATTCACGTTTCATCGCAGAAATAAACCTTAAATTGCTCAAAAAAATTTCGTACATTTTCTCAGATAATGTACATTTTTTGGACTGCGATTTTAGGTTCACTGTGAATTTTTGTTAAATCGTGGACTGTTCTTAAAATTAGGTCTGAAATTTTTAAAATCAACGTTTAAATGGCAAATTAAAACTAATTATAAAAATAAGCTCTACAAAGTTCCTGGTTTTTAAAATAAAATTTGATGTTGAGATAATCCTGAAATTGCCTAAAATCAAACGGGAGTTTCTGAGTGTTTTTTGTACAAACGACGACTATTTTGCAAATTCAAGACTGAAATTTTTAAAATCACGGTTCAAATGCAGACCCAGCACTGGTTTTTAAATAAATTAGAATATAATCAAAGTAGGTTTTGCTTATTAAAATTCACGTTTCATCGCAGAAATAAACCTTAAATTGCTCAAAAAAATTTCGTACATTTTCTCAGATAATGTACATTTTTTGGACTGCGATTTTAGGTTCACTGTGAATTTTTGTTAAATCGTGGACTGTTCTTAAAATTAGGTCTGAAATTTTTAAAATCAACGTTTAAATGGCAAATTAAAACTAATTATAAAAATAAGCTCTACAAAGTTCCTGGTTTTTAAAATAAAATTTGATGTTGAGATAATCCTGAAATTGCCTAAAATCAAACGGGAGTTTCTGAGTGTTTTTTGTACAAACGACGACTATTTTGCAAATTCAAGACTGAAATTTTTAAAATCACGGTTCAAATGCAGACCCAGCACTGGTTTTTAAATAAATTAGAATATAATCAAAGTAGGTTTTGCTTATTAAAATTCACGTTTCATCGCAGAAATAAACCTTAAATTGCTCAAAAAAATTTCGTACATTTTCTCAGATAATGTACATTTTTTGGACTGCGATTTTAGGTTCACTGTGAATTTTTGTTAAATCGTGGACTGTTCTTAAAATTAGGTCTGAAATTTTTAAAATCAACGTTTAAATGGCAAATTAAAACTTATTATAAAAATAAGCTCTACAAAGTTCCTGGTTTTAAAAATATAATTTGTTGTTGAGATAATCCTGAAATTGCCTAAAATCAAACGGGAGTTTCTGAGTGTTTTTTGTACAAACGACGACTATTTTGCAAATTCAGGACTGAAATTTTTAAAATCACGGTTCAAATGCAGACCCAGCACTGGTTTTTAAAAAAATTAGAACATTATCAAAGTAGGTTTTGCTTATTAAAATTCACGTTTCATCGCAGAAATAAACCTTAAATTGCTCAAAAAAATTTCGTACATTTTCTCAGATAATGTACATTTTTTGGACTGCGATTTTAGGTTCACTGTGAATTTTTGTTAAATCGTGGACTTTTCTTAAAATTAGGTCTGAAATTTTTAAAATCAACGTTTAAATGGCAAATTAAAACTTATTATAAAAATAAGCTCTACAAAGTTCCTGGTTTTAAAAATATAATTTGTTGTTGAGATAATCCTGAAATTGCCTAAAATCAAACGGGAGTTTCTGAGTGTTTTTTGTACAAACGACGACTATTTTGCAAATTCAGGACTGAAATTTTTAAAATCACGGTTCAAATGCAGACCCAGCACTGGTTTTTAAAAAAATTAGAACATTATCAAAGTAGGTTTTGCTTATTAAAATTCACGTTTCATCGCAGAAATAAACCTTAAATTGCTCAAAAAAATTTCGTACATTTTCTCAGATAATGTACATTTTTTGGACTGCGATTTTAGGTTCACTGTGAATTTTTGTTAAATCGTGGACTGTTCTTAAAATTAGGTCTGAAATTTTTAAAATCAACGTTTAAATGGCAAATTAAAACTTATTATAAAAATAAGCTCTACAAAGTTCCTGGTTTTAAAAATATAATTTGTTGTTGAGTTAATCCTGAAATTGCCTAAAATCAAACGGGAGTTTCTGAGTGTTTTTTGTACAAACGACGACTATTTTGTAAATTCATGACTGAAATTTTTAAAATCACGGTTCAAATGCAGACCCAGCACTGTTTTTTAAAAAAATTAGAATTAATCAAAGTAGGTTTTGCTGTTAAAATTCACGTTTCATCGCAGAAATAAACCTTAAATTGCACGACTAACCATGTATATCACTTATATGTGCATCGTATCAATTTGTTAAGTGATTTGCATATGTTTTATGCAATAATGACTTGAGAAAATTGTGATTTGAGCTACGAAAAAGAGGCATTGCAAGGATAATAGATTTTGCAAAGTTGTCAAAAAGAGGTCTGTTTGCAAATAGTAACTCAATTGTGATATTTACGTTCCTTAATGAGGCAAATTAAAGTTATAAGAGTTAAAAAAGAGGCAACTCCAGTTGTATTATTATAAAATAACTATCCCTTGTTTTATTTGAAACTAAACAAGTAACATTTAAGCGCTTTAATTTCATTTTATTTGCTCATATTTATATGTTGCTGATTAATTTTTTTTTTTTTTTTTTTTTAAATGTGACACTGGGCACGGTAGGAAATTTTTTTAATCATTTTTAATTTTTGTTTTTATTTATTTTGACACTTTTTATACATATATAAGTTCCTCTAATTTCTGCACTTTAAATCAAATATTTTTCCATTTTGTCTTTTTGTAGAATAATATTTATCACGATCGAGGGTTCTTTCACGTTGTTCAAATTGAAAAACGGCATTTTTCCAACGGGTTTTGCGAGTCCCAACACAACGTTTACATAATGACTCACAAAACCCAACGAGGAACTGCCGTTTTTCAATTAATATTTTTCATTGATTGCATCCAATTAGGATAATTAATTTTTTTGTGGAATATCTAGAGGGCTCACTTTGAAGCGAATGCAAAACGTTTGTGAAAAAAAAAAATAATTACTGCTGGATTTTTTTACTAGCACAAATTTAATCAAATATGGAGTTATTGAGAGACCAACTCCCCAACGAAACAAGTGGGATTTTGTACGGATGAGATTGTAACTTTTAAGCCAACTGCCCCATTTTCCACTCTGTTGCTCCAATCTCTTTGACCCGCCCCACTCTCGGAGCCTTTTTTCTCCTCTTTTTTTTTAGTTTTTTCGCTTCGGTCCAGACTTGGCGATCAAAGCGCCGAGAAAAATATAAAAGCGAGTTTCTTAAAGTTTACGACGAAGCGGGCTTGTTGCCGAAAGCGATCGTAAAACGCGCGCTGCTTTTCGCACACTTTTTATGGCCGCGCGCCTGCACTTCCTTCGAGTAGGCATTTCGCGCGACGGGCGGCACGTGCGGGTTGCATACTTCCAGCAAAAAGCACGTGACGTCACTATTTTTTCTGTGGGTTTATGCAATTATTATGACGGGCTCTGCTTTTACGATCAAGTTTACTCTCTGACATCAATTTCATGAACGCACTTGGAATTTTTTATCAGCACTTCTTGCGAAATGTGTCAGGATTTTAAATATTTGATGCAAAACGTTACAACAAACCATTTTGTAAAAAACAAGATATTTTAAATTAAAAATTTCTGCAGTTGTTGACGAAGAGCAAAAATTTTAAAATTGATTCTATTTTGGCAAGTTATAAGATTTATGCCATTTTATTATGTTATATTAATGATTATTTTATTGCTAAAAAAAAAATGAACAAAGTTTTTATATAACAGCAAATGTGACGTATTATTGACATAGTGTCTGTCCTAACGCGCCACCTCTGACCGTTCAGAGAGCAATTTTAATCACAATGAGCCGCTGCTGCTTTCAAAGAAACTCGCCAGTTCATATCTGTCCGCCGCTCAAAATGCTCTCCTTCTTTTTCTTGTTAGCGGTGTTATTATTTTGTTCGGCCGGTCCGACTTGGGCCCAGCAGCAGCAAACGCCGATTGTCATATGGCACGGAATGGGTAATTGGCCAAAGTTCGCTGGGAAAGTTTTAACCACACACAATTTCAGGCGACAGTTGTTGCAACCCGATCAGCCTGGGTGGATTTTCAAAACACCTGGAGGAATATTTGCCGGGCGTTTACGTTCACTCGCTTCGAATTGGAAACAATATTATTGAAGTATTTTTTATTTTGTAATTAATTTTAAGATATTAATTAAGCTCTAATTATCAAGAAACGAAACAAATTTCTAGAACCCGCATTTCAATAAGTTTGATTCTTGTGCAACTTTGAATTTGGGCTGCAAAATTTTAATTTTTTAATATAACAAAACTCATCTGTTTTTATTCCAAAGAATTAATAAATTCAAATTAATGGTCAAGAAATTTAATTTCTTTTGTATGGAATAAAATTAAAGCTGAAAAATATTTATTTTTGACTTATACTTAAATTACACATTCAAAAGGTACATTTTCTAAGTAAACTGCGTTGAAATTTTCCTTATTATTAATTCTTATACAATTTAATCAGATTTAAGAAATATCATATTATTATATCGTGATTTTCTGATAAGCTTTTTTTAAAGAATGTCACCATCAATGGTTTTTTAACATATATTCTGAAAATTGTTTTATTCTACAAACGACTAATATAAGCGGGATTTGCATTAAACCGACATTATTATTTTTTCTTCTCCATCAGGACACAGAGAACGGATTCTTCATGCAGGTGAACAAGCAAGTGCAAAAAGCCTGTTTGCAGATCAAGAGCGACCCAAACTTGAAAGACGGCTTCAACGCCATCGGATTTTCGCAAGGGGCTCAATTTCTGTGAGATTTTCTTTTTTATAAATTTATCGACTCATTTTACAAATTCATTTACCACATGCATGAGATATAGATTTGAAAGATTTCAAATAAAATCTTCATTTTATTTAAGGATTATTTGTGGGTTGATCTTAATTTGCCTTTTATTTAAGCTCAGAATTTCATTTTTTCTCAGTTTTTATAATAAGGAAAAGTTCTGATTAAAAAATTTAGAAAATTCATATGTGTGGGAAACATTTTTAACTTTTTTTTTTCAAAGTCGAGCTTTGGCCCAGCGATGTCCCGATCCGCCGATGCTGAATCTGATCTCGTTAGGCGGACAACACCAAGGCGTGTACGGCCTTCCGCACTGCTTTTACCCCGGCCACAAGTGGTGCGACTACGTCAGAAAAGCGCTCAACCACGCCGCATATGAGAGGTATGTAAAATATAGACTGGACACTGAGAGTAAACAAACGTGGCCTATATTTACGAGCTGCAATTATGCACGCAGTCATACTTAAGGAAATATACATCAACGAATGCTAACCAACCCCCGTTTTAAAAACACTCGTTTGTTATTGAAAAAGAAATAGACCACGGAATGAATCATGATATTTTTCCTTAAACAATTTCGTTTAAAAAAAATCATTAAAATATTTTCTCATTTACAACCTTTTAAAAAATTCTAACTGTTGATGAAATGAGTATTTAATTTCAATTCTCACGTTGAAAAAAAATTTAATTTAAAAAGACCGTACCAAAAATTTGATTAATTATTGATTCCGAAGCTCTACGCGTTGGTGAAATTCCATGATCGACAACAAATTGTGATTAAATAACATTTAAATTATTTAACAAAATATTAATTTAGAAATGATATAAAACTTTCAGCTACGTGCAGAAGACTTTAGTGCAGGCCCAATACTGGCACGACCCATTGAATGAAGATTTGTACCGAAATGGAAGCATGTTCCTGGCAGATGTTAACAATGAACAAGTAATACGGAATATTCTAGGAATTTTTTTTTTAATTTCATTATTTTTCTAGGTTTTTAACCAGGAATACAGGACGAACCTATTAAAATTACAAAACTTAGTGTTGGTCAAATTCAACAATGATTCCATGGTGGAGCCGCGGTCGTCCGAGTGGTTTGGATTTTACGCGCCTGGGCAAGCGGTTGAAGAATTGGCCCTCGAGGACACCGATCTTTATAAGGAGGTCAGAAAAAATTAGAACAAAATTGATTCATTTAAAATTGCTTAAAACATGTTTAGGATCGACTCGGATTAAAAGTTTTGAATGACTCTGGACGATTGCACTTTTTGGACCTTGACGGGGACCATTTGGAATTCACAAGAGAGTGGTTCAATGAGAATATTGCCGACAAGTACCTAAAGAGCGTTTAATTATATCGAGACAAACCCTGGGAGAAAAATAGCCCCTGTCAAATTTTCTTTAGTGAAAGTCGAATTCTGTAAAGCATGAAAAAAAAAATCAAATTAAAATTAATTTATTGAAATAATATTCAATGCCACTGAATTACAATTAATTTCTGCTTGATCATTTGATTTTGTCAAGTGTTGCTCCTTCTCTCTTGGTGCGCGGAGGATCTTTTAAGAAAAAAAAAATTGACAAATATTTCAATTAAATATAAAAAAATCCCTTTTTACAACAATATTATTGGAATAGTTGTGATGGTTATTACTGATATAAAGGTTTGTTTGAAATAAATACGAAGCTTTTGAATTGAAAGCAGAATGCAGGGCAAATTATAAACATTTTTTTTAAATAAAATTCCACAAATTCGCTCACTAATAGTTTTTCATCCAATTTTACATATATTGGGGTGGAATTTTTATAGAATTAAATCATTTTGTTTTCCTCTCTGTCGTTACATTGTTTTAAAATTGTGGTCACTTTAAAGTAATGAAATATTACTTAATCTTCTTTTTAAAAGACTTCGGTTTTATTCATAAAACTTACCGGCGAAACTATAAATCAAAATAATTTATTCTGGTGATATAATTCATAGAAAAGTAAATAATTCTAAAATTGTCCCTCCACGGGCCGGATCTCTGTGTCAAGTGTTGTGTTTAATATTGGTTAAGTGACGGATACAAAATCAGAGATATATAAAAAATTTTTATTGTTCTTAAGCTTAAAGAAAGTACCACAAGGTTTACTTAATAAAATTCCACATAACTACTCCATCTGCATCTCACAAATAAATCTCATTTTCGCCCCTTCACAATCTGAATCATTCCACATCATGTTAAAGTTTCTCATCTTGAGATACAAACAGTGTTCCTTGCCCATATAATTGTCTGGTTGGCCCTCCCGATAATTTGTGAAAGTTTCGATTTTTCTTCCAGTGCCTGTCCAGTAAAATTCACCTTCAGAGCCCATGTCGGATCCAGAAATCCAATATAATTGCGAGTCTGCCGTACAATAAAATTTTATTTGCAATTCATCTTTTTCGCAAGGTTAAATTAAACCTATCATTTTCCTAATTTCATCATTTTCCTCTTTCGTCTCAATACTGACGAGCTCCATGCCATACGTTTTGCAGATCCTCGCGGCCTCGAACCAGTTTACCTGTGCACGGAACAATCTAGATTTTTTTTAAGTGCTATAGAAAAATTATTTAAACTGATTGACTTGGCGGGCTAACAAAGTAGCGACCAGTGCTGAGTGTCAATAAATTTTTTTCATCCATTTGCAATTTTCTTTTTAGACCAGATTTGATTCTGAAAAGAAAAAAACCACGTTTAAAAATTTAATCGCCTTTGATTTACGCGTTTTACTTAAAGTCGCAAATCTCTTTTTGCAAATTCAGTTCCTTCTTGGCATTTTCATTTAATTCCATCAAATGCGTAATGTTCAGATCGCACTCCCTCTTTTGCGAGGCCAGTTTCTCCACCTCCACTTTGCAGCTGCACATTTTGCACAGTTCGCTCAGCACGTCGACGTGTCTATAAAATTAATATTTTGTTTTTTATTCTCATTAATATTGTAACAAATTATTTCACTCTTCCAACAACGGTGGCGAATAATCCTGAAATTATAATGTGATGGATTTGTTTTAGGGATTAAAAGCTTTTCTCAATATGAGATTATAATACCTCACAATTGTTTTCTGCTGTTTGGCAATCGACAAAGCCTAAAATTTTGCAGAGCGCCAGGATCGCTAAGAAAACCCTGCGCGATTGTTCTTTCATGGCTGCAGCACTAGCACTGATTTTAAATTAATCTCAATAAAAGTGAAGCTAACAAGGATTGTTTTATACAAATTTTAACCAATAAAATAAAGCAAAGAAAAAAATTTGTGATAACCCCGCGAGTGATGCAATAAGCATGAATATTTTAACTCTCATCCTCTCAGTTATCAACAAACAAGATTTTCGGATCGTGATTTTGATAACATTGCTTAATATTTTTATTTATTATTAACTCAACGTTTATTGATTACCGTAAGAAATAATTTTGAAAATAAAAATTTAAAAAAATTAATTTTATACATAGGCCAAATTGAATTTCTTAAATTAACAAAAGTGCTCATAATTTTTAAGAAGTAATCATGACTTTTGAGTAATTAAGAGCACATAAATCTTAAATGATAAGAGCATTTCTTTTTAAATTTTTATAAAATCCAGGGACTACAAGTTAAATTTAATAAGTTTGTTTTCCACAATTTGACATCATTTTTTTTAAACCCTTTTCATTTATCCTCCTTCAAGATCTTACAATTAGAAATAAAATACAAAGAACTTTCTCGATTCCTTTCTGTCGTGCTTTGCTACCAACAATGTATTTTTTTTAGAAGTGTGCAATGAATAACAAGAGATGAAAACGGTTCAAAAAGAGATAGGAAAACAATCTAACTGTGATGGTGTGCGAACGACTCTCTTAAAAATAAATGGCAAGGTCGTTTTGCAAGTGAGCGGACTCGCGGCGATTGTGCGAGTTTGTTAGTCCAGTTACGCTGTCAATGCTCTTTGCCTTTTCGCTCTTTGCCTAGTCTATTAGCGGCCGAAGGAAGAGCGACGACGTGGCCAAGAGAGCGTGCGTCGGATTATTATTGCTCAAAATCGAGTGGTGCGAGAGCGGAGAGGCGGCGGGGTCGACGAACCCCGCGCCGCGTGTGTGCTCACTCACCAAAAAATGCAGAAGAAGAGATGAAGTTGCGATTGCTACGCGACTTTTTTTACTTTTCGCGGCCAATTATCTCGGGCGTGGGTCGGAAAATCAGAGATTTCCGTCGACGACAAAACTTAAGAGCGAATTAATAGCAAAAGTGAATCTGATTCGTGTTTATTTATGTTACTTTATAAAATCTCAAACGTACATCTCGAATGTTCTAAAATTTATCTTAAGAAATAAGCTGGAAAATCAGGAACTTTCAAAACATATAAGAAATAATACTAATTCATTGGCTAACGAATTTAATTTACGAAAATAAATATCAAACTGAAAATGATTTAATGAAAATATCACTTTATAAAACTTTGATAAATTCATTAAAAGTTTAAAATGATCAAATACATATCAAAATTTCTTACCTGCTCAGATTTAGCAAGATAAAATAGGGGAATTAATTTGAGAAGGACATTGTTTCTTAAGTTTTTCACAGGCTTGTTAAAAGTGAAAATTTAAATACTTTTTAGTGCTTTTTAGACTGTCTTCTGTATTAATTTTTAAATTCAAACTAATTTATTTTTCTTTGTTTGATTTATATTCTGTTTGTTGGATAAAATCCCTGTATGAACATGTAAATTTTTTTAAATACGCTCAGAAGATTTATCAATTAATTCCTACACAGGATGGTTTAAAAAAATTATCATTGATAGTATAAAATTAAATAAAATTGTTCCATTTTATAACAAATTAATAATTTTATAATTTTTTCCCCCCAAATATTTGTTTCATTTTGTTTGAGCCTCTTGGTAACGAGAAAGATCACTTTTTCGGGAGTGACCTCCCCGACCTTGCCCGCGCCATCGGTCCGAAGACAGGCAGTACCTGACGTCACTTTTTTTTTCTTACCGTTCAGGTATAATGTATAAACGTGCGCACTGCGTGCCGAGTTGGCAACGCCATGCACCCATTGGCCTCTGAGAAACTCCCTAATTTAATTGCTAGTGGCCCCCGAGGATCATTAAAATTCAGCAGGAATGTGCGAGAATTACCGCTTCTGGCTAAAACCAGTAAAGTCATAGTCCAAAATTACCAAAAATATATTCTAATATCCTTTTATGGAAAGTTGAATTACCAATGCTTGAAACTTGTAAACTTATATTTGAATTTAAACGGTAAATTTACTTTTTTTTTTTTTTTTTTTTTTAATATTTCTTCATAGAAAGAATGTTGCTAAAATATTAATTAAAAACTTTCGTGTGAAAATCAGGACGTTATTTTCAATTTCTGAAGTTTTATAGATTGAAAGGTGGTGTAATTTCCACCCCTCTTACTTCATCCTTTGCTAACACGAATGAACAACCCTCTGCGTTTCAATGACTAGCTGTGTCATTTCATTTTCCCCAACACCGTTTTCGTCATCTCACGAGAGAGGTATTCATCCTTTAAGGTTGTGCAGGAAGAGTCACGTTCAGATTTCAACAAATCTCTCATAAGATTAGGATCGAGGAATTAAAAGTAAAAATTTGTTATAATTTAAGAGATTCTGAAAAAAATACAGAATTTAAATCAAAATTGACAGACGTGTATGGAATTTATAGTAAAATTTTACAAAATTAAAATAAATTTCAGTAGAAAAAAGCGACAATTATAATTTTTTTTCATTTTTATATCAACTAGGATTGCATATTATTTTCTATTTTTTTATTTTTTAATTTACAGGTAGAAAATATGGTTCAAATTTCCAAATATTTTCGTTATTTAATATGTCATAAAGAAAAAAATTAATAATTATTTTATTAATCTTATTTTGTTTTAAAGCAAAACTTATTGCTTCTTCCTAAAAAATCTGAAGATTTCAATGCTTGGATGGTCTCGCGAGCCTTCCCAGGTGTCTAAGTAGACGCATGCGCTGCTCAGGGTCGACTCAGGTCGTCGACACCTGATGCCGAGAAGCGCAGTGTTTCGTGAAGATCGCTCGCGCCAACATGAAGCTGCTCGCGGTTCTCTTGGCCGCCTGTCTGGTCGCAGCGGCCAGCGGCCACGAGGCCGAGAACCCTTTATTCGAAGCGGCCAAACAACTGCTGGAGAGTTCACTGGCCGGCAAGGACGGCGGCCAGGGTGCGGCCCTTCTGCAGGGTCTGGCCGGCGCCTTCACACAGTCTAAGGACGGCGGCCAGGGGGCGGCCGATTTGCTCGGCGGCCTCGGAAGTCTTTTGGCCGCCACGCAGGGCGGTGCCGGCGGCGGCCAGGCCGACCTGCTGGCCTCCGTGGTCGACATGTTCTCGCAGCAGGCGGCCGACAATTCCGGCGGCCACCAGCAGCAGGACCAGGAGGGTGGTGGATTCGACTGGGAAAACATGATTGGCGTGGCCAGCTCGTTCATGGCCCAGCAGGGCGGGGGTGGCAGTCAGGGCGCGGAAGGGTTACTCACCTTGCTGCCACTCTTCATGGGCGGTGGCGCCAGTCAAGGTGGACAGGTACGTGTGCAAAGAAAGATTTTTACTTTTATATTTTCTTATTGTTAGATCCAATATATTTTTTTTTCAAACTGCAGTTCATCTTAATTTCAATAAATAGAATAATCGACGTTTTCTCAAAATTTAAAGATGCAATTGACATAAATATTTCAAAATTTCTTAAGATGAATCCTAAAATTATGATTCAAATCTAAACAAAATTGATTAAAATCTGCAATTTTACTCTTTTCATGCTAAAATTTAATTTCAAAATAGACCGAAACTCTAATATTTCATCAAAAAAATTCATTCATTTTTTATTAAAGTTTTCTAGAAATTTTTTATTCATAAATTTATATTTGAGGTACTCTAAATCTCTACTTTTCTGAAAAAATCGACAAACAAAATAAAAACTTCAAAACGGTTGAAAATTTACACAATTTTGATATTAATTTTTTTACCACCCTAATGACTTTTTCATCTTCAAATCACGTATATATTTTCAGCCTATAAATATTTAAGGAAAATAGTCAGATATGTTCGATAAATTTATAACGTGATTTCTTTTTTTATATATTCTTTATAGTTGTCCGTGTATTATGAGTTATGAGTAATTTTTTGTCTTTCAATTTTCATTTTAATCATTTTTTTTTCACAATTTTTGTTTTAGAGCAATATTGAAAAGATCTGGTCAACCGTGGTGTCCGCGTGGGGCCACTTCCGGCAGTCGGAGGTGGCGCAGAGTTTGTGGCGCCAGAGTGGCCTTGAAAAGGTGACCACCCGCTTCTTGGACCCCGAGGGTCGCTTCGACGTGCACCGCGTGTTCGAGTCGCTGTCCAACCACCAGTTCCGTCGCACCTGGATCCGCACAATGACCGCCTTCCTGGCCGACTGGTTGTCGCACATTGCCGACCCCAAGTCGCAGGCCAGGTACGCGTCCATCGGCAGAGGACTCGTCGACGGCGCCATGAGGTCAGTTAAAAAATTTAAATTTAAAACAAAAATCTGATGAAATCTAGAAATTAATGATAAAACATTAAATTTCCCAGACATCTCTTTGATAAAATTTTAAGATTTTGATTAAAAAAATGTCAAATTTGTGATCAAATCTTGTATTAGAGGAATTTTTCAAAAAGAAAAAAATTGATATAGAAGAGTTTATTTAATTATTTTTTTTTCATTCAGCAGTTAAAAAAAATGCTAAAAATTGTTCAATCTGTACATAATTGAGGTGAATTTTCCAGACCATGACTCGTCCGATGTAATTTTTTTTTAAATTATAATTTTATTAACTTTATCCTTCCTAATTTAACTTAAATTTGATTTATGATTTAAATTTTAACATTTTCAACTTTTGCCATTCAGGTCTCACGGGCTGGCCCCGTTCGACCCGACGCGTCCCGGCCACTCGATCGCCACTTTGTCGAACGCGTTGCTGCGGCGCCACGTGGGTTCGACGGCCGATACGGCGCCGTACGTCAAGCCCGGCGTCGACTACCTGTGGGAACTGCTGCAGGTGGGTCGTTCGACCTCTGAAGGTCTGGGCCTGGCCAAGATGCCGCCCAGACAGATCGAGGCCCGCATGGCCGAGGCCCTGAACGCCGAAATCATCGAGCCGGTGCTAAGAGTGTGGCGCGCCTATCGTTTCGCGCACAAGAACTCCAAGTGCGGCCGCTATGTGCTGTGCCAGGCGGCCAAGGAGGCCAGGGAAATGCCTGGCGTTGGTCTCAAACCCGGAGTCACAAAGGTTGCCAGGTGAGACAAGTTTTAAGCATTTGTGTCAAATTTGTAAAGTTTTATTTCGATGAATGAAGTTTTTTTTCAAATAATTTTTATAATTTAATAACTATTTTTATAAATTTTTATAAAAATTTTAACAACTTTTCATTACATTTTCCGCTTGATCATCTTACACGTTTAAAATTGTGAAATAAACGGACAAACATGCAATTTAAAGCAGGAAAATACCAACTTTATGATTGTGACAAAATTAGCTATTTCTTAAGTATAATTTTAGGGAGAAACTTAGGATTATTTTGTAGTTAAAGTTCTGTACGTTTTATCTGAAATTTTCAATTTTTGTTTCACACGTGACTCCTTCATTAAATAATAAATTTAAAATCATGTTCAAACAACAATTGAAAAATTTAAATAATAAATTACCAGTGTTTTTGATTGAATTAAGGACGAAAATATTCCATTGCGCGATTTATTTTATTAAATTATTTTTTCTATTTTAATTCTTTACTCAATTCTATAACAAATGAATATGTATGCGGACACAAATGAATAAGTCGCTTGATACGGGTAAAAAACTACTAAATTATTGAAAAAAATTTTACTTAATTTAATTTAAAATAAAAAATGGGATATTTTACCAATGTTTTGAACTCACTTAAAGTCTCTCTATTAATAAAAATTACAATAATCATCTAATTTTCTGGTTCTGAAAATAACGCGGAAGTCGTAAATTATTTCTCATTTCTCGCTCTGACTCGTTTTTTTTTTCAATTCCATGACATTTGTGGTGAGATCATCATATTCCCTACGTCATCCATTTATCTTGCTCGCATTTGCATGTAATGCGAAATAAATTACCGTAATAACTCTGCACCCGTGAGATGCGGAATTTCAATTTTCCTCCTTTGTGAAGCAATAAATTTTTGTTCATCTCCTCATGAAAATTCAAGCGAGTGAGAGATAGATAATGTTAATTCTAAAAATTATTATTTATACAAGAGCGATTTCTCCTCTTGGCAAAACTTTCATTCATCGCAAGCACCACAAATTTCGTTGAATGGAACTTTGCGCACCAATTGATGGGAAAAGCGTAAAGTGGCTAAAACGAAATGGTGCGTGAAAACGCTTTGTTGTACGCAAACAACTGAAAAGAGAGTGCGCGGCACAAATACCTACTTTGGCAAAACCGCAAATGAATAGCTTTTAATACAATCGGATCTACATTTGATTAAATTTCTGAACTAATTCCCCGATAAAATTCACAGTCTGGTGGCCACTTGGTATCTGGCTGACGATGTGCACACGTCTTTCTGGAAACTTTACGCGGCGGCAAACGCCAGTTCCGACTGCAATGTGAGTATAAAAGTTTTGAAATTCAACATAAATTTTAGTTCTATCCCAAGATCAAACTTTAAAAAATTTAAAATGAGCCATTTAAAAACAGGGCCATTGTTTAAACTTAGAAAGCAAAACGTTCTTTCTTTAAAAATTTTAAGTCCATTTGAAAGTTTCTAAAAATTAAATTAAAATTCTCCTTTCGTAAATAATGAAGATTAATTTCTATTCTCAATAGGACGTGTTCTACGAGGGCTGCGACGAGTTCTTGGTGGTCGACAAGAAGGCCACCTTGAAAAAGTATGTCCACACGGAACTTTAAGCCTCTGGGTGTGACGCAATGCGACTGTGAGAGACAAGAGCCAGAAGAGTGAATCAAGTAAGAGCCAGGCTTCCCCCATCCTTGACGTCAAGGGTGCTTTCCTCGAGGAAGGGCCAAGCCGACCCACATAATCTTAACTACTAACCGTCCATATCGATTGCCCCGGGTTCGATTCCCACAAATTGATTTCTCCATTTGCATCGAGTTCAAAATATGTCATAAATGTAGAGGTGTTCGGGACGCAAAAAGTATAACATTAGGAAGATCTAACACTGGATTATTCAACTCGGCACAGTCGGGCGAATAATTCTCTTGTTACGTTTTCTGCTGGCGGGGCAATTCCTGAGCAAATGTATTTTGTGAGAGCACTGTTAATAAATTTAATTGTTTTTATATACATTAAAACTTGAAAGACGGAATATTATTGATTGAAAACAACCATTTTTTTGTAGTGAACTAAAAGCACGATTTTTTCGTTTGTTTATTATTACACAGAGATTATATGGAACACAGAGGTAACCTGCTCGGAAAAATGTTATATTTTGTCAGTTAACTTTGCAACATTTTCACAGTTCACTCCTTACAAGAGCTGTATGGTTTACAAATGGGGAACCATAACATTTTTTCAAAATACTTTGATTCAACAGGGAGCGGATCACTGTCCGTCGCTTTCTTTTTATCACAACAACAAATAAACAGTTTCCAGATTAAGTCGGGCGCTCAAAGAACAAAAAAGCAGTCAAATCGTAGGTCATCCACAATTAAACCGTTAAAATGTGGATTAGTTTTAAGGTTAGGACTTTTCAAATTATGCTTACAAGTGCGGTCGATGGGGAAATTGGCTGAACAATCAACAACTCTCAACCTTGGGCAAAGCAACGAGTAAAATTTCAACTACAAGCAAAGGCAGCGCGTATCTCTTTCATTCTTTTAAAAGTTTTTTTCATTTCGAATAGCTAATTAATTATTCACCCATCCTTTCGGAAGCATGAGCAGCACATAAGTGTTATACATACAAAGAAGTACAGAGTGTCCTTTTGTTTCTCTCTTGCGCGCTTTCGTTCCTCGTACGTACACAATCAAACTTCCTGACTATGATGAGTTTCATTTTAGGTAAATTGTGTTTGAGTGTAGATATTCTTAGTGCTGTTGATGTTGTACCTCGCCTTTGAAATTTACTTCCTGCAAATGGAAATTAAAAAAAATGTTAAAAGAGTCAATTATATCAAAATGATTTACAATTTGAAATTTGAAATGTATCTGGAACATCTTAGCAACCCGGAATGAGTCCGAGTCACTTACACAGCCCAGCCTCAATGTTCCCAGTCTTAGCACACACCAATGAATTTACATCATTGGGGTCGGCTTAAAAAACCGGGGTGGATTTTTATAATAATAAGATTATTCAAATTACCCAGCATCGGCAGTCGAAACCTCGGCCTTGCTGGCCTCGTCAAAGTTGGCCTTGAGCTCAGGCACGAAGTCGTCCGAGTCGTCGGCGGTCGACTTGGACGCGGGGTTGCTGGCCACGCTGCTGGCGATCCTCTTGAGCTGCGTCAGACCGTCGGGGCCGAGTTGGTTCAAAATTCCGGGCAGCAAGTCCGAGATGTTCTTGTACTCGGCGTGGCCGGTGATGGCGAAAGTGTTTGCCACTAGCGAGGCCTGGGCCTTGGGGTTGTTAAAGTGAATTACGGATCCGTCGTCTTTGATCATGTTGACCTCTTCGATGCCAGGAATTGTGTTGACCTGGAAAATATCATGGTTATAATTAGTTAAAACTGATAATTTTTAAAAAAGGATTTGGTTGGAATTGTAAAAAAAAATGTATATGGAACATCTTAGCAACCTAAAATTGGTTTAAGTCACTTACACATGCCCAGCCTTAATGTTCCCAGCCTTAGCACACACCAATAAATTAATATTATTGAAGTCGGCTTAAAAACCGGGGTAAAAATGTAAATAAAAATTTGCAACAGAATTCAAAAGTTGTTTCGAGCTGAATTTAGTTTGGAAAAAATGACATTTGGATTCACTTCGTCGGTTTCTTTCAGTATTTTAACATATATTTCACAGATCTGTACGTTTCCCAGGTCAAAAGGTCACACCGGGTCGAACTTACCGACAGTTTCTTGAGGGAACTCTGCAATTTTTTGTCGTCCGTGGCCGCGGTCGCGTGCACAACCTTCTTCTTGCGGCGGGGGGTGCCCTTGCCCCCGATGCGCACCGCATTCTGCATCTTCTTCAACTTCTCCTCATTCATCTGCGAATGCGAACAAAGGTCGTCAGAATTCGGCGGATCGGCCCTAATTCAACTCACCTTCAATGTTTACAAAATAGCACGTGTCTGCCTCCAAAGTTTCGTTCGGCGACCGACCGACAGGAAACTCGATCCACGGCGGCGCAGAAATTTTCACCTGAAGATGAGAATCGCTTCAAGGCAACGTCGATTACCGGTAACCGGTTTTTCAAAAGACAATAACCGAAAATTGCAAAATAGTGGTTTTGTATTATAATTTTCGTCCCTGAGCCCCGAGCAAAAAGCATAATTTTTGAAATCAACAGCAATAAACATTTGATAAATTTCTTTAAAAAATAATTTTACAAATTCTTTAAATCCCTCCAGTTATTGTTTAAAATATATGAAATTGCAAAAGAATTTTGCTGAACGACAGTAGAAATCAAGAGATATCTCCCGAATTTTAGTTTTTAAATAACTTGCTCACTTAATACATATATCGTGATGAATTCCATAAAAATAAGCGTTAAATTATGTAAATCAAAGCTAATTTCTCTTCTCTAAACTTTTTATTAAATGGTCAGATTCTGGTTATATTTCTCTTATTTTGTACCGGAGCTTAAAAAACTGATGCATCTATCAGATGATATAAATTTATTATCAGGTTTTGTTTATATTTTTGCTAACAAAAACTAATCTATAATTAGATATTAAAAGCTTTGAATGCTAAAAAAACTATGCCGATTTAATGTTATTATAGATTTGTTTTATCATCAATAATATTTTTAAAAGATTTTATTAAATAGAATAATTTTGTAGGTACATCAGCGATTTTATGCAGTATTGCAATTTAGCAACAAAAATAGAAAGTTCCCAACTGGAACAATTTTCTTTATATTGGTCCCAGAATCCCAATCACGTGAAATTACGTATCTTGTGTTTTTTTTTAAATTTAGTATTATATATAATATAAAAATACTATGAAATAATTTTATTTTTCAATATTTAATTACCAGTAAAATTTATATATTTTAAGTTTTAAGTGTTTCTTGACTTCTAAGAACTGATTTTAGTCCCGTCAAAAAATCTAGAGTGTTAAATCAAAATTTTTTAATTAACACGTACGTCAATCGCTTTTTTTGTGTAAAACAGAACGGTTTTTCGGTTTGTCAAATTTCAACAACCGGTTCTTTTGCAGCAAAGCTCAGCAGCCAATGAGGTTTCCGCTCTCCTTAAACTGGCCAATGGGAGCTCGTCAGAAAGGACAACAAAAAATAAAACACGACTTGCCGGCAAAGTGAAGTTTTGCGTAGATGGGAACTAAATGTGGCGGGAAGTTAAACGCCTGCGGTTTATGAGTTATGCTGTGCCGCAAAGTCGGTATAAGACCTGATGTAATTGATTTATAAATATAATAAAACTTAACCTTTTTGCTTATACATTTATGTGGTTGAAATGAGACAAATAATTTTTTAATCTCTAATGAATTCTGGTTCCAGCATTTTCCTTATTTTCTCTTCATGAGAATTATAAATAAATTATTGACCAAATATTGAATTTTACTTCAGAATTAAATTTTATTTTTCAGTTTTAAATTTTTATCTCGTGCTTTGATTATTGATAGATTCAAAATTTAACTAATAAGTCTAGAATAATTTTATCATCATCATCAATTTTCTTTTTATAAAAACCTTCAATTATTTTAGTTTCAATTTTATTTTAAAACGAATTTTCATAACCCATAATTGATTTTGTTACTTTTGAAAATCTTAAACGGTCACAAAATAAATTTGCTCAGCCTTCAAACAATACAATCAATATTTTGCCAGAAACAAAAGCTGCTTTTTCAAGGCAAAAAGTTGGACGTCAGCAGTATTATTTTGAGTTATAAATAATGCATTAGTGTGTGTGGCCATGTTTCTAATGTGATTGTGACGATGCACGGCGACGGCCGGCGAATAAGTTTCAGTACACACACGTACATAATAGTTTTGTAAGGCACATACAAATGTATAATATATATAATGTAGTGGCAGAGTAAGAGAGATGTGTATGTAGAAAATAACGTTAAGGGAGGAAGCCGCAAAAGGTGCTCCGCAGATGAGGCCGCGCCGCCTGCGCGCGAGTAAAGTTCGCTCTTAGAAGCCCCAGAAATACCCAGAGTGGCACCAAGGCAAGTCAAAACCACCCCACCACGCGCCACCCCTTGATGCTATGCGCCCCCGACTCGGAGGGGCGATGCGAAAATAAAACGTTGCTCAACAAAAGTCAAACCGCGGTGGAGACTAATTTCAAGGCGAATTTAAAAATAAAAATAAAATTATATAGAAAATTAAATTATAAGAAATTTGGTAATTTTTCAGCCGTTTTTTCTACATTTTGGTTGAGTGAATTTTAAGATTGAAAGATTTTTGCTTTAATTTATTTATTAAATTTGGAAATTGTCCATTAATTATTTTTGTTAAAATACAATTAAATTATATATGTTACCAAGACCTTGCCGCATACTTTTTCATAATTTTTTTCATTATATATTCAAGTAAAATTTCCATCTCACTCGAGAAAAAATCGCAGGAGAAAGGTGGTTCAAACATTTATTCTTCATCGGAAAAAATGTCAGAGCCACTTCTTGTGTATTCAATTTTTTATAATTAAAAAAAAACGGATGTATTCCAATTTTTTTAATGAAAATTTCACGCTCTATACAAAATTATAGACATTCAATACAAAATGTCTCTCAGAATTACATATTATTACGTCGAAATTACTCAAAATTTAGATCAAATGACACGATATGTCATCAAAAGTGTCAATTTTGCGTTTAGCAGCAAATTTTTTGAGGGCAAAAAGACGATTATAAATAATAAACTTGTCTAAATTTTTGTTCTTTGACAATGGAAGCCAGAGATATAGTCTCATCAAAACATTCTCAAAATCAAATTTTGAGGTTCAGAAAAAACAATTTGATGGGATTTTCGTAAACACATGTTTTTCAGAAATTCTTGCCCTTTCATGTTTTACAAAATACTTTTTCAACCATCTCACTTTTAACTATTTTAATTCAAAGGAATTCTAATTTAATTTAAATGCAACATTATTAAATTAATTTTTCCTCAAGATAATATCAATCGTCGGTGAATTCTCATCACTTATTTCAAAAACTTTTTAGTAATTTGCCAATGTCCAAATTCCCACCACCAAAAGTAAACTTCAAGTCTCTGGTACTCACTTTGGAAGCCAAACATCAATTTCGCCTCTTCAAGATTATCCATTTTTCTTCTATTTGTCGGTCGGATCTGAATCGATGCTGATTTTCGGCAGCATGGTGCTGGCGCAGAGCAACAGTTCCCACAGCCGATCCTGCGAATCAAAGTGATGAAGATAAAAAATTTAATAATTGAATATTTATGTGGAGTTCAAATTTTTTGAACTAACATACATTTTAGTTTGCATGCAAAAAATTTGTAAATTTGGTTATTTTTAAATTTATTACGAAAGCCAACGGTGTTTTATAAATATTTAGACTTCAATTAAAAACAAAATGAAGAAGAAAAATATAAAATTCTTTAGCAAACAAAGATCGCTGAAAATTAGAATAAAATTATTGTTTGATAATAAGAATTTCAATTTTTCTAGATTATTCAATAATTTTTTTTATTTGATGCAATAAACACTACAAGTGTTTCCATATATTTTCTAGCTACAACAACAACTTTTAATTGCCTTGAACAAATTGCGTAAATGTAATATAGTCAAACAGAGAAAATAGCAGTGAAAAGTGAGCAAGTCCAATTGTTATAACTCTTATGCCGCGCGCCGTAACTCGATACTTTGGAAACACAATAATAATTTTCCAACTGTGCGGCGAGCTCACAGCAGTGGGCAACAATAACTGCGGAAAGTTGTGAATTACAAAAGCAGCACGCGTCCGGCGGCGATGTATGGTCGGATGCAAAACCGCAGCGGTTGAAAGAGGAGCCAAAAGAGAGAGATAGAACGCCGCACCCCTATTAACATAAGCATGGCTTTCAGGGGAGGTAAAGAAATAATATCTATTTGTGCGTAGAATATTATTTTGATATTGCATTTTGAGTGTAAGAATAAAGCAACATAAATTAATTTTTTTATAATTTTATTACAACAGATTCAGTTAAATTCATTTTATTCATTCTTTTTCCTCCAAACAAGAGAAACTAATCAAAAAGTTTTTTTTAAATTGATGATTTAAAATTCTCTGAAGAAATAAAATATTATTATTTGAAAAAATTCATGTATTATATATTTTAGTCTTCATTTATGCGCCTCTTTATAGTAAATTATATCATCATCCGATCCGGCAGCAGTTGGCATATTGAAAGTTTTTTACGTTCTCCGACATCATCGGGCGGCACGTGTTGGGGATTAGTCGACGAGCATGCATATATTCTAAATCTCCCTTTCGTCTCTCGTTGGTGTCATTCAATTAGCATGCGTCTGTGCATGGCGGCGCGCGCGGTTTAAGTAAGCAGATTAGCCGCAGCATGAGATATTAAACGGCGTTACACGAGGCCCCAAAAATTGATAACCAAGTCCCCCATTTAATCAGCGAGAAAAAAATTAAGAGCATCCTGTCTTACAAGGAGACATAAAAATCGTCCATTAAGCTCCTTGAGCTGAAATAGCAAAAGTTCATTTTATATCAAAAATAAATTCTCGGCTGCAGCAGATATTTTGCATTGCGCTCTAATTTATGGAATGTGAATTTGAATTTGTAATCTTAGAATATTTAAAAGTAAAAAATTTTATGTTTTAAAATCAATTTAAATTTAAATATTTTATTCCAAGTTATAGGAATAATTTTTCCTCACATTTTACATTTTTTAACTTTTGTCAAGAATAATTTTTTTATCTGAGAGAAAGAATGTGGATATTTTTATTAATAAAGATCGTCTCGTCGTGTTGGGCGAAGATGAGAGTGGACGGAAGCTGGTATCAATGAATCGGAAAATATTCGTCGTGAGAGAGTGTGCTTTTGCCGTGTGTGGTTCGTTCGGAGAGGATGGTGTCTCAAATGTCTCGATCGCGCCGCCCGCCCGCTCCGCACCTGGTGTGCACCTCGACGGACAAACCAACAGCCAGTCACTGTGCGCACGGAAATAGGGATAAACGTCCTTGCCAATATTCAGTCACGGCTCCAACCGCCGGAAATTTTCCATATATCCTTTCACGGCCAGGAAACTTTGACTCTGATCGCTTGAAACGCGGTGCGGATGTTCCAAAAGGCATTAGCAGAGGCTACGGAGCCAATCATATACCAAATTCATTAGAAAATTAACATATAATCGAGCAAAAACGAGAACATTCTGAATTTTTATATTAACAATTTTGTTTATGGAGTGGAGAAAAGTAGGAGAAATTCGTTATTTATTAACTGGCTTTGTTTTTCGGAAAAAATGAAGCTAGACCTTAAATTTATTTCAATTGTCGCTGTGAAATTTCCGTAAGTATTATGTAAATTAATTTAATTTTTTTTATGGTCCATTGTTTATTTCTTTCATTTGTATCCATTATTGAAATAATTTGTATACTAAAAAAGCTGCCAAAAATTATGATGATATTCAAAAGAAGAAAATTTTAAATAATGTAAAACTTATACATTTTTCAAAAATATAATCACATAGTTTAAAACTGATTTCCCTGATAAAAGAAACTAATATTTTATCTTCGATTATGTGTAATGAAGCTAAAAAAGAAAGAAAAAATGCAACAAATAAAAAAATATCTTCTCTGTATTTAATTTAATTTGCTCCAAAATTCATTCTAATATTGAATCTATTCGCTTAAATCGTATAATGTGTCTCATTGTAAAGGAATTTTCTACCATTTGAATCGCCAACAGAATAAATTGAATAATTTGCATTGTTGGGACTATGTTTAGGCTGAAATTTAGATTCGTCAAAAAAAAATGTTCAAAATAGAGGACTCTACACCATTCATTTTAGTTTAGAAAAACCTTCTCAAAGCAATTTCAATGTAAGAGGAAATTATTTGAAAAGCAATATAGTTATAAATTTGAAAAGTAATAATATGATATCGCATTTATTATTATTATTATTTTTTTTTTAAATATAGAGAAACGCAAAATTTTTTATTAATAATTATAGCCAAGATCATTTTTCATTAGTGAGAGTGTAGCACAATTGCTATATATTGAACAAAGATGTAATCAATTTCGATTGCACCAGGATTAGATCATCAAGGGGTGCATTTTTGTTTGCAGATGTAAATAGGCGACGCACACCTGTGTTTACCGCGTGCGCGTGCAGGTCTCGCCGCTAATCCGGCCTTTCATATGCGCGCAGGGAACAATTACGGCGGTGCATCTCGCGGCAAATTGCTCTGCGGGCCGTGAAAGGGCAAACAAACTAGTGAATGGACTCTGAATGGTGGCGAAATATATCAAATGCGCGCGCGCCCGTGTCGCCGCAAAGAGGAAAAACCTGAAGTGCAAGCAAGGGTGAGGAGACCCTAGCGAGAAAAAAAGAGCGGCCACGCTTTATTTACTCTCTGCTTTTGCAGGGATGGCGCAGAGATAAGAAGCGGAACAAACTCAAGCTCCACTCAACTTGTTGGTCCTTTTGCGCGCACTTTTGTTAACTCTTGGATGCGCGGAATAAAAAAGGCACACACCTGATATAAAGAGCTACCAAGTGAATGGACCAAGTGAGCCGAAAGTTGAACGCCTATCCATGGCAAAAGTTATTTTCAGACATTTATTTATTTCGCATGTTTTAAATGTTTAATCTTTGTCCACTTTTATTAAGAATTACAAAATAGAAAAAGGTCTTATGTTTTTCCCATATTTTTTACAGATGTTGTATAAAAAAAACATAAACAGCAATAATTCCTTAAATACAAATTTAATGAAAAATTAATTTGTTATGTGGATTCAGGAGAAAAAGAAACAAGGTTAATTTAAAATTATGATTTTGGGATTTTATAAGCAAAATTGAAAAAAAAAAATCCTGGCAAAATTTAATGAGAAATTTCAATTTTATTTTTATTATTATTATTATTTTTTTTAATTAGCAAAGCAGGCTTTTTGACAATCTATAAACACATTTTTTATTATTTTGAACAGCTAATTGATGCGAATTTTTGGTTTTACCCCGCAGCATAATTTATTAATTTATTCTGCATCTTCTGCGAAACAAATTTGATCGTCACCGTGTCATTTTCCACCTCCCCGCCACGCAGTATACATTCTTGAGTTTCAGTGCGACTCGTCAACTACAACATTGGCTGTTTTTTCCCATCATCAGCCAGCAGCGTCTAAAATCGAAAAGCTGCAGGCTGGCCGAAAACTGCTCGAGAGGGTAGGAAGGAGTTGGAAACCTGAGAGGCCTAACTGTATTGAGTATCCATCCATCCACCCACGGGAGATACACGGAGGGGCCTCGCGTGCACCGACCAGCGATTCATTCACTCGATCGGACACATGCGAGAGAACGATGCATGCGTCTTGATTGTGCAGACCTCCCGCTGCTCCGGCCCAAATCCACTTCCTTCCACTCCAGGCTGACTGGATTTTTGCAATGTGAATAAACAGGTCCCCAGCACATGCGGCGGGCGTGCAAAATATTAATGAGACAACTTTTCGGGCGAAAAATGTCAATTTCCCATAATCACAATCGGCACCTTGTCAATTTATTAAGAGAGGTGACAGCATTTTCCCCAGGTCAGTTATTTTTATTAACACTGAAAAGGATTTAAAAATGAAATATAAATATAAATCGTTGAATTTTTTTCGACAATTATGGAATATAAAAAATTATTATCATTTTTAACAAGAACTAAATTAATTTATAATAAGATGTTTTGATATTTCAAGTGGGATATAAACAGCCGTAAAATAATTAAAACCGAAAAAACTTCAGCACTTATGAGCAGTTAATAAGATTTTGGTGGGGCGGACTTCATTTGCATTTTATCTTACTTTTACACCCTTTCACGTTGACTGCAGTTTTAATTTTTGTCGAGAATTGTAAGCGGATATATTTATTTATAACAATTATATTTTATAAACGCTTAATTAGGTGGGCAGTTGGCCAACCCAAGTGGTAGGGATTTTTTTTACATGCAATCGACGGTTTCAAAAAATTTAATTAATCTTAATATTTTCACTAAGGTTCTCGGTGACAAACATATTCCTTTTGTGATTTAATAATCACAAAAGGAATATGTTTGTTTGATTAGAAATAATTCTGTAACTGACCAAGAAAAACTTGCATGTTTTCAAACAGAAATTTTGGCTTGAATTCAGTTTCTAAACAGAGGGTATTTCTCGCTCAGTCTCAGAATTGCTCATTCAATTTGTCTTTCATATTAATTTGCTTTCAAATTAATGAAAATATGGTTGAAAGTATAATTTATAAGACTCTAATTATGATGAAAAATTTTTTCTTGCAGACAAATGTAAAGAAAAATCCAGGAAAATAAATAAATTTTCAAATTGGAAATTTTAGCAAAAAAATTGTTTTGGCCAATTTTACAAATGGAGTCACGTGACTTTGGTCTCGGAAGTGACGCGAAGGTGGTTGGTGTGCGCGACGAGCGAGTCGTGTTGGGTCGGTCGGGGGCTCTTCCAGCTCGGTGGACAGGCGGACTAATCGGATCTGCCATGCACGTACAGACGGAGCGGAGCTGGTGTGTCGTCCTCGTTAAGAATCAATCCATCCCTCCTACTACTACCCACTTTCCACCACCTCTGCGTTTGTTTCAACTGACACGACGACGGACGGCCTAGCTTTTCTTTTTCAATCAGGGGAGGAGGACCGGCGAGCGCGAAGGTGATTCAAAATGCTCCCGGCGCCGCGACGTTTCCGATAGTTTTGTGTCGACAAAGTGCGTAGTTTTTTTTTCGTATCATGTTCGGAGACGACTGGAAATTGTGACAGTTACCTGCGCAAGGATGCCACCAGGGTGCGAGTCGATGGTGCGCGGACCAAGGACCGCGACATGAGCCGGTGCCACATCGCAACTCGGATACGCATTTCACAGGTAATTTCAACGCACCGTTTTCCACTTCCCATTGCGCGCGCTCGGGTTTGTGGGAGATTGTCTTAATTAAATAATTTAATATAAAATAACTACAATGAATGGATATTTAATTTTTATTATATTATTTATACGCTTAGTATTATTATTATTTTTTCTAGTCAAATATTATGATAATCGCTTAAGCTCGCCTGGGTTTTCAAATTAAAGATCATGCGTTTTAACAGAAACGTATCTTTGAAATTATTTGAATATCAAAATCGCATTTCAAATTAATAATCCAATTGTTTCGCATAAAAGTTTTCTTAAAAACTGGAATCTACAGCAGATACACGGGTGAACATAAGATTGTTTTGGAGAACTGAAAATTAATTTTGTTAAAGAGAAAAATGGGCAGTATAATCATAAAAAAGAATATATTAAACGAATTTTATTCAATGAATAAGAAACATGAACGGTTAACTGAAATTATAATTCATTTTATACACTATTTCTACATCTTTCTAATTTTATACTTATTTCAACCTTTATCTGGCAATAAAATTCTCAACATTTCAATTACTGCAGACAAGCTAATATGGGCAAATCCACTAAACCCAGAAAATAACAATAAATTATACTTTATACTGATGACCAAATTAATAACGTTATCTTAATAAATTTTGCAATTTTAATATTTCTTTTATTGAAGACAGACTGCAAATTATACAGTTTGTGAAATTTTTTTTAGTTTTGTAAAATTTTTAGCCACTTTTTCAAACAAATTTTCATAATTTAATTGCAAAAGAACGTGTAAATTGAAAGTTAATCACTCTAAGTGGCTTTCAACTTAATTTTCAGCCATATTTTTCAGATTTTTTTTGCAACTCAAAAATTGAAAGCTGCAATTTGAATTAGTATCTGTGTAATTGTTTAGCGCAATCAAGAAACAATAGCTATATGAGCTTTTACTTATCTACTCTATAATTAAATTTGTCTTCATTTAAAAATGGAATGATGCTTTGTAACTTTTACTAGTTAAACAAGTTGGTTTGTAGGTTTTTGGAAGGACGTGCAGAATGATAAACTCGTAATAACCGCGACGGATATGATTTTGCATTGTGCTGATTTGCAACTTGCGCTGGCATTTATTGACAGCCTCACGGCATGTGTTATTTATATGTAGCGACGCCTCAATTAGATTACTCTCTTGCCAACGTCATTGACTCTTCTGGAAAATAGAAAAGAATATATATCAATTGAAATAGTAGTTTGCGTTTGTCCTTGTTTCGCGATCCTAATTCAAAACACCTCGTCAATATATTTACGCTAAAGACATTACTTTAAAAAAGGTTAAGTAATATTATAAGCTTCAATAGCAAAGTAACTTCTTAAATGTCACACGCAGTTTTAGAAAGAAAATCGATGTTTATCATTGTTAAACAAAACAATTAAGCTATAATAACGAGCTCTGCTCTCATTTGAATGGATTTAAAACCAACATTTCCGCGAGATAGTTTTATAGTCAATGCAATTTACTATTTTTCCCAAACATATAAAAAACATACAACTAGAATAAATTTTAATGTTTTTAACTTCAGAAGTTTATTTATTTAATTTAAAGAAAACATGTTAATTTTTGTTCTCTTACTCATGAATTTGTGTTGCAGACAGTGTTCAAAGCTGGTAGAGCCAATTTGCGATAAGAAAAACACGCGTCAAACAATAATATGGACCAATTTTAATCCTTCAATACTTTCTCAATTTCATTCTCCAATTTTTAGAAAAGAAATGAATTCAGCAAATTTTAATAGAGTTTTAAAATTGTTTTCCAGCAATATTTTTGATGAGATCAATTCAATTTATTTAAACTGGAACTATATTTTTCATGTGAAAAAAGTCTTAAATATATCCAGAAAATTCTAGCAAAACGAAATTAATTGGCATATAATTACTTCTTGCAAAAAATCAGGACACAAAAATAAAGAGGCAATTTAGGTGAAATAAAAAGAAATTAAATTATCCACAAATTCGGTTTTGAAATGAGCAGGATAAATAATTAAATATGATTTCCATTTCAAAGAAAGTTATTTTAGACATTCTATCCAATTATTTGTAGCACTACGGAACCAAGTGATAGTATGAAGATGCTTTGGCGGAGAAAGGAAGCTATCAAAGTTCATTCATAAATTGCTTTGCACCTGGGAAAGTGGTGAATTCGGGTGCGCTCCTCACGGACTTCATACGCGGCATAGCCGGCAGGAAGCATGCTAACGCTCCCCAGCACGTAATGTATCGCGCGCTGCCGGCTATTAAACAATTCGCTCAACGCAACAGAGCACTTAAATCGCTTCAAACGCGCAATCTTATAACTTCAACACAACACGAAATTGCCAGTCTTCCCGAAAGAAAAACAGAATCTGCAAAACCGCATTTCGACAGTGTCTTCTCTGCTGCTAAAACAACACTCGATTTAAAATCGGTTTTCCACTTAGTTTGGGGTTTCTTCCACTTTGTTTGGGGATTCCGTCTCACTTCATATATATACAGAGAGATAAAATTGATACTATTAAGTTCCATGTAAACTATGCAAAATATTATTCTTTACCAATAGTCAATGCTCATCAAAATAATTACAAAATCTTTTAGACGAAAAGGTTTTTTCATCTTAAATTATTTTTACCAACACATATCTACAATTTCAATAGAAAATTTAATGTTAAGATAACATTTAGTTTAGTTAAATTTTTACTATAATTTCTTTTGGGTGATAAGAACTTGATTGCGATGAATTTTCACGTACTTTAGAAGGGTACATTTCCAGTTTAAAATATTATTTTAGAAATTATCGCAAAAATTCAGCTTGAAAAAGCAAATTTATTTCTTACATTGGTGGATCAAAGCGATTTATGCTATGTCACTCGCATTTACAAAAAATTATGTATGGAAAGTATGGAAATAATTTTCCATCGACACGGGCCGATTTCTCTTAATTCTAAGAATTAAACAGGCGAACTAGTTCAAAATTGACTTCGACTTTATTAAAAATATTAGTAAATAATAAAGTTTTTGTTCAATTGGTTCGTTTTAAAGGAGAATTGTTTTCGAAATTTCTTGTCATAATTACATTTCAGTTTATCCTGAATTCTGAATAACTCAATTAGCTTTACATTTTTCTATATTAAACACTTTTTGACATATTTCAAATTCAAATATTATGATTATTTCAAGAATTCTATATTTCAGTTTAATAAATTATGCGCTTTAGACTTTCGTTTTGATTCAATTCTATGTAATTTAAAATGAAAAGGAAATTTTCAAAATTATTTCTCGCTATAAATTTGCAAACTTTAGAAATTTTGATGTATTCAATTGCAAGCGAACGAAACCGCAAACGCGGCGAGCGAAAAGTAATCAGCTGCAATCTCGCGATCAATCAGGCGAGCATCAAAAGCGAGGGGTGGCGCGGGGTGCAATGATGTAATTAATTAGAGTTTTCCACCCCCGGCCGTCGCGCACTGATGGAAGCTTTGAAGTTGAAGCCAAATAACTTGTTGATCGCAGGCAACACGATAACAGCACCCCCAAAAGAGCATCTCGCCACCGCAGCAGCCATGGATGCTGGATGCTATGTGCCCAACAACCCCGCGCACTTCGGCCTGGAGGCGTGGCCAAACGTGGCGGACCCTGCCGCCCCCGCCAACCCCGCCGCCTCCAATGGGGTCGCCTCCGACATGGCAGCGTTCGGAATGCCAACTCTTGATCTCGAGCCTCTTCCTAGTCTCTTCCCGTTCAGCCCCTGCTCCGGCACTTCTTACAAGTGAGTACCGATTTCCACTTAATTTTTTTTTATTTATTCATTCTTGTATCCATATTTGGCACAGAAGGGTTAACAAAGGCGATTAAACTCAAAATTCTGCTATGGCATTAAAAAAATTGCATTTTTCAGAAATTACTGTAATTACCAACTAAATTAATTATTATATTATAATTAATTAATTTTAATACTTCATTAATTATTTGAAAACATCTCTGAGATCAAAAACAATTTTGAATGGTCAAAAAAGTATGTGTAAGATGTAGATTTAAAATATGTTAAAGATCATTGTAAAATTTCAAATGTTTCATAAATTGTCATAATTTGTGGTTTCTCAATTCTCATTCTAAACAAATTTCACCAACAACGAATTTTAAAACTTTCTACTATTGAGGCTTTTTGAAATTTTAAAATATTTTGAAACATTATCTGAAATTTCTAGAATATTTTCAAACTTTTTTCTTGGATTTTCTGGTCTAGTAGAGATTTTTTTGCAGAATTTTTGTAGTCAAACTATATTATGTGCTAGTAATTTCAAATAATTACTATCACAATTTTTATTTAACGCCTAAAAATGTATTTGTAAATTGCATGAATTTCAAAATGCATGTACTCTTGTTCAAATGTGATCAAACTAACGTCAAACGGCCCTCTGTGACTAAAAACTGCACGTCGTTTTGCATGCTGTTGGATGGAAATTTAATGCGTGAGGCAGTGAGATGGTGTTTTGCAGAGAGTTAAGCGTCAAGGAGCAGCAGTCGGGCAAACCAGCAGGCGGCCACGACATGGCAGATGTGTTGCTCTCGCTCAAGCACGCCGTCGTGCACCCGGGCCAGCTTTGCCCCAGCGGACCCATGTCGCCCAACGCGTTCGCAGCACCCTACCCTTCCCTCCAGCAGCAGTCCCACCAGATTCCCTCGGCCCAGCTCTCGTACACCGTTCACCCACATCATCAGGTGAGTAGTTTTAAGTTTACAAACATAATCATTAAAATAACATTCGATAATTCATCACGTTATTTTATAATAATTAACAAATAAGAAAATTAAAAGCAAAAACAGTGTTTTTTTACCAGAACATTTTATGAGTTGAAATTTTAATTTCATTTCTAAGAATTTAGATTTATCAAACCAATTATTTAATTAATTAATTAATTGATTTCTTGATTTCATTAGAACAATTGATAAATCTAATTAAAATTTCAATTTTCTCATAGCAATGTAAAGTTTCTCTTTTTAACAAATTTCTTTATTTTCTATTCACATGTTGGAAAAACATTAATTAATTCAAACATAATTAAGAAATTTTTTTTAAATTATGCTATTCTGTATTCAAAAGTACTTTAAACAACCGAAATTTTCAGTCTACTTTCTAAAGTTGTTTACAGTTTCCTCTCTGATAAAAAGTTGATTCTTAAATTTTATTTTTAAATGAAAATTAATTGAATGTTTTTCTATATTTCAATTGTTTTAGATGATGTCACCGACTGGTGGATACGGCGGTCAATACTGCACAGACCCTTCCGGCTACTCAAGTGTCCCGCAACAACAGCAACAAAACACACAACATTCCTCAGCCACAATGTTCCCCAGCATGAGCGTCAACGTTTCCATGAACATGACCATGGGATACAACGTGCCAGACCATCAGATGGCTTGTCCGCAGGTGAGAGCTGATTGAATATTTAGTAAATAATAGAATTTAGAAGATTCCACGCTAAAATTTGATATAGAAACATTTTATTTGCGAAATTTACAATCAAGGAGACGATCATGGACTCTGGCTCTGATTGCGAGTTCTTTACTTTATAGAAACATTTTTACTATTTCAACTTATAATCTTTAAAAGCAAATTAATAAATGATTCAATTTCGCAATTGACGCAATTTGAAAATTATTTCCTTCAATGTTATTTTGAGCTCTATTATGTTAATAAATTATACATAAAGATTGCGAAATAGAGACACATCTCGGTATTACACTAAAATGATTCATGGCAAAATGTGCAGGCAGCTTTTGGAAGCAGCTCGTTGCGCAAATGAATTGATTACGAGCGCCGCTGGGATTATGTAAAATGGCGTCTCGCCTGTCATCAGCAATTGATTAAGTAAGGCGAGGCCCACCCGATTGGTTGGGGTGGCGCGCGTTGCCTGGCAACTCGCTGGCTCGGCCCCTGCTCCGGCAAAGCTAGGCAACCCGCGCCGACAAAGTGCCGAGCCGGTTGCAGCCATTGACCGACGGCAGGCGCTCCGCACAATTTTGCCTCCACAAACATGACGGGCCAAAAAATACCTCTGCCGCGCAAACTTATTGGATTATAGACGTTCTTCTCTCTAGAATTTTCCCATTAGTCAACAAATTAGGTTGCGAAACACATACGACTATTTATAGAAAAATTAATGCGCTATCCAGAATTTTGTTGTGAGCAAGGCAAGATGGGAATATTTTATGAATTTAAATTTGAAGTATTTGAACATCTTGTGTCAACATTGAAAATTAGATGAAATTACGTAATTTTGCAATACTAAATTCACAGAAATGACTGAGAAAAAGCAACCTGAATTTTGTATCATAATCTAACGAAGACAATTTTATCACAATTCACTGACTCTGAAACTTGCATATGAATCATTTTACTTTCATAAATATTAATATACCTTACAAGTAAACTGGTGAAAGTCTTTTTGGCCTTTTTTATTTCAATTTTTACAAACTTTGTCAGTCTGATAATAGTCTGATTTGGGAATAAATCTCGAATTTTTAACCATATTTCGCACAGGAAAAATACATTTTTTATACTTTGAATCTTTCACGATTAGTTTTTCTTCTTCTTTTCTTCTTAACTATATAATAGTTCATGATTCTCCAAATTTCTAGTGATATTTTTTCAACTTAAATTTACTTAACATGCTCTTTAAATATCACCTTCAGGAAAAAAATTAAATCCATTGCCCCTAATTTTATTGCAATTCAAAATAATTTGAACAGAAGGAGAAACTATAAGAGGCTTTCTTTCTGGAAAATTGCCAGTATAAATTTTAATATTTTATTGAAAATATATTTTAGCGGTTTCATTTGTAAGTGTTCTAAAAATTCAAATTGCTCACATGAACTTTTTCTTATTTTTACTCATTTTTATCCAATTTCTACCAAATTTTCTTATCACACATTGTCACATTGTCAAAATTTATTTATGTAGACTCTTTTCTGTAAACCTCCCGGGATTGTGTATTTTAAACTGAAACAAATATACGCGCTTTAAAACCAGAAAGCTCGTTATTGCAATTTATTGGATCTACAAGTTTAATTATTTCTTTAATTGCAGATGCAATGGGGTCCTAGCGGTTCGCCAGTGTACCACCAGCAGAACCAGGGCCTCCTGAGTCCACAGCCGTACCCGCCGGCGGCCACGTATTCGTTCACGGCCGACTTCAGGCCGACGAGCGAGACAACACCGTCGTCGTTCAAGCCGGTGCTGAGCAAAGCGTCACCGCTGAGCTTCAACCGGCGTCGCAGTGGGGGCAGCACTAGCAGCGGCGGCTTCAGCAAGATGGGTGGCTCGCCGACGGTGGCGGCGACGCTGACGGACGGCGGCAACGGCGTCGAGTGCGTGGGCGGCAACCCGCGCGCCAACCTGTGCCGCATCTGCGGCAAGACGTACGCGCGGCCGAGCACACTGAAAACGCACCTGCGCACGCACAGCGGCGAGAAACCGTACCGCTGCGGCGAGTGCCACAAATCCTTCAGCCAGGCCGCCAACCTGACGGCCCACGTTCGCACACACTCGGGCGAGAAGCCGTTCCGCTGCCCCATCTGCGACCGGCGCTTCTCGCAGAGCTCCTCCGTCACCACCCACATGCGCACGCACAGCGGCGAACGGCCCTACCGTTGCCGCATGTGCAAGAAGGCCTTCTCCGACTCGAGCACCCTCACCAAGCACCTGCGCATCCACTCGGGCGAAAAGCCCTACCAGTGCAAACTCTGCCTGCTGCGCTTCTCCCAGTCCGGCAACCTCAACAGGCACATGCGCGTTCACGGCAACGCGGCCGCGTGACGTCACTGGACCCTGATCTGCGCGCGCAACGCGCCTCCCCCTCCAGACATTCGACACTTCTTCCAGTGAGACAGATGTCGCTAGTTGTGTTATGACTCTTGCCGAAACGCGAGAGTGAACACTCTCGGTGTGAAATATGCAAAGGAAGACTCATAAAAAATCTCAAACGTGGTCATAGTATTTAAGATTAGGTCATACTACTGAGAATTGTGGCATGCAAAGCTGCAGTTTTCGGGGCAGGATAGAAGAAAATGTTGAAATTTATAATTCTCAAAATTAACCAAAGATTTTGTAAAATTCCTTCAGCATAAATCAAAAGCTTCAGAAATCTCTTGTAAAATTCCAACTCATCAGAATTGAGCAATTTCGTAAGACGCAAACATGGCAACATGAAAATTTGTTTGTTACCATTGTAGCCAAATCAGACGTGGGCACTAGACCAGAGTCTGATCTTCCGTATTATTAAATGGACAAATGGTCAATGCAACGTATTTCTGAAAACCAAATACGTTACTGTGTTTTCAAAAAAAATTTCAAGAGGGACCGTGTCCTGATTTTCAAAAAACGTTTTTATGCAATTTGCACTACACTTTAATTGGCGCTATGGAAATTAGGTAAAGTCTTGTTGTAAACAATTTTATAGTTAATCTCCTCTTTGCTAAATTCACACCTTTGATACATACATAATTTAAATTACGCGGGCCGACGTTTGAATAGCAAATTTAAAGCCTTTGAATTTTTACTGCAAAATTAGTTGACAAATTAAAGTACAATTAGAAAAAAAAATCTTTTTTCCATGACAATGGTTTGCGTTTTAGGAAAATACTAAATTAGCCTCCCATTATTCAAATTCAATATTTATGCAAGAGAGAATCTTCTCAGTTGGAGACATGCATGACAGAAAAACCCATTATTTCTCTCTTACTGTTACAGTTTAAAAGCAACGAGTTTAGCATAAGATTTAAGTATGAGCCAAATAGTTTTGAATCAAAAATTCATCACGAAGGTAATTGAAAGCAACGAAAAAAATTTAATGCAGAAGAGGTTATTAGATCTTATATTTTTTTAAGCTACAACTCAATATATGAAAATTACGTTGAATTAGCTCAATTTTTCAAGAGCTTCGGTTTCCGGCACGCAAGTTGTCTTGTTCCAACCCATTGAATCGACGCGTACAATGTAAAAAGTTGTGACTTGTTGCAAATTATATGTACTATGACTTCTGCAAATCTGATGTGTAATTGAATGCGTACTCACATTACGTGATGGATCTGCTGACCAGCGCGTACTTAGAGGCCACACAAATGACGGAATAAGAGATCTCATTACCACTGATAGTATTTATTACGCTAATTAATAATTTATTTCGCGCGTAAGATACACACAATAACTTTTTAAAAAGGCCAATGGTGCAGCCATTGCGAGGAAATACTCAATGTCTAAGTCACTAGATGTAAGAAAATCGCATGTTTCTTTTTTTTAAATAATGTTATTATTCAATTAACTGTTGCACCTTCAAAAGGAATTATTAGGAAAGTGAACCAAATAAAATTTTAGTTAAGGCTGCTGTTGTACAGAGAAATTCACCTTTTTACTAGAATGTAGAATGTGAGTTTATGATAACTTGACCTCCATTTAGTTTTAGATTGAACTATTTTGAATCACAGAAGATGCAACAAATTTAATGGAAGTCCAATGATTTGTTTTTGACTTTGTCAATAAAATGCACTCTACCAAAATATGACGTGGAATTTCGTTTTACAAAATTCTGAAGAAAGGTATACTTATGCAAATAAAAGCAAGTTGACCGATACTAGAAATTGTTTTATGTTTTTTCCCCTATAATAATCAGAGCACGGAAATTTTTATTCGCAAATTTTTATTTTTGTCAAAAAATCTATACAGAAACATCCTAAATAAACAAAAATAAAACATGATGAGAGATACTTTGCTGGATAGCTCGCCAATCGTGGAACAATTTCGCGGATTACTCAGAAATTTTACACAATCATTAATCAACAGCGATTACTCGTTTGGCTAATTGCGTGATGAAATTGGTTCCCTTGTGTCTTCGCTTTTGTATGATCGTCGGTTTTAAAAAATAAATAGAAAAATATTGTGTGTGTCGTGTGTGTTGAGTGTGTGTGTATGTATGTGATCGTATGTGTGTTATGTGTGTCATCACTATTAAAAGAAGGACGGGGTGGAAACAAGGGCGGGATCAGGGGGCAGGGAGGGGGCGAATTACACAAAACGAATCGAATTAGCAAGGCGAGTGATAAATGCAAAAATTATAACGCACGCGACCGAGCAGATTGGTCGCGCGTCGAAAGGCCCAACCGCGCAATTCAAGTCTCAAAAGACGGCCCCCCATAACTTCAACAACCTCGCTAGGGACGCGTCAGCCATTACTAAAAATTAAATGAAAAGTACAATGACCTTGGTCAGCAAAGTTCGTTTGTGTGGCGAAAAACGTTCAAAGCGACACAAAAGCGCCGAGATTCGATCTGGATTTTGGCAGAAATTTTGCTGAACCGTTTGTGTTCTTTCAACATTTTTCATCCGTTTAAAATTATAACAAGGGATGATTTTAAGAAATTTTTTAATATTACAATTTGATCATCAAATATCGCATCCACGTTAAATGTAACGCACATATTTATTGGTTTGTTATAGAATTTGAAAATATATAAGTGAGAGTGATTGAGAGAGAGATGGGTTGGGTAGATGCCTCCTGTCAGCTAATTTAAAAATGTTAAAACCGCCTTTCGCACTACGAAACTGGCGTCCGTCAACGGCCAGCGTGAATCAAATCGTGTGAGTAATTTGCAATCATACGTGTTTTTTTTCTGGCGCCACAAGGAGCCTATTTTCTTTTCTACGCGCTTAAATCCAGGGGAAACCAAAGGTTGCTACGTAATTGGCCTGCTCGACGCCATTTTTTCGTGATCACAATCCCAGACGCGAATTTGGGGCCTCTGCGAAAATGGCACGACCACGGGCCGATATGTAAAAAGACAAGTGTGGGGGACGCAGTGTGTTAGAGGAGGAGATTTTCTTACTTGTTATTTATGCCACAAACCCTATAACCATTGAAGCTAGCTCGGTTTTACAACTCTTTTTTTTTCTTTATTCAACTTTTGCCGAAAGAAGCAGCATGATTCTCGGACGTTGTTCGGCAAACCGGCGTACCGGCAAAACACTGGCTGATTTTTTTGGGGTGCGTGTTTTGTTTGTTTGCGTGACGAAATTACAAATCATACATGATGAATGAGAGAGGTTGCCATTACGTAGTGTGTCTAATCATATTGTTACAATAATAGCAAATTAATCAATCAATATATATTATTATTTTATCGTCATCTTCATACCCATCGTCGTCATCTTCATCACCGCTTTATCAACTGCACTAAATTACAATTCATATTTTTTCTTCGTTTAATTTTTATCTCATTACATAATGATCCTTACGCGTGTATGTTGTATCATAATAATAGTATCAGTGTTAAGACTAACTTTAAGGAGTTTTGAAAAAAATAATCAATTGTCCTAGTCATTATTTTGTAGTGTAAGAATAACATGGCCTTCGAGTTTCGCGGCTCAAACACGCAAAGTCGAGTCTCTCCGAACGTTTATCTGCACTGCCGGGGTTGGTTGCAAATTTCAGAAGCAGCGTAAGTAAAAACCGAACTGTGTAAGCACTTGGGTCACTTTCAAAATCAAACTCCACTCTGCCAAAAGATTAGACGCGGCAGCTTCCGAAATTGATGCTGTTTCGGTTGTTTTTGTACTTGTGGGCAGCGGCGTTCGTTCGTTCGAAAAAGCAGCGCCTTCGGGACTGGCCGAGTCAGTCAGGGGGTGGACAAGTGGACAAGGAGGCTGCATCCGACTGTCGAGTGAATGGGAGTAAGGGGGCGTGGCCGCTCGGCGCAGTCCCGGCAGTGGATAAGTGACTGTCGTGTCTTGACCATGTCTGTCATTCTTGTCTCACGCGGGGTGGTTGGCACTGGTTAGTTAGTGCACAGCCTCGGACGACTCGGCCTTGGCCGAATGGTGGTTCGAAGGGTCCGGTGTGCTGATAGGCTAGAATCGAAGAAGACTTTCAGTTTGGGCAGTCTCCGTGCAGGAGAGACAGAGAGCAAACAAGCAGCACACCAAACAGCAACGAGCAACCAACGCAAGAGACGAGGAAAATTTACAAAAGGTATCAGTGCAAGGAAAAATTAAGTGCAATCAAAATAAATAACCAAAACCTGTTTATCTTTTTAGTAAAACTCACTAAAAAGGGAGGATCCAAACAAATCCAATTGTTTTCACTTTTTTAAACGTGACAGTTTTTTAACCAGATTTAGGTAAATTTCAATTCACCCATATCGTTAAATAAATGACCCAGGTTTATTAATTTCAGGTCCCAGTGTTAAGGTAATCAAGACCAAAAAGGGCATTGAGATGAAAATCTAGTAGTGAAAAGCTCCGTATCTATGCGATTAAATTAAGCATAAAACGAAACTAGTACGCAAGATAAGCTAATCAGTTAGAGTTTAGAAATTGATTCGTACTTACAGGAGTACTAACAAGGTGCTGTGGAATACCAGGGACGACGGCCGCGGCTGAGGCGGCGGCCGCAGCAGCAGCCACAGAATGGGGCACTTCGTGTGTGGTGGTCGAATGTGCCTGCTGCACTGGCAGCGAGCCACTGCCGTAGAAGCCACCGTTGATGCCCTCTGGGTAGCCGCTGTTGAGGAAGTACTCTTTGTTGACGCAGTTTCGAAGACTATCAGGGATGCGGCCAACGATGGCTCGTCTGATCTCGCTGGCGGCCATTTCGCGCAGCTCCGTGCATGAGGCGTCTGAATAGAAAGCAGCATGCGGCGTGCACAACAGGTTCGGGGCCTCCTTCAGCGGACCTGTAAAATATTTTCAAAGTTAATACAAATTCTTATTTTGCTAAGATTATAAATTTACCTGTGAACACATTGTACGGCTCGTTCTCATGCACGTCGAGAGCAGCTGCTCTGATGCGTCCCTGCTTGAGTGCCGCACTGAGGGCCTCGTCATCAACAAGACCTCCTCTGGCGGTGTTGACGAGAAAAGCGCCTGGACGCATCTGCTTGATGGTGTACTCATTGATTAGGTGGTGGTTATGCTCGTTCAGGGTGCAGTGCAGAGACACACAATCAGATTGGAACAGTAGGTCCTGTAACAGAAAGTTTTTGTTCGGCAATCATTAGGACAGATTCAAAAGAGGGATAAGTCCAAACCATCCTTGGTTTTAAGCGAAAAAATCTTGATATGTGATTTATAATGAAAGAATGAAAACTACTTATAAAATAATTTGGGCTTATCTTTATCAAAGCATTTTGAGAAAAAGTATCAAGTAAGATAATGTTTTAAATTTAAAGTAATTTTAAATTACTTTGTTTTAAATACTTCTGTGTTTTGCGTACAATCATAATGCTCACTTTCTAGCATTTCTATAGTATAAAAAATTAGACATACCTGAAGAGTGTACACTCTGGTCAGTCCAAGCGACTTCTCAATACCGTCAGGGAGGTAAGGGTCGTAGAAAATGACGTTGAAGCCAAATGCCTTGGCTCTGAGGGCCACTGCCGAGCCGATGCGGCCCAAACCCACAATGCCAAGTGTGTCGCCTCGTATTCTGGCGCAGCCTTGAGCAGCTTCGCGCACCTGCTCAGGGCCAGTGAATTTCTTGCCCTCTCGCACCATGTTAGCCAGCCAGTAAGTGCGTCGGTAGAGGTTGAGTATCAGGCAGAGGGTTGTGTCGGCCACTTCTTCCACGCCGTATCCTGGCACATTGCACACGGCAATGCCAAGCTCACCAGCAGCCTGAAATAGAACAATATAATTAATTTCCAAGAAGGTGATTTGCTTAAAATAATCTCATTAGAATTTCATTCAATATAATACTGTGTTTTTAACTAATATAATTTTAGATATTTACAAAACTAAAAAAGTTTACCTTGACATCAATGTTGTCCACACCACTTCCAATTCGGACGATGATCCGCAAGTTTTTGAACTTCTCTAAATCTTCCTTAGTTAATATGATTGTGTGCCACATCAACGCCCCCACAGCCTCATTCAGCACCTGTACAGCAGGAAATGAAATAAATTTACTCATGATCACAATTTGCGCACCTTTTCATGAATCTCGGATGTGGATTGGGCATCACAGAAGGCCACGGTGGCGACGTCTTTGAGGATAGGCATCTCTATGGAGCAGTCTCGGCCGTCGAGCAGCGCGACTAGTGGCCGGGTCTGCATCGGGCCGTTGGCGATGGGTCCCAAGCGCGAAGTCTCCATTCGTGGTCTTTTCGGAAGCATCTTTCGTTTGTCCATCAGTAAGCCTTGAGTTCACAAATAAAATTTTACGTCCAACCTTGCTGAGTCTATTTAATCAGTCGGTCTGTCCAGAGTCACTGGCACATGCACTCAATTCACTTCGATTTTCAGCTGCGAACCGACGACGGCCGCATCTTGCGAATCCTCTTCTGGCCAAATCTGAAACGAATGTAATTTCATTGGTTAATATATTTACTTTGGCAGTGTTTATAAATAATCATAATTAAGTGTCTACGAGATGCTACTTTGCACCGGCGTGAATTAATTGCTGCGGGCTAAGTTTGCTGTTCGGTTCATCAATGGCTTCGGCCGGACGCGTAAGTGCTCACAGTACATTGGCTTTGTGCTGATCACAGGGAAAAAGCTGCCCGCGTCAGCATTACTTAAGAGAGCTCATTAATTAAGCCGTGATTGTCGCTGATTATCGCAGTCGAATGGCTAACGCGTGATTATTTACTTGTCAGCGCAATCGTGCTTGGAATCGAATCGAGGCTACAATTAAAAAAGGTGCTCATTAGCAGGTCTTGAAAGAAAGCACCTGCTGAGGTTATCCGTAATATGCGTTGAAATAAATTAACTTTGTTCAAATAAAACAAATTTAAAACATCAAAAAGTTCAGCTTTAATACAAATTCAGCTTTAAATTTAAAATATTTATCAATTCAAGCTGATTTGAAGGTATCAAGCAATTTAAATTCCCACTCAATAATATTAAAGAGGGATATTTTCTTCCTTTCTTAAACCTTCACGGGCGGCCGGCGCTTTTGCTAAATCGCAGGCCAATTAATCGTTTGCCGGTCCGATGCTTTCTCGTTTCGCTTGGGGTGGGGTGGGTGGGGGTGGTGGACAGACTGCTGAAATTGCCACCGCAAGATCAATGGGGTGAGTTGGTCGGCAAGGGAGATGGGGGTCGGCTGACCGTTCGTCGGAGGGAGGGCGGGCGGTCAGCCCCCGACTAGAGAGAGAGAGAGCAGGCAGGAGAGAGTCAAAGCGAGGGGCGAAGCAGCCGAGGGTGGTTTTTGTGCGAAGCAAGTATCAAGAGGATCAATAAAACGGAGGTGGCGGCAGCTCCGCGACCATCCTCACTTTGCTCTCTCTATCTCTCGGCACATCACCGGCGCAGAACAGAGACCTTTCCCACGTCAGACGCCGAGCAGACACCGACCCAAGTTTCCTGCTGCCTTTTTTAGCTCCTTTCTGCACCACCCATTACAAGTTTTGCATATTAGTTGTGAATAAAAACTTTTATTTATCGCATATAAATGGAAAACTCCAAGTATAGAGTTAATTAAAAGTTTTAACAGTTTAATTTTAATGTGTTCATTGGCCTCGTTGTGAGCAACAAAGTTGTGGAAATCACTTGAGGAGACGCACTTCAACTCGAGAGAATGGATTCACTTTAAGTTGGAGGGTGCCGCTCCACCTCCACTTTGCGACAAGGCCGACGAGCGCAGTGCAGCATCTTTTGCGCCAAGCCGGCCCGAAAGAGAAAGAAGGGAGAAGTGCTTTCCGACTTTTCCAATAAGTCAGACGCATGAATTTTTCACGCTTTTACGAGCGGGCCAACTACTTCCGCAGAGTCAACATCCAACAATCGCTTCTTTGCCAATTTCTTCGATCAAACTAGAAAAAAAACTCCGCTCTCTTTCCTCGCAAAAGTTACATAACCAGGAAATTTAAATTAGTTTCCAACTAGAGAAAATCGAGAAGTTGCTTCTTTTTGTTTGAACTTCCGCGATTAATTAATTAATTTATAAGTTTAATTAGTTTTGACACTGCCATTGTGTGTATCGCATTGGAACTTGGAAAAAAGTTGATGAAAAAAGCCATTGGATGGCTGGAGGTGACGGGTGGGTTTGCGCAGCCTGCAAAGTTTTACACTTGATTGTTCTTTTCTGAGCGAGTCGGGGCGAAAATAAAAAAAAGCGCTGCCCAACTCTCTTAGGGGATTTGAGAGCAAAGGCGTCTTAATTAATAAAGGCTGACAAAAACGAGCACACAAATCGATACTTTGCAAACTTCACAAAACTTTTCGCGAATTAAAAAAAAAATTGATTATGGTTAGAAGGCGAAACATGATTTGCTTTGCAGCGTTTACGGTCGCCATAGTAAAAGTGTGAAAAGCGTCAATGGGCGCGTAGGTACGTGTGTAATGAGAGCGTGGATTATTGTTATGACTGAGCGGGTGGCGAGTTGATGGGCAAAGGAAGCGACTGAGCAATAATCGATACGAAAGCCGAGATGAGGTATAGTCTGGAGGGGGCGCGCGGGGGTTGCACCGCCTGCACCCCTAGCCGCCCTCCCGGCGAAAGAGCCGTGCCAATTTATACTCGAGGAAAAGTTACAAGAGAGCAAGTTTATAAGAAGAAGAAGAAGTAGTGGAAAGAAAAGAAAGAACAAGAAGTAAAAGAAAGAAGGAGGTTAGAAGCGAGCTGCTCGGCTGGGCGAGGGAGGGTGGGTTGGGCGGCCGTCCGGGCGGGCGGGCAGAGTTGTTGGAAAAGTTTGCGCTGCCGGCCAAAACTTTTTTCTTTTTTCAAAAACTTTTCGTTGAAACACCTCGCTTGGAGCAACTTCGCAGCAATAAGTAATTATAAAGCCAACCGCCGGCTCAAACAACGCACCCCAACTTGCTAATCGAGCGAACGAATTTGCCTTGCTTAATCAGACGCCGCCGGCTGACTCCCACAACTTGCGCAAACTTCGGCTACGGGATGTCCAAAGAGGAATGAATCTGTACGTTTGACGGCGCGCCCAAAGTTATCCAAAAGCGCTTGATGGAGTTGGGACAAATTTTCAGTCCTCATCAAAATTCAATGAAACTTTTTTCTTGCAAGAAAATCTATCATAATAAATGCAGAGTTGTTTATAATTAAATAGTTTTGAAATTTTAAAAAATGACCCTAATAAAAATTCTAATAAATGAAGGAAAAAAACGGCTTTTTTTTTACTTTGAATTAATTATGTTTAAAGCAATTCAGTGCGTGAATTCGTGAAATAAGCATATTTTCTTCCTGAGGCTGATGCGATGACAGGTAGACATTCATTTTTATTAGGAAGTAAACCAGCCGCGAAAACGCTCCAACCTGTTGCTGGCGCAATGAAAGTAAACCGAAAATTACTTTAAAGTAAAACGGCTCGATCGGATTATTCGCGTGGCATGAGGCGTCGGAAATTCGCCGATCGAACGCTTTCACTCGGCGCGCCGAGCTGGCCTTTCTTTCTTTCTTCGATTGCTGCACGCCGAGGTAAACAAGAAAGAGCTGCCGCGCGCGATTAACATGAAATTATATTCAGTCGCGGTTCCTCGGTCGCTCGTTGTTGGTCTCGTTACATAACGCACGGATGGATTGAGGGAAAAAAACTCGGGCCGCCGTCAGCTGCGCTTCGTGCGAGCAGAAAAGGTGAAAGTTTGCGGCTCGCGCACTGCATGCTTGGCGCAGATAACGCTCTCCGCCGCAATTGTGCAGGAAAATTTAGTAAATCTGAGGAACACATCAAAATTAATCAGTGCAGGCCAAAATTAAAAAAAATAATAATAATTTATACAAAACTAATCTGCATTTCTATATCAAAAAGAAAGTTCATAACGACAAAATATTAAAATACAGCAAATTAGACCAAATGCTAAATTTTCTAATCCGGCCCAAATGGGCAAAGATTTTTGCAAAGATGCCAAATTATATTTGAAATTGATTCTTTGTGTGAAAACGAAATGAAAGAAAAAAATGTTATCTTTGACTTATATGGATTAAATTGTAGGGAGCGATTCGGTTTGTTTGAATGAATCCGCTGAAATGTTTGTTGGCTTCGAGCAATAAAAGTCCAATTAGGGTGAACCGGATCATTTGAGCTTCTTTTGCACGCGCCTTTATCTCGATCGCTGCTGACGGAGCGAGGAAGCAAAGCAGCCGGTTGGGAAACCCGTATCAGAATCTGCGCCTCCTTGTTTAACATGTTGTAATAATAATTCTGCTGCTACGACTGATAAAAGACTTCAATTTTTGCTCCAAAGGGCGTCAAACTTACTTTCGATTTACACTCAATTGACGAAAAAGAAATGTTGTGAGAAACGTGACATTGCGTGAGTGAACAAAACGAGTGGCGCGCGATAAGGTGAAAGTCACGATTGCGAACCGAATCAATCGTTTACTCACCCGCAGATAAGACTCTCCCTCGCACCCATTGTTAAAAACTTTTAAATATTGCAATCAACCGTGCAAAAAAAGTAATCGTGTAATTGATAACTGAATGTACAAAGATTGTAGAAGGATTTCAATTTACTACCAAAATCTAAGTACGAGGACAAAATACTTTGCTGTTTGGTTCAAATTAATTGATGTAATTTTTTTTACAACTGACTTTTCCTTGTTGAAAAATATGTTTTTATTTGGCAACGTTAATCATTCTTTCAATTAATTATTAATCATCAACAAAAATTCACCAAAATATCAAATATAAAAACGGTTTTTCCTCATTATTTTTGTACTGATTTGATTTTTCAATTGATTACCAATTACAAATTAGTGGCATGCAGAAATTTCCAGCTCATAATAATAATCTCAAATTTTGCTCTAATTTCAATTACAACAGAAATAATTCAATTTGACTGATAAGAGCAACAATCAATAACCTAATCCGGTATAAAGGGCCTGCGGCTTTTGTGATTAGTCGTCGGAATTGGGCGGCGTGTGTGTGTGACAAAATTGCTTGCGGTTGTGCATTGCATGCAAGATCGCTCGCTGCGTGCAATCCGGCCGCGCGATAAGGGCCGACAGAGAGAGATAACAGGGCAAAAAGCGCGCGATTAAGAAAAGAAAAGCAAGCGTACGAACTGCGTGTGCGAGAGAGAGAGAAGGCAGAAGAGGCAAAAAGTGGGCTCGTAAGCAGTTTAGCCGCGTGCAATCTACTCGGTGAAAAAACTCCGGCGTCGGCACTTTTGGCCGCCGCCGCCGACTTTCACGTGCTGCATCTGATTGAGTCATGGCCGCGCTTGTTCAGCTTTTTCCCGTCAGTCCGACGAATGCCGCTGACTCGGCCCAAAAAATACACAAACTGCCAGCAGCGCGCGCCAACCCACACACACACAAATATTAAAAATAAAATACACACGCGCCAGCGAACGCAATTAAACGCCCCGAAGTGCCATCGTAGGCAAAAAAAAGTATAAAAAAAATTACCACTATAATAAAAAGAATGCTATTAGCAGAACACATTTTAAAGCAATTAAGCAGGTAATAATTATCATGAATTTTTTTTTTTTAATTTAATTTATATTTGGTGAAAAAGAAATTGCAGATATTTAAATTGTGTCAATCTTGCAGGTGTCTCAATTCATAATATTAAAAAATGTCGCCTAATCTAAAATATTATCTAAATAAATATTTGGAATATCTTTTAGATAAGATTTCTTGAACAATTTGACCAATCAAACAATGCATCCAGTTGTTGCATGAATCTTAAGAAAAAACATCTGAATTTACATTTAACGTGGATTTCATGAAAAATTGCAATGATGTCATGAACCTGGTTTTAATTTATCTCAATTCATTACAATAAATTTATTAACTCTATTTCTATACTTTAATTACTCCAATTATTTTCACAATAAAACTGACGATAAGACTGTTGGAGTCAAAGAAGGAAAACGGTCGATTAAATTTTTTTTTCCTTTTGCAAAGATTAAAAAAAGCGCTTAAAACAATCGAGCGAGTCGATGCAATAAAAATGGCGGATTTACGAAACCAGTTTTGTTTCTTTTTTCTTTCCGGCTACGTCTCTTTACGCCGGTTTTGATTCCAGCCTCTCTGGAAACAAATAAATAAATATTTCATGCACGCTAATCGCGGCACAGTCGCCGCCGACACTCGTAGGTGAAAGTCGTTAACTCGAGAATAATATTAATGGTAATAATAATAACGCTCTCGGGGCCGATTTAGAGTGCAAAGTGTTGTGTGACCGAAATCATCGTCACGCTTTGAAAACTGTGACACTTGATCAATTGAGGATAAATTCCTAAAAGTTTATTTAATAAATACAAAAGCACATTAAATTTAAAATAATGTGATGAATTTAAAACGGTTTTAAAAAAAATTTATTTTTTTTATGTTAATTGGATTAATTAGATCTTGAATGTAAGTAAATGTAATTATCATTTATTTCTGCAGCTTGGTCAGGCGATACGAGCACGCAGTGGGGAAGCCGTTTAGAAAATAATCCCGAAAAGCCATCACTGACCTATATTCGCGAATTCGCACGCGAATCGGCAGCCGAAAAGGATGTGGCGAGTGTCGAACGAGCGATCCTCGGCCGTTGGTCCGAGGCTGGTGTTGCTCGGCGGGCTGCATTTTTGCCACCACCATCGCCATTGCGTCCGAGGCGCCAGGCGCCTCTACCCACACAGCCATTACCGTCGTCGTCATTGCCATTTGTTTACAAACCGAGTGGCGCCGCCGCGGCGCCGACGCCACGAACGCCCCCGTTGACCTGCCGATGAGGGATTTTGGGGTGCGTGAAGGGCGGGGCCGGGGTCAGTCGGGGCCCCCGAGTGGGCCCGGCCGAGAAATGTGTGCCGCCGGTAGGGGAGGCGCGCGAGAAGCCAGAGATTAGAGACGCCAGGCGCCAACAACAAAATCGTCCCGCACGCCGCGCATCAAGTGTCCGGGGCCCGGTTGAGGCCTTGGTTGGGGTCTTGGAGACCCCATGGGGCCTTTGAGAGTGCAACCGGCGCCCGTGGGCTCGGAAAAGGGACTCACCTGGGGCGGCGAAATCAGGCCACGCCGTCGGGCTGCGACGCTCCTTGAGAAAGCGCAGCTCGGGCCGACGCACTTCTTCTCTCTCACTAGGCCGACGCGAAGTGTTGCCGAATAGTCGGCTTTGTCGGCACTGTATTTACGTTCGCGACGCACGCACTGCAGCAACTCGGTGCGGACCAACTGCTTCCCAAGCTCCAACTTGTCGTGCGGCGTTCGTACGCGAGACGACGACGACGATTTCCTTTTCGCAGGTTCCGAGAAAGCAGGCAGCAAGCGGCGGCGGCGCTCACGAGGGGCAGGCAGGCCGATCGGCGGTATCTCCCCCACTTATGATCAAAATGGCTGCCCACTGCGTCTCGCCGGCATCACGAGAAACTCGGCAATCGCGAGATTTGGCGAGATTGCGCCCGCACGCCCTCGTTCACGCACTCATCTTCAATGCCGCCCGCTGGACCAAAACGACGACACGATGGGTGACCACGTGATGCGCAAACGCCGGCCGCTCATTGGTAGAAACGCGAGTGGTGCAAAGGACAGTGGTCAAGCGGCACTCTCTCATTGGCTGGCTTGTTCTACCACCAGAATTTTTAAAACGATGCTTTTTTCCGGTGTACTTTTGCACATTTACCGGTTATGTCTAGTCAAATTCATAATAATTGAAATCTCATAATTAATTGCATTTTAAAAAATAGCAGCATAAATAAAGGCCAAAAATTATGTTTATAATTTTCATTCTCCACTTAATCTTTCTCAACAACAAAATTCGTATTTTTCCAAGTCACTGTAAATTTGTTCTGTAACAAACCGGTTTGAATAGATTCTCAACTGATTAATTTGTTTTTATTTTGACACCAGCTGATTATGTACCACTGAGTCGTTCTACTTGCAACTTTTCGTGTCGTACTTTATACTTAGCTCATTTGCTTTAAATTTTGATGACACGCACGAATTACTAAAGCTTTCGCTTACGAGCGAACTTCTATGGCTGGAATTTGTAGGTGATTGCGACTCTTTTATACACGTATGTCAATTTCCAAGGCTTTTATGGGTTGCAAATTTTGTGAGACGCAAAATAATTATTTTCGTTTGGCGTTGTTCAATTTCTTGGCTTAATTGAGATTTTGTAATCATTAGCTTTTCTTAAGTTTTTATAATATTAATATCATTCCTTACAAAGTCAATCCAAATCTTAACTCTTGAAACAGGTGAAATAATCTAAAATTTGATAATTGCTTTACAGATCTGAATAGAAGGAAAAAGAAAATGGCAGACATCAAATCTTTGGAGCACCCGACACTCAAGGTATGGAAATTAAATTTAAATTTTTGTTTCAAACAGGTGTCATTGTAAAGTTCTGCTTTTGTTAGGTGCCTTACGAGATACTGAATAAAAAATTCAGAGCTGCGCAAAAGCAGTTGGACCGAGAAGTGTCCCATGTGCAAGTTGCGACCAGTGAACTTGAAAAGGGTCTCAAATCAGAGAATGTTGATCCTCAGGAAATAAGCAGGATCCTGGGCGGAATGGTCGAGAGACTGCAAGTGCTGAAGCGGAAGGTAAAATTTTATATACTTATTTCATTTTATCCAAATAATAAACGTCTGAAAATATTTAAGTTCTATTATAATATCTTCATGAAAATGATGTGTATACATTTTACATGGTTTTATTAACAAATATAAATATTGAATTTTTATTTTTAAGGCTAAGGAGAGCATTACTGAAGAGTTGGATGCTGCTCATGTTTGCAAGAAGAGACTGGAGCACTTGAAAGAGTATGCCTCGCCACACTCGAACACAATGAACTTGTGGCGGAGGCGCCGGCTGGACAGGATGTTGGTCGAGTACTTCCTTCGTCGAGGCTACTACGGAGCGGCCCTGAAGTTGGCCAACGAATCTGAGTTGCAGGAATTGACAAACCTGGAGGTTTTTCTTGTTTCAAGAGAAGTGGAGCAGAGTCTCGCCGAGCACCAGACGGCAAAGTGCCTTGCTTGGTGCCACGACAACAAAAGCAAACTGAGGAAGCTCAAGAGCTCCATGGAGTTCAACATCCGCATCCAGGAGTTTGTTGAACTCATCAGGTCTAACAACAGGATGGATGCTGTCAAGTAATAAGATTATAATAGAAAAAAACCTTTCTACAATTCTAATTTTAAATGTAAATAGACATGCGAGGAAATACCTCTCGCCCTACGAAGATGACCAGCTGGCCAGTTTCAAGCGCTGCATGGCTCTCTTCATTCTTCCCGGTGACACGCAGCTCTCTCCGTACAAAGAGTTACTGGATGAAAATCGCTGGACTACCCTCATCGAGCAGTTCCGTCATGAGAACTACCGCTTGTTCCAGCTCTCCACTCAGTCCGTTTTCACTGTAGCACTCCAAGCTGGACTTTCAGCACTCAAAACTCCATATCCTTTTCAAGCAAACTTGATTTATTTAAAAAGATTAAATTTTTTAATATTCATTCATTTTCCTTAATTCCTTTGTACGCATTGCTATGCTTCTAATGAAGATAGGAACCCCAGCTGCCCGGTGTGCAATGAGTGTCTGAACGAGCTGGCCCTGCCTCTGCCATTTGCCCATTGCTCGCAGTCTCGGCTGGTGTGTTTCATCTCCGGACTTCCTCTGAACGAGCACAACCAGCCCATGATGCTACCCAATGGATTCATCTACGGAGAAGTGGTACGGCATTTTGGAGAAAATTAATTTCGATTCTATAGGTCTTATTATTTTATTCAGGCTCTTCGGCAACTTGCTTCGGATAACAATGGTCAGATCATCTGCCCGCGGACGAAGGACGTGTTTCCCTTGAAACAGGTTGAAAAAGTGTTCGTCATGTAAAAAGAAAGTGTGATACCATTACGGTTAGCTATTAGTCTCTTCTTAAACTCCCTTATTGTAATTATTATTAAAGGACTGCTATTTTATGGAAAATATAAGAGTGATTGATCCTATAAAGTGTCATAAAAAAAAGTAAATTATATAAATTGTATTATTTCAGTCCGCAGATACCTTAATATTTTAATGCTTTTGTCCCTAATGTGGAAATATCAAATTTAAAGATTTGTTTTTTGGCGCTTGCCACAAGCGAAATGTATTAATAGCTAATGTCATGTGATGACTGCGCCATACTGTGCTAGGAAACAGGAAGGGCTCGACCAAGGAAGGATATTATGTTTTTTGATAAGGACTCGATAGTGCGCTTTAGTAGAATTTTCAAAAGATTTTAAGTTATTGTGTTAAAAATTTTGCTAAAATTTATGAAGATGAGGACCTGGACGTCAGTCTTTAGTAAGTTAGCTTAAATCAAAAGAATAATTATTCATTTTATCGCTCTCTGCAGTTTTAACTATGTCAGCACTTAATGTTCATGGGTGCAAAGTCAAGTCAATAGAACTAAACAGATGTTTGCACGTATTTTTGGAAAGAGATTTTCTCTCCATGGAAATGATTGTGTTTCCTAAATTTTCTCCTCATAACGATGTAAACAGATGGTAATTAAAATGATTTTTCAAATTAAGTTATTGAAATATTTTGAAGCAAAATAATTATATATTTTTAAAGCAAAGCTCCATACAAAGACCGAGTGACGTTGGAAGGACCAAGCTTGGAAGATAATTGCAAGTAGGCTTAACATAATATAATTACAAACATAAAAAAAGACTATACAAATTTTATGTTTTACAATCACCAGAAAAATTCGGCAAGTTTTAGATTGCTTTACAGACGTCCTTAAGAGCTGCGAGTATTTGGAAGACTTCTTTCAGTACCGTCAACTTATTGAAAGCCTTGAAAAGGTTTATGATTGGGTTTGTGGAGATGTGACTAAGCTGCGTGAGAGACTAGGAGGTATTTAATTAAAAAAAAAAAAAAATGTGTAACAAAAAAATAATTCAAAATAATATAGACTTGGAGAAACACTACGAATGCATTGAATCGTTGATAAGCAAAAATTGTGAGGTTGAAAATGTTGGCAAAAATATTTGGAACAAAATATTACGACTTGAAGAGGACAAATCTGTTTGCAGGTTTGCATAATATTTAAAAATATAAAAGTATGATAATATTTTTAATAAATTTATCTTTTTAGTAAACTTCAACAGCAGCAAAATTGTGCATTACAAAATAAGGTGCTAGTACGACACTCTCCTGACGCTCATAATTTATACAACAATATGACTAGCATTTTTCTGGATAGCTGGTGTTCTTCTGCTCCCATTTTTACTTACTCAAATACATTTATAGGCGTATTTGTACTAACTCTTTATTTTCTTTTCTTCAATTAATTTGTGAAAAGTTAATTTTAACCCGGCTAAAATTGTTTTCAAATTTTAAATTTCTGAATAATTTATTTACTTATGGTGTGGATGAAATGATTATTAAATAAATCTTAAAAAAAACACGTTTTTTTTATAATTCCTACTTTTTAAACTAGAATCTATAGGATATCCGTCATAGTATATTAAAGTTTAAATTTGCGTAACATAATATTATTTTTATATTTTTACAGTAACCAAAAATCTCATTTGATAATAACGGTCATAAGAACACGGTATAAAAAATATGTATTTATTATACTTTTTGTCGAGTGTTCCTATACACTCGACTTGCATGTCTAGGGCATGCATGCAAAGAGCAAGAAGTGCAGCTCAAGGGTTCCAGGGGAAACGGAAGAGGGGCATGCTGGGGTACTACGGAGTTTCCATGCATATTGCAAATATAGTCTATCTGGGCCCTGGGGAGGTCACGTGTCCAAATCGGAGTGATTCAGGCTCGAGTAAAAACTTCTTGTTTGTGCCTGGACAAGCAGAGGACCCAGGTCTAGATGGGAGATGTGGCGATCTGGAAGTTGCGCGCGTGCTGCGCACAACCACACCACGCACAACTCTACTCTCCAAGTCTCTACCAGGTTGGTGTAAGTTAGGTGCACTCCGCTCCGAGGCTCCGATCTTTGAACACTTGACAGCACCAGGCGGTCCAGTCGCACGAACTAGAGCAGGTGTGGTTGCTCGTGTTGCTCTACTCTGTGTGTTGCTCTCTTCTTATATTGGAAAATCGGAATTCAAAAATGAGCCAAACAACCAGAACCCTAAGAAAGGCAAGCCGCCGGCAGGCGATCAGCACTTCTTCCGATCAACCTGGCGCGTTTTCTGGACCGTTTTAGTAAGTAGTATCCAAATTTAATTAAAATAAATGTACAATTTTTTCTTTATCTTCTCCCACAAATGCGCGAGCGTGTGCGCTAATATGGAAATAAAAAATAATCCGAATTTGCCAAATTGCGATGGAGTAATAAATATTAGCGCGCGCGTCATTCACGAGGAATTCCATTCCCGATATTTTAAAAATGACCGGTCCACTGCATGATAATTTTTGTGAACCGCTATTATTATAGTTTCAGTAGAATAATTAGAATAACACGGTAAAATAAATTATTATTACAAAATTATGTAAAAATATAAATCAAATTATTGCATCTAAAAAAGCGCATTGGCTTGTTAAAAATTTAATAGAAATTTCAACTGCTTTTGCAGCTACCGTGAATTTATATTATCAAGGTTAGGAGAATTTGAACTTTGATCATATGCAATTATAGATGATGCCTTAAAGGCGCATTTCTCTGGGTGGGAATTCCTTGACTAGTGCGGCTGGAGATTTTTCTACCGCGGCGCGGGACAATTTCTTTTATTTCACATTCCTCATCGTTTGGGGTCGAAGTGCACTTTACGCAGGCTTTTCGCTTGTACTCGCGAGCAAAGCCGGAATCGCTGCCCGCTGAGGCAAGCTAATGCGTGTCCATGTGCACTCGCGATTAAGCCATTAAGAATTTGAAGACTGTCCGGCATTAATTTTGGTTGCCTCAGCGTTGTGGCGCGAATTCCTTCTTAATAGGAATTCGTCCTCTGCGTTTCTGTCAGAGGTCATGATTCAAATGCACGATTTTTCAGAAATGTGATAGTCTCCGAAATTGTCCGCAATTTTGGTTTTGAACTATTAATTGTCGAGTTTGCCAACGGAGTTTTCATACATGTATGATATGAGTCCTTTCGGCCTTTACGAATATACAAAAATTGCACCTCGTGTATGAATGTATTAAATAAAAGGGAATTTTTTTTTACCATTAAATTTTGAAAACCAAATAAATCAAAATGGTTCTTCAGGCCTGTTCAATTAAACTAATTAAACGAACCATTCAAAGCGACCTACTGCAAATTGGAGACGGAAATTTACATTTTCCCCCCGCTTCTTGTTGATTTTTGTCAAAATCAAGCTGGCAGCCTTTGTTAGCGTTTCCAGCCAAGAGCAAACAGTGACCGGCCGGCAAAAACAATAAGCGCGAGTTGAGCGCGAGTGTGTGTAAATCGTCGACTATGTGCAGGGCAGGCAAACCAGCAGCGCACAAAAGCACAGCAAGCAAACATACTTTTAACAATTCGATTTGTACTTATTGACATAGCGTAAATTATATTTCTAACAGACTTGTCTCAGATGCGGGTTCTATATCATAATACTATATATAATCTCTGCAGCATTTTACCAAATTGAAAAAAAGGGGTCGGACGAAAATCTCTCAAGATTTTTGGCACTGAAATGTGGAAAAATGAATTACTTCTGCGGCCTCACGATTCGCACCACACTTGTTCATTATGCGCGTCAAATAATATTTTTGTTTAGAAACATTTTAACCTTCGTCAAATAAATACATAATTGTTTCTTCCTTTGCACGCCATCAGACCAAAACTCTCTGTAAATGCAAAAAGTTACCTTTGAAAACATAATATATGTCCCGCACAGACATCCTCAGGACGTCATTTTTTTTGCAGGGGATCTAATACCTTTTATTATTTATATATTAATGAGAAAATTATTAAAGATAAAAAAAAATGTAATGCAATGATTGTCCAAATTCTAATCTATTTCCAAATGCGTATTTGCTAAAATATTATTTTACTTTGATTTCAGCCAGTGCCAATTTTGCCAAATTCTGTTGGAGGCGGCCAGCCTCTACAAACACGAGAGGCGGTGCGGAGCTGCGTTTTTCAAGTAATAATTGTTCACTAAATGAGAAAATTATTATTCTTATATTTGTTTCTTTTTTTCGTAACCAGATCAGAGCAAAACGCCGAGGGCAAGGAAACGTCTCTTGCAGACATACCACCCAAGGAACTGCAAAAGCGATTCGCCGACTTTTTGGTATTATAATTTTTTTTCTTTTTTTTTAATTAACTATATAATGAATCATGAACAGGCGGCTGAGAAGGTGCAACTGCACGATCAAAATTCATCTAGCTCATCCTCAGAAGAGGCCGATGATTACGTATCTGTCAAAGAAGCAAGAAAAGTCGCACCAGCTCAAACAAAACCTGCAGACGGAGTCCACAAATACATATCTAAGAAGGTATAAAATATTCGGTTATTTACAATTTACCAAATTTAACCATCTGAATGTACGCATAGCTCAGCGAGGTGAGACTGGATGAAGAAGAGCAGCTGTGCGCCAAACGCATGTGGGAAGTGGTCATCTTCGAGAAACATGAGGCTGCCAAGGGCACGATAGCCGACCTTATCCAGAAAGGCTGCAGCCAAAAAACCCTTTCCTCAGCAGAGACGATGGAATTTATCGAGTCAATGATCAAATTCTCAAAGACATGCCCCACAGAAAGTAATAAAATCAACTCTCATGCCAACCATATTTTTTTTTAATAATATTTATTTTATTATTTCAGTGGTCAGCAGCATTTTGGAAAAAGTCAACAAGTGCAGGAGCTGCAGCAACGCGGACTGCGTGTTGATGAAGGCGAACTGCGGCCACTACTTTATCTGTACTGGCTGCATTGGAAAGGCAGAAGCGCCTCTCATCTGCCTGGAGGAGGAGTGTCCGCAGCCAGATTCTTCATTTCAAATAGTGTTTGTGAGAACTGATCTGTGTCATAATGAACAAAAATTGTCACTTCTTCCTCGTGTGCTGCAGCGAGATGACGACGCCGAGTACACGAAAACCTGTAAATGTATAGTTTCATAGAGCTTTTATCATGCAGAAAATTAGCTAATTTTTTATAACGGAATATTTGTGCGCCTGTCGTTTTAGTTATTTTGCAAGTAAAAACATGATCTTATACCTCGACTTTTTTCCTTATTTGTGCATTATTTGAGATGTCTTTGTGAAACCGTTTAATATGTTATTGGGATAATTAATTTATGAGTGGAACCAAATTGATTGTAAAATAAAAGTATCACACAACTTGAACTTTCATTCTTTTAATTCTCAATTAACTTTCTTCACAATACACACTAAATTTATTTTTTCATGTGTGGCTGACTTGCCCGGCTGGCCCTATATATACGGGACTTTCTCATAAAATATTGAGAAACTATATTAAAAAAAAAAAACATTTTTAGCACGATATATATTCTTGAAAATTTTAACTTCTTTTGCAATTTTTTTTTTATCCTAGGCAAAAATATTTGAATTTCAGATTTTTTCGAAGTTAATTTTTGAAAAAAATCGAAAATTTTTTGCTGAGGATAGCGATTATTGTTTCATGTTTGTTTGCTGGGGTTATCAAAAGGCAAATTAGTCATACTAATTCTAGCGAGGGAACCCGCCGTTTCGACGGGGTCAGCGCGAAACGGGTGGTAGGCAATTATAGAGGGCTCCTTCTTGATTATAGGTTGGAGGGATTCTAGTTATTTTTTTTAATTTTAGCTACTAAGCATTTTCTGTACTGTTGGTAGCACTGGTGATGATGTCTGCTGTGCTGATTGTGCTACCCTAATCCCTTTCACGACCGGCTGGCAGCTGGCTAAAATTTTCGTTTTTGTGTCAAAACAAAGTTTTCCAAAACTCATACACCGGCTGAAGTTTTTCTACCTGGTCCTGCTCGGTGATGAATATGACTTCCAAAACAAGTTTCTCGTGCATCATATTGCTGTTGTGCTCAACATTGTGCTCGTCTTCTTCAAAAGAGAACGAAATGACAGTCAGCATTGACCCCGGCGTCGAGGAATGCTTCTTCCAGAATCTCAAATTCGGGACACACGTCGACGTAGAGTACCAAGTCATCGACGGCGGCCAGGGTGAATTGGACATCAACTTCAATATGTGGTCACCGTCCAGTCATTTGGTCGTCTCGGACTATAAAAAGTCTGAAAATAGTCACAGGTTTGATAGCAATTCTTCAACCCGGAAAAATTTCAATTAAATTAATACATTTAAATTCCGTTTAGGTTTCCTATTCAAGAGGATGGTGACTACAAATTCTGCTGGGACAACTCATTCAGCAGCTACAACAGCAAAACTGTCTTCTTTGAAATTCTGGTTGAAACTGAAGGAGAAGGCGACGATTGGAATTGGGACGAAGACATTGGGCTGACGGCTGAGGACGTGTACGAAATCAAGGTCCAGGATATCCAGGTATTTTCTTATTAATAATTTTATATTATGTTTCTAAACCCTCTCTTCTTAGGAAGCGATTAGTCGCGTCCATTTGCAGCTGACCAAAGTTCGTCATGTGCAGGATCAAATTCGAGCTCACGAAGCGAGAGATCGAAATATTGCTGAGGGCAATTTCACCAGGGTAAACTCTTGGTCCATGATCCAGATTTGCCTCATGATCGCCGTTGGGGTAGTGCAAGTAAAAAATAAAATTTTTTATTTAGAGATTTCTTTATTTCTTTGAAATCTTTCAGGTAATCATGGTACGAAGCTTATTCGACGATTCGTCAAAAGTCAACAAATTGTGGAAAAAGGCCAACCTCGGTGCAGGGGTTTCGAGCTACATGCCCTTCAATTAAGATATATTTGTGTTCTCATCTGTCTTTCAACATTTGGATTGTTTTAACATTTTGTGTGCCACCAAGTTATTTATAATATAACAGTTTCTTGCGAATCACTAGTTTGAAGTTCCTGACGCCCGTCGTTATAATTAACGTCAACCTTGCCAAGTTTTTTGTGTTTATTTTTAAGTGCATCTTTCTTTACCAGTGTGTATAATTTTCTACAAGTTCAGCACAAATTAATGTAACTAGTCTTTGTTGAGGAAAACCAGCCAGTTTGTATGTTGTACTGCCAAAATAGAGATTTGTGAGTAAATATTATTTCACTCATTTTTTAGAAAGGCTGATGTTGATACAAAAAGAAAGAGATCACAATAATCTGTACCAAAAATCAACACGGATGCCCTCAAGTTGAAGGCTTAATATAAGTGTCATGTGATAATGCAAAAGTTGAAAACAAGTTGTAATTTTTCAATGTAGCTCGTGTAACTTTTTACAGCGATAATATGAAGCTCAAAATTTGCAATAAAAGAGCAAAATTGAATAATTTCAGACAAAATTTTCAACGACCGTTTCATTTTCCTAGCATTATTATTTTAAATCATTCTTCATTCCTGATCATTTTAAATTAAATTAAAATAAAATGACCTATTTTAATGAGCTGGAAATTAACATGGGAGTTGAGTGAACCTCAAATGCAAAAAGGGCTATAGTTTGGAGTGTATAGTAAGGAGACAAAAACATGATGCATTTTATCACGTTTAAAATTATGATAATTGCACTTTCTAAAATAGAGATAAACAAAGTAAGTTTTTCTATCAACAGTCTTAGAAAAAAGGACAAAAATCCAAAACACCAGATTATTGGTATCTAAATTCGTAGGTTCTGCGAGCTCCTCTCTGTACACTCTACTTGCTAACTTCAGCTGCTGAACGAAAACAAAACATTTGTCAGTCAAACATTGCTCTCGTTTAATACAAAATCGAAGTGCTTTAAACCCTCAAGAAAGGAATTATTTTTACTCTCAATAGTCGCAAACTCGAGTTTCGTAAAATAATCGACGCATAAATTCCCCAGAAGGCAACACTCGAGATTTTCTTGTCGCAGTTTCTCATTCTCTGTGATCACTTTTTGCTAGACTTTTTATTTTTCTTTGGTGTCTCATTTGCTTGAGTTTTAATTCACCTGCACGTTCGTCGTTTTCCTGCAATATAAATCGGAAAATATGGAGACAATATTTTTTGAAAAGGTTGAGAAAATTTTGTTCTTTTACAAAAAAATTAAATTCCTTCAAAAATTTCAGCAAGAGGGATCATTGTGTGCACAGCACTGCCTGAATGCGCTTCTTCAAGGTCCATACTTCACCGCCGTTGACCTCGCCACCCTGGCCAACAACCTCGATGAAGCTGAGAGACAACGAATGGCCGAGAGTGGTGTCGACTCTGACGAATATCGTCACTTCATAGAAGTACGACCTTGTTATTTTTTCCAACGATTCATTTTTAATTAATGAAACATTATTTATTTTATAGCAACCGTCAGGAAACATGGATGACAGTGGTTTCTTTTCTGTGCAAGTTTTGAGCCAAGCGCTGCAGGTTTGGTCGCTCGACCTCATCCCCTACAACAGCCAGCAACCTGAGGCTCTTCTCGCCCAAGGTGCTCCCCAGTAAGATATTATTTATTAAATTAATTATACTAAATGAACAGTACTAATCCTTAACTATTTCAGAACAATGCAAGCTTACGTGTGCAATTACCGCGAGCACTGGTTTACATTGAGAAAAATAGGCCATCAATGGTTCAACCTGAATTCAGTTCAGTCTCATCCGTCACACATAACAGAAACTTACTTGTCCCTTTACCTGAAGCAACTTCAACAGGAAGGTACTGGAAATTATATTTTAGGAAAAATAAATTTTTATTGTGAGGCGAATTAGGCTATTCCATCTTTATTGTGCGAGGAACACTTCCCGAGTGCGTTGCCGATGAAGCTCTTCTGTTGAATCCGTATGTGCCAAGTAGCAGCTCTACTAACGCGCCGAGGCGAGTTCGCAGCCAAAGTGAGGAAGAGGACGAAGAACTGAAGCGAGTCTTGCAGATGAGCCTTGAAGAGACTGACATCCCCCTAGTGGTAAGTATGATGGACAAAAATTAATTAAAAATATTCTATTTTTGAGATTTAAAAAAGAGTTTTTTACAATTGATTTTGAATTTTTTCTTTTGTTATTTGAAGGTTGAAGGAGTTCCAGTCCAAAAGAGCAGCAGTGGAGACAGTGACCTTCAGCGTGCCTTGGCACTGAGCCTGGGCGCAGACAAGACTGAGCCCTCCCCTGATGCAGGTTGGCGCCATCCTAATCCTATAATCCCTGCATTTTTTTCTTACTGACAATATTTTGCTCAGCAGGTGCCCAACAACAACAACAGCAGCAGCCTCTGGACCCTGAGGAGGTGAGACGGAAACGATTGGCTTATCTGGACAAACAGAAGCCAGAGTAAACAAGGAGCTGAGCAGTGCTGCATTATTGTGATGAGTGCTTCCCTATTTCTTTGCTTCTAAATCGGTTTCTAATCTTTCGAAAAAGTGGCGAAAACATTATCAAAAGAAAAATTGGAGATTGCATGTAATACCGCCTTGCAGAAGTTGTAGTTTTTCACTGACTAATTAATTTATATTCTCTGTTACTCATGCAAGTTAGAAAAATCCGATACTGTTGATGTTTGTTAAATAAGGAATTAAAAGATAAAACGTATATATTTACAAGTTGTATTTTGACCTTTCTGAAAAACATCGTAAATCATTCGGCGGAGTTAATTAATTAATTTGCCACAAGAGGTGTGTTGATCGAAAAATCCGTCGACGGACGGCAAACAAGCAATTTGGCGGAATCCTTGAAAACTGCACACGCCGTATTTGAATTTTGATGTACGGCTTCAAGGTTACGGACGGCGGTTAGTTAGGAATTCCTGCTGTCGGCAGCGGGCGCACAATGGAAGGAAGGTGCTGCTGGCTGTGTTGACAAGGAGCAAATTTGTTGATTGCGCCACTCGCTAACCAATTTGCTCCCATGCCAAAAAATAAAAGTCCGCGCCTAGCTTTGGCATCCATTCACAGCTTCGGTCCACCGAGAAGAAGTGAAGAAGCAGTGAAGTGGGTGCTCCTCGCGTTTTCCGCCGCGCGTATCTCCTCTCCCTGCATACGTAAGTAGTCAAGTGCCTTCTCCTCAGAGGAACGTATATGTTTAAGAAAAGTCAAAAGTGCTCGAGTCAAACTTGAAAATGCGGTGCACAGATGCTTTGCCGAGACCTTTTTCAAGTCCAATAAAAGCCGGTGCGGTGTTTTAATTAAATCTAGAATATCTAAATTTAACCTAATGTTAAAAGTTCAGTAGAAAATTTCAAAAAATTATTTCCAATTTAATAAAATATTAAAATGCTAAAGTGAACAGATTTTTAGTTAAAAAAAAAAAATCAAGATAAAAATATAAACAAAAATTAAGGAAAATAATTCATGGTTAAGATTTTATTCTTAGTGATTATATCTCAAATAGAGTTTTTTTTCAATTGAGAAATCCAATTTAGGATAAATTAATCACTTTTTTTTCAATTAAATTTATTTTTTACAATACTGAAATGCTCTGAGTGAATTTATCTTTTTTAATTTTACCATTTTAGTTTTTGGTCCATTAATTTAAACAAATAACCAAAATTACCTATCCTGAGAACTCTTAGTTTAAAACTAATAATTTAATTCCATTAAAGGCATCAGGTATAATGAATAAGCTAAATTAATTTAATTTTGAGAAATGCAGAAAAAAATTATAATTTTAAATTGTACACATTCAGAGTCTATTTTATTATAATAAATATTGGATGCATGAATTCCTGAAATTACTTTTCGATTCCTAAATTCGATAATGTAACAATGCAGTTGTTTAAATACGCCTTTGCCTTTTACGTGGGACCACTTTTTCCCCAGGGTAGACACGGCCAAAGGTGCATCGACCATACAGCTCATCGAGCAGGTGCGTGCCGGCGGCGCCGGGGGAGGGGAGCAGGCGCATTTGAAGGGGAAGGTCGAGGAGGACCAGTCCAGCTTCTTGAGAGTTCTTTCTTCTCTCTCAGTCGGTGGCTGCAGCGCTTGTTCGTGCAGTCGAGTTGTGGAGTGACTTTGCGAGCAACTCAACTCTCTGTCCATGGTCGCGGCAGAGTGAGTTTGACACGGACACACGAGTTCTTCTTCAGCACCGGACACCGCACCTGAGCTATGGCTCGCAGTTCGCCCTCGCCGGCCACGCTCCTGGCGGCCTTTGCCCTGATGCTGCTGGCGGTGGTGGTGCAGGCGCAGCCACCCTCCTCCATGAGACCTACCCCTGAACTCATCGGTGACAGGGACACTCCAAGGGTGAGCAATTAACATAAATTAATTATAACAAAAAAATGTGATTTTTTTTTAGACTAGTGTTAAAATTCGTTATAAAGCGCTCAAGATTATTTTTATCGCGGTAAATTTTTATTCGAATTTCCGCTCCCATAGGAAATTGAAAGGTTTTTCAAGCGTGGAAGATGCTGCAGCGCGGCTCGCGTTTGCGGTTTTCATCGCCGCAGGAAGCGTCGTTGAGAGCATGCATTAAACTCTCAACATCACTCTTGTATGTACTTGTTTGTTGGCAATCGTTCTTCTTTCTATCCGTCTCAAGTTGCTACATGAACGAGCAATAAACAATAATCCCCACCGTGTATCCAATACAAATGATCGCCGAGTTAATGTGTCACTTAATCAAAATCAACCAGAGAAATTGCGCTTCCACTTTTTAAAAAAAAATCCAGGTGAATATAATTTTTTTATACCTGGGCGCTCATTCTTTTTCTTCGGAGTGATCAATTTTTTGCTGATAAATTGGCTCTGCCTTTGTCGGCGGCGAGAAAAAACGGAAGAGTCGTAAATTTTATGAGAGGATGAGGCCATAAAAGGCGCCGCCGATTAATTCTCGGCAAGCACTTTGCACAAAAGTTGTTGTCAGTTAAATGAGCTACTGGAATTGAACGCCTGAAATAAGAGGGAAGGAATTCTTGGAGCGTGCGAATTTCATGCCAAGTGCCTCTGGACAATGAAAGAGAGCGACTGCCGCCGCGCACATCATATATAATACACACTTTGAAAATTCTCGCGGCGCCGGCTGTAAATAATCATGTCAAGTGCCAAGCGCTCACATTTTTATGCACATTTTTTCCATTCGCCTCGACTACCGCGAGAATTCGATATTATTAAAATAAAAAGTATATTATGCAAATTCACTCTCATTCAAAATACAAAGCAGAAACCTTGTTCTTCGAGTATTTAAATTTGTCAAAATTAGTTGGATTTTGCCCTGAAAACAAAAATGCAACTCCTAATTAATATAAACATTGTTCAAATAAGTGGTTTAAAAGTAATTTGAGATAAAAAAGGTTAATTCAGCTAAAATGTAGATTTAGATAAATTGAGACTTACACCGCTTTAAAATTTAAAATTATGGTGAATTCCAAATTTTTAATTAAAATCAAGTTTTCCAAGTTTCATTGAATTCTGGAATTAAACTTACAGAAATTAATGTTGCGATTCAACTTAAAAGTAACCAGTTGAAAATCTTCTATTCTGATTCATCAGTTAAATGCGGTTTAAATATGGTCATCGTAAATTTTTATAGGCCCCTTATTTTTAAATTATACTACCTTCTATACTTAAAAGATATTTTATTACCATTAGCCATTAACTAGGGGTTGCCGGAAATTCAATTAAGATTTTATCACCGCAGAGCCGCCCTGCGTGTTTGCGATGCCGCCTTAATGCTATCTGAACATCTTCCCTTCATATATAAGAAATGACAAAGAGAAAGAACGGCGTGTCGCATGTAATAGCGATGCAGGCGCGGCTATAAACGCTCAATTAGCCTCAAGACCCGGAGAGTAAATAATTTTCCGTGCGCGGCAGCAACAATGAAGGAAGAATAAATAATGCGGCGAGCGGGCTTTGCGGTTGACAATGCAGCACGCCAGTATAACCTTTGTCGTTCAGACAATGCATAAGGGATAATAAACTTCATTGTCAGTCAAAAACTGTAACACCCAATCTGCTGCACGAAGAGCTGCTGCAGGGTTTGATGTAGCCGCAATAAACAAAAAAATAAACGTCAGTATTTTTAATTTAAAAAAAAGAGGATAATTTTTCATAAAAAGTTCAAAATTAGTAAAAAAAAAGTAATGGTCTCTCATAAAAATTTTATTAATTAAACAAAAGTCTTCTCAATTCTCACATTTTAATTGTATTTTGCGCAGAAAGAGAGTATTTTTAATTACAATAATAAAATTATTATTAATAATATATTATTATTATTTATTTAGCAATTAGAAAGCAGAATCTTTGCTGGTGCGGTCCAGCCTTTTTGTTCAACAATTCAATTATTTTCCGATATAGGTTTTTGTGAATTAAAGTAGCTCATAAAAATCGATGATATTTGCTCAAACGAATTCTGGAATAAAAAATTCCCCAACAGCAGATATAAACTTTTTATTTTTTTAACAACGATGGCTGAAAAATGACAAAATTATTTCTATATTGTTCTGTCAGGAATTGAGTTCTTAAAAAAAAAAAAACAATCTAGTTTTTGCACCCCGAACTTTTGGTCTTTGAATTTTTCATCAACGTGCAAAATGCCATTTACGTGTGTGTCTTGAAATACGAAAGAAAAAACTTGCCTCAAAGAATGCAGCCCGAGAGAGCAAAGCACCGCGTCGCTTTATTTATTATTCCTTTTATTTCTTATCCCGAAGAGCTGAAAAGCGAGATTGATCGTCGCTTGCTGGAGTCGCATTTTCTCGATTCGAAAGTTTCTGTTAAAAATTAATGGAAAAAATATTCAAAGCTTCTTTTGCAATTTAAATCGTAAAAATTTTCAAAAGCGAGAGTTATTTTTTTCCAAACTGCGTTGCTGGGGCGCGTGCTGAATTTTCGGTCTGGACCGTTTATTGTTTCTAAGGGTCGCCGCCGGTCAGATTATAGTTTCTATTTAGACTGCTCTGCTTGCGTAGTCTGACAGCAAAACCCAACAAAGCTCGAGACTGCACATAAACTAATTGCAGTCATTCTTCATTCCCTTTCGTTTCATCTGTGCCGCGCCGAAAAATATATTAACAACGCCGAGAAGCTTCGCCAAAAACTATAAATTGTGCTAATTAATTTAATTAAAAATTCGTTTTCTATGTCGCTGTTAAAAAGTACCGAAAACAAACTTGATTAAATCAATATTTTATTGACTGGTATTAAAATTTAAATGAATAATTAATTAATTCATGCATCAATTTTGAATTTATATTTAGCATTTTTTTTAAACGGCGCATTCTATGTTTTAGTGATTTCAAAATTTTTGCAAATAAAACGAAACGAAAGATCCGATGGGCCGGCGACGCTCTTTTTCACGCGGCAACGCGCAGAGGCAGTGCGACGGCGAGCAGGCCGGTAATTTATAACCTGTTTGTTAAACAAACCATTAAAAGGGATACGTGTAACGAGGTGTAATTGCGACAATCTGCGCGCGCCCGGAAAATGCCGCCGCTGCCTCGCTCGCGGTTTATTTTACCAAAGGGTCGCGGCGACAACTTTTCGCAATCTTTTGACACACCCAACCAGACAATTTCAAAGGAAAATTATTATGCATAATATTATCCCATGCATCATCAAAAAGACATAAAAACAAACTTTATTATAGTAATGATCATAATAAAAAATGATTTTGAACAAATTAATTCCAATTAAATAAAACACTCCTCATTTTATGTTATTTAATTAGAGCACCATTTTTATTTAAAACTCTTTCTGGCAACGTTCACAATCAAAGTTTGAAGAAATTCACATTTGTTTCAATGAAACTTGGCAATTTTTTATGATGTAGCGAATTAATAGCATCAAATTTTTTCAGGGATCTGTATTTAAATATTAATTTAAACTTATTAGTAATTTAAAAAAAAATCCTGATTTTTCATTTATTTATTTAACAGTAACTTAGAAGAATACATTTTTTTTAAATTATCAATTCATTTTGCTCTCAACTCCAAAAATGCAAGAGTTATTTTATTGTCCAAGCTTGAAAATTTGTGACAAATCATGGCTGAATTACTGCTGAATTAAAATTATAAATTTGAGGAAAAAAACTGGAGCTAGGATAATTTAGGCAAGTTTTGCAACAAATTTTTATCTTCAGATATTTTAAAATTCAAAACGCACCCAATCTAAAAAATGTGAAATAACGATTTTTATGAAATTTTTTTTATATAAAATTACATAAAGTTAAGAGATGCAAATTGGAATAATATATTATATTACTTATAATTGATTTAATTTAGGGTAAATTCCGCTCTCCGCAAAGGTGAACGAACATTCAAATTGCAAAAAGCGACGAATGGAAGCGGCAGCTGGGCTAAAAATAATCGCGCACGTCTTTTTCTTTCTCGCGCTCTGTCTCGGTACATCTCTCGAGTGCGCGCGCGAGATGCTCCAAGTTCATCGCGTGCAAGATGAAACGTATAGAAATAAACACATCATATCTCAGTCAGGAGCGGCACTCGCTACACATTTCTCGCTTTCTGTGTTTTCCCTCAAATATATAAAATGAAAATCTGTGCCTCGCTCGCTGGTCCTTGAAATAAAAATGATGCTCGGCACACAAAGGACCACCTTGTTCACGATGCAGACGGCCCTCAAACAGGTGTGACCATTCCAGAGAGTTTGTTTTCTCCCCCACCGGGATATCTCTCTCATTTTTTGTCTACCTGTTCCCTATCTCGTCTTCGATACACGCAGGGCCTCGACCGATCGGTGAATAAATTCTCTCGGCCGTTTCTCTTTTATTTTGATCGAAAATAAGATTCATTTTAAAGTTCCTATTATATGGAATTATAGCCACGTGTTGCACTAGGTTAGAAATTTATTATACATAGGGAAAATAATTGAATTTTCTTCATTCAAAATTCTGTTGCTGCTTTGTTTGAAGATTTTAGTGTGTATTTAAATTTATGAGAATTGAAAGAATTAAAATTTTAAGGGAACTTTTTTGGAACTAATATGTACTTTTCAAAACTTTCTTTGTAAATGAAATTAGAATGAACGCGGGTCTCCCTGTTTAAATTGCAATCAATTTCAACCATCCAATTAAAAAAAGGTAAAAGATTCTTTTATCACAATATAATATACCGATTTCTAAATGAAGTGAGGTACAAAAGCAAATTTTTTAAAAATAAAGCCTAATTTGTTTAAAGTTTCAAATAAAATTAAAAAAAAAAAACAAGTGGGAATAAAAATTTTTCTATGAAAATTAAATCAAATAAGTTTTATTCTACATTCATTTTATTTTTTAAACGCTTAATACTTCCTTTGTTTAGATAATTATGATTCTTTACTATTCTTAGTATTTCAGCCTAAAAAAATCAGCATGTGGAATGACTGGATCGTGAGTCAATTGCCAATTCTGGGTATAGGTTTTGAGTGAATCATCGATGCAAAATGAACAGACAAACTATAGCAACTAGCAACAAAAAGCGTATTTCCTCTTTCTCACATGATGTGCAGCCATAAGTGAATCACTTGCCTCATTTGCATGCATGCAAGACATATTATGGAAATATTTTTCCTCCAACTGAACTTTTACGAAAATTATCCGGAGCAAAACGAAACTGATGAAACCGAATATCGCAAATGAGCCGCGATCTAGATTGTGAGAACGTTTTATGCTATTTTACGACTTGCTCTTATTCTCCGGCGAGCGCCGCCGAGCTGCAGGATAACATAACAATCTTTATACAAAACAGGGTGGTGTTTTTCGAGAGTCATTGGCGCCGGCATAAATTTCGCTCTGTACAGAGACGCCTGCCGCGACTTTATGCATAGTTTTCATTCCATAAATGGGCTTGCGGATCTCGGTTGGCGCCAAAGGACTGAGAATTTTGTGTTAGCTTAAACAGCCTTAAAAAGTATGGATTTGCAAATAAAGAGTTTAAAAATAATGGTTCGAGTGTTGAAGCGCTAATGCTAACAAAATAAATGAATGTATGGAAATGTTTGCAGTTGTGTAATATTTTCTGCAGCAAAATAATGTTCACATTTCACAATAAATTTGAATAAATTTATTTTTTGCCAAAGTGTAGTAAAATTTGGATCTTTATAATTTGTGTATGCAATTATTGCATTCACAAAAATTTAATAATAATATTTGTGTCTCACTGAACATATGAATGAGGCCTACGGAGTTTACTTTGTATTTTAATTTTACCAAAACGTTTCACAAGAATTGAATTTCAATTTAAAGATCAATCTGTCAAATAATTTCTGTATCGTTGATTTATAACGTTTAGATTCTTGGTTAAATTAATTATAATTTTAGTCCTGGCAGATTTGTAGCAAAAATTCTCGTAAATGGCATGCTTAATTAAAAAAAAAATGCAGTTTTTGAGATTAATTAAAGCCATCCTATGCTTTATAAATGGAATTGAATCATAAAAATGATATAGTAAACGTAGGAATAAAGTATATTTTTATTTTAAATCAGAACCAGATCTGAACCTTAAAAATCGTCCAAAAGATGAATAGTCTCAAATAAAGCGACTAGAATTAAATGAAAATTAGCAAAATGAATAAATTTCAGTTCTGTTATTCTTTTTCAAGAGTTTTTATTTTGATTTCTTTGTAAACCACCAACACAATATTATATCTTTAAATAAAAAGGCACAAATGTATTTGGTCTCGCGTCCAACTAATCCATCGTTGCATCCGTGTGTGTAAATTCGATGCCCAATTTTGGCCAAAAGCCATATCGCTCGCGGAGTCCATAAATCGGCAACTTAATGCTCTCGCGTCTGGAGCCGGAACGGAGAAAAGTGAAAAACACAAAGACAACAATGAAATAAAAAAGCGCCTCGTCAAGCGCGAATATATAAATTTATAAAGGCCGCGAGTATTTTTATTTTTTCCACTAACAACAGCACGACCGGAGCGCGTGCATATTTTATAATGTTCACTTACGAAAGCCGTGTGCGCCTAAAAGCCAGTTCAGGCGCCGTGGGCCACAGTGATCTCTCAAGAGAGAGAATGGCCAAGGTATTCTTCTCGCTGCCGTCGTGGAGAGAAAGAAGCCTGGTGATGTCATGCGCCAGCAATGCTATCACAAAACGTATTATTCCGCTCAAATTATCGGCGCGGGCCTGCCTGATTATTTTCTGCGTTTCGTCAGTCGTGACTCCCCAGGGCGAAATCTCTCGAGTCCAGAATAAACAGGCACGGCCGATTTCCACTCTCTCGAAGCTGCAGATCAATTTTCAGTTCATTTGCTGGAATTATCGCAAAAGTGGTTCATGGTAAAAAAGCAATTTATGAACACGGAAACGAATGTATTTATTTTGACAATGAAACCCTAAATATATAAGGAGCTGGATTTATTTAAACTAATTGGGCTGGTGAAAGATTATATATTTTAAGTCTTAAATTTAGTAAAAAAAAATAATAAGTCTTACGTTTAAATGCAAAATTTGATTTTTGAGGAACCATTTTTTTTTCGCAGATCAACAAATAGCAAGATGTGCAATGGTAAAGTCTTTTAGAATTAATTCTGACTTACTTTTTACAAAATTTTCGTTACATTCTTTGAATATAGGCGCCGTCACACATTAAAAGAACAAAAATAAATTTGAAATATTTATTCTCAATTTTATATAAAAAAAATATTCATAAAATGTTCTTTTTGGATTTCGTACAAACTTTATTTGAAAATTTGCATTTGATTCGCAGTGTCCTTCAAGCTGCAGTCCAAACAGGGCAGGCACGCCTCGGAAGCACGTATGCGGCACCGACGGCAAGACCTACCCTTCGGCGTGCCACCTGCGGCGCCACCAATGCCAAAACCCCGCCGTGAACCTCAGACTCAACTACAGGGGCAAGTGCAGACCCAACAAAGGCAGTGGAAACTCAGGTGTGTAAAATGTAAAACACCAATTAAAAAAGTAAAAAGGTGGATTAATTTTAAATAATTTAAATTTCTCAGACTAATTTGCAAACATTATTTTTTAAATTTATAAGTGCAGAGAATCTTTTTTGTCTCAAAAAAGCATCTTCAAGCAAAACTCTCTGTTTTTTATTTTGTTGAATTTCTTATGGTGCATGATCCACTAGCCGGTTTTTAAAGTTAATATGGAAGAAATAAAGAATAGAAAAAAAACATATTAGAATCACTTACAATAAATTATTCAAATTAAAATAGAGATAAGAAGTTTGAATATCAATACAAATATAAAATAAGATATTTTTCTTTCTGCCAAAATTGCAGGGAATTGTAATTTTCATTTCAGCTTTAAAATACAGAGAGCAGTAATTTTGTGTTGAAAGGAGTAGGGATTCAACCATAATTTTTTTCGCAGCACAGGTTTAGATTTTAAATAAATTGAGGAAAGAAAACAAGGAAAATGCATAATGTAATTCTTTTTATCTACATAATTTTAAAATTTTCAATTTCTTTTTACAATTTAGATAATTAAATATGCATCAAATTATATTTTTTTCTAATTCTATTCAAACAGGTCCATCGCACTCGAGCAACACCCCGTGTCAGGAGGCGCGAAAGTTTCACGCTTCCAAAGAGCCGGAAAACAAATTTTTGCCAAAATGCGACAAGGACGGCCACTATTTGCCGATGCAGTGCTTCAAAGTGTATTGCTGGTGCGTGGAGCCTCTGAGCGGCACACCGATCCACAACACCTACCTCGAAAACACAAAACCGGACTGCAGCAAAAGTTTGTGAATTATTTCAGATTTTCACCTTAATTTTTGCACATATTATTGACAATAAAATTTCACCTAAAATCATGTATTTTTGTAAAAATTATTCATTAATGAAATAATTTCACAGATATTCATACAAATTAAAAAAAAATCACTCATTTTTCATGATAAAAAAGTTATTTTTTCAAAATCTTATATGAATTCAGCCACAGCCAAAAAGAAGCAGAGCACCTCTGGCGAGCATCTGCAGGCGCCGAAACCGACGAGGCGCCCGAGGCCGTCGCGTCCTCCCTTCGGCGAAATCCAGCACAAGCCCAAACCAAAGAAAGGTTGGTTTACATAAATCAATATACTAAAAAGTCTCGGCGCAGTTTTTCCCCGAAGCGCAATAACAAACAGTCCTTCACCACGTGCGAGTCGCTCTGATTGTTTGTTGCTTTTTTGTGCACAGTGTGCGACGGCCTGGACAGACTCACTTTCAACAAGAACCTTCTCAACTCGCTCATAGTGGACATGAGACACCTGTCCATCGCCGCCAGAACAGGTTTGCTTTTTCGTATTTTTTCCTGATCACTTCATTATTGTCGAGCGAACAGACATGAAACCTTCTATTGCAATAATTTCAATTATTAATTTCATTATTTTTTACCGAATGAAAATGCGAAAAATGAAATTAAATAATGGTACAAAATTTGTTGATAATTTTTGCAACTTTAATTCACATTTATCACGAAGAATGAAATAGTTTTTAATTTTTATCAAATCAAAACCTAACTTGACAAATGCAAATTTGATCCTATATCCTATTTTATTTCTCTCTAATTGATTCAAATTGCTATTCTTGTCTGCAAATAGATGACTTTGGGGAAATCGTGATGGAGAAAACCAACGACCCCGAGACGCAGCGGCGCATTCTCGAACTCAAATTTAACCTGCTGGACGCGAACAAGGACGGCGAGTTGGAGAAAAAGGAGTACAGAAGTTTGAGGAAGTTCGCGCGCACCACCGTGACCCCTCGAAGGTGTTCGCGCTCCTTCATCCAAAGGTGCGACCGCAACAAGGACTCGAAGATCAGCAGGGACGAGTGGCTCAACTGCCTCGGGTTCAGTGAGTTGATTTCTTTGCTAGCTTTTCTCTTACTTTTCTCTTCTTTCAGCAAAAAAATTTTCTCTCTTTTCTCTCTCAATTATGCGAATGTGAAATTATGCAAGGGTGCTTGTTGGTCTCTTTAGATTCTCCTTTTATTCCGTTGCATCTGTTTAAAATGCTCAACTCATCATCTGGTGCGTTGCATCATGACACCGCTGATGAGGAGGGTGCATTGCAATCGTTACTACCACCACCTGCAACTCAAAGTATGCCCCGTGGCTTGCCTGCGCGCAAGGGTAAGCCACCCACGCGCTGCTGTCGCTGAAATTACACAAGAAAAAAGACAACGCACGGCTTTTCTTTATTTAAAACGAATTTCAAGTTGGTTTGTTTTGTGTGACTAATCTGAGAGTAAAATAGGAAAAAACCTTATTAACTTTTTTTTTTTAAATTTACATTATTAGACTTGTATTCTTTTAGCCTCTAAATAAGACACGTAAAAAAATTCATCTATTTGCTTCAATTCTTCTTGTGAAAGAATTAAATGTGAAAAAAAATTCTGGAAATGTAAAAAAATATTAAAAATATATTGCATGAAAATTTTCAAAAGTCTGCTTTTGTGAAAAAGTCGTTTTTGGTCCCACAAATAAATGCAAATTACAAAAAAATATCATTATTTCAGCTGTATTAAAAAAAAAATCAATTTAGGTTTGAATTTTTGTACTTTTAATTGTTTAATTCAAAACAAAATTTTGATTTGTTCCTAAACTTATCATCATCACTTGGAAAAATATAATATTTGAATTTTTAAATCAGATTGTCAATGTTAATTTACAGAAAACACACAAATTTTTAAACTTGTGGAACTGTTTAATTTTTCCTGATCAAAAACGAAACCTCTACTTGGCATCTCGGCGCCCAACATTTATATTCTTAATTTGGTGAGTTCGTTTAAAAGCAGCAGAGTGTCAAATGTGAAACACACTCAAAGATCTTCTATGCTCAGGGATTGAAACTCGATACGCACACACATATAAGCGGCTTGCGGGCGTATCCATTTATATTTCTGAATTGGGCGCGCGCTCGCGTTCGTTATTTACATCAAGTGGTTTTTATTCGCCGACTATTCGCATGGCGCCAAGTGGGTAATGGTCTGACGGCAGGCGCCGACGTTTATATTCGCACAGAGATGATACGACGGGGTCAAATGTCTGCTCAAATCCGACTAACTCTATAACCAAAGCACGCTCCACTCTATAATGTGTGCATTTACTTGCAATCGCTGCTTTCTCTGGCTCGTCTTTCGCTTCTCTCTCGACACATTGCTGCTGATGTTTCAACAATTAACCATTAGTTTTGCGTCGCATGATGCATCTTGTGAACTTTTATTTATAGAGTCAAGTGCATTCCTTTCCTCCACTTTTCTTTCAATACCTTATCTGTGCATGCTTTTTTTATTCGATGAGAACAAAAAAAATTCCTCTACTTGATCTGAGCACTTCATTTCAGAACACCCGGCTGACATCCCGCTTTCGGGGATAGACTTTGAAACCCCCGTGGGCAGCTCTGAGCAAGATTCGTCTGAAGGTTGTTGATTTTACCATTAAATTGTATTATATATTTTAAATTCTTTTCACTTGTTTCCAGGGAAAGGATGTTTGCTGGAGAGAAAGTCGGCTCAGGAGTTCGGAAGTGGAAATTTGTACGTACCTGTGTGCACTGACGACGGAAAATTTCAACGGTCACAATGTTATTCCAACACAGGTAAAAATAAGATTATCATAAAAGACAAAAAACAAAAAAAATTGGCTCAGATAAAAATTTTTACACTTAACGTTTCAAAATTAATTTTTTTTTTTAATTTTGGAAATTTCAATTAAAACATTTTATTTTTTTAGGTTACTGTTTCTGTGTGGATGAAGAAGATGGAAAGATGGAGGCTGGCTCGCTAGTGCTTAACAGCGAACCTCAATGTGACACTAGACAGCCCTCAACGTCAGGTGCGATTGCTCGATCCAGTGAAAAATGCACCGAGGACAAAAAGAAAAGATTCCTGCGGGAGTTCAAAGCACTCATGGGCGCCAAGGTTGATTTTTCCAGTTGGAGCAGGTTTGCATTTGAAATAAAACTTTAATAATTAATAATTTCTCTCATTAGCACTGATAGTAACGGAGATGAAACCAAATACGAAAAGGTCATCGCAGCTTCTTTCTTCCAGTCCTTGGACAAAAACAATGATAGGGTTTGTTAACCTCAATAAATTGTTGGCTGAATTAAAATAATAAAATTTCTAGGTTCTGGATAAGAGGGAGTGGAAGGAATTCCGGAAAATCGTAGACGAAAGGGTCTCCCTCAGGCAGTGCGGCAGGAAATTCCTTCGTACCTGTGATAGGAATGAGGACGGCAAAGTTTCTCATACCGAATGGGAGTCGTGCCTGACTGTCCGTAAAATGCCTCAAAGCATAGCCCCTTTTGGTAATTTACAATGAAAATTATTTAAAATTTTTGTATATTCCTTTTTAAATATTAGATGGTATCGCTGGAACGGCAAATTTGAATAGGACAGGACCAAATCCTCTGGAAACACTCCTGATTCAATGAGAAAGAAAGGAGATATAAACACTCGTTGACCTGATAAGTGCCTGCCTTGATTAACATTGCATTTTGTAACTTAAGATTTGACGCTGCAAAAGAGAGGGAGAAAAATGTCCGGGAGATATGAGAGAGAATTAACTGTTTTTTCAACAGTGAGATTTGTTCTATCAGTATAATACTGTATTTATATATTATTATATTTTTTAAGCAAACGAATGTTATTATTTTTTTTTTTTTGTAAATACTTCACGATTTTAGCTCTTATGTTAACACTTAATATTAATTGTGCTCATTTGACTCATTTTAACTTATTCATGACAAAATAATTATGGAAAAATTTCACTTTTGTGTTGAACATCTCACATTTTAGCAGAAAATCATCGATCCAGTATTATATTTTATCAATGCTGTTGCTTATTTCAAACTTATAAAGCTGCGTTAGTGTATATATAATGGAATTAATAAAAAAGAAACTGATTAAATCATAAATCATGTAGATAATGTGAAAGGAAAATTAATAATCGTAATGCAATGCTTGCAGCTGGGAATTACTGTGCAAGATTTATAATTTCAATAAGCCTGGAAAAATTCCAATAAATGTTTAATCACTCTTGAAAAAGGTGTAAAGATTTATTTAATTTCCCTACACCAATGATTTTGATTCAAAAATCCCTAAAATCCTTGCCTTAAGTACTGGGAATCTATCTTTTCGCGCCACTGGATGGCAAAAATTCCTATTGATTGGCGCAGCAGCCGGCAGGGTGCGTAGCGCCCTGTGCCACTTACGTAACCAGTGACGTCACTGGCAGAAAGGAGCGCGCTGATTGGTCGCCTGGGAAATTCGCGATCGAATAAAAAATCGTTCTTTTAGCTCTCTCAGCCGGCCGATTCGGACGTGTACGAAGATGTCTCTCGCAGATCCCGTGTCGTTCGCCAAGGACTTCATCGCCGGTGGCGTGTCCGCGGCCATCTCCAAGACGGCCGTGGCGCCCATCGAGCGAGTCAAGCTGCTCCTGCAGGTGCAACACGCGTCCAAGCAGATCGCCGTCGACCAACAGTACAAAGGTACGGCATACGGAAGGCGGCCATGTTGGATCCGTGCCCTCGTGGGTCGTGGCCCCTTTTCTGCCGCCGAATTCGGCCCGAAACTCCCACGCGGGATTCGCCGGTCACTGAAAATCTGATCTTTTTGAAATTTGAGACTGAATAGAAATGCCGCTGTCGAAAGTGGTTGTCAAACTTTCTTTTTGCGAACGGTTTTCCTGGATGACTTTTTCTGGGTCAACGTACTCAATTATTAAAATGTCATCTTGTATAATGAAGTATCAATTAATGAATTATCTATTTAATTCCAGATAATAAATTTTTTTTTCAAAATATTTTTGAATTTTTTTATTTGATTTTCCTCTATAATTTTTATTAATTTTTTTCTGTGTTTCAGGAATCATCGACTGCTTTGTTCGCATTCCGAAGGAACAGGGATTTGCCAGTTTCTGGCGTGGTAACCTTGCCAACGTGATCAGGTACTTCCCCACGCAGGCGCTCAACTTCGCCTTCAAGGACAAGTACAAGCAGGTTTTCCTCGGCGGTGTCGACAAGAAGACCCAGTTCTGGCGCTACTTCGCAGGAAACCTCGCCTCCGGCGGTGCCGCCGGTGCCACCTCCCTCTGCTTCGTCTACCCCCTCGACTTCGCACGTACCCGGTACTTTTCCCATTCAAGAATTTCTTGACATTTTCCTAATTTTCTAAAATGATTTTAGTTTGGCCGCTGACATCGGCAAGGGTGGAGCTCGCGAGTTCACAGGCCTAGGAAACTGTCTGAGCAAGGTGTTCAAGTCTGACGGCCTCGTCGGATTGTACCGTGGATTCGGTGTGTCCGTCCAGGGCATCATCATCTACAGAGCCGCCTACTTCGGCTTCTTCGACACCGCCAAGGGAATGTTGCCCGACCCCAAGAACACACCATTCCTCATCTCATGGGCCATCGCCCAGGTACAAATAATTTCTTATTATCAATATTCTCTTTATGATGTGTTGCACATGGCAATGCTTGTGACCTTAATTTCCTTATCTCCGACTGAGAGAGATTAATACTTAAGTGACGATTTCGCAATTAATTCCACACACGAGCCATGTGCTCGGCATTTTTTATTACAGATAATGATGATAGAGCTATAGTTATGAAATATTTTCTATTAAAATGTATTGAAATATTTTTTAAATGAAGAAAATATTTTAAATTTCTTAATCTTTAATAATTTGATTAATATTTCAATTTACCCTTTTTCCAGGTTGTGACCACCGTGGCCGGAATTGCATCTTACCCCTTCGACACCGTGCGTCGTCGTATGATGATGCAGTCGGGCAGAGCCAAGGGCGAGATCATGTACAAGAACACAATGGACTGCTGGGCAACCATCGCAAAGAAGGAGGGCACTGGTGCCTTCTTCAAGGGCGCCTTCTCCAACGTCCTCCGTGGTACCGGCGGTGCTCTCGTGCTCGTCCTCTACGACGAGATCAAGAAGGTCTTGTAAACATTGCCGCCGTTTTGACCGCGAGGAGGATCGTCGTCTCGGCAGAAATTAACAAAGAAAGAAAGAGAGCAAGTTTAGCGATTTTTGCAACCATTCCAGTCAAAAGCTGCATGAACCATGCCGTGGTTCGATTTCCGTGTAATGGCATTCCAGCGGTTAATTTATTAGAGTGTCATTCCAGTATTCAGAGAATAGGAACAAATAAAATTGAACAACACAACACAAATAATAAAAAGAAAAAATGCTTTTGTCTCCAAAAACTTCCTTCTTTAATATAGTTTTGACAAAAATATTTGTTATGTAATTCTAACAATAAGCGGATGAAACAAGTTAAACAATAGAACCGGCTCAAGGTCTGCACAAGCGCAAGGCCAGCCGGGTGCATTGAGCAGAGATGCTGAGGCGCTCATAAAAAACGCGACCGGCCGGCTGTAATCAGCCAATCAGGCGACGCGCACCAAATTATCTCTTGATTAAGGCTAAAGGTTGTTCTCCGCCCATCAGTCCAGTCACGCCGCCACCCAGCTGGCCTTATCTCTCGTTGGGCCAAAATGATCACCTTGGTCTTGGTATGCATTGCTCTACTGCTCCTTATCTTGTATGCGCCGCTCAAACCGAAGAATTTCCCTCCAGGTATGATTATTTGATTAAAAAAGAAAATAACAACCTTAATCATTGAAGTCAAAACAAAAGATGCAAATTATTTACTTTTTATCTTAATATAAATCCCATTAGCTCATTTTCAAGACTATTTCATTTAATTTATAAATATTCAGGCCCCCCTTGGTTGCCATTTGTCGGCTGCGCGCCCCAGTTGAAGAGTTTGACCAAAAAACTCGGTTTCCAACACAATGTGTTCCTATGGCTGTCGGAGAGATTCAAATCTCCGGTGGTCGGTCTACGGCTGGGCAGTCAGTCGGTCGTGGCCGTCAGTGGCTACCACGCCGTCAAGCAGATTTTCACCAGAGAGGAGTTCGAAGGACGCCCGGACACCTTTTTCATAAGAATGAGGTCGATGGGCACCAGAAAAGGTAAGTTTAAAAAAAACCAATGCAAATTACATAATGTTCATACACATATATAGAAATGAAAACAATGATAATCCATTCAAATAAAAGGTATAACCTGCACTGACGGCGCGCACTGGCAAGAGCAGAGGAGCTTTGCGGTGCGCCACCTGCGCAGCCTAGGCTTTGGCAAAAGCACCATGGAATGCATGATCAGGGATGAAGTCTCAAGAGCAATCTCTCAATTCGACCAAAATGTGAGAAAAAAATAATTAGAATACAATACATTAAAATACTGCAATATTTGTGAACTGAAAACAAAATTAAATTTTCAACAATATTATATTTTATCCATTTTTTAAAAAATTAATATTAATTTTCAGATTGGTGAACCAGCTTTTGTCGATTTTGCTCAGGGCGTGATGTCTGTGTTGTGGGAGCTGACCGCGGGCACAAAGTTCAGCGACGACGACCCGTCTCTCGGACGACTGCTCGAGCTCATGAAGAGACGAGCTCGTTCTTTTGACATGTCCGGAGGGGTGCTGAGCCAGTTTCCGTGGCTCCGCTTCGTCGCTCCCGATTCCAGCGGCTTCAACCTGCTCAACACCGTCAATAGCGAGCTGAACGCTTTCTTTATGGTTTTTGTTCATTTTGCCGTATCAGCCCATTCAGAGATGCTCTATTGATTTCCAGGAGACCATTCGGAGCCACAAAAAATCTCACTGCTCAGATGAGCACCGTGACCTGATCGACGCCTACTTGACCGAGATTGAAAAGCGCAAAGGCAACCCTGAGTCTACTTTTTCTGGTTTAAATCAATTTATAATTTATTTTTCAATAATTTTTTTTTTTTTTTTAATTAGATGACCAACTGGTCATGGTGGTTTTGGACATGTTTGTTGCCGGCTCAACAACCACCAGCACAACTCTAGACTTCATTTTCTTATATTTGGCTCTAAACCCCAGAGTGCAGGAAAAGGCATTTGCTGAAATTTCCAGTGTGATTGGGACGCAACTTCCCCCTTCTTTGGCTCACCAGTCAAAGTAAAATAACTTTGATAAAATAAAATAAATATAAAACTGATTTTTAGGCTGCCTTATACCGGTGCTGTGATTCAAGAGGCGAATAGATTGAGCTCCATTGTCCCCATTGCAGGACCAAGAAGGGCACTCAGGGACACAGACCTTGAGGGATACTCAATTCCGAAAGTATAAATCTTAGTTTAAAAAGGCAGGAAATTAATTTTCATTTTAATTAAAGGACACTACTATTTTGATCAACCTGTGGTCATTACACCATGACTCAGGACACTGGGGAGACCCTGAGGAATTTAGGCCGGAGCGTTTTATCAAAAAAGAGGGAGTCCTGGAGAGTGACGAGTGGCTCATGCCTTTCGGGCTTGGTAATTTTTACCTCAAATAATTTTTTACATTACTATAATAAATGGAACAGGGAGGAGAAGATGTTTGGGTGAAACCTTGGCCAAAAGCTACATTTTCATGCTGGTGGCCGCTGTGGTGCAGAAGTTTGTAATCTCTACACCAACATTCAATGCCATTCCGCCATCGCTACCAGGAATCATTGCATCCTGCCCAAAACACCAACTAGTATTCAAGGCTAGAAATAGCTAATTTTTGTTAAACAGAATTAAGAGATTTCAATAAAAAAAAATATAGTTTAAACTTTTCCATTGTATTTTTCAAGATTCAACTGGGCACCTAACATTTTTCACCAAAGTTGCCAGCAGTGTACACCGATAAACTTTGCACATTTTAACAAAATATCATTTTTTGTTTGTTTAACAGAACAAGATATGCATTCTTTTTTTTAATAATTCGCAATTTAAAATCTGTTAAAAGCATCACAACTCTATTTACGCACGAGAATTAAAAATTACCACCAAACATAAGTAACAAACGAGGCGACAGAAACGCAATCAAGTCGACTCAAAATTGAAACACTTTTTCGTGGAATGGCTCTGGCAACAGTGACATTATCAGTGTTTTTCTATGTTATAACAGTTATACAAGTAGAATTAGTGAACAGGCTAGGAATATAATTAGCAAAAGCCCTTTCGATAGACGAGTGAGAAATTATTGCACACTCACGCAATCATAAATAGTGTAATTTTCCAATAAAAGTATTATCACAATTTTATGCAAATTGCATTGCTAGGGAATAGGGTTTGCTAATATATTTGCAAATGCTCGGAGGTGTGATTTAGAACGGAAATAGATTTTCAACAATAGGGTGAGTCCCTTACAGAAATATTCCAGCAATCCATACATGATTGAAAAAGTGAAGTTTCACACCAAATGGCACATAATGATTATTTTTCCAAAGCTCAAATGAGATTGAATTATGTATGAAAAAGCGCTACCTTACAATCTACTAAGTATTTCCAAGTCATGGCTGTGATAAAATGCTGAAGAAGAAAAGGCTCAAAATAAAAGTTGTTTGAAAACCGGATGAGTGGAAATGCGAGCCCGTAATCTTTGTTGCACATGATGAACTATGATATTATTTTCGTAGCTAATAGTTTTACATTTTCTGTGCAAATTTTGTGCTTCACTTGCCAAGCCAGTGAGAAATCAGTCTCACCTTGGCGGCCAACATTTTGATTCTCATTTTCTCAAAAGTAACTGTCACTATCCAATTGTTACTTACTCGGCAGCTGAGCGGCTTCGTTCTTCTTGCGTACTAAAATTTTAGCCCAAAATGACAAGCGATTCCATACTTTCAGGAAAATTCAATTTCGAGAGTAGGAGAAACTTTCAAAACAAAAGTTCATTTACATTAATATTTTTGAATTGAGCTTCATAAGTTTTTGGGCTAAAATTTTAGTTTTATGTGCGGGACAATGTCCCTGCGACGCTGTTCTCAGTCAACGTGGGGTCTTTCGTCCACGCCGGTCTCCGACTGTCATACATACTCGAGCAGGTGCTCCTTGCCGCTGGGGTAGTAGGTTGAGGCGGAGCGGCGCTCCATTTGTCGCTCAACGAATTTCTTGATTTCCGACACCCAAAAGACAGTTGAGGTCAGGCACACTAAGAATATCAGGTCTGGAAGAAGAAAAATCAAATGTTTAGCTTAATTAAAAAGAGATTTAAGTGAATTTTACCAGTAATAGTTAAAGCTTCAGTCTGGAAAACTAGTTGCAGGGGAGGGAAATAAATAACAAGTAGCTGGCCAATGACAGACAGGCTGACCGCAATCAGGAAAACCTTGTTGGTGAAAAAACCCACAGCAAGGATGGATTTTGTCTGAAATTTTCATTCATAAGAAATCATTAATAATTATAGGTTTTAAATAATCCTACCTGAGATCTGCAACTGAGCGCATTGAACATGTCGAAGAAAACGAAACAAGTGAAAGTCATGGTGGTGTCTCTTGGGGTGATTTTGTTGTCACTCATCTTAAATAATTGAAATTAAATTCCATTCTCACTAAGCGCAATAGAAAAACTGACCTCTCGGTTGAACACCCACAAAGTGCCTAAGATAATTATAGAAGCTGACATGATGACGTTGATAATAACTGCTCTGGTAATCATTGGTGTTTTTGCATCCCTCGGCTTTTGCTTAATCACATCTTTGTCCACAGGTTCGACACCGAGACTAAAATTAGAGAAAAAATTAGCAAAAATAATTTCTTTGGAGTTTCACTTCTCTACCTTTGGGCAGGGGGTCCATCCATGATAATGTTGATCCACAAAATCTGCATAGCGTTCAAAGGGTTCGGAATGCCCATCAGAGTGGCGAGCGCAATAAGGGAGAGAGCTGCAATACTGGTGCTGAGTTGGAAGCGTACAAAGTTCCTGATGTTGTAAAAAATGCCCTTGCCCTCTTCTATAGCAGCACTGTAAATACAATTCACGATTAAAATAATTTTACCTGACTAGGTTTAAAAACAAACATGATTGTTTCGAAATCGTCGTCGACTAGGATCATGTCAGCAGCTTCCTTGCAGACGTCTGTGCCACTTTTGCCCATGGCAATTCCAATGTCTGCTTTTTTCAGAGCAACTCCATCGTTGACGCCGTCACCTGTCATTCCGACAATGACTCCATTAGCTTGAAGGGCCTGGTAAGAAAACAGTTCTTTACAATTTTTTCTTCAAACTTATTTTAAATAAGGCCCATACCTTAACAATGCATAATTTGTGTCTAGGTGTGACTCTGTAAAAGACGCTGATTTGTGGTACAATCTGTGAGAGTTGCTGTTCCGTCATTTTCTCGATATGATCACCAGATAAAGATTCCATGTGCATAGTGTCAAGACCAACCATTCCAGCTGGCAAGGAAAATTTAGATTAATTTATTTGATTAATATTTTTTATGTTTACCAATGGCCACAGCAGTTTCTTGTGCGTCTCCAGTAACCAATTTGATCTCAACTCCGGAACCCATCAGAGTTTGAATGGCCTCTCGGACATGGGGTCGTGGGGGATCACAGATTCCAACAAGACCAGTGAAGATCAGCTCTTGCAAAGTGTGACCTTTGGCCATTCCAACAACTCGAAGACCTTTGCGACCAATTTCGTAGGAAGTTGCCAGATATTCTTGTACCTTCTCTGATGATAATTGCATTGCTCGTCCATTTTCAGAGTAATATCTTAATTTTATAATGAAAATTATCATTTTCATTTGGTTTTTGTAAAAAATCATTTACCTGCACTGGTGGAGAAGTTTTTCCATAGCACCTTTGACGAAGAAAATCTCTCTACGATCGTCTCTGGAGGGGTCGGCCAAAATGCACTTGACTGCCATGATTTTTGTTTCAGAGCTGAAGGGATACTCTTGCAGACGGATGTATTTGTCAGTGATGTTGTAGAGACCAATTTTCATTCCCGCAGCCAAAATCGCGCCTTCGGTTGGCTGTCCGTGCAGAGTTTCTCCAGTAATGACAGCATTGTTGCAGACACAACCAACCTGAGAGGTAAAAAGGTTGTAAAAATATAAATCCAAAATAAATAAACATCGCACTTCAAGCATGTTGACAAAGGAGTCTCTGGTGCCTTCTTTTACAGCGTGGACTTTTCCTCGATTGTTGTAGCCAGCGCCCGAAACCTCAGCCTCGTAACCTTCTGAGGTGACCATTTGGGTCACGGTCATCTCATTCATGGTCAGGGTTCCTGTTTTGTCCGAGCAGATGACATTCACACAGCCTGAAGAAAATATTCTTTGTAAAATATAACAATTCACAATAATAAAATAATGTACCAAGAGTTTCGACAGTTGGAAGCTTCTTGATAATGGCCTTTCTCTTTGCCATCCGCATCACTCCCAGGGCAAGGGTCACAGTGACCACGATGGGCAAACCTTCTGGAATGGCAGCCACGGCCAAACTCACTCCAATCGTAAACATGTCAAGAATAGGTCTGCCCTGGAACCAGCCAAGCAGCATGATGAAGCCAATGATGCAGAAGGAGTAGAAGGACAGCATTGTTCCGAGACTGTCCATGCTCTTCTGCAGCGGGGTCTTCGGTGCTTCTTCAGCCTGCATCATTTTGAAGACCTCTCCGAACTCAGATTTCTCACCAGTGTTAATCACAATGCCCTATAATGTAAAGTAAAAATTTATGAGAATTCCCATTCATATTTTAGCTTCAGTAATTACTTTTCCATTTCCGCAGCGAACTAGAGTGCCCATGAAAGCGATGTTCCTTTTCGAGGTGTGTCCGTTTGTCTTCAAAAGTGGAACGGTGACTTTTGATGAGGGTTCTGTTTCGCCAGTAAAGCTGCTTTCGTCGATGGCCAGACCATGAGCTTCAAATAATCGGAGGTCGGCAGGAACTCTGTCTCCAACGTTCAGGTTCACAATGTCTCCAGGGACCAGATTCCGAGCCAGGAAAAATTCCGGAACGCCTTCTCGATAACTAGAATACAAATTTTGATAAACCATTCAATATTATTTTGTGCTTTGTCTCTTCGTACCAATGACAAGTTGGAGGAACAAGCTTGGTCAGTTCCTGCAGAGACTTCTCAGAGCGGTACTCCTGGACGAAGGCGACGGTGACGACGATGATGATGGCCACCGTGATGCTGACGGCGTCGTCGAACTGCCGCATTAACACACTGACCAGTGCCGAGGCCAGCAGCAGCATGATCAAAGGGTTGCGAAACTGTTCTATGTACTTCTTCCACGTGGGTTCCTCCTCCAGGACGGTGAGTTCGTTGAACCCGGCGAGCTGCCTGCGCAGCTCGACCTCTCGCCACTCGAGGCCGTTGTGCAGGTGCGTGTCGAGCCGAGCGGCCACCTCCTCCGCCCCCAGGCTGGAGGCCTCACCCGTCGAGAGCCACATCTCGGACTTCTCCTCGCTCTGCAAAATGGACAAGATAGATTTAGTGCAATCAGAAGGGTCGAGAAAAGGGGAGGAAAGTGATATCAGCGAAGAATGAGACAAAGAGCCCCTGGTGGATCGATGAGGTTGTGCCCTTCTTTGCGTCTTTACCTGTCTTAAGCTGGGTGAATTCGTGCCGAATTCACTCAGCAGGCGAGATTTCGTTCCATTGCGGTTGAAAATTTTTACCGAGTGATGATATGTTGACAATTTAACGTGTAATTAGCCGAGTTTTCACATGACAAAGACGATAATTTTTTTATGTCAATACACAGGTGGACATGACACTTATTTATAGGGGAGTGCGCAGAGGAGTTAAGCATCAATTGAAACTTTAAAACCATTTTGAAGAAACATGAGAGAATGTTTTAATTAAATACAAATAATTTGGTGAATTAAGTACTTTTAAAAGGATAGACATATTGATAAATAAAATGAGGCATAAAATGTGTTTGAAGTTTACTGATCTCATGAACTCCTTTGCTTACTCTACAAAATTCTAGACTGATTCAATCGATGACTTCAAAGAAAAGCGCGCCAAAAGCACGTGGATTAATAATATTACAAAAAATTTAATTCCTCTCAAATTTCCTGGTTTCTCCGATAAATCTTGAGAAGCAATTATGAATAAAATATTGTTCTTAAAAATTTTAAAGTACCTGCAAGCTCCGAGACAGGGGTTGGTATTTGTGGCCATTCATTGTCTACGTATTTTTTTTTTCAGATTTAATTAAACAGCAAAAACATTTAAGAGCTAAAGCATATTAATTTAGTCGTTTTCAACAAATGTGGTGGAATGACGAGAATCGCGAAGTTGCGTGGGAGAGTGAGAAAATTATAGCGCTGCTCTTGTTATCGTGGGTTTTTGCTCGCTGGCTTATCTAATGTGTGCATGTATGCCTGGTGGCTCGTATTTTTTATCTCGGCACACTACATAAATAATCTCCGTTCACGTCTGACGTTTAATCTCGAGCATTCAGAAACGATATTCAACACGCATAAGAAATTACTCATTTTATTAATTAATGGGCAAATTACTGTAAAATTTGCATATTTTTTTTACGAAATTTTTATTTATTGAGAATAAAAACAACTTTTATACCATTATTTCTACGAGAAACTATTTTTATTTCAAATCTGAAAAGTATTAAATCAAAAAGAATATAAAAATTCTTCCGCTTTCCTTTTTGGCCAAGATTCTGAGGTATTTAATTATAATCCCTAATTAATATAAATAATAGTAAAATGACAAAATTAAAAATTATAGAAAACCAATATATTTTGTAATCCTTATCAAACATACCTCATTGATTCGGATAATCTGGCATCTTTGCTGATAAACAATCTCATCTTCGATCTGATAGTCTCTGACGCCGGCCAAGAGACCATTCATCGGTCCACCTATGACTTTACCCTTTTTGTCCTCAAGAAAGGGCGGCGTCGGGTGCTCTTTGACTGAATGCCTTGCCCGAGCCACCATTTCGCTTCTCTATTGTCAACGAAACAATATAAACGCCACCGGGAAAAGTCCTGCGGCTCAAACTGGAAGCTCTCAAAAACAGAGCGGCCGCTTTTCTTGTGGACTTTCAACTCTATCCAATAAATATTTCACTATCAAAACGAGAGACTTTCGTCGGCTCTGGTGACGCAAATCAACAACACGCGCGGCATTGATCAGATGCATATTTTAATATGGGAATAAGTGGAATAACAATGAAGAAAGAGGAGGCGTGCGATAATTTGAATGAAAATTTGATGAAGGACCTTTTACGTGAGAGAGAAGAACCATTAAATAAATTGTTTCGTTTGCTCGCGGATCGATAAGATCAATAAAACGCGACGGCTTTTTAAATATTTAATTTAATATTGATTTAAATTGTACTCTAATTAAATGAATAATTTTTATCACTGTTTCTTGTGGTTAAAAATATCAATTTAACGCAATAATTATTACGTGGCTGGCCGCAATTAAATTACGCGGTGGATATTTTAATTTTTTTTTAACCGTAGCCTCACTTTTATCGCACCTATGTTCATGCAGGGGAACGCAGGAAATGAGGGTTGATAAAATAATGTCTCGTTGAACTTTTCATTTTGATAAGAAAAATCTAGAGTCTAAAAGTGAAAAGTTCTGTTCGGACAATAATGACTTATATAGGCTATTCAAATAAGCTTCTCATTGCCTTTGTTTTGAGAATGTGCACACGAAGCAATTCTCATATATTTTTCCTCCGAGTGAGATATGAGCAGTCGCGGCGTTTTGCAAGTTATAGAGCGTTCGTGACTTTAGTCTTTTTCCTTCTGCCACGTTCTACTGGCAAAACAAGAGAATTGGCCAAGAAAAAAACACATTTGTTTTCCCACAAATTAGGATTAATTGCGGAGAACTGAATTTAAATTAAATCAATAAAATATTACATAACAATAATTTTTTTTTTAATTTTTTACCATGATCTGCTGGACGGGCTCCTCTTTTTCCGGCTTTCCCATGATGTCTCCTCGGCGGAATCTCTTGTGCCGGTGGCGGCGACGGTGCTGTCCCAATTCCAGTGGTCACAAAAAATCGATTCGCTCTGCACCAAAATTTCACAACTTTGCTTACTGCAACATATTCGTACGTCCGGAGATCGTCCCGATTATAATTAAATTTAACCAAACGGAGCCTTTTCGACGACGGCCGTTCTGGCAAAAAAATATTCAGGCGGAAAAGTTGCAAAATGACGCAAGCGGCGAGTTTGAAGTGCGGCAAAACACGGAGAACACGACCGACTAACTGCTGTGTGAGCTCTGCGAATTCGCCGAGGGCCGGCCCTGTCGTTTCCATGGCGACGCCGCGGCTTTCCGTAGTGGAAATTTGACCGAGTGTGTGCTCGCCTTGCTTTTCCTAGCGCGCGTATATCGATTGCGACTGCCCCACTTTTCCAGACCGGCCGTCTGTGCGGGATCAAAAATTTTCAAATTTACAAAAATATAGACACACAAAAAAAAGATACGATTTTCGGCTGATTTTTTTTATTTAATATTACAAATTTTTTATAAACAAATAATGTTTAATGAGATCTGTTTCATTTTGAGTTATTATGTGGAATTGCTTTTTCCGATTTCATTTTTTTTATTTTTTAGTTAAAAAATCAGTTTTTCCTCTAATAAAGAGGCGACTTTTTCAGACTCAAATTTCAGTTAAAAATTAAAAAAATGGAAAAAATTCGCTTTTTACGGACAGTCAAATTAAGTCTTTACAAAAATAATGGCCGAATTTCCTATAATCTCGCATGGCCTTCCAATAAATGTTTTAAAGACTTGATTTGACTGAAATTAATAATTAAAAAAAAAAACTATTTTGAAGTGACACAAAAGATCCAATGTGAGAATTCATTTTTGAGCGAATTAAAAAAAAATAGATTTTTTTCTAACTAATCTAAATTTAATTTAAAAACCTTTTTAATGATCAGATTCAACCCAATGACCATATAGAATCAGATTTGCGCTTAGCACTTGTCCACTGCCACCACCAAAATTGCTCATAGTCACTTTCCATGTTCCTGCCGGGTTTTCATTCCAAAAGTGGACGCTCATAAATGGCCAATTGGAAAACCCTTTGTCGCTCTTATCGTACTTCCGTCTTGTCAATAATTGAGAATCAGTTCCTTGAATTATTTTTAGTAAAAAAAAACTCGATTTTATTTTATTTTTATACCAGAGGGTGAGGTAAGGAAGATCTCGAGGGTGCCGCGATCTCCATGCTGCACGGTCAAAAACAAAATCACGTGTTCCAGTCGATTGATTTTGGAACTTCTTGCCACTTCGATTTCGAAAGTTTTATTGCTCAACGGGTGAAATACGACAGGTCTGTTGAAATTTTGATTGAAATATATTTTATCGCCTTTCTTTGGACGATTTTACAAATAAAGTTTTCCGAAGCTGGCAGTTTCAATTTCTTGCTGGCCGACGTTTTTCCAATTTCGGGCAGAGGTCACGAGCTTCGTGGCGTCCATTGCGCCGAAACCCTGACGCAAATTGTATTCCAGTCCGGCGCCGTTTTTTCGCCAATCGCTGCGAGTGCCCGACCTTTGCGCCGATAGCACTATCAGGTGCTGCACGTCACGCCAAGTCAGGTCAGGGCTAAAGTATTGCATTTTACCTCAAAAACTTTGCACTTTTAAAAAGTAAAAATAAAAAAAAAAATACTTTTCCTCGAGCATCAAGGCAACGATGCCTGCAGCGATCGGTGCCGCGGCTGAAGTGCCTTGGAAATCTTGTTTGCAGGTTCCATCCAAATTTGGCACAACCTAAATGAATTATTGTGTTCAAAAGCAACTTTGTTTTAAAAATTACTTTTGAACTCAAATTTATTCAGCACTATCATAAATTTGATAACGCAAAAATTACTAGTCTATTTAATTATTAATTCTGTAGGATAATAATTTAAAATTATTCGGAAAATGACTAATTTTTTCCTAAATACTAATTTGAATATAAATATTTGTATTTTAAAGTAAAATAGACTCTTTTCCATGAGTTTAAAACTATGATTCAGGTTGAAAATAAAACTTACGACTGAAACACCAATGAATCCCATTCCTTTCCCTGATACTGCGATGCTCGTCATCACTGAGGCGCCTGGCTCGGAATAAACACAAGCGTCCCCTTTCATTATAAAAACGGAATTATAAGAAAATTTTAATTTAAATTTTAGGTTAATTTTACATACCATTATAAGAAAGGGCGCCAATCGTAATCGTGTAAATACTGGATGCGTACCCATCTAAATTTGCGTTGTCCTTTGAAATCGCCCCATTTCCAGCGGCCCAAACAAAAATCGCACCCTTTCCACGACGACCCTTTTAATAAAAATTTTAAAATTAATAATTATTCAATTGAACTTCTTGGTTTACTTTGATCACAGCATCTCTCAGTGCTTTTCTGGCGAGGCGTTTGGGGCCCTCGACGGTTTTTCCGTTGTCCCTGGGACCCCAAGAGGCGCTCGCGATGTCGCCGTTGCCCAACCAGAGGCGCAGAGCGAGCGACTCCTGCACGTCGGTCAGCACCCTTTTGCCCAAAACTCGGATTCCTTTTTTTTACAGATTTATTTATTATTAAATTTGTTGTTTAAAAAAAATGTTCACCTCCAACTCTGGCGCCAAAAGCAACGCCGGCTCCGCAAACTGAGTTGTTCGCCACGGCGGCCAAAGCCCCCGCACAAAAGGTTCCGTGCGAATCCGACGGGTTTCTGGGTGCAGGTGACGGCATGGGGTGGTTTATGTCACTCACGTCCCAACTGTTCGTCTTCTCCTTCAATTATTACGAATAATTAAATTTTTGTTAAACTTTTTTAAGGCTCTCTCGATATAAATGATTTTAAAAAACATCTCACCCATAAATTTTTCCTTTACCTCATAATTAAGAATAAATATTATTATTATAAAATTTCTCACGTAATTTTGAGCGATTTCCTTATTTCGCGCCTGCAGACCGTCGTCCAGAACAAATAAGGTCACTCCATGACCTGTGATGCCCTTTTCCCACACAGGCTCCACATTGATATTCTGAGCAATCTTCCCATCTTTGTGCAAACCACGCCCGTGCTTTAAAATTTTAATTAAAGATACATTTTGAAAGAACAAAATAATTAATATTACCAGGTACCACAACCTTTCGTAGTACGGATCACTGAAATAAAGATCCTCAAATGGCATTATTTCGAGCCGGCGCAAGCTCCTGTGCCTGAAAACTTGCTGCTCCACGTATTTCACCTTTGATTTTTCGTTTTTATAAAAAAATTTAAGTAAAAATTTAATTTAAAAATCTTAACCTTGTGGTGAGATCTGAGATTTCGGGTTGTTCTCCAAGATGGCAATCTGTTAAATTTCGGCTGCTTGTGATCAACGAAATGATAGAAATTCGGAAACAAATCCTAAACTTGTAAAAAATAAAATTATTTCTACAGGAAATTATATAAATTTAAGTACCGTGTTCATCAGTCTGAGATCGTAATGGAAGGCCATTTTTCGGGCCTGCTCATCGCCGCCTTCGATTTCTGCAACAAAGTGGTTACTGAAGATGTGCGGCCCGTCGCAATTTATCACAGACAAAGATGCACTTGAGAAAAGAACAAGGCAAGCGAGCCTGCTCGCTGCCATGTTCCTCAGACTTGAAAACTTTTCATCTCGGAAGTACAAATAAATGCGGACATTAATAAGTTTATCGCTCGAAGGTGCAGATATAAAAAAACCGCACTCGCAACGGAAATGGAGATAAAATTCAAAACCTGCCTATTTAAAAAGTTACATGCTAGTGATGAAATTTTTTTAAGGTTTTGCACCTTTATTTTAAAATATTTTTGAAAAAAATACACTGAACAGAAAAAATTAATTACACCTACAAAGTTAATATTTTTTCATTGTCAACTTGTCATTATACACTGTACACAAATAATTATCTCGCAAATGAATTCCGTGGTACTGAATATTCAAATAATAAATCAAACAAGTTTATATTGAAAAAGGGAATACCGAGCGAGGACGGGAAAAATTTTTTCTGACTGACGTAGTGATTTTTGGTGTATATGATGACAGCATCCTGTATACGGCACAGTTTGCGCCGAGTGATTGGTTGCTGGCGCAGCACATCTATGGCGAGGTCGACGTTACTTTAAATTATGCTCTTTCTTCTGGTTGCATTCCTCTGCACAACCGTATTTACACAGCAGGTCATTTGCATTTGGAATTTATTAATCTATTTCTCTCCAAACATATTTGACAATTCTCTTTTTTAATGATGAAAAAATTCTGCAAAATTGTCAGACTCTCGGAGACGAATACACCAGGGTAACACGTCCGATTGTGAAGAAGTTGGAGTTCAAATCGGACGCCGAGCGGAAAGCGTACGATGAAAAGACGAAACCGCAAATCGACGGAATTCCAACTGGAACAAAGCCAGCGCAACGTAATCAAAACTTTATATTCTTGCTTATTTAGACAACCGGCGCTTCTTCCATGTCATGCCGGTTGCATACATCGTAAAATTATGTACTTATAATTGCAAAAAAATTAGCAAATGCTGGGCGTCCCACAAATCGGATTACGGCGTACATCGTCGGCGGCACCAAGGCTTCGAGAGGGACGATTCCGTGGATCGCAGGCATAAAAACTGGAGACGGCTCAGCCTTTTGCGGCGGCTCTCTCATTACCGAAAATGCAGTTCTGACCGCGGCTCATTGCGCTAAAAAGTATATCGATTATTATCACAAAGATGATTATTTTTACCGTTTGATGGATTAGTATTCATTTTAATCAATTTGAAACTTTTTTCACACTTTTTTTTAACAAATTTATTTATGCCTTAACTTATGCCTTAAGTGTTTTGAAAGATCAAGAAAATTTTTACTCGATTCCAGTGTTGCGAAATTCGTCGTCTACCTTGGCATGCAAAATTCTCAGGCGCGATCAGAAAGTGGACGAACCGTCATGACGTCGAAGACAAAATATGTGAACAAAGGTTACAACAAAAAGTTGCTGATACACGACATCGCCATCATAAAATTACCAAGAAAAGTGTCATCCAGTAATTATTGTCGCTAGAATTATTTTGGACGTTAATGCATTTCAAATCACACAGACTCGTTCATCAATACCGTGAAACTTCCGACCGCTTCCGATGCGAGCAAAACATTCGTTAACACGACCGCCACAATTGCCGGTTGGGGGCTCACATCTGACAGTATTCGTAACGTTGATTTTCAATAAAAAAATTAGAAAATTTGGAATTCAGAAAGCACGAAAATCAGCAAAGAACTCAACTACTTGGACGACAGAAAAGTCATCTCAAACTCCGATTGCGCCGCGACGTACGGGGAAATTGAAAGCACCATGATTTGCATCAGTGGATCTGATAAAAAAGCAATTTGCAGCGTAAAAAAAAAAATTGAATTACTCTAGCAGTTTTAAGCAAAAATTAATAAAAAATAAAGGGAGACAGCGGCGGACCTTTGACCTATAAAGATGCCAACGGGGCTAACGTTCAGATTGGAATTGTGTCCTTCAGCCACCCATCATCGTGCGTCGGCTTCCCCCAGGTTTTCACCAGGGTCAGCAGCTACCTGAAGTTCATTTCGGATCACACCGGGTTGAAAATTGAGGATTAATATCAAGCAATTAGCAATAAAGACCAGAGTGCATTTTATTTCAACACGTCTTATACGATTAAATCAAAATTTTCCTAAGCGAACGGGGCGACGTAATTGCAGGCTTGCGAAACCGTCAGCGGGAATCGGTTGAAGATTTTCGAGTTTCTCAGGAAGACCCTGACGGCGACCGGTCTCAGGTCGTTGGCGGCCGCCGAGAGGAAGATCAACTTGGTGTCGTTGTGGGTGGCGACGACGTCGCTGTCCTTGTCCACCGAGGTGTCCAGATTCTCAACTCGGGCGCCGCTGACGTCGACGTAGATCTCCTTGGCCGACTCGTCGCGACACGAGGCCTGGAAGACGCACCGGACACCCTTGTGCTCGTCCAGGTGCAGCTGCAGGGCACTCCGCTCCTGCTGCAGCTGGTGGAACACGCCGTGCAGCCCCTCCAACTTGTACAACTCAAACTCCAGCTCCTCCCCTTCCAGCAGAAGGGTGTCGTTCTTGCGGGAGGCGGCGGCGCAAACGCAGAACGCCGACTCGTCCTCCGTCTTGTCCGTCAACTTGAAGACGGCCCTCTGGCTGGCGTCGAAGACGAAAATGGCGCCGTCCCGGTGTCCCAGGCAGGAGAGGAACTTGCTGCTCCGCAGGCGGCGGTGCTTGAACACCTTCTGCAGGTACGGGTGGTACAGGAAGGCGACGTTGTGTGGCGCAGAATTGTAGCAAACAATGTCGCAAGCCGAGAAAACTTTCTTGTCCAGTTGCGTCTGCAGGTCTTCGACGCCGCGGCTGCAGTCGTCCACGGACACAACGTCCAATTTCAGGTCATCCGTTACTTGGAACAGCATTTCGGTTTCATTTCGGACTTTGAAGTGGTCGTAGCGGTCCTCGACGCTCTTCAGCTTGCCCACGCCTGAGAAGACCTGGCTTGTGGACACCTGCTGCTGGTCCAGGTTGCTCCACTCGTGGCTCAGGGGACTTGTGTAGGCCACACCTTCCTCGTCATCCACAAGCAGGGGCGAAACGCCTCCCACCAGGCCCAAGTACTCCAGTTTCTTTGGCGCCAGAAAAACGGGACAACCCTTAAAAATTCAATTGAAATTAGCAAAATTATTAAATTTAATTCATTTTCTATTACCTTATGTCTGAGAATGTGTGCATAATGCTTTCCGAAATCGACTCTCAAATTGTCCGTCATGATTTTCTCGAGTTCCGGGAAAAGTTGCAACTGCTGCAACTCGTCGGCCAGAGGTTGCAGGCGCTCCTTAGAAATGTTCCCTTGGAACCACTTGGACTCGACTTCAGTCAGCACCACATCCTGGGTGTTGCACGAAACTTCGAATCCGCTCAGAGATCGGAATACGGCTTCTGCGTGGGGCTCGGAGTGCTCACCGTACATGCCCAGTTTTGAGTCAGTCACGGTCCACGTCTTCCTCGAAGGCCTTTTTGCGCCAAAGAGGGCGATCATATCTGTGAATGCCAGCGAGTTCTAATGGGAATGAGAATTTTAGCACATTTGAATATAAAAAAAATTGGTTTTCTACACCTTAGTCTGAATTTTGGCAAATGGAGCAAGGTCGGCGCCAACACATTCCAATTTAAACGCATCCTCTGGGTCGACTAACTGCGGAGGGCCAGAAAAAAGCCACCCCTCTTTGGTGAGGCCGTTCAGAGATTTGAAACGGCTGTCGTACGAAAGGGAGATGTCTGGAAGATCTTTATTTGTTGCCCCTTCTATGCATCGGACACCAGTGACGGTCACTTGAGGCACATCAAACCTACAAAAATGTCAAAATAATTCAAATTAATTAAAAATTGGTTTTATACTTTATTTGCTCTTTATGATAACAAAAAATCTGCAAACCTGAGGCAGAGTTTCTCGAGGCTGTTCTGGAGGTCGCCCTTGTTTAAATGAACCCACTGGCTGCTCACGGTGGGCCACTCACGGTTGCAGGTGGGGTCGTAGCGGCAGGAGATGAGACCGCGCTGGAAGATGAGGGTGTTCTTTTCAGGTTCGCGGACTGTGATGATGACCAGACTTAAGATGAGCACCAGGCGGTCATCCTTGAACTCGTTCAACAGAAGGGGTTCGTCTGGCACAGTCTCATGTCGAACGATCCAGGTAGAAACGCCCTGGGTTGACTCGAGGAGGAGCTTGTTGTTGCCGTCCGGCTTGTTGTGCACAACAATGTCCACACTTGCTCCTACCCCCTAGAAATTAAAAAAGGAATAAAGAATTAAAAATAATTTTAAAAAGAAATATTAAGAAAAAATTTACATTATAATTTTCTCAAGTTGAAAATACAAAATAGTTTTCAAATATTTTTTAAATCAAATAATTAACTAGATCAGACAAAAATATTTTAAGATGTAAAGAAAAAATAAAATAGGCGCAGCTTGCAGTTGTTGATTTGCCCCTAGTAATTACCTTAAAGTGATAGGTGCAGTTGTAATGGTTGTACCCAGTGATGTACGATGATGGCGGTGGTGTGTAAAAAACGGTCTTCCTGTTCGTGGGACACTTGATCACGCACACGCTGGAGTCAATGCGGCCGATGCGAATATTGTAGACCGTGTTGAGGCCGCTGTAGAAGACGAACGCCTTGGTCTTCTCGTAGAACGCCCTGAGCCGCTCGATTTCCCAATTGTTGAACGCCGAGAACGAGGAGGAAGTGTATTGCAGGTCCCAGGTGAGGTGGATTTTTCCGGCGCAAGGCAGGATGAAGCGCTCGGAGATGAAATTCGGTGGAAAGTCCCTTGTGTTGGGGATGTCGGTGCCGTCGACTATGTCCACCCAGTCATCAATTTGAACGCCGTACCTTAAAAATAAAAAATAAAAAAATTTTATTTTTACAAGAAGAAATTTTCATTTTTTGTTTGAAATTAATCATTTTCTTACCAGTTGTTCTGCTGGATGAGCAATTTGCCTGTCTTGGCCACTCTTGCTTCGCAATCGATCTCGGCGATTTGGTTGTGGACAGTGGTGGCCTGCAGGGCGCCCTCGGCCGTCATCTCGATCAGACTTTCGTAGGCCCTCATAAGGTAGCCCAAATACTGATAGGCCTTGATCGAGTCCTCCTGCTTCAACATGATGTCATAAGCGGTGACACTCAGACCTGTGGAGGTGATGCCAATGACGTCGCCTCCGAAGCCGAAGCCCAGGTTCTCAAAGGTGGCGTCGCCAGACAGGGCGCAAGTTATGCGTTTTTCACCTTGAATAAAAATAAATACCAAAATTAAATAAAAAATTAAATATTTTTCCAAACCTTTGACTTCAATTGAAAGGATGCCCGCCCTTTTGACGTCATGGGTGAGACCCTGATGGAAGTTGGCGGTGGTGAGCATCATTTTGGAGTACTCGAGCCCGATTGCCGGAGGGTGGAAGTCGGTGATTCTGCGCGGAGGAACTCCGGGCGGGCGCGAGACGGCCATGCACTTGAGCACTCCTTTGTTGAACTCGCCAGAGGTGGAGCCGAACGGTTTCTCGTACAGGGCGGCCACCGAGGCGACCAGGAGGCTGCCTGCCAGGGGCTCTTCCCACTCGCTGTCGTCGCGAAAATCGGGCCGCATCGCCACGTTCTGCAGGATGTGCCTCCCGATCGAAGTGAAAAACTTGCACGCCATTTCCAATCTGGCATCGGCCTGAAGAATAATATTTACGCAATTAATTTATTTACTAATTAAATGTAAAATAATATCAAAATTCGAAAAAGTTTTATTATTTTTAGTTAATTGGAATCAATTACATTATTTTTATTCATTTCGTAAATTAATGAAGCGGCAATTTAAAATTAGAAAAGAGTTTGAAAATGGGAACAATACAAATATTAAATTAAATTATTCCTTCATTTTTTATTTATAATTATATATTTAATTATTTTTATTTTCCCTATTTTTTATTTTACTTTTAAAATGGAACAAATTTGTATCGCAAATAAGAAAAATTACACAATTTGAAAGACTTTTTTTCTAATAAAATTTGTGCACCTGTTGAGCTGCAGCTTGTTCCAGGACACTTTTCTTTCCAAGTCCGGCAGCTCGGACGGCCTCGATGTTTTGCTTGACGCGAGTCAGGGCGCGCACCAGCCGCCTCGAGCTGAAGGGCACCTGGTCGATGACCCTGGTCGTCAGGTTGTAGAAGGGCACCTTTGCGGAACGCGCCCCTTCGATGACCGCCTCGTGAAGCAGGGGCATCCAACCTGGCCGGTTGGGCAGCTCGGCCTGCAGCTGCTCGGCCACCACGGACTCCTCATAACTCAGCTGCAGCTGCCGCTCTGTCAGGGTCAGCAGTTCTGCGGCCATCGTCAGCCGGTCCTATACAAACTTAAGAATAATGTTGAGGAATGTTTATAAAAATAAAAAGTACTTTCAATCTCTTATAAAAAAATTAAACGTTTTTTAGGTTAATTTTACATTTTTTTTATTTAGTATTATTTTGTTTTTGAAAAAGAAAAATTAAATTAGTTCAATTCTAATAATTTGCAATTGTTTTATTTCTAAAAATACAAGTTTGGCGATTTCAATATGAGAGAAAAATAATAATTTAATTTCAGTCTCATAAATTTATTTAAATTTTTTCTCGTTATTTTAAAACTTTTGAATAAATTTCTGTTTTCAATTAGAGTATTTAATCAATCATTGTTTAACTACTTCAATCGTCCACCGCAGAAAAGCAAAACTTTGCGCGAGACGAAAATAAAGCGCCCCCAACACAACAAAACCTGTCTTTTTATCGGGGCGAGAGAATGCTTGGCCGCGCGCCAAACATTTCTCGCGTGAGCGCGGTGTTCTGTTTCAGAAATTGATCTGGAGAATGAAAATGTTGTGGACAACAAAATAACAAAGCTGATTTTGTACGAATGAAAAGTAATTAATTCTAATGAAAAAAATTCACCATTTTTTTTTTACCAAATTAATAAAGCCTCCTTTGACAAAAAATGAATTAGACGTGCGGCTTCAGAATTATTCATGTTTCTGGAAGAAAAAGGAAATTGAAGGAACTCACCTAGAGTGTCCCCGAGGTTCGTGAACTCTGCAATGTCAGCCGACCGGCAGTGAGAAGAAGAAGTTCAAAAATGATAATGGTGCGTTTCGTTCTCTTGTCGATTGGCACTAAATTTAGACCCACATCGGCCAGGCCCCTTTGTGATTTCGCCATTCACACAAGCGCCACGGACGAGCGGAACAAAAGTAAAAGGCGCCCACCTTGCATTTTTCAATTTCCCCTCGTAAGAAAAAAAAATTCAAAATATTTAAAAGAAAAGTTAAAACTTATTTTTTTTAAAAAAATAAGCAAACAAAATTAAAATCTGTTTTGTTATCTTCAAAGTTCATTATAATTAAATAAATTTATTTCTGCACAAGCTCAAAGTGTTCGCTTAACAATTGCGTGGCTTTGGGCCTGTTTTTAAGTGCGCTGACCGCTCCTTGAAATCTGCCGCCCCTAGCAGCGCCTTTGCCTCCAAGAATTTCGCAAATCCTGGACGAACCAAAATTGTTATTTATACCTTCAATAAGTGGGCTATAATTACTTGGGTCCCAAGTCAGCAACAACATCTTCCGGCCCTTCGAAAATCATCTGCCCAGCACCTTTTTCATCTCCCCAAGTCAGAAGTTTGATGACGTCCTTGCCAACTTCAGACAGAAAGACTCTCGCAAAACCATTTGCATCTTCTTTCCTGACAATAAGTAAAAGAACAAAGGAAATTATCTAAAATTTAGTTTCAGTGGGATTTGATTACCCACCTGTGCACACAGATGAATTTTGGTGGTGGATTCTGCTCTTTCACTTCCCTGGCCATCAGTGACGCCACTTCCAATGAGCATTCTTTTAAATTCTGAAAAAAAAAAATTCAATTTATATTCAGTAGAAATTCCACAACCTGTTTGTTTTTAAAGAAATCAAAATAATTTTGGTCAGTTTTGTAAATTTGAAAAATTTGGCCAAAACCAGATAATTAAAAATATTTGTTTTAAATAAATTAATCATACCTTTTCTAGCAGCTTGCTATTTTTCAACAAATTCGAAACAACAACTTCATGATCAGCTGCTCCATTTCTAAAACATTGGTAATTTTTCCATAGGTATTGATCAGCAAGTAAAAATTTTGAACTTCTTACTGGAGCAATTTGGACAAATTGCGCTCCCTTGCAAGCCGAACATTGAAATCCTTCAACACTCGATCTCCGGCCACAAAACGCAGTTGCACTTTCTTTTTTACAGGGGCTATAGAGACAATTTTAACCATCTGAAGTAAAAACCTATCAATAAAATATTCAAAATAAAAAGGCAAAGTAGTACTTGAAGCCGAGAAAGAGTGTCAATGTGTGTTCCGCAGCACATGTTCTCGTCCCCGACCATCGATACCACCCTGATGGGTCCAGTGTGGTCGGCTGGAAGACCTCGGGTTACAGCCTAAATTATCAAAACAGAATTTCAAAATTTTAAATAGAATGGGAAGGTGATTTGCAACCTTTTGAAGGCCAGGGTCACCGGGCTCAAAAAGAGTCACTTTGACAGGAGAATTATTTTTGATCTCCTCATTCACTGCCAGCTCCAATTGAGACAAAAGTCGGAGTAAATCAATCTTCGGGGTGTTGGAAATATCTATACAAAAAATTATATTAAAATTGCTTCACAAATTAGATAAAACTTTTACCAAATTCAACCATGGTGTCATCCTTGTTCAGTGACCAAGAGGTTGTGGGAAATTTGTAAATTTGTTGCAGCTTGGCCGAGATCAAGTGTTGGGCTGTATTTTTTTTTTATTAATATAATCGGTGAAATAATATTTAAATTTAGGTTTTTTACAAGAATGTTGCTGCATGTGGTCGAATCTCGTTTCCCAATCGATTTCGAGGGAAGCGGTGTTGCCTTCCCTGAAGGAGCAGTCCATGTAATGGACGGCTTCGGCACCTCTTCTGCACATTTTCAGGACTTTCATTTGGTCAATGTAACCAATGTCGCTTGGCTAAATTATAAGTAAAAAATTTATTCATAAGGTAAATTAATTTTAATAATTTTAGAAAATATTGGCTTTGATAAAATTAGTAAGAAAATTTTTACCTGGCCTCCACCTTCAGGAAAAATAATGGTGTCTTCCAGCACAACCTCGAAGCATTTCTTAGCTTTTCCATCAATTTGCACTTCAACTGGTTTGCACGATTTGACTACGGTGCTAAACTGTTTTACAAAAACAGATTCAATTTAAAACCTATACATAATAGTTAATTTATAATTCAATAACTTACGGTTTTAAGAAAACTGTCTTCTTGGCATTTAAAGACCATTTTATTCACTTTATTTCGTTTTCAAATAGCTGAAATTGTAATATAGAAAACAAACATTAAAAATCCGATTAAATCAATCAAAAAATTCTGATTTGAATTAAAAAAAGTTATGGCTCGGCTACATCTGCTTAACCAAATTCAGCAGGATGATTAGCAGTCAAGCATTTAATTTACCATAAACTTAAGCTTATTATATTTACCAGTTTGATCCGATTACTCTGATAAACCTGCTGTCGTCGGCAAACTTCATAAACAACAAAATTATCGCAGAAAAATGTTATTAAATATGAACTAGCCGGCCAGGTATGTACAAAAGGGGGTTTTTCCCTCTGGTGTTGTTCTAGGGCTCAAGGCATACCAACATTACAAAAATTAACTGCAATATTTAAATAGTTACATTTTAGAGTTTCAATGAAGATAATAGCAAAAATTAAATAAAATTTAATTACTGAAATAAAAAATTTAAAAATCCTTTAATTCCAGAGTTGATGTAAAGTTTTCAATAAATAAGAAAAAGTAATTAGGTTGGCATTTTAAAATTGACGGTGCCATCGACTTTTTCAGCGCGAATGGAAAAGACTAGCGGCAATAATCGTACGCGCCGATCGGTTAAAGCCGTTAAAGTTGGATTATTGTTCTATTTATTTGGCTCGTTTTCAAACAGAAAAATTAGAGTAGAATGAATGAATTTAGGACGAAAAAAGCTAGAATTTTATACTTAAAATGTAACGAAAGTTTCTTCCTTTTAGATGATTTAGTTAATTTAGCCAAATTTTAGCGGAGAACTTGAAAAAAATTAAAAAACTTGGTGATAGAGGTTGAAATTAAAAACCTGCAGATTAAAAATATATTGATTTGCGCTTTATTGATTATGGATTCGCAGAGCACATATGAATGAAAGACTAAAATGAGAAGACAAAATATTTGAAAGAGTAATATAAAAACCTAAAGGAATCGAAAGGAGTATTCAAAGCAATTAATTTTTCCAAATTAATTATTTTTTAATATCTGCTGAAATTCTTAAAAAAAAACAATCAAAGGCTAAATTGTATTCTTTGTTTAATATTGTTTATTTATTAATACTAAAATAATAGAGCTTATTATTGAATTAACTTCGTTTTATCTGACAAATTGTCAATTTTGAAGTACATGTCAAAAAAATTCTCTATTGCCACAAATTAAATCTTTATTAATTTTATTTATATAATATCTAAACTAATTTAATTTAATCAAAAATTTAAATAAAATCAAAGTTTTTGTCTACACCAAATGGAATTTTTTAATTGAAAGTCATTTCATACTCCTTAATTTAGAAAATCCTCACTTTTAGACCTCATCAGATTTTATTAATTGGTTCCGAATGAAACTCGCACCAGCATTTAAGAAATGAAACTCGACGATGTAATTAAACAAGCAACGCTTCGATGGAACATTAAAATTATCCCACGAAGTATATCAGATATTAATTTATTTTCAGGACTAATGACAGAAAATTCACAATTGAGGTCTTCTGAATAAGAAAATTTCACTCATAGTCCTAAATTAGGAAAATCATTCCTTTTAGACCGCTTCAGATTTTATTAATTGGTTCCGAATGAAACTCGCACCAGCATTTTTTATGAAATGAAACTCGACGATGTAATTAAAGAAGCAACGCTTTGATGGAACATTAAAATTATCCCACGTAATATATCAGATATTATTATTATTACTATTTTGCCCATTATTACTATTTTTACAGGTGACGGACAGTTCGCGGATGTGCCACACACGCTGTGTGTGTTACTGTGTCAGGAATAATAAAACAGCGCCAGCTTTTATCGACTGGCTATTTGTGGGGCGCGTGTGCGCACTGGGTCGCGTTCTCCAGCGAGAAAGGGTTGCGACAATCAATCCGGACCGGCCGAGAGCGCACAAAATCACGCGTCCCACCCGCGCGTCCCGTACGTCCGAGATGGAATAAAGACCGGCCATGCTGTCGCTCCTGATCGTCTGCGTGTTCGCCGCCCCCGCCGCCTCCGACGTCGGCCAAATTCCCAGCCCCCAAACGTGAGTACTCGAATATCTGATTGTGGCGAACATGGTGCTGACGACACAGAGAGGATGGCAAGAATTGATCTCTCTCTGCTCTCGCGTCACTGATTTGCTACGAAGTTTTATTTTTATAATCAATGTTATTTTTATTGATTTGTTAAAATTAATCCGGAGAATGACGTAAATTTTATTAAATGTGTCTTTGATAGTTAATATAAATAAAAAACACACTTTAATTAAAATTTTTACAAAAATTTATTTTTAGACTTTACAAAATATTTTTGTTGTAAATAATAAGGAAAACAAATTCAGTTTGTGTGTCGCATTATATAAATTTTGAACAAAAACGTCTGAAAATCAAAATAATTAATTATAAAATGAAAATCATAGAAAATTGAAAAAAAAAATACCAAAAAAATGTAGAGATAGGAAATTTTCTGTGCATTTTAATGGTAATATAATATGCTGGCATATTTTAAAATTCAATAAATCTGAATTCTACAGAGCTTTTAATTTAAAGAAATAAAATTATTTGATTAAATCAATCAATATTAAGAGAAAATAATAAGTTTAGCGGGGAAAACATTTATTGCGATTATTTAATGTTAAAAATAAAATTCAATATCAATTTTCACTATCATGTAAACTATTCATATTAATTTTCAGTTTCAAATCATGTTTATTCATTTTCAGCCTTTCTAAATGGAACTTCATGCTAGAGAACAAGTTCAGTCAGCTCGCGGAACAGGTCACTCATTTCAAATATGTGCAAAAGGTAAGGTTTTTTAATAATGGTAAAAATATTGTCTTTTCTTTTGATTTGAACGATGTTTACATGGAAAATACTTCCTTGAGACAATTTTCGGATTTCCTTTTTGATGGTGCAATGCCATTTTCAAATATTTAATATTTTATAAATATTTTTATTTTTTAATTTTTACTTTCTTTGATACTATTACTATTCCACACAAGATTGAATCAATAATTCTTCAGCATATTTTAGTAATTGAAATTTTTCAAAAAATTTTAATTATTGTGTCATACAAATTTAAAAAATTAAAAAAGAAAATCAATTTTTCACGGTAAAAATTAAATTTTCTTATTGTAAGATAATATGTTTCAGTTTTGTCCTGAAACTTTTGAAGTTTGTTACAAGACTTTTTCCTCTGTCGCTAATTTACTAAATTATTCAAAAAAATATGTCCATTGAGTTGTCAAAAATTTACAAATTTTATCGTTCTATTTTTATTTCTTAACATTTTCGATAAAATGTGGAAATTAAGCGAGTTTTAAAATTTATGATTAAATTAATTAAGCATCTTTTTAACTTATGTCATTTTTTTTTTACTAATCAAGATTTACGAGAGCGACAACAAGCACGTTCGCCTCAGGGAATTGAACGGCGAGGGCATGTTGAAGCAAACGCTGAGCAAAATGCGAGACCTCCTGGAACGCAAAGAAGCCGCCCTTCAGGTTTACAATTTTTTTTTTAATTTCTCTAGCTAATTTTTTTATGTAATTCAGAGACTGGTTCAAGCTGCGGAAGACGCGGTGTCCAACCACAAGTACAGTCCGGGTCTGAACATGCTGGACGTGCCGTATCTGAACATGAAGGAGCTGCGAAAGGGCGACGAGCGGCTGCGGTTCAACCCTTCGTTCCTGCAGAACGTCACCCTGAAGGAGTCGGGGGTGCACATCCCGTTGGAGATCTACGAAGGATGTGAGTCGGAGGACCCCGCGTGGTTTTCACAAATTTATATAAACATTACAAGAAATTTCCCTCTCTTTCTATTTTCTTTCTTGGTCGTGTCTCTCTATCCTTCCTCTCTATATATTTAACAAAAAAAAAAAGAAAGAATAAATCTGCAGAAAAAAAAGAGTGAGATTAGAAAGAAAAAGAACACGAAAAATAAGGGACTCGGCTGGCGATTTCGAAAGCAAAGCGTGTGACTTGCAGGAGTAAACCCTAATTATGTGTTGTAGGGATGGGTCACCGCTACAAAGTGCTATGGTGGCACGGTATGTTTGTCTTTGCTTTTTACTCGCTTCTTTCTTTGCATCCGTAGACGCGCAAAGACAGCATCTATCAGCATCGCTCGCCACAGGGCTGCTTCTCTTAATTTTGATTCTCTCATAATATGATTACTGCTCTCACGTTGGTTCTTATTATTATTATTATTAATTATTATTGTCCATTGTTGCTGTTGTTGATTTCAAAAAGGAACCCGCCGGTTTTTCGCTATTACTCGCAGCAGGTCAGTTCGAACAATAACCCCTTTTTAAAAATAGAGCAAAAAAAGGTGACACTTTTCCAAAAATAATTTTGTTTTTAGAAGTAAACAATTTTTGCATATATTTAATGTAAATTTTTTAACTGAATGTATTTAATTTTTTTTTCAAATTACTCAAAAAATTAAGTGGAGAATATAAATATAAATTCAATCATATAAATAAGTTTACAAAAACAAAAAGGAGTAAAAAGATAATGATGCAATTATTTTGTGTTTGTTTTGGACAGAAATGGGAAAAATATTTTAATAGGCGTTCATTTTAGACGATAAACCTTTTTCTGTGTCATACTGTAATTATAAATCAACTAAACTGGAAAAAAATTAAAATTTATTTTCAAATGCAAATTTTAGGCAATTTTCCGCTCTCTGCTTATTTTTGATACAAAATATTCATCGCAATTAATTTGAAGATTCACTGGAAAGGTTCAAAAAATTTAAATTTACAGACAAAAGTGGCGTCTTTCTTGCGTCTGCTCTTTAAACTTTAAACAAGCCAATATAATAATATAAAATTGATTTTCCGCAGCTACTCAGATTAACTTTACACTTAAAAACGAGTCCAATTAATTTGTATTTTGATCGAACGCAGCAGCCGCGCGCAGCAGCTTAAAATAATTATAATTTACTCCCTCACTTTTATTTAATAAGAACCGCATTATTATTTGAACAAATTTAATAATAATTTCCCATATCTCACCGCGCAGATCGAATGCAATTTTTTTTCGATCTGCCGACATGTTTTTTTGCGCAAAAATACTCTCACCGCAGCGCAATGATTGCGTTCGAAAAACGCAGTTTTGCAGCGTATGTATTGAATATTCTGACACACACCAGCAGGACGGTACACATAATATTGTTCTGCCCTCAGTTATGATTAATTAATTACGATTGCCGCTTCATTAGTTTTGTGCCACACACGTATTTATGAGTATTCTAAACCATATTTATATTTTGCTGAAGTCTCACACACACGCAGTTTTTTTATTAAAAAAAAAGAAGATATTGTTAATATTTACACACAGTTTTTTCGCTAAAATGCCTCAGGACAGCACCGTTTTTCTGTTTCTTTGCTCGGCCACTTTTTATTTCTCTCTCTCCGGCGACAGATCCGCAGATTCTGAACGGACTCAGGTGGTCTTCGGCGCTCGACGCCGTCTTCAAAGAGAACGCGCGCCTCGACCCCAACCTCAAGTGGCAGTATTTCGGCAGCCAACGCGGCTTCATGAGGGTCTACCCTGCTTTTAGGTCTGTTAAAAATAACACCAATTTTTAATTTTTCAGCCAATTTCAGTTTAGAGTTTTGATTTTTTTCCTAAATAAAGCAAATTTAATTTAAAAACTTTGATAATAAATTTTTTTTAATTTGGAAAGATCTGTAAGTTTTCATTATGAAAACATTAAAAATAAAATTAATTAGAATTTTGAGCTCCACAGAGACTAAAAATAAAGTTCAGTAGACACAAAAATTATATAATGTTAATTAAATTTATACTTTTAGCTCTTTCTGCACTTTTAAGTCCAGCATTACAATTTGAACCAGGATTTTAAATTTTAAGAATCAGAAAAATTAATTTTTGTGGATAATATTTCTGGTTTAATTGAATCAAGATTTATAGTAAAAAAGTTATCAAAATCTATATTTTTATTAAATTTTCTGTCAAAAGGTGGCCGGAAAATACGGACCTGCCTGACTTATTTGACGTTCGGCGCCGCTCTTGGTACATTCAAGGATCAGTTTCGCCGAAAGACATGATCATCATGATTGACACGTAAGAATTAATAGATGCAAAAGTTGTCAAATTTTGAATCAATTTCATAATTATATCATTTGCAGGAGCGGAAGTGTTCACGGGCAAACTTTTGACATCATGAAAATTGCCGTGAAAGCCATGCTGCACACCCTAGGCGAAAACGACTATGTCAATGTTGCCTGGGCAAGTTTAAATTAAAAATTGAAAGTTTTAGAATTAAATTAGAATTTCTGTTTTGAATATTTTCACAATTTGCAATATTTATTGAAGTTAAAAAACATTCAAAGCCTTAATTTGTATAATGAATTCAGCAAAATTGTGAAATTATGGAAAATAATTTAAGAAAAAAAATAATTTTATTTGATGGGGAAATACAAATTAAAAGTAAATCAAAATTTGTTATTCTGTATTGAAATACCAATTTTTTTTTTTTAATTTCTATTTTTGAGAGACAATTAATTGTTGTTTAAAAATTGCAGTTCAACAATGAGGTGGACTGGGTGGCGCCTTGTCTGTCCACTTTGGTGCCGGCCACGAGCCACAACAAGCGGCTCATGTTCGACGCCGTGGACCAGCTTCAGGAGGGCAACTACACGAGTTACTCGGCGGCCCTGGAGTTCGCGTACGAAGCGTTTCGCCAGTTCGAGGAGAACAAGCAGCCGTGGGAAGGCTCCAACTGCCACAAGGTGATCATGTTCTTCACCGACGGCGGCACCGAGTGGCCCGAGGAGGTCATCTTGAAGTACCAGAGCGACAACGTGACGCGCAACGTGCGCATCTTCACGTACGCCTCGGGGCCGCACCCCATCCCCACGGTCATCCTCAAGTCGATCGCGTGCACCACCAACGGCTACTACAACACCCTCACAGCCGCTGCAGCCATCAGGCCACGCATGCAGGTGAATTAATTAAAATGCGTGAAATTCTATGACGAAAAAGTATTAAGTCTTTCATATCAATTTTTACCAACATTCTTAAATTTAAAAAAATTAAAATTTACGGAACTATTTTTCTCTAAAATGGTTTATGATAAACTAAAATTTAAAATGAATACATTTTTGTTTAATTTAAAAGAGAAATTATAAATTTCATCAAAGAATATGTTATAACTATTTGAAAGTTAAAAAAAACTGGTATTTAAGTTTAGAAATGAATTTAAATGGTAAAATTTAACATTATTATCGCCAAAAACAGTTTAAATATTAGAATAAAAATTATTAATTTAGTATTTCTTTCTAACCTGAAATTTGCAAAGATCGAAATTATAATTGTGAAGCCAATTTTTCCCAATAATTACCAAAATAATTTAATATCCTAATTTTGAGGCTTGAGGCTCACCCTGTTTGCTTTTAATTCCTCTGTTATTTAAAATATCCGCCAAATTCACCAATTAGCAAAAGCTCAGAGCTTAAGTAATTTGCAAAACAAAACACCATTATTTTTATTTGCGTGTAGGCAACCCGCGCGTCATCAATGACGCACGGGCTTGCATACTCTCGTTTTCACAGGCGCTCATTATTGTACCACGCAACATTAATTTCTATTCACACACAGGACTACGTGAAAATCCTCGGACGTCCCCTGATCCAGTCTGGCGAGGACACTTTGTACGAATGGAGCAATTTTTACCGTGATATTGGAGTAAAAAAATTATCAAATTATTTAAAATAAAATTCTAATTTTATCGATTTAGGGCCTTGGAATGATGGCGACGGTCACCCTACCGGTGGCAAATTTGACTGAAGTATAAATAATTGTTTTATAAATCTTTTCTAAGATAAATATCAACTTTTTCTTTTATTTTTTTTATCAGAAAAGTAACCAAAGTTTGGTTGGAGTGATGGGCGTGGACGTTGCCTTGAGTGAAATCGAATCCCAATATTCGAAGCAGATCGTCGGCCCTCTTGGTTATGGATTTGCCATAAACCAGAACGGATTTGTTGTTTTCCACCCGCGATTGCAAGATCAGCTCGCTTTTATGGAGGTCATTTCAAAAAATCTATTTATAAAATAAAAAATACTAATTTATTTTTTATTTTTTAGGAACCATCTGATTTGGACATTTTGGAACTTGAGGGTCACAAGTTGGACTCGGTGACCGTCAGGGATGCGATGGTGGCTGGGGAGGAGGGCAGTTTGCTCAACGTGACCCACTTGCAAATTCTCGACTCCAAACACGCAATGCCCGTGAGAATGAACTTCCACTTTGGGCAAATAGGAAATTCAACATTCAGGTAATTTTCACAAATTGAAATTAAACCAAACGAAGAAGCCAAATTATATACAAAAAATTCTTATATCAATTTTAATTTTATTGAAAAAAAAAATAGTCGAAACTGGTGAAAAAAGATTTTTATATAGAATTTGACTTTTGAGCAGATTTTGTTTGGCGATTCCCGTGAATCACGTGGTGATGGAGGTGAGCAGTCAGAGTCACGAGGCGGGACTGCGCTTCGAAAGCAATAAAGGCGTTCTCGTCGCGCCGTGGACTTTCTGCGATGGCCTCGACCAAGACCCCAGCGTCATGCTCCTCTCTGAAGCCATAGCCAACAATACAAACAACTGCAGTAAGCAAAAATATATTTATCATTTATAAAAAAATTGTTTTGCATTTGGAAAACGTGCAGGTCAGAAGAATCTGGCGCAACACTTGCTGTGGGACGCAGCCAAAATCGGCCAAATTTTGAAAGACTGGGAAAACAAAGCGGAGCCTCGTGCGAGAAGCAGGTTTATTTTCACGGATAGCGGAATTACGGCTGTTCATCCCGACACGTGAGTCAAATTAATTATAAATTAATTAAAAAATATGATTTTAGATAATTTTTTAGAGTTATTCCAAATTAGAGCCAAAACATTTGAATAGAAAATTTTAAACTCTTGTAAAACTTTAATTATTTGTTTATTTCTACTTAAAATTTATATTTTTAAATAATAATTAAATAAATTTAAGCTCGTTACTGCAATCATAGTTAAAAAATGGAATTATTTTATCTATTAATTAGTAGTTTTTTAAATTATTTTTCTAAAATTATTTTCTATTAATACCTGAAATACATATTTTCCAGTGAAAAAATTCACTTCATTAATCAAAGAGATCCATCTCGGAATGGATTTTTCAAGCAGACGGCCCAGTCCAAGTCGTACGTGTACAGAGTGAAGCATGCGAAAAGAAACGCCGTTCGCACAACTTCCGTCATGGTCGGTCGGAAAATCGTCATCAAGCAACAAAATAGAGTTTTTATCGCCGCCGGTGAGATTATAATTATTTGACCTAGAATATAAAAAATAAATACTTTCCAAATTTTAGCGGTCGGCGCCGAGGTCGACGAGCAAATCATAAGTCAAATGTTCCTCAACATAACTTCCACCGGCGTGGGCTCCAATAATGAGGTTTTATGCAACAAGCCAGACGAGCTGACCTGCTACCTGATCGACCAGGGAGCAGTTGTGGTCGCCTCGAATCAAGAAAATGCAAAGGTGCGTGCAAGAGTTTTAAACTTTTCATACAGTCAAAATTAGGCTGAAAATGTTTTAATAATTTTAATAACTTAAATTTTTTTTTATTTATTAGAGAATTAAAGATTTATTTTTTATCTTTTGCATGCATATCTGAAGTTTCATATATTTAAATTATTTTTACCATTTATTTTACAAATAGTTAAATTAAAAAAAATTCAAATTAATTTATGCATCACTATAAATTTTCATTTTTGTAAAATTTTTTTTGGTCTGACTTACAGATCGGCGTCCGTTTGAGTGACCTCGACCCGCAGGTCATGTCCCAGTTGCTGTCCGAAGGGGTGTTCAAGCGGGAGCACAGTTTCAGCCACCAGACGTGGTGTCCGAGGCGCAAAACCCGGAAGCAAATGCTGGCCGAGTTGGCCGCCGCCGGCTCGTCCCGCTTCGGCCTCTTCTCCGCCTCCTGGGCGTCCAACCTGCTGTCCCTGGTGGACACCCTGACGCTGACCCTGTCCACCGTTCTGTGGTGGGGGCTGCCCACCCTGGGCGAGACGATCGCCGCCGTCGGCTGGGAGCCGAGCGTCGAGCGCAACTTCAGCTGCGTGACGCGCGCCACGTGGCTGCACCACACGGGACGTCCGCACTTCTTGGGCGCGTACGAGTGCGACCAGTGCGTCCGACCAATCACAGCTGCCTTCCTGCCAGACCTGGCCTTGCTGCTGGTGGTCGCGGACGCGCCGTGTCAATGCCGAAACAACGCTTTCATCGACGTTTGTGAGTAATTTTTTTTGCATATCCATCAATTTTTTTTTTTAAAAAGTTAAAAATGAGTTCTTAATTATAAATTTTATTACTTTAAATAATAAATTATTAGAATGGAAAAAGTGCTGTTTTTCTTTATATTAATAAAAACCGAAATTGATTTAAATTTTAATTAATATATTTTTTTCTAAAATTTTTAGCCAACACCGAAATGGATGCCTGCAGTTTGAAAAGCAAGTTTAGGCTTCGTCCAGATACCTGTTTTCATCAGGTAAAAAATTTATTCATTTCAAAATTTATACAAAATAATTTTTGATTTATGAAGATTTTAGTAAAATTTTCCTTTTTTTTCAGGACAACTCTTCGGACTGCGGTTTGTCCTCGAGTTTCGCCTCGTCATGTTCCCTATCACCTCTGCTTCTCGTGCTCGCCAATTTGGTGCAGCAGGTGCTAATTTTTAGAGGGCCAAATTAGACTATAAAACGCTAGGATCGCACACGCAGTAGGCGCCGCTTTTCAGTAGGACGAGAGGCACGCCAAGATCTCAACTCGAGGAATTGGGGCATTCAAAATGTCACCCCTGCGCGCCACTTCCTAGACTGACTCGAAGTTGTGATAGTCCAGTAGGAAAAAAATCAACAAAGCAATACTTCAGAAATTGTATAAACTCTCACTCGCACACAATTGAAGATGTACTTCCTGAGCGCACTTAAGTTTGGACGAATTCTCGACTGCGTCAAGATTATTTGTTTGAAGAATTGAACGAATTTTTGTTGAATGGCAAAAATGAGCAGTTGTACTGAATAATTTTGATAGGCCTTAAATCTCAGAATAAAATTTATGAAAAAAAAAAATAACTCATTTTTTCCTTTATGAAGAAAATTAGATTCTACGGGAAGAGATTGTATGTTAAATATTTTATCAAATTTTATACATTTAGAGATAAAGCATAATTTTTAAATATTAAGTAAGTTGATGAGCATTTCTGGAAGAAAACGAAGCAAATTTAACAAAATGGCAGGTGGCTTTTTAGTAAGTATTACACAAATACATATGTTCGTACATTCGTACATTTACAAGTGAGGTTTTTCTCATCAAATTCTTTTCTTTTAAACCAACCAATTGCCCAGGTCACACACGCATAAAACAGACAGGGCTATATTAACTAGCTGAGCAGCACACACAAATTACGGAAAGGTCAGTGGTAAAAACTGGGGCTCGATTCGGACACAACAGGTCTCTCTCTCAGTAGAAGCGCTTTCTCGACTGTTCCTGCTGCTTTTGGTAAATCATGATGCCGATGACGACCAGCGCAATCACTGCCAGCGTGCCCAGCAACATCAGCAGGAAGATTTTGATGCCACTCATCGAGGCCGGTTTCGGGTCTTCAACGTGGTCCCGAGGAGCTTCAAAAAAGGCTGCCGAGGGCAGGATTTTTGACCTGTCTTCTTCCACCTGTCAGAAAAAAGAATCTTGTAAAAATTGTCTAATCAAACAAGATTAAATAATACTCCTACGTCATCAGACGAATCCAGTTCGTACAACTTGAGGGAAATGACGTCGTGGGTGTCGGACAAATCTCCGGTGGCTGCCGAAACGCCAAAGTAGTATCCGGTAGGGAGGCGAACTCCCTTGACAGAAAGACACTCTTTCCACGCAGCTTTGTTTTCAATGTCAGTCGAAACTGAATAGAAAAGAAAATTTAACTTTTATTTATTAATATTTATAAATCAACTCGTACCGGTTAGGGTGTCTTTTTCGTATCTTATGTTAATGTGTGAGTCGTGCTCCAAATTTCTCAACTTGGCCTCGCAACCTGCCAGCTGTGTGTGGGTGCCGTCTCTGTCGTGGTCGTAGTGAAGAGACCCATTGTTGATCATGGCGGAGATGAAAGGGTGCTGATGCTGCAAATGAATTCAAATAAATAAAGATTGGAATGAGATATAAAACAAAAACTAATTGAAAAAAATTCAGTTTTCTGACAGCAGCAATTTTTCTCTTTTTAACAAACGTAAATTAAAAAAAAAAAAAAAATCATTAATTAAACGCCAAAACAACATTAAATCGATCCAATTTAACTTTTAAACTTATAATGTATTTCCATTTTTAGTTTTAATATTTTTTTTACTCCAAACGGAAAGTTTGAATTATCTCTTCTCCTCAGATACAGGTATTGTTGAAAAATTTTAAAATAAGTAAAATTATTACATTATGTGGGCCATTGTGGTTGCTGTAGGTGTCAACGATGATGGCCAGTCCTTGGAAGAAGTCTCGGTTGCCGAAGACTGGCCCTCCGACCATGCGGTCCTTGGCGTACCAAATGGCGAATCCGTCTCCGTACAGATCTTTGCCCTTCCCGTGCACTTTGAAGTGCACGTGCAGCTCCCAGTTCTTCACAAAGCACGGCTGCAAAATAATTATCACATCAAAAGGTGAAAAAATCAAAGAAGCAATAAAAAAAATTTACCACTGTGTTCCAAATGGCGCCTTCTTTGCTTTGGAGATCTGGAGTTAGTCTTATGTAGTTGTTGGTCACCATCGTGCTCCCCATGAAATCCCAGTTGGGAATGGACATACTGGAAGCTGATACAGCCATGTTTACCACGACATATTTGAAATTTAAAATAAAATGAAGGAATTTAAAAAAAAACGAGACATATTTAATTTATCATTTTTTTTTTTGGAAATTTCCGCGTGAGACTGAATGATTTTTTGACGCAACAATTTGAAAATATCGTTTGTACATTTTATTTTTAATCCTGGTGATCAATGAAGAAATAGAGAGTTGCCCTGACTTAAATTTTGGGTCCAAAACATTTTTAATTCTTTGCTTTATTTCCTGACAGTAAGAAAGAATCTTCTGATTTTCTTTTCACGCCCTAAAGTAGAAGAAAAAAAATGTCCAAACAGGTAATATTGCTGGAAAAAAATTCAATTTTTACAAAAATTTAATCTGCGAAAAATTAAATTTTTTTATATAATACTTAATTAAATGGCGAAGTTAAAAAGAACGCGACATTTAACACAAAAAGTCCTAAGCGTGCGTGCTTTTGGTGGAAGTTTTTTTTGCGAAAATGCGGGGAAGCGTGATTGACGTGGACAAACACCATTTGTTATCACATTTGAAAATAAAGGTATAAAAACCGAGGGAATTTTACACGTATAAGACAATAGCGACTCCCTCACAATGTTGGACGGACCTTCTGGTGTTGCAATATTATTTCTGCTTCTAAGCAGCTTTGCAAACGGTCAAAAATTCTATATATTAATTAAATCAAATAATAAAATTTTAAATTATTTACAGAAGCAAGAGCTGCGTTTGGCACAGCCGCGCCAGCCAATCTTACTCTGTACCGCTATGTTGTGAGATTCTCAAAATTGAATTAGGAAAAAAGACTATTTTTTTCTTTGTATTTTGTTCTTTTAGGTCAAACTTTCCCGATCGGCGTCAGCAATTGAGGAAAGCAGCCCCGCCTTCGTTTTGAGTCACAAGTGGGCCCTGACCGGCACCTACATCGTCGGCTCTAGGTTTTTTTCGTTTCAAAAATTTAATGTATTGAAAATCTTATGAAAATTTTTAATTTAAAAAGCGATCCGACGACGGACTACACCGTGACCAGCGGCAACAACACGATCACCCAGGCTGTGACGCGAATCACTTTTCTTGATTTTGGCATCGCCGTGATCAAAGTTTGCACTAAATTCACTGAGGAAGCAATGCCGTTGACGCCCGCACTCTATCCTGACTTTCTATCCTCAAACACGGCCGAATTGATCTATTACGAAGGCGATGTGAGTTGAAAATTACTATAATTAATAATTTTTTTCAACTTGCAATTTTTTTTGGATTTTTTTTAAACGCATCTTTTCAATTGCTTTTTTTTTAATTGAAAACTAAATGATATTTAAATATTTTAAAATTTTTTATCTGGAAGTATTTTTTAGTTGTAATAAACAAATTAATAATTTCGGCTTTTTTTATTTTAAAATTAGTTTTTTCTTTTGACCAAATTGTTAAATTGTAAATATTACTAAAAAATACAACAATTCTTTCCGTATAATTAAAAATTAATGGAAAGCCTGCAATCAAAATTTAAATATTTCCATTCTTCAGATAAATCAAAATTTTTTTATTTGCTTCTTAAGAATTTGATGGCGATTTCGGTTTCGGTGCCTTCCGGGTGCGACTGCGAGAGGGACGCGACCCTTTACGCAGTGCACGATTTGGACTCGGATTTTGAGTCCTGCATTGAATTCGTGTCCACCGCCGGCGCCTGCAGCGTGAGTGTCCCTTTGCCCTATTCTGACCTGACTTGACCTTGCCTCACAATTTAAGTTCATTGCTGACACGGCAGCCACGTACATTCGCGGCAACGCCATGATGATCGGCGGCGTCGGGGCAGCTTTCCTGGACCACGACCACTGCGACAACACGACGGCCACCTTCGCAGCCTCGGCCACCTACATCAAGGTCCAGCCGTACTACCTCGACATCGTTCACTCGGCCGTCGTCACCGTTCCTTGACTTGTGTCTCGGCTTAATCAGTAAAAATTGAGAAATTGGGAAATAAAATTTGACGAACAAATAAATCTTGTTCAATTTCCTCCTTTAAATCAAACAATTGTCCTAAAAGAAAATAAATGGCGATTGAAAATATAAAATTAAAAATATCATACATTTTTTTCAATGAATTTTTAGTTTTTTCACATCAGAGACGACACAAGTCTCACGTCACGCTTATTAAAATTAATTTAATAAACTTCCGCCTTGGCACGCTGTACAGCGACAATGTTTTCAAAAACGATTTAATTTGCTTTTCCGAATGGATTTTTTTTTATGCTTATCACGTGCAATTTTTCGCATATTGTGAAGAAATAAAACCTAGCCGAAAAAGTTTTTAATATAAATTACATAACTTATAAGAACACGATTTAAAGTCTGTGATTTTAAATTTGGATTAATTATTCAGTAAAAATAAGATGATGAACAATATAAATTGTTTTGCTATTTTGTCAATTTACAATAATCGTTTTCTCTCTCAATAATTGCATATTTTTTTTCTAATTAAAATTTAAATGTTCATAAAAGCAATATTTATTAAATTATAAAACATCAAACATCCAGCGGGTTTTCAATTATGGTAATTTGGGTAAATATTTAAATTTATGATGATGCCTTTGGATCTGACGCAAAATCACAAAAAGTTCACCTGTACCCAAATTTAGCAATGGCAAGTTTATCACAAAAGAAACTCTTTAATCAAATTATTGCTCTCTCAAAATATTTTTTGTGGATTACATCAACACAGAGGAATGTATTTTTAATAAAATAAAAATATATCAATAGAAGATTACAATTAAATGCCAATAAAAAACTATTATAATTTAATAATTTATATTTTAATTAATAATTTGTAAAGATGTGAAGCAAAACTAATTATGCTCAAATCATCAAATTAACGAAGAACTTTTCAAGCTGCATTCACCATTATTTTTTACATATTTTTTTTTTTTTTTTAATTGATTTTGATTAATCTTTGACTATTTTACACGAGGAACTTCAAGAAATACAATATAATAAATGTTCACAGAGCAATTTTAAAATTCCTATAATGGAAATGCCTAATAAATAATTATAGATTTAAGAAATTTTATATTTTTCATCAAATTGATGTATCTCTATTTTATACATAATATTCATAATTCATAATAATTGCTTTTAAAAACATGCTTGATATTTAAAAGCAGCTACAGGCAAGCGTACATAAAAAGTAAGCGGAAATGAATTTTAAAGGAAAAAGATACGTCGACAGTGACACCGTCCGCATTCGTGTCACAAGAACAGGGCAATAAATCAAGGGATAAGATAAGCAAACAAACGCGTCGCAATTTCCGAGTCTAGAAAAATTCAACTCGCAAAGAAAAAAAGCGAGTTGGTTTTCGAGAGGGACACGTAAATGGAAATGATTCGGACGTACCTTGGTACGGCTTGATGAGCGAGTGCTCCCTTTTCATGAAGTCCTTGGTGTTCCACTCCGCGCTGATCTGGAGGAAGCACAGCAGGAACGCGACCAAGCTGATCACGCCTGCCATCTCGAATAAGTCTTAATTTCTCAAACTGTCCCTCGGGAAACGGCCGATCAAAGGCGCATAATCCCGAATTTGGTGGAATTAAATGTGATGTTGACAGAACGGTCGAGAATTTCTGCGACTTGTCGGCCCAAGGGGGCGTGGCACATATAGTTTGATAAAAGCAGTGTTGCCAACATGACAATGATGTGAATTTTCAAAATTAATTTTTTAATTGAAAATCCATTAAATAATCATCCATTAATATTGATCTGATTGTGCTGGTCCAGACTGAAATTTTTAGAGCTACATATTTGTGTATTTAAAGTTTTAATGCATATATTTAGAGGTGGCCCTGAAAAGGGCTATTTTCCTGCCGGGCGCCGGCCTGATCTCTGCAGTACGTTTTGATGAGGCCGAAATATCACATTTTAAAAAGTCATAAAAACGTCCTTTAAAATTAATATTTTGATTATATTTTCTGGTCCAGAGTCCATAGTTGGTAGAATATATTTTATTATTGATTAATAATTAAATTTTATTGCTCAAAATTATCACTTTATGAGACAGTTAGGTGGCCCTGAAAAGGGCTCGTTTATGGGCTTGGCCAATCGCCGGGCCCCGGAGAACGGACAGTGGCAGTCTGCATTACTCGCTATATCTAACCGACGAGAAGAAGGCGCTTCAAACGCCGGCCCTTTTCTGGGCCTCCAAGCGCTTTCTTCAGCCCTGTGTCTAGAACATAAATGGGACACAATCGTCTTTGATCTCAACCGTAGCCTCTTAACCACACTCGATCATATTGTCTGGGTGCATGGTCGCATGCCAGCATTTTAAGACTAAAAATATTCACAATGAAAGCCAATCTAATTTTTTTTTTATAGAGCTGCTCTTTTAATAAAATAAATTTTGTAGGTTAATTAAAATATAATTTTAAGTTCAGCTTTCAAGCGCTCTGATAATTTTGGCAAAATTGCGGACATAAAGAACAATTTACTTTTAAAATCTTGCCGCAATATATTAGACATAATTATGAAAACGATTTATAAAATTATTAATATTTCAAAACAAAATTAAGGGTTTTTAATATCAAAGTTTTTGTTGATCATATGAATTAATATTCGTCCTGCCTCTGATGTAGATTCTCCTCCTTTTGCAGAACATCGGCCTTCCTCTTGAGAGGCTCCTCACGCTGTTTTGCCAGTGTCACCGTTGGCAGCTCCGGCAGTCCCTGCTTGATTAGTGCACGCAGTTTTGGAAGCAGGTCTCGTTTTCCTACTCAATTTTACGTTTAATTTTTAATTGCATTATAATGTTATAATATGTACCCCAAGAGGGTGAGGCCTCCTTGCCATGCCTAATCAGGGTCACATACATGACCTCCACGGTCAGCATGGAAAGGCAGTCACGAGCGAGGAGGAAATGGATGGGCTCAATGAGGAATGAAACATCCATTTTCCCTGACACGTCAGAGTAGCTGACGCTGACAGGCTGTATGGTGGTCTCGTGGGACATGATCTTGAGTATGTTGATGACAGCCTCTGTCAGATCTTGTGCCGCTATACAAATTTATATTTAGTTTTTATCTTAAAATATAATAAAAATTCAAAAGTTATTAACCCTGTTCTGTCGCAAAAAGTACAAAATCAGCGCAATGGCAGCTGAACGGTTAATTTTGCAATAACAGCGTCGATGAACTCAACTGGATACTAAAAATATTTTGTTTAAAAAAAATTGCAGTTCATAATTGAACTGACGTGTTTCGAAAGAGACTCATTTAGGAATTTTGCAAAATTCGGATCCCGACGTCGCTAGGTTAATTACCTGTTTTCAAACTTCAAACGTTGAGTTCCACCATAGGAAGGCCCTGCTGAAGAAGGGAGCGGAGCTTGGGGGCAAGATCTCGTTTTCCTATACGTAAATTAACTTGTTTGATTACTTAAATTTTGATTGTATTGTAGGCATACCCCACTTGGACGAGGCCGCTTTCCCGTTCTTCACAAGGATGGTGTACATGATTTCGGGAGTGAGGAAGCCAAGGCAGTCGCTTGAAGAAGCATGTTGTGCAAAGGCTCGGTCAAAAAATCAACATTGACAATGTTGCTGTTGTCCTCGTAGAGCACTGGCACTATGGACGCATCACGGTCCATGAGTGATGCGACGAGGTTGATAAGAGTGTCAAGGATCCGACTGTGAGCTAAAAATATGATATTTAATTTGTAAAATAATAATCACATTTTACATTTAAACTACATCGCTCTAAAACGGACGCAGACAGGATTTGCATAATTATCAACAAGCGGTTTTCACCGAGGTTAATTTGACCGTTCGGATGCAGTTTGACCTGCCATCCGACCACAGCAGAAGAAAAAGCCTCTGCGAATTTTTTTTGCATCTCTCGACTGTTTGAAATCTCAAAGAATCCTGATCAATTTAAAAATATTCCGATTGTTGCAGAATATAACCGTTGTATAATTTTAAAAATTTTTAGCGACTTAAAATGAAATCGGTTTTTTTTTTAATTTGCTTTAGGATATTATAGAGTGAAGGCATAATTTTAAAAGTCTGTCCTTAAATAAGTGATATTTTTTGCCTCACTCTGCCCTAAAATTATTCAAACCTTTAAAAAGTCTGGAGTGTGTTCGCAATTAAGGAATGAGTCTCCTCTGCGTGTAAATTTTGCTCCGAATGACTCTTCAAGGGCGTCCGTCATGGGCAGTTTGACAGGACGACCGTGGGAAGCACAAAAAGTCGCTGCGAATTTTGCCACACGTTGACTCGTCGAAATTCAAAGAATTCTGATCTGAACGTAGATTCAAAATATTCTGATTGTTACGAATTGACCGTTGTTTCTCATTTAAAATTTCCAGTAACGGCGGCGGCAACAATCAGAATGTTGTGTTTTTGAACGTTAGTTACGTTGTCAGATTTTCAAGTACATAGATATAAGAATTCTTAATAAATTAAAAATTATCAAGTTTGCTGCACCTCACAATCACATTAAATTTTCAGGGGGCTTCAAACTACAAAGTTGACCTGAGGGTGACGAAAAAGTCAAAGGTGGAAAATTTTAAAAAGATTTCAGAATTGTTTAAATTTATCGTGCGCTGAATCAAGATAGAAAATTAACGAGACGCTCTTAAAAAATTTGTGCAATTTCCACAAATTTTAGAAATTCTTTTAATTAAAATGGTAGTTTAGGTATAAAAATTAAAAAAACCTTTGAATTCAGTCGTAATTTCAGGTAGAATTATGGGATCCGTGTACCTTCTTTCAATGAAATGCCACAATAAAGGCCTTCAGGGTGGAATTCGCAGAGTATTTTAAACACTTACGATAGCCAAAGACCAGTACCTGAGAAGGTCCCATGAGCGATCCATCCAGTCCTTCAGTATGATGCCAGACGGAATGGCAAAGTATGAGAATTCACGACATAATGCTGCTCTGCCAAGATTCAAATGAATTATGACCGACCGCAGTTTGAATTCTGATTGTTGCTATGACAACGTAAACAATGACAATTTCTCGTCGTTAAGGCTCACTCATTGGTCGGTTTATTTTATATTTTAAAATATTATAGCATTTTCACTGAGCGATATTTACAGTCACAGGAGATCAAGAAAATTATATTTTTTATTAACTAATTTTTTTCGTGTATTGCCTAATATCTCTTACTTGATTTGTTTGGGTGGCCCTGAAAAGGGCCGATTTTCGGAGTTCTGTTGACGACTTATGCCTTCTTGTCGGTCTTCTTGGGCAGGAGAACGGCCTGGATGTTGGGCAGGACACCTCCCTGGGCGATGGTGACGCCGGAGAGCAGCTTGTTCAACTCCTCGTCGTTGCGGATGGCGAGCTGCAAGTGACGGGGGATGATTCTCGACTTCTTGTTGTCGCGGGCGGCGTTGCCGGCCAACTCGAGGACTTCAGCGGCCAAGTACTCCATGACGGCGGCCAGGTAGACGGGGGCGCCGGCACCGACTCTTTCGGCGTAGTTGCCCTTCCTCAGCAGACGGTGGATTCTGCCAACGGGGAACTGAAGTCCGGCACGGCTCGAGCGGGTCTTTGCCTTTCCCTTCACCTTTCCTCCCTTTCCACGTCCAGACATGATGAGTTAGTTGAGTTGATACGGCGGGGTCGACGAAACAGATAAGTGTTGTTTAACAATAGCTTATTTAAATACCAATGAGCCGGAGTGGGGCGCGAAACGGGTCGATGAGAGCGGCAGCGCCCTCCGAGCCAATCAGCGACGTTGAAACTAGCGTGGCGCTGCGATCGGCTCGCGTCACACTCCAGCCGTGTTGTATATAAACTGCGACCAGCGCAGGCATCAGCATCAGTTGCCACTGAACCGCACTCACCATGCCACCCAAAACCTCCGGAAAGGCCGCCAAGAAGTCGGGCAAAGCCTCGAAGAACATCACCAAGTCGGACAAGAAGGGAAAGAGGAAGCGCAGGAAGGAATCCTACGCCATCTACATCTACAAGGTGTTGAAGCAGGTCCACCCCGACACCGGCGTCTCCAGCAAGGCGATGAGCATCATGAACTCGTTCGTCAACGACATCTTCGAGCGCATCGCCTCTGAGGCCAGCCGTCTCGCTCACTACAACAAGCGCTCCACCATCACCTCCCGGGAGATCCAGACCGCCGTCCGTCTCCTCCTGCCCGGAGAGTTGGCCAAGCACGCCGTTTCCGAGGGAACCAAGGCAGTCACCAAGTACACCAGCTCCAAGTAAGCTGCGCCACAACATCCAGCGGCAGCGAAAATCGGCCCTTTTCAGGGCCACCCAAAATACTCAAGTAAAGTTACGAAGCAATATCCTAAATAATCAATCTAAATAACACTTTTAAAAAAAAATCTGAAAATAAAAAAAGGCTACTTCTTGAAGTAGAATAGTAGTAGATTTTACTCCTTATATATTACACTTATTACAGTTGTCAGTTATTACTTGTTAAATTTGTTCATTGTTATTCATATTAACATCTTACCGTAATCTTATTCTTATTTATAATAAGAAAGTAAATAAAAAGTCTAATATGAAAAAATCTCGGATTCGTTTCATGAAAAGCATATCTTTTTTAAATTTATAATCCATGATTTCATTAATTTACAAAATCCAAATGTTTTTAATAGAAAAAGAAAGAACATGTGATGTCTATGACTACAATTTTTTGTTCACATTTTTTACCCTTTGCATCTGATTTCTCTCTTTTTACCGATTTGATTACGTGTATTTTAATTGAGAGAGCACAGATTAAATTATTTTTACAACAGTACACACCACTTAACCAAGAGTTGATTGGAAAAATTCTATAAATTAAATTATCTACTGTATTGGCAGCAATTAATTAACGCTCCATTATATCCCATAAGTGTGCCAATTAACAATAATCCACTAGTTATAAGTAACTTAAGTTCTGGCTCGTGTGCGGCGCTCAATTTAATAGACCACATTTAATTCCATTATTTTCTGGAAAATAATGTTGGAACGTTCCATTTGAAAATTTTTGAAATTCTAGATTTTTCTACGTGTTTTTTTTTTACGACAAGGAAATAATTAAAAAAAAAATGCTGTAATTTCTTTCTGGAAGAAAAGGTTGATAAAAAACACATTTTTAATATCGCGTGTTTACAACAAGCATGACTTTCAGTGTGCGACTTCTCAGGATTGATAAGAAAGTAATGCAATTTATCTTACCTTTACCCTATAATTAAAGTTGGAGGAAAATTTGGCTTCCATGTTTTCCATATATGACATTTTTTCTTTCACACTTTTTAGCGAGCAAAGAAGTGACTCGTCAACTTCAATGGCGCTCATTATCTTTTACCAGTTCGGAGAATGATTGCGAGCGGTGTCTCCCAGCACTGCAATTTTTGCACTTAAGGTCCTTCGGTAAATGACCTGAAACGCCAGACTTCAGGTGTCGCGATGCAGTGTCTCATCCTTCTCGTCATTTTCCCGATTCAGGTAAATATATTTTTCTTTCTTTATTTTAATTCATTTAATTTAAAACTTTTATGAATTCTGATTCATAAAAAATTGAATTCACAATAATTCTAAATAGCCATTTTTTTTTTATCAAAAAATAGAATTGTTAATTTTGGAATTAAAACTTAACTTATGATAAAAGGGTTGCTAATCATTATGCATATGTTCGTAATTTACAAAATATTGTCGACAAATAAATTGGTTAACAATTTAATTTGCTGAATATTTTGTATAAATTTTTGTAGTCATTGTTTTGTTTCAACACTTTCAACTCATCAAACTTTAGATTGAATATTAGTATTAGTTTCTGATATACCTCTTGGAAATGGCAAGTCTGCAAAATAATAAGAGCAAATGGAAATGAATCAATTGTCTTGTATTTTTTTTTTTTAATTTTTATCAAAGATTAGACTAATGAAGAATGAAACTTTTAGAATAAAAAAGCAAACTAATTCTTCCACGCAATTAATCCATGACAGCAATCAAGTTGTTTTATTTATCTTCAAATAAAATATTGGGGAAAACCCTTGAAAATTAACGAGCTTCAGTTTTATTAATATAGTTTTGTATGTTCTATCAATAAGAACCATTGTTTGAAGTTGGAATGATATCTTCCAGATTTTGGCACTCGATTCTTCCACGGCAACCACTGCTGCAGGCTCAACAACGACGGGACCTTTTACTGATGAAAAATCAATTCTGAACCAACAAAATAACTGCTCTGCGAAGAATTACGCGGTAATCTTTAATTAAGCTGGAATCATACTAAAAAAATTTTAAAATTCTTCTCTTATAGAAAGTGTTTGAATGCTGTGCGAATCCACCAACTTCACTGGTTTTATTTAATCGTTTCGAGAATTACTATTATTGCAAGATTACAAAAGAAGATCTCCACGCGTTTAACGTTTTCTCACTGAACAAGCAGCAGCATTTTTCTAACTCGCCGGCCAACTCAATCGCGTTTCAAAGTAAAAAGGTCAAAACGGCCTTAGGCAGGCATGCTGTACGTCCCAATATTTTTTTTCAACATCATTGATATAACTATAAAAAAATTTAGTGCTTCGTCAACTGCTACTTGATGCAGAAAGGATCCGTAAATATATATTTTTTTAATTATGTATAATTGGTGGACAATAATTTGATGAATTTAATGATTTTAGATGTCACCGGACTTAACAATTAACCAGACAGCATTGACCGATTTTCTAATCGCCGCGCAAACTGACGAATTTTGGAAATCAACCATCTCAGCTGCGATAGCTGAATGCATTTCCGTTGTGAAGGGTAGAAAAAAATATCATTTAATTATTCCACAGAACAATAATATTGAAAAACAAAGGTCTGGCCATTCCTGATTTTGTTATAGTGAGATCAAGTTGCTCTGGCAAGGCTTTTGTTATTGTGCAGTGCGTCCTCTTTAAAATGATAACCGTAATTTCGTTTTTATTATCAAATATTGCATTTAAATTCATACAAATCCTATTTATAGAAATGCCCTAAGAGAGGTAAAAAAAATTGGCAATTAATTTAAAATTGAGAGATAATAATTGGATTTTTTTCTTCTTTTGTTAGTTGAAAGCATATCGTGCACAAAAACGTACAGTCTATTTGACAGGTGCTCTGCAAACGTCTTTGCTAAACCATGAACAAATAATACAAAAGTCCAGGATGATAAAAAGTAAAAAAAGGACTGAAAATATGCTAGAGGAGATCAACAAATATAAAATGCGCATGAAGATAAAAATAATTAAAAACAGAGAAGCTGCACAGATTTGAAGAGTTGTATTCAATTCTATTCTAATTACTGAAAAATAAATAATGCACATTAAAACATCACAATAAATGTAGAGTTATAACCAAATTAATTATAATTTCATGAAATTTTCACTCTTTGAAACTTTACTTACTAAATAAAAATATATATGTGCAATTTTTTACTGTTTAATCATTTAAACCTCAAATATTTAAGGAATTTTGTATCATCCGCTATCAAAATTCATTGAGGAAAATTAAGTTTCAACTTTGAATAACATATTTTATAAAAATAAATAATCTTATATCAACACAAATTATTTTTCTTTTGATGCGAAAGCTGGATTGTTTTTTCCTTTTCTCGTCTGAAGGGCAGAGGGCAGTGAAAAAAGGATTGATAAAAGGCGCATCTTTGGCCTAATTTAATCACTGGTAAATAGAGAGCCGCGCGAACAAGAGATGCTCCGTTTTTATTTGTTGCATTTCATCGTCCTCACCACCGTCCTGGCCGAAGACCAAAAACAAACAAACCAATCACAGGTACTGTAAAAAATCATTAAATTTTGGATTTACATGATATAAAAGAAATGCAATTTAATTTTATATTAATTATAAACATTTTGCAGCCGCGAGTTGTAGAAGAGTTTCAAGCAGAGCTGACGAAAAATGTCAAAGAGACAAATCAGAAGCTGGACCGATTGATGAGACTTGTCTATGACCAGGTAGAATAATTAAGTTTAAAATTTTAATTATCATTTTTGCACATAAAATGTTTGAACGAAGAAAAGTGAATTATTTATAATTATGTCATGCTGATTTTTATAACACGTTATTTAACAGGCGGTGGAGATAAGAAATTTGGCAGAGAATGAAAACGTGGAGCAGAAGAAAAAGTTTGATGCAACTAACCTGAGGCTGGAAAATTTGTCACAAATTTCCGACGAGCGTTACAATCAGGTTTAAAAATTTTTTAAATGTATTTTTCCAAACAAATAATAAATTCACTAAAAATATCTGCAGATTAAATTATTATATTTTTTTTCTCAATAATTAATAAAATTTCTCAAAATTTTTTTGCAGACTGTGCTGGCTGCAGAAAATTTTAATAAAAAATTGATGGATTTGGCTCAGAGGAATCAGCAAGAGGTGATATTGAACGTCCCATTTTTATCCATTTTGATTTTTTTCTTTTTACTATAGTTTGAGAACATCAAATTCTTCTTAAGGTGTCCTGGTAGTAAGTATCAAAATTGAATGTAAACTCTAAATATCAATTATCAAATTTTCAGGATTAGCTAATTTGACGACGCTGTCCAATGGAAAAAAGTACTTATTTTCGTACCCAACTTATTATGTAAGCGATTTAATTTGTATTTTCATGAATAATTTTTTTCTTCTTTCGTCGATAGGGAAACTGGAATTTTGCAAAAGAGACTTGCAGTAAAAACGGTCTCCAATTGGCCACAATCAGAAATTTAGTAGACGCACATGTGGTGGTGGCGGAGATTAAGAAAAATTACGGCGGTGAGGCGAAAATTAAATTTCGAAATAGTGCAAGAAATTCCCATGATATTTTTGCGAATGTAAAAATTAATTAATTTCAGGGCACGGTTGCTGGGTTTCAGCAAAAAATTCGGGAATTGGAGGTCGAAAGGAATTTCGGTGGCACGACGGAACCAAATTAGAATTGTCCAGTCCGTTGTGGACGGGCGGAGTGGCGAAGAACGACGAGTGCGTTTTCATCTATGATTATAGCAGTGAGGGAAAATTGAACTGCAATGAATGCACTACTTATTATTATTTTATTTGCGAGCTTCCAAGCGAATGCTACTGATGTTGAGCGGCTTGGAATTTGTATGTGAAAATCTTTTTTCAAATATTAATTCAGCAGTGTATCTTTCATGGCTTTCTGTTTGTTGTCAGATGAAAAAGATGTAAACATTTTTCTTTTTTTTTAAATGCCCATTGACCTTACATTTAACACTTACAAAGAAGCAATAAATTTTATAGTAGTAGATTAATGTGCAAATTTTTCACATTCTACTTCTTTCTTATGGTTCTCTTCCTTTATTAGAAATATTTAATCTCAAATTTGGATTGGCTCCAAAAATAGGATTCCAGAAAATACTTTTTCACTGTTAAAAAATAAACTTTAGCGTCAGTTCCAAATTTTCATACTGTTCTGTTAATGTGCAAATTTCGCATTTTTTGTCCTCATCAAATCACGAGTTGCGCAGAAAAAACAAGGACCAAGGCCAAGGGCTATTTTTACCCATCAGCTGATTGAACGCCAACGACGGCAACGACACGAATGACTTTAATGAATTCGGTTAAATGACAAACATTAATATTGTAAATTTTATCAAAAGTTAGAATGAAAATATTTTTTATCCAATGAAAATTTGCAAATTTTTCTCAACATATACGTTTACGTTTAAAAAAAAGTATTCAAGGAATACTCTCATTGAATAATAATTTCTTCTTAATTACTATGGCCATTGACGTATAAAATTGCTATTGATGGTGTAGTTTTTCTGTCATATGGCGCGCGGTAGTGATAAAAGGCGCGTCGTTGGCCTAAATTTATCATTTGAAAATTGAGAGTCGTCAGTCGACAAATAAAGAAGATGCTCCGTTTTTTGTTGTTGCTATTTTTCATCGTCGCCCCCGCTCTGGCCGATGACCCTAAGATAACCAAAGATTCATCCAAAGTAAGTATAAATTTTAATTATCTTGAAATAAAAATCACATTGGCATTTTCGAGTTAAAAATAAAATCATTTAATATCACTTTCCCTTGTAATTTATTTTTCTTAAATAAATCACAGTAAAAAGCCTAAAATTTGAGATTCAATATTAATTATAGTATTGTAATGGTAATTAAATTTTATGTGAGCTTAATTCTTATGATCCCCGGCTTCTTTAGATTGAATTTTAATTGAAAACTGAGCAATCCAATTTTTTGAAAGAAAAAAAAAAATCATTTTCAATTATTTTTCTCCAGATTAAAGATCAGTCCCTTGGAAGGTGTCCGGGAAGTAAGTATCTTTTAAAAATACCTGAAAAAAAATTGAGGAGCGTATAAATTTAATTCGGGTTTTTGTTTGACAAACTTATTTAGGAATAGCTTCATCTTGAATTATTAAAAAAATTCAATCAAAATTTGCAGACTCGGCAAATTTGACGTTGCTGTCCAATGGCAAAAAGTACTCGTTCCACAAAACCAAAGTGAGCGTCGCAGAGCTTATTCTTTTAGTATTTTCCCCTAATTTTGCTCATAAAGGTTAACTGGACGTCAGCAAATGAGACTTGCAATAAAATGGGCCTACAATTAGCCAAAATCATGGATCAAAATGACGAACGGGTGGTTGCGGCAGGGGCAAAAAAATTCGCCGAATGTAAGGCAAAAGAATTAACTTTTTATAATTTTCAATGAAATTTCATGTCTGCTTTCAGGGAAAGTTTGGTGGGTTTCGAAAAAGGAATCTCAAGTCGGAGGTGAAAATTCTGATAAATGCGTTTTCATCTTTCATTATGACCCGCAAAAGTTGACCAGCCAATGGTCATGCACCAGTGAATTCTATTTTATTTGTCAACTTCCAAGAGAATGCAACTGACAATGAGCTAGCTTTGAATCTATTTGATTTTTCAATAAATGTGGCGATAAATTAATTTGACATTAATTGAATGTTTTTCAGTTTAGTAAATACAATAAATATGTCAACGCCGCTTGTTTAGGAATAAATTGCTCTTTATTAATTAATTCACTCAAACTTATTTTCACAGAAACATGAGTGCAAATGATGGCAAATTTTCAAATTCATTCTTGCGACATAAGAAACCATTAGAAGCTGATATATTAATTACAACAATTTAAGACTTTTCAGCAAGTATTTTATTCAGTGAAAGTAATTTTTTTAAGATTCACTTTTGAACTTATTTTCTCAGAAATGAGAGGAATCATTTGAAAATATTGCCAATCTTTTGAAATCATAATTCTAAGAAAATAGGTTAAAACGCAAATAAATTAAAAAAATCTCACGATTTCAAATGATCAATATGAAAAGTCTTCATCCACTTTCAGGTTTTTTTTATCAAAGGGCACAGATCAGAGGTTGAGCTATTTTTGCTAATGGAAATTATTCGCTGCTCTTTGGATTGGAGTTTGACATTGAAGCAAAATTACATAGCTTAAAATTTAATCAATTTTTTTTCTTTTGCGAAAAAAATACTTTTTAATGATTCTCTAATCTCCGACTTGCGTTCTGGAGGACAATTGGAGCGATATAAAAGCAGAGTCTTTGGCCCAAGTTTCTCATTCAAGGTTCAACCATGGGCCTTTTTTACTTCGCACTTTTGTTCCTCGTCACAGCGACCCTGGCCAACGACCAGCAGCAAAAAAAGGTATGGTCTTCCTTCTTTATTTAAAATTTTTATTTCCTTTTAGTGAAAATTAATTTTCCCAATAATATAATTTTGTGCAATAAAATAAAAAGAATTATTTTACCAGTCGCCAGAATTGGAGCAGCTGGAAGAGTTTCAGCGAGAAGTGCTAAAGAATTTCAATGAGACCAACCAAAGGATTGAAGAACTAACCAAGTTATCCGATGCTCGCTTTCAAAAGGTCAAGTTTATTAAGACTTTTTGTAAATTTACCGAGAAAAAGGCTGATTTATAAAAAAAAATGTAAACCTTATTTAATCTTTTTCTACACTTATTACAAAATTTTGTAGCCACATTATGGATTTAAAGGATAACTTTGTTTTCATTACAGGTCATGGAAATCTTAGTCTCCAAAAAATGTGCAGGTGCTTGTGAGTAAATAATTCAAAATTGTGGTTCGCGAATTCCAAAATATCAATCGAATTTTCAGGGTCGAATGAATTGTCGGCGCTTTCCAACGGCAAAAAATATTTATTTTCATATTCAGCCCGAGTAAGTTAAAATTAAGATGGAAAAGAACAGAGTTTAAAAATTGCTTATTATGAAAGTCTCATTTTACATGTTTGTATTTGCCGGCTCATAAATTTTGGATAAAACTTGTAACAATCAACAAATTAGGCGAAAAATTTGGGAAATAAAGAAACAACATAATTTAAAATGCCTCATACTCTTGATAATGATAAATTTAAAATTGCAAGCTTTAAAATAATCAGAATTAATTCAGTGTGTCAAAAAGTTTCCAATTGGAGCTTTGAATAAAATAAATTTACACTCAAATGTTATCCAATCATCGCACAATCAGAGCTAGAAATTTGCATAAAATCGGGGGCATGTAAATAAATTTTAAAGTGTGTTTTTTTAGGAAGGGAATAAAAACTATGTAATTAAAGTTCCTCGATATAATTTGAAAATTTCCAGTACTCATGGAAGGAAGCGAACGAAATTTGCGCAAATAAGGGCCTGCACTTGGTCACGTTGCAAGACCTGGATGAGCTGCGACTTTTGCGCACTGAGGCCACCAGACTGCAACCTGGTAAGAATTTTAATTCAATTTTTCACAGATCTGAATAAAAAGAAAAAATGTAAATGACAGGCCAGAGTTGGTGGGTGTCGGCGAAGAAAGACGCCGGTCAAACGGACTTCACGTGGCTCAACGGAACCAAGTTGGGCTTGGACAGCAATTTGTGGAAGGAAGGCGCCGACACTAAATACGAATACGTTTATTTCTACTCTGGCGACGGCGACTTGGGAAATTTGGACACCACCCCCAGCGACGATGTCAATTACATCGTTTGCCAACTGCCAACTAATTGTTACTGATTTTCAATTTTATATATTAATAAAATTGTTTTAAAAATCTGAACATGACGTTTGTAAATGAATAAGAATTTTGTGCAATTTTTTCCATTAAAAGTGTATATACTTTTCTTAAAAAAAATCACATAAATATTTAAAAAAGGTCAAAGGTTATCAAAACTTAAGAGAAATATTTTGCACTCTTAAATTCAAATAAACTTATTTGTTTTCCTCCTAAGAACAGGTTAAAGTGCACGCGGCAATCCGTGCACTGCGGTTTGCGTCAGTCGTGGCATTCACGAATCGAAAGGTCAACTGCGACGACATGGACCGTCTCTGGTTCTTGCTCGTCGTCGTCCTCGACGTGGCTGGTGCTGCCAACCACCAACAAATTGAGCACTCGTTCATGGTAAACTACAATCATCAATTAATTCTTTTTTAAATTAAAATGAGGCTAAAATTAAACTGATGTACAAATTTTTTATATAAATCATAATCAGATATTTCAGTTTACTAAAAATTTTAAAATTTAACAAAACGAAATATTTTTTTTTTTCTTAGACCTGAACATTATAAATAAAATTATTTACTTGTATGCTGATTTGCGAGACTTATTTTTCATGGAAATACGAGAAGCCTAAAAAGATTTCCTCGTCCGCTAAAAATTTAAACTTTTCGCCCAATTATTCGATTCACAAATTTAATAGAAAATTAATTGCTTTTTATAGGGATGCGATTCAGTAAAAGAGGTTGAAAGACTGCAACAAATCGCCAGCACCTTTGAAAATCTAGTAAATTTAATGAACCCTGGAACCTAAATAACTTAATCATCGAAATAAATTATATTTTGAAAGGTGGCAAGGGAGGCGGAAGCAGAGAAGGAAATTTCGACGCAGTTGTCGTCAATGCTGAATTTAATCGACGTCATTTGGAAAAGACAGGACAAGTTGGAACAACAGGTCAGTTCAAACCTTTATCTGTCTGAAAATTATAAAAATGCCAGGTTTCGATTGATGCTGGAGAATTCAAGTCACTAATGCAACGAGTTTCGAATTTGGAACAAAAGTCGGAAAAATCAGAAAAGCGCCAAGATGAAACGGCGAGAATGGAAGATCAAATTGAGGAGTTGAAACGGCAGGTTTTGCAATTGAAAGAGGAAAAATCTATTTTGGGCGAATCGGAAACGCGCCTCCAAGAACAGGTAAAAAATCAAATTGAGTAAAAATTTAAGCATTATTTTAAATGGAAACTTTTAAAACTCGCGATTCTAGATTTCAAATTTGACCAGAGAAAAGTCCGAGGTCGCAAAAGCGGCGCAAAAAGCGAAAGTAACTTGCGATCTGGTATTTTTTGCTAATTCACGTAGCAGGAAATATTTTAAAATCTAACTTTCAGATGATTAAGGTGAAAGATTTTCTCTTGGAAAAGTGGTCAAACAGGAGTGCAGTCGACCAGGTAAACTATATTTGAAATTTGTTTAAAAATTTATAAATAAAAAATATTTCAGGCTAAATTCTGCGGCCTTTCGCGTGAGTACCGCAAACTTTGAATTGTATATTATTTATTATTAATTTTTATATTATTTATTATTCCTTTGAATTTCAGGTGCGTTGAACTTGCGGACGCTTTCAAACGGCAAAAAGTACCTTTACAACTATCCACGTTCTGTGAGACTTTTTCCATTTTTGAAGTTTTGGAATTTTTTACTGAGATTTATTTAATTTTTTTCGCAGGCAAACTGGGATCTTGCAAACGAGAACTGCGAAAGGCAGGGTCTCCATTTAGTGACCCTGGCTGATGTGAACGACCTGCAAGTTGTGTCCGCAGAGGCGGCGCGGATTAATCCAAGTACAAAACATTTAATATTTTTTTTTTTGAAATTTCAAACAATTTTAAATGCGTGCAGCTTGGACTTGGTGGGTGTCGGCGAAGAATTATGGAGTCGGAGGCGAAAAAGACTTTCGTTGGAAAAATGGACAAGAGTTGCCAGTGGACAGCGATATGTGGCAGCAAACTGCGGCCCTAAGGCGCGAATGCGTCATCATTTCTCCCCACGGCAGCCGAAAGTTGAGCACCGCGCCGACCTGCGACGTTTCTTATTTTTCATCTGCTTCCAACAGAATGTTATCCACAAAATTTGAAGTAAAAAATTTATTTTTCCTGATGAACGAAAAAAAATACTATAGAAATTATTTATTTGATTTATTGGTTTTTAAAGTGAAATGAAAAGTTTTTCATAAAAATATTCTGATTTTTTTAGGCATATTATGTTGAAAAATTAATAATTTTATTGTACCCATGAAAAGTTGCAAAACTTCATTATATTTCTATAAATAAATTGCTCCCTTATATAACAGGAAAACGAGGTTTGAAGGTTTTAGTTAGCAAAATATTGATTTTAAATTACTCTCTAATTTTGAATGTTTTTCTGATCATCTATAATATATATGAAAATTTTAAAATAAAAAAGGGGACATTTTTTCCTGCTTGATGCTCATTCGAATTAGTAAAAGGAACTTGCCATCAGCATAAAAAAATCTAACACGTGAGCTAAAAATGGATAATGAAAATAAAAGTAAATAGAGCATTTTATTGTTATAAATATTTTACCATAACCAAGAGTTGCGTAAAAATGAGTAAAAAGAATAATCGGCAATTCTCATTGGACTATTTTGCTCTTACACTTCATTGCATAACGTAACCAGGGATCATCAATATACTAACATATTGGCATTCTTGGCCCATTAATCTTAAGTGCAATTGTAATTAAACAATCTCAAGAAAATTCGTTAATTAAATATTTTATTTTCTTGCGTTCTTAATATAATAAACAATATCAGCTAATGAAATGTGAAAAAATTTATTCGGATTCAAAGTTTCAAGATACTAACTCTTTCTATCAACAAAAAAGGATATATTGTGATAAAAACAAGTGTTTTCCTTGTTTTCTTTTCTCCGATCTGCTCGAATGCCTCGTCAGATCTTATCTTTGTCAGTCAGTGTCAGTACTCATTGTCTCATAAATCTCATAGCTCCATCCATAAAACACGCTGACGCAATTATTCAAAATCCTAACTAAAATAACCCACGGCGCGACATCTGTATTTGATAACACAAATTACAAATTAATATGCGAATTATAGAAGGTGAGGGAGTTAAGTGTGTGCAATAGAAAAGCAGAGAATCCTTTTGGGTGTTGATTTATTGAACTGCAAAAATAAATATGCAAATTAATTATTGAGAAAGGAAAAATTACCATGTGCTTTTTTGTATGCACTTTCAATCAAAGAATTTTACATGAATTACAGATTTGGATTATTGATTTTTACATTCAGCAATTAATCAGGAACAAAATAAGTTATGGAATTTTCACAAAACTCACCCCTGTTCGGGTTCAAATTTGGTTTAAATTGTGCACTAATTTTAGCGTGGTGCACGGCTGAGAAATCGCAGCCAACATGGCCGGCTTCGAGCACCTTCGCGTACCCTCGGGATTTTACCACTCGAGCGCCATCAAGTGGTGACGGCCACAAAGGTATCCAACACAAAAAAGTCTCATTCATTAGGTTGAAACAGTCGACGCTTGACTTTTTTTAATAGGACTTTTTTCATATATCCATAATATACAGGCAACATAAAGGCAACAAGCGGTTACAAGCGTGTTGTGTTTTGCTTGATATCTGCTTCGCTGATCTCGCTTCATTTTTTATTATATTATCATTCAAGATTACAAGGTAAGCCCATAATTTTTTCATCGTCTTCCTATTTGTTTTTTGAATAGAAACAAAATGGAAATTCTTGTGAGTCTCACAATGAAAATAAATAAAATTAATAATAAATTCAATTTCTAATTTTTAAAAATTTGCATACGCGAGCTTGAAATTAATTGATTCTCACTTTTTGTTTTTCTTTCAGCCCTTATTCTAGCATACTAAAAGCAGTGATGATGATGACTTCAGATCAAACTCCAATTCAAATTAATCGATTGCTATTAAAAATCGAATTGCACCGCTTCATCACTCTTCTGCTCATCAGAAATTAGCAAACAAGACATTCGGCTGGAACTCAAATTGTCCGTTTTTGAAAAATATCCAAACAGCGTCCAGAACATCCCGATCGGCCACGACGAGCAGGTGGATATCATGCATGACGCAAAAGGCAAAAAGAAAAATGGCACTACAACCTTCATGACTGATGACGATGCTCAAGGAGTTGAAAATGCAAATCCTGATGTTGGGCCGCCTCCGGTTCCTGCCCCACCAGAAGGTGATAACAACCAAAATCAAGTACCTGCCCCGCCAGAAGGTGATCAATAACAACCAAAATTGACAAGAGCAACATGTATGTATGATTAATAAGTTTTAATGTTGATCATCATAATGCTCGAGAAATTGCTTGCAGCGTAAAATTGGAGCATAAAGTCCAGCGGCACCTGGCTAATTTTTGGTAGGCTTTCCAGCAGATGGATGAATGGAGGAAGTCAGTATCATGGACTTTTCAGAAGACGAAAAAAATAAAATATTCTTATAATACATAACTCATTCCATAAATGCTTGTTGTATATTCCAAATTCCTTGCTTAGAGAATTAATCTTTTGATAAAGAAAAATTAAATCACTGCTTGCACAAGAGAGGAGGAGACTTGAATTTAAAGTTTCCTAGGAGGCTTTGTCATCTGTCCTCATTGAAAAATTAAAAAAATTTCCCCTGAAATAAAATAAATTTCAATGAGGTCCAAACCATTTTTTCCATGCCTATATTTTTTTTTATAAAATCATGTCAGTGGATGAGAATAATTTTTTTTTTTTTTATTTGAAAGAGATATTTATTGTTCGAATGTGTGGCACAGTGGTTAGTGCGCTTGGCTGATAATCTGGAGGCCTTGGGTTCTATCCTGGCCAGGGTCAGGGCTTGAAAAAGTTCTGATTCTGACCGGCTAGTTCACAAGACTACAGAAAATCATAGGAGGTGCATTAATCACTGCGACAGGCAGATTCGGGAGAAATTGCAGGCATTTCGTCTGAAATTTCGGCCATGCTGTCTGGTGTTTTCTGCGGTTTCCATCAGACATTCCAGGCAAATGCCGGCATAGTTCCCATTCATAGGCCGCAGCCGCTCGTGCCTTCCTCATCCTTCAAATTCCCAACATACAAACACATCCTACACTCCCTTCTCCCCGGCCCAGTGGGTCGCAAGGTCACCGTGTTATCGGCCCTTGCGATTTAGCAGCCTGTCTGCTACCGCTGGTGCCTTTCCCAAGAGGAATAAACAATAAAAAAAATAAAAAAATGGTATATTATTCCAAATTCCTTTTGCTTTAGAGAATTTGCTTTTTCATAATGAGAAAAAAATCTTAAATTCACTGCTTGCACAAAAGAGGAGAGACTTTGGATTTAAAAAGTCCTATGATGAACATAGCGTGAACATCAGTGAACAACAACAGGCTTTGTCTTTGTTGAAAAATTAAAAAAATTTATTAAAAAAAATAACAATTTCAACCAGGTCAAAACCCGTTTTTATTTTAATTCTATACTTTTTGGTGTATAATAAAATAATATATGTCAGCGAATATGAGTTAAACTTTATTAATAATGTGATAAGTAAATACAATTTTCACATTTTTTGATCTAACTAAGGCCCTAAAGCACACTCTCTTCCAACATTTAATCATTAAACATCAGACTAGACTTTTAGAGTTGCTCAAACTGGTGACTCACTCAAAGTCTAAGGAAAATTCCGGCACAAAACTTCGCTCTATTCATGTCATCGCCACATCAAATCTATTAAAAAAAAAATTCCCTGCCTTTACAGATCCGCAACAAAAGATATCGCAACCCCCCCCCCCCCCCCCGCCTTTGACCGGGAGCATATAAAGCAAGACTTTTATGTATAGACATAGACTTTTTTTACCTTAGACTTTCCCTCTGGCTCTGGAGTGCAAAAGGAATAAGGAATTTACGTCGTGCATTTTCATTTTCATTTGTGCGTTTCTCAATGCAACCTACCCCGGCCAAGGCTGAGACCGAAGCGGAAGAGTGAGTTTTCCAAATTAACATTTAGGTTTTGGCGCGCGATAAATAGCGTTAAATTTTCAATGATTTGAGATTTTAAAGGACGACGCGCACGCGGAGTGAAAATAATTTATGGGCCATATTTTTTATAGTTTTAAGGGTAATTACTGAATTCCGTGAACGAAAACATGCCCTTTTGGTTTTTAGATATATTATTTTAACCTTACTAAAAAAATCTCAAATTTGATCCGTTTACGGCATGTATGGCTGACCTGGCGTTTTCAGTCGAGTTAAACATGTAAATCAGACTTAACATTGAGGTCAATTTAAACAGCGAGAAGGAAGAAAAGGGAACTTTTACCTTTCCGGCGGCAAGTCTAACAGGCCTTTGCGAGCAGCTCTCCCGAGTCAGTCGGTTTATAGTAGAAACCGCTACGCTGCTGCGCTGACTGGAGCGCTTCTTCTCGCGTGGCATTTCGGCCGATTTTTGCCTTTTTCGGGCCGAATTTGGGCTCAAGCGTTTGTCAATTGTGGGAGAAAAAGAGCGAACGGGTTTAGCAACCCGATGTTGTCCCGAGGGAATGAATCAATAAATCGCTCTGATTGAAAGTTTTTAAATTTTGGCGATCGAGAAGCTTATAATTCTAGAATTGTTAAGGCATGCGGAAAATCGCGGTGTTATCTGTTTTTTTTTTTTTTTTTTATCTCCGAGCAGCCGTTGTCGCGCTATGCGCATAAATACGCGCCGGTCTTTGCTAAATTTGCTTGTCGCTTCGCTCGGCGCGCTGCTGCACTCGCGGTGGAGAGCGGCGCGCTCGATTCATTAGAAGTTTGCGCGAATTTAATATTTTATTAGCAAGCGTTGAGATAAATCGTTTAAATTTTCACCATTGACAGCAAACTAAATGAAATATTTTTTTGTTGTTTATTCTTCAAAATTTTTATATTTGGAGCAAATTTATTAACGTTTCCGCGAGAATTTTGTTTTTTAATTTTTAAATTAGAGGGAAAATTTTAAAAATACAAACCCTAACTGGAAATTGTAGTTAATTAAATTCTCTAAAATTTATTTCCAAGATGTTTTGTCGTCAAAATTTTTTTTACCAACGGGATGACCAAAGTCAAAATATTACTCTTTCTCATTAAAATTTTACTTTATATTTTTTTCTGAGATAGACAATCGATTGTAAATTTAATTTTGATCTTGGAATTCAAATTTCATCAAAATAATGTATTGAGCCGTTTTGAAGTTTGAGCGTATGAACTATAACTTGCGAAGCGGCCTCAACGGCTTTTTTAGGTGGCATCAGTTAGTACTTAGTGAACAAAAAACGGTTCTATTTTGATAAATTTGAGTTCTGATGTAAAAATTAAACTTACAATGGATTGGCTATCTCAGAAAAATTCATAAAGAATATTTTCAATGAGAAAAAGTAATATTTTTACTTTGGTCATTCCACTCATTCCGTTGGTAAATAAAAAAAAATTTGACAACAAAACGTCTTGGAAATAAATTTTAGAGAATTTAATTAACTAAAATTTCCAGTTAGGGTTTATATTTTTTAAATGTTCCCTTTAATTAAAAACTTTAAAAAATAAAAATTCTCGCGGAAACGTTAATAAATTTGCTCCAAATATAAAATTTTTGATTCAAAAATTTTGAAGAATAAAAAACAAAAAAAATATTTAATTTAGTTTGCTGCCAATGGTGAAAATTTGAACGATTTATCTCAACGCTTGCTAATAAAATATTAAATTCGCGCAAACTTCTAATGAATCGAGCGCGCCGCTCTCCACCGCGAGTGCAGCAGCGCGCCGAGCGAAGCGACAAGCAAATTTAGCAAAGACCGGTGCGTATTTATGCGCATAGCGCGACAACGGCTGCTCGGAGATAAAAAAAAGAAAAAAACAGATAACACCGCGATTTTCCGCATGCCTTAACAATTCTAGAATTATAAGCTTCTCGATCGCCAAAATTCAAAAACTTTCAATCAGAGCGATTTATTGATTCATTCCCTCGGGACAACATCGGGTTGCTAAACCCGTTCGCTCTTTTTCTCCCACAATTGACAAACGCTTGAGCCCAAATTCGGCCCGAAAAAGGCAAAAATCGGCCGAAATGCCACGCGAGAAGAAGCGCTCCAGTCAGCGCAGCAGCGTAGCGGTTTCTACTATAAACCGACTGACTCGGGAGAGCTGCTCGCAAAGGCCTGTTAGACTTGCCGCCGGAAAGGTAAAAGTTCCCTTTTCTTCCTTCTCGCTGTTTAAAATGACCTGCGAGGCTCAATGTTAAGTCTGATTTACATGTTTAACTCGACCGAAAACGCCAGGTCAGCCATGCATGCCGTAAACGGGTAAATTTGAGATTTAATTATTTTTTATTTTGTGTTGAATAAACGCATTTTAAACCGAATACACTTAACAACGCAAACACAACACAACTGTACACAAAAATTAAAAACAAAACACACACACACACACACTCACACCAACAAATTAACAATACGCAATTTAAATGTTTGATTTTGTGTTTTATTTTTATTTTATTACAGTCGAGACTTAAATATTTTAAATATACATTTTTTTAATAAAACACATTTTTTTAACGAGGACAAAGCCCATTTAACCACATTTGATTTAAAATTTTAAATTGCAAATAGGATTTAACATCTGAATATATTACTTGTAAGAAATTAATTCTGTTACATTTTATAAATTCGCAGTACATACATTGCCGTTTCAGCTCTGTTTATATGTGTCGCCGCTATTTATAAGAAAACAATTATTTGTTAAAAGAAATAGCCTTATTACATTGATAAAAAAAGTTCTCATCATAATTTCATTGAGCAGGAATATTAAAAATCTTAAAAATGTTTCTCTGTATTTATGGTCAGAATTTCAAAATAATTTTCATTCACCTTTATATGAATCTTCACAATTGAAATGGAAAAATTAAAAATGATATTCTAATTTTTAAAAGTTTGCATGACATTAATTGATTCACTTTTTGTTTTTCTTTCAGCCCTTCTAGCATACTAAAAGCAGTGAAGATGACTTCCGATCAAGCTCCAATTCATATCGATCGATTGCTCTTAGGAATCGCATTGCACCGCCTCTTTACTTTTCCCCCGAACTTCAAAAAAAGATTCGCCCTGGATCAGGAGGTTTTTGCCGAGGCTGGATATTATTGCCAAAATTCAAACAGAGCGATTCGGCTGCGATGCCACTTCTGCTCATCGGAAATTAGCAAACAAGAAATTCGCAACTTTGGGAACTTGGACGCGGTGAAGAATTTCGTGGCAGGAAAAAACTGTCCGGTGAAATCGGATGACTCGGACAACGTCCCTCTCAACGTCAAACAACTCGACAACTTCAAGTTCGAGTCGCACCGACTGTACTCGTTGTTGAAAAAGGACGATTGGCAGTTTGTAACACCAGCAGACTTGGCCGCCGACGGATTCTACTACGAAGGGGTTAGTTAGTTTAATAATTTTAGCTACTTCAATGCTCTTTTTGGCCTTTTATTAATAAAAAAAATTCTAATTCTAATAATTCATTCCATTTTACAATTGAAACGAAGTGAAAAAGTAAAAAAAAATTTGTTTTTCAAATTAAAATTCCCATCATTTATATGTTCTGTGCAAAAAATTAAAAGAACCAAATTTTTTTGTTTTGCAGGTGGATGACAATTGTCGCTGCCGGTTCTGCAACCTGGGGATTCGCGGTTGGGAGGTTGGGGACCAGGTTCGGTCCCAGCACCTACGCTGGAACGCAGATTGTCCGTTTTTGCGAAATCCAAACAGCGTCCAAAACATCCCGATCGGCCACGAGCAGGTGGACATCATGCACGACGCGATCGGCGAAAAGAAAATGGGCACTACAACCTTCCCGACTAATGGTGGTGCTCAAGGAGTTGAAAATGCAAATCCTCCTGATGTTGGGCCGCCTTTAGCTCCTGCCCCACCAGAAGGTGATAACAACCAAAATTGACAAGAGCAAAATGTATGTATGATTAATAAGTTTTAATGTTGATCATCATAATGCTCGAGAAATTGCTTGCAGCGTTAAATTGGAGCACCTGGCTAATCTGGTAGGCTTTCCAGCGGATGGATGAATGGAGGAAGTCAGTATCATGGACTTTTCAGAAGATGAAAATATAAAATGCTCTTACAATAACTCATTTCATAAATGCTTGTTGTATATTCCAAATTCCTTGCTTAGAGAATTAATCTTTTGATAAAGAAAAATTAAATCACTGCTTGCACAAGAGAGGAGGAGACTTGAATTTAAAGTTTCCTAGGAGGCTTTGTCATCGATCTGTCCTCATTGAAAAATTAAAAAAAATTCCCCTAAAATAAAATTTCAATGAGGTCGAAACCATTTTTTCCATGCCTATATTTTTTTATAAAATCATGTCCGTGAATGAGAATAATAAAATAAAAGGTTATTAATATGATAAAAAGATTGTATCACTATGTATTTTTTCTACATGTTTGGTTGTTGGCCAGGCCCAGCCGTTGCCAACCTGCGACTTTTCTATTTTTTTTTCATCTGCGAGCTGCCAACAGTGAAAATAGTTATCCACAAGATTTAAATTAAAAAATTCTTTTTTTTTCTAGTGAATGACAAAAATAAATTATAAAACTGTTTCTTGGTTTATTTGGTTTTTAAAATGAAATAAAATGTTGTAGTAAAAAAAATTATCTACTCTTTAACCAATTTATATTGAAATATTATGAATATTATGACAATTCATTGTTACTTCCATACAAATAATTCTTCATTTTTCAAATATATGTTGGGAAAACAAGTCACGCAATTTTTGAAACATTCTTTGCCTAATTTTCGAAAATAAATTTAAAAAATTAATGTTCAAAAATAAATTTTTTATCTGCACATACAATCCTTTTGAATTAGTACAAGCAGGAAGAGGTCATCAATGAGCCATCAGCGAAAAATAAAAAAAAATACTGAAACGGAAGTCAAAAATTGATTAAAATTGAAAATAAAAAAATATATATGGCAATAATGATATTATTTATAATATTTAGACACAGCTAGAGCTATAGCTAACACTTGTGTAAAAATGAGGAAAAATAATAAACGGGTCACAACTCGATTCACTACTTAACATCTTTAGTCATTCATTGTGTAAGTAAAATTTAAATTAATAAGGAAATTCATTAATTCAATATATACTTTTCGTGTTTTTTTTTTTATTAACAATCAGTTAATGACAGGTGAAATTTTTTGATTCAAGATAAAATGATTATTGCTACTCTTTTGTTTCTTTTCTCCGATCTGCATGCTGGGATGCCTTGGATCTTGAATAAAATGCGCTGACACACGCGTTAATTAATTAATCAAAATCTTAACTAAAATACCCACGACGTGACATCATCTGTATTCCATAATCCATAATGCGCAGTTATGAATTATAAAAGACGAAAGTCCACAAAAAGTGTCAATTATGGTCAATGGTGAGCAACTCGTTGAAACCCCTTTTATTGCTTAGACTTTTTTTATCCTAAGACTTTTTTCATTTCCTTATAAATAGTTAGACACAAGCGTTCTTTCTGCTTCATTTTTTTTATGTATTAATTCATATTATTATCGTTCAAGATTAGAGGTTTAAGAAGCCCACAATTTTATAAGTAGTCTTCCTTTATGCAAACCTTAATAAATTATGAACACGCCGCACTTTTGTGTGAGAGTTTAAACCTTGCTTCCCTTCCCGCCTCTTTGCGACTATGGAAGCATAAAATAATTAAGCAAGACTTTTTGGATAGACTATAGACTTTTTATCCGGGACTTTTCCCATACTAAGAATTTAAGAATCAAGTTAGTGACGACGTGGATTATATTTGCGCGTTTTGTGTTTTTTGATTATAAAAAACGCAACATATACCCCGTACCCCGGCTGAGACCAAAGCGGAAGAGTAAGTTTTGCCAAATTATCATATTTATAGTCTTTGGCGCGCGATAATAGCGTTAAATTTGAGATGATTTGAGATTTTACAGGGCGCGCGCAAAAGTGAAAAAATTAATATGTTATAACACTATGATGAGATTGATTATTGGTTCGCACGGGATTTGGGCCATGATCGCTAATTGACTGGGCCCAATAAGCAGAGAGGAGATGTGCGCGCATCGTCACAATGGGAGCGGCGAATATAACTGATTTCCGCGGCCTATAACTAATTAGCCACCATAATTTTGGCTTCAATATTAGAAGAAAAGCACAATTTAAAAGTTTGATTTTTTTTATTACAGTTGGGCCTTGAATATACTGAATTCATTTTTTTTTTTTTTTTTAAATTAAAAATAATCTTTTAACGAGGACAAAAAGCCCATTTTACCACGTGGTAATTAATTTTGATTTTATGCTTACGAACATAAGACTTTATTTTTCTGATTTTACTAAAAATTGTAAGACTTTTTCAACATTTGAGAAATCAAATAACATGGTTCTTTTGGCAGCCTAAAAGTCTTAAAATGATTGAATCTTTTCAATCCTAAGATATATGTTGTACTAAATGCAAACTAAAAAATATTGGCGTTGGAAAAATCAAAATTGGTTCAGAGCGTGGGGCTGTAGTCAGGCGATCAAAGCTTAATAATTGGCTTCGGTTGCCTACTTTACAAGTCTTTGATCGCCTGACTACAGCCCCACGCTGAACCAATTTTGATTTTTCCAACGCCAATATTTTTTATTTTGAATCTAGTACAGCATATCTTAGACTTGAAAAGATTCAATCATTATAAGATAAGGCTGCCATAAGAACCAATGTTATTCGATTTCTCAAATGGTGAATTCTCTTATGTTTTGGAAATGCACGCAGTAAATTATTGCTCTCAGAAATATTTTTGTGTGTGTGTCAGAAATTAAAAAATCCTGCAGACCAATTCAGACGTTCTGATTTTATTAGATGTTATTAAAATTTGCGAAAATTTGATTATTATTATAGTGTTACGGTTTACGGCGGATGAGGGGAACGTATGAGCTTCCTCATGGATACGCCGGCTTCCTTTTAATATTCCTTCATATGTATGAAAATTCATGTGAGTCTCACTATTAATAGGGAAAAATAATAAATTAAATTTCTAATTTTTAAAATTTGCATATGATACCGTTCCAGAGCTTGAAATTACAATACTAATTTCACTTTTTGTTTTTCTTTCAGCTCCTCTTCATAAATATTTCAATTAGGAGTCATGCCTTTGGGTCAAGCTCCAATTCAAAAATATCGTTTGCAACACAGAATCGAATTGCACCGCCGCTTCACTTATCCCTCGAACTTCAAAAAAAGGTTCGCCCTGGATCATGAGGTTTTTGCCGAGGCTGGATATTATTGCCAAAATTCAAACGGAGCGATTCGGCTGCGATGCCACTTCTGCTCATCAGAAATTAGCAAACAAGAAATTCGCAACTTTGGGAACTTGGACGCGGTGAAGAATTTCGTGGCAGGAAAAAACTGTCCGGTGAAATCGGACGACTCGGACAACGTCCCTCTCAACGTCAAACAACTCAACTTCAGGTTCGAGTCGCACCGACTGTACTCGTTGTTACAAAAGGACGACTGGCAGTTCGTAACACCGGAAAACTTGGCCGCCGACGGATTCTACTATACAGGGGTAATTAAATTTCTATGCACGAAGAGTTTCTTCTTTAATTTTGAACTGAATTTGCTCAAATCCAGTTAGAACGTTTTCCAACTAAAATGACAAATTGTTATAATAATAACCTAAAAATTATTTCAATTTACTTTGTCGTCACTTCCAGTATTTTAGAATAAGATGATAATGTCTACCAAAATTGGAAGGAAGTTGAACTAATTAAATTTGTTTTCAAAAACATAATAAATAATAATATGACTAAAATCAATTGAAAGGCCAGTAATTAAACTTTCTGCTTTTTTAATTATTCGAAATAATAAAGAATTTAAAGTTTAACTTTTACACTCGTTTTAAAAAAGTGTAGTAAAAATAATAAAGTTTTCTATAAAATTCACTTGGGAATAAAGAAACATTTAAATTGTCTTTTGCAGCGTTACGAATTGTGCTAGTTTCTGATTAAATTTGTCCGTGTATAAGAGGACGTCAATTTGGTTTTATTTAATTCGGAAAAATTATAAATTTATGACTTTTTTACAAGATTCATGAAATTTCATTGTCCTTGTGGTCTTAACTCCTGTTATGTTAATTTGGAAAAATATGCTGTTTATATTATAATTATTTTATTCAAACAAAATATACAATTTATTTTTAACTTAAAAAAAACAATGCCAAATTTGAAAAATATTAAGTAGTGAATTAAATTATATTTTATTCCCTATCATTTTCTTTTAAATTAGTAAAGGTGTACAATTTTAATATTGTAATTCTACAAATCTTGATTGATATATAATCTTTGACTTTTTCATTTAGAGATTTATTTTAATTTCCAGGAATAAAATTTTTGTTTGGCAGGTGGACGACAACTGTCGCTGCCAGTTCTGCAATCTGGAGGTTCGCGGTTGGGAGGACGGGGACCAGGTTCGGTCCGAGCACCAACGCTGGAACGCAGAATGTCCGTTTTTGAAAAATCAAAACAGCGTCCAGAACATCCCGATCGGCCAAGAACTGATCAAAATCAAGATCTGGGGCACCACATTTCCCTTCACGACAGACAAGGAGTTGCTGCAGAAGTTCGGCAAAAACGTGATCCTGAAGAACCCGAAGGTGTCTCTTGTGAAATTGAACATTGAAGAGTGGTCAGAGTCGAGGCACCCTCGCTACACCACGTTCGCCGGCCGACTGGCAACGTTCCTCAACAGGTGGCCCCAGAGCATGACCCAAAAGCCGGAAGCCCTGGCCCTGGCAGGCTTTTTCTACACAGGTTGCGGTGACAGGGTCATCTGCTTCCACTGCAACCTGGGACTGAAGGACTGGGCGCGTGAAGACGAACCTTTGGAGCAACACGAGCGTTGGAACGCGGCCTGTCAGTATCTGGACATGAGGAAAAAAGAGAAGAAACAAGTGGCGGGGCACAAGGGAAGCGTCCTGTGTGTCCAATGCAAGGATGAGAGGGTCGCCATGGTCAACCTGCCGTGCGGCCACGCCAACAGCTGCACCACGTGCTCGGAGAAGGGCGAACGCTGCGTCATGTGTGACAGCATCGTAATAGGCCAAGTCCGATTTTTCCCTTAACCCAACAAAGATGAAAATATAAAAGAGTAGCACCAATATCGTCAGAGAGAAATTGAGTTATATTATATTTTATATAATTCCACGGATGATCTCTCATTTTCTGCTCAACGTTTACATCTTGTAAAATTTATTTGCAAAAGACCAAATTAGTAAGGTTTGTTAAAAGAAAGTTTTAAATATCTTGTCTGAATATCTCTTACACACAAATCGCAACGAGCATATTCAAAGTCAGTAAAGACAACAGGCCCGGGAGTGGACGGCGTCTCTGTGCGTGATGTGCAGAGTGCCGGCGCTTCTCTCTTGCCAACATTATTTCCTTTGTGATAAACAAATGCATCTCACAAATATCCAAAATATTTATCCGACCGATGTAATTTAATTTTGAAAAATTTTACGCTAATAAATTATTATTATTATAATTATTATCTCAAAAATATCCAAAATGTTTATCCGATCGATGTAATTTAATTTTGAACAATTTTGCCCTAACAAATTATTATTATTATTTCTTCATATTTGACCTAAATCAAGGCCTTTGATGTTCTTTACTATCAAAAATAAGTAGAAAAATTAAAGCGTTTTGGTGTCGATGGCTCATTCCTGCAGCTTTCAATAAGTTTCCTTTCTGAACACATATTATTTTTTGTCCGCCTGTTATTAATGAAAACAGTAAGGAATTTGACATGAATTCTGGAGTTCCTCAAGGTTCAATTTTGGGTCCAATATTTTTTGTTCTTACTGAATTATATCGTCCCTGTCAGAATGAACTAACTTTGTATTTTTTAATAATTATCATAACAAGCTTAATTGTAAATCTAATTTTAGGAAGACCAATTAGCTTTAGACACCCATTCACCCATTGTACATACATGACCTACTACCAAGCTGTGTTTAATCGCCTCAATCTATCTGATCTATTGTTGAAAAAATTCATAATTTTAATTTTTGCTGATGAATAGCTACTTTATTTGCCCATATAATTGTGCTATATTTGTCGTGATGTGATTCAGTCTGCTGAGTTTTATATTATTACTGAATGGTCACTATGATAATCATGGTTTGATGCTTATAAAGGTCCCCCTTGGATTCGTTAATTTTCCCCCCAGCAAATATTGCTTGACGACAGTTTGAACAAAAAGGAATTGAAATCAGTGCCGTCATTTTTGGAAGAAAAACATGTCATAAATGCATCTCAAATATCTTGATCTTTTTTTGCTAAGGTTTTGACCAGTCAAAAACCGTAACCAACAAACAATATAACGCTCTTATATCTGATTCAACCACCTCATTGCTTATTGTTGTACTTGAGTAATCTGGAAGCCCTGTGAAGGGCCGATTTTTGATTGTTACTGCTGAAGAAAATAGTAATAATTAATAGATTAGATATTAAACAATATTATGAATGTTAAAATAGTTGAATGGTATTAGATTAACCTAGCAAATATTATAGAATATGAAGATTGAAGATTGTAAAATGTATTATTCAATTTTCTCATTATAATTTTCAAAGACATAAACCTAAAGCTAGCACGAATTGTCATAATAAATCTACATCAGGAACCTTATTTTGATATCCAATGTAGCAACATAGCATGTACTTTAAATTAAATATAATATCTTTATCAATTTTATCTTTATTGTATTGAACAATATTGTAAATTGCTTTGGCAACATTATTGATATTGCCTCATGTCTCTTACTTGATTTGTTTGGGTGGCCCTGAAAAGGGCCGATTTTCAGAATTCTAATGACGACTTATGCCTTCTTGTCGGTCTTCTTGGGGAGGAGGACGGCCTGGATGTTGGGCAGGACACCTCCCTGGGCAATGGTGACGCCGGAGAGCAGCTTGTTCAACTCCTCGTCGTTGCGGATGGCGAGCTGCAAGTGACGGGGGATGATTCTCGACTTCTTGTTGTCGCGAGCGGCGTTGCCGGCCAACTCGAGGACTTCAGCGGCCAAGTACTCCATGACGGCGGCCAGGTAGACGGGGGCGCCGGCACCGACGCGCTCGGCGTAGTTGCCCTTCCTCAGCAGACGATGGATTCTGCCGACGGGAAACTGAAGTCCGGCACGGCTTGAACGGGTCTTTGCCTTTCCCTTCACCTTTCCTCCCTTTCCACGTCCAGACATGATGATATAGTTGAGTTGTTGCGGCGGGGTCGACGAAACAGATAGTGATGTTATTACAATAGCTTGTTTATATACCAATGTGCCGGAGTGCGGCGCGAAACGGGTCGATCCGAGCAGCAGCGCCCTCCGAGCCAATCGGCGGAGAGGAAACTAGCGTGGCGCTGCGATCGGCTCGCGCTGCACTCCGGCCTTTTGGAATATAAACTGCGACCAGCGCAGGCATCAGCATCAGTTGCCACTGAACCGCACTCACCATGCCACCCAAAACCTCCGGAAAGGCCGCCAAGAAGTCGGGCAAAGCCTCGAAGAACATCACCAAGTCGGACAAGAAGGGCAAGAGGAAGCGCAGGAAGGAATCCTACGCCATCTACATCTACAAGGTGTTGAAGCAGGTCCACCCCGACACCGGCGTCTCCAGCAAGGCGATGAGCATCATGAACTCGTTCGTCAACGACATCTTCGAACGCATCGCCTCTGAGGCCAGCCGTCTCGCTCACTACAACAAGCGCTCCACCATCACCTCCCGGGAGATCCAGACCGCCGTCCGTCTCCTGCTGCCCGGCGAGTTGGCCAAGCACGCCGTTTCCGAGGGAACCAAGGCCGTGACCAAGTACACCAGCTCCAAGTAAGCTGCGCCACAATATCCAGCGGCAGCGAAAATCGGCCCTTTTCAGGGCCACCCAAAATACTCAAGTAAAATTACAAAGCAATAATCAAAATCAAACGAAGAACTTTGTTTTATATTTATATATTCAAGCAATCAAATGAAAATAAGTACAGCTATAAATAAAATATGAACGATAGTCATCAGATTTACTGTTAAATGTTGAACAATATCTGAAAATTAACATTTGGTTCAGCGTTTGAACTGAAGGCTATTCCAACTGCCGTCCGAGCGACGTGGGCCTACTGTTTGCTCCATATATCACCTGCTTTCCTTCCCCCATTTGATTTTTAACCATCTACCCTTCACGATTATGATTATAACGGTCGCTCCCAATTTGCCGCGTCTGAAAACTGAAAAGCTTGCTTTAGGTGGCATATTTAGTGCTCGCTACCGCTAATAATACGACTGATTGAAATAATTTGAATAATTATTTTAACGACATTATGGATTACGGTGCTTCGTGTATTATTTTTCTCCAAATTGTAGAGTATAATAAAATTACACATTATCTTTCAGACTCCAAGAATTACGGCTACAGCCAGAAGCTGAAATATGCACAGTTCTGCTTTTATTATTAACGACTCTCAAAAAGCATATCGAGCTTTTAAAATGAGTAATGCGGTAGTTTATAGAATCATACAATATGATCATTTTTCCCAATTTAATTTTTATCATGTTTGACTTGAGGAAAATAAACAACAATAATTTAATCTTGAACACGAGATGGTGGATACAATCTGCTTCTCATGTTCAAAATTAAAACGTAATAACTAATGACAAAAAGTTTGCATAATATTACTTCTTTTTACGAACTCGTTTAAATTGAAACAAATCAATAGACCTAAATAAACAAACTTTACATAATTATCGAAGTGTGTTGTGTAGGAATAGGAATAAAAAATGCTCTTCATATTTCATATGAGAAAAATATTTTTAAAATTTGAAATGTTTTTTTGAAAAGTGGTGTACTTATTACATCACTTTTATTAGTTTTAAATTTGAAAGCTGCAACATCCAACTTGTAAAAGTACGACTTAGAATTAAAATTTGCAGTTATAGTTGGCCACTTTTTGAAACCTGTCAACCTCTTATTAGCTTAATAATCACTTGAAAGAGAATAATCTTACAGAATTATTTGTATTTCCTTAACGAAATCAAAATTTGTTTGTATGTAGTAATTGCAGTACTTATAAATATTATTCTCATTTCTGAGAACAAGATTAAATTTATTAACTCCATTATACCAATGTATGGAAAGAACAAAGTTGAACGTTGAGCTTAAAGTGGGACCAAGACCAAAATAAATTGTGCCGATTGATAGATTGATACGTAATGTTTAAGTGTAAAAATAGAAATATTACCAATATTGCTTAGTAATTTTACTTGAACTTTTTGGTGGCCCTGAAAAGGGCCGATTTTTCGCCGATGTTGTTAAAACTTAAGCACGCTCTCCGCGGATGCGGCGGGCAAGCTGGATGTCCTTGGGCATGATGGTGACGCGCTTGGCGTGGATGGCGCACAAGTTGGTGTCCTCAAAGAGACCGACCAAGTAGGCCTCGCTGGCCTCCTGCAGGGCCATGACGGCGCTCGACTGGAAGCGCAGGTCGGTCTTGAAGTCCTGGGCGATTTCACGGACGAGGCGCTGGAAGGGTAACTTGCGGATGAGCAGCTCGGTGCTTTTCTGATAGCGACGGATCTCACGGAGGGCGACCGTGCCGGGTCTGTAGCGATGGGGCTTCTTGACTCCTCCGGTGGCAGGGGCGCTTTTGCGGGCAGCCTTGGTTGCCAGCTGCTTACGAGGAGCCTTTCCTCCGGTCGACTTGCGGGCGGTCTGCTTGGTACGGGCCATGATGAGTTCTTCTCTTGCGGATGAGCGACGAGACGATGAAGTCCAGGAGGCAAAGTGCTGTATTTATTACAAACCAAAGCCCCGCCCCTCGCCAACGGTCTCGCACTCGTCTCCCATTGGTCGGCGAGAAAACCGTTCGTTGCTTGCGACCGTCGGTATATATATAGGCCGTGTTTGTGACTAAAAGCATCTGTTTCGACCGAAGCATCTCAGCGTCATCATGACTGGCCGTGGCAAAGGAGGCAAGGGACTCGGAAAGGGAGGCGCCAAGCGTCATCGCAAGGTTCTTCGTGATAACATCCAGGGCATCACCAAGCCCGCCATCCGCCGTCTTGCTCGCCGTGGCGGAGTCAAGCGTATCTCCGGACTCATCTACGAGGAGACCCGCGGCGTGCTCAAGGTGTTCCTTGAGAACGTGATCCGCGACGCCGTCACCTACACCGAGCACGCCAAGAGGAAGACCGTCACCGCCATGGACGTCGTCTACGCTCTGAAGAGGCAGGGACGCACTCTGTACGGCTTCGGCGGCTAAGCTGTTTGCAACACCAGCAGCGAAAATCGGCCCTTTTAAGGGCCACCCAATCTTCTCACGTTAGAATTCCTAAGCAATAATGATAAATGCTTCAAAATTAATAATTGCTTAATTAAGTGAAGTAGATATTTAAAAATAAAATATTGATAATTATATACCAATACTAATATTACAAGATTTCAACACAAATTTTTATAAATTGAACAAATAAGTAAAGACATACAATTTTGTTTTCGTTGATCTTTGTTATGTTGGATGCCCTATCATCAGCATAATGAAAATTTTTTGCAGCTGTCAAAATAACACAGCCAACCAGAGATCGAAGAAAGCTTTTATAATAAGCGGGTCTCGTGACAAATAGTTTTGCAAACGAATATTTATCAAACAATCCGTTGCTTATTCTTTCGCTCGGACGTGGAACGGCGGTAAATTCCTCTCTTAATTCTCAATGGCATTTAGTTTTCAAATTTGAAACCATGGCAACTCAATCTCTCCGCCCTAATTTTCAACAACACAAATATTCACGGTTGCTTGAGTTTTCAGGTCAGACCGCGATGCTACGGTGGACAGTCCATCTGGAGGGAGGGCCGCAGAGGGTGAACCACGCGGCAGTGGCCATCGGGGGGTGCGTGTTCTCGTTCGGGGGCTACTGCACGGGCGACAACTACCGCGTCGTCAGGCCCATCGACGTGCACGCCCTCAACACCTCCACCTACCGATGGATGCCCGTGGCCGTGCAGGACACCGAGCACATCACCCCTTTCCAGCGTTACGGACACACGGTGGTCGCCTTCGAGGGCAAGGTCTACCTGTGGGGCGGCCGAAACGACCTGATGGCCTGCAACACCCTTTACTGCTTCAACCCTGGTTCGATCAAATTTCACTTTTAATTCTGATAATTTTTGAAATTCCTAATCTTTCTTCAGCCACTCGCAGCTGGACGGCCCCTGTGGTGACGGGACAGGTGCCGAACGCTCGTGACGGCCACTCGGCCTGCGTCCTCGGCCACTGCATGTACATCTTCGGAGGCTTCGAAGAGGAGTTTGACAGGTTCACGCAGGATGTGTATTGTCTTGACCTGACAACTATGCAGTGGCATTTTGTCCGCACAAAGGTAAAATATGATTAAAAAAATAATATGAGTAAATTAGGATCATTTCACACAATCTTTAATTTATTTTGTTAATTATAAAACATTATTCAGGGTTCTCCACCTTCCTACCGAGACTTCCACACCGCCTCGGCTATCGGCCACTGCATGTACATTTTTGGTGGCAGAGGCGACGTCAGTGGACAGTACCATAGCTACGCTGAGGTTTACTGCAACAAGATCACCTACCTCGACACAGTGACCCGGACGTGGCACGAACTGGAGACCACGGGACAACCTCCTCCAGGTCGACGAAGCCACTCAATGTGTATGTTCCTCATTTTTAACTGTGATAATAAGAATGAGACAAAATCAAAATATTCATTATGCGTTTTTTCATAGATTTGATTTTTTTAATCTCATTTGGAAAAAAAGACACCAGCTTTAATATTTTAGAAGAAATTCATGTTCGGGGGTTGATTCAAATTTAAAACAGGAAACTGGCTTTTCCTCAGTGTTTTTTTTTCCAAGTTATTTCTTTTTGTAGCGCAGGATTTTTTTCAACAAAACATAATAATCAACTAAGGAAATCCCATTTTTTGGTCCATATTGACTATAAAAAAATTAAAAATTATTTAAATTACATTGAATTATCACAAATTTTCCAGTTGTCTACAAAGGGAGTCTCTACATGTTTGGTGGCTACAACGGCAACTCCAATCTGCACTTCAACGACCTCTTCTGCTTCGACCCGAGAACCAACAACTGGACTGAATTGAAACCCCTCGGAATTCCACCTTGCCCTCGAAGAAGACAGTCTTGCTGCTTGTGTGGCGACCGAGTCTTTCTCTTTGGTGGCACCAGGTACACCTTTAATTAATTTCATAATCACTTTTATTAAGACGATAAACTTTCAGTCCGAAACCTGCTGTGCCAATGGAAGTGGACGGAATTCAAGATAACAGTCCGTTGCAGGACCACAATGATCTGCATGTTCTCGATTTTGGTTGGTTTGAGAATTAAAATTAACAAGCACATTTTTTTATAGAAATTTTTAAAATTTGCAGCACCCACTTTGAAAACTCTCTGCTTTTTGGCGATGGGGAAGCACAAAATCGACTGCAAGAATGTTCCTTCTGTTCTCATGTAAGAATCACGAAATATTTCTAAAATAAAAAGAAATAAATTGTTCTTTTTTTTGCAGCCGAGACTTTGCAATGATGACATCTCACAACAATATCACCAACATCACCCGTCCTGAGCATAGAGGATAATTTATTTATTTTCTTAATTTAAATATCATGTATTTTTTTTTAATGCGGCCACTTATTTAATTATTATTTATATATTAGTGCAATTTTTGTGAATGGAAAAGAAATGTTAACACTTTTTCGTATAATTTATTGTGATCTATAATTGTGAAAGATTAATTCTCATTAATAAATTATTGCATTTTTTAAACCTATGTCAAGTCTACAATAAATGATATTAAACTAATCTCTGTTTTTATTTACATTTTATATTTCCAACTAATCAGGTCATTGAACTTTTAAAAATACCTGATTTTAGAAGTTAATTTTGCAAGTAGGCCACGCCCACCTCTCACAGCTGCTGCAGAATCAAAACACAGAGCAGGCGACCCGAGATCTCGTACGATTTTTCTTGTGACGCAGTTCTCGCTCGCATTTGAGCGAAAAGCGCACTTGTCCCGCGTCGGACAATGCGTTGGACGTCCAGGCACTGAACTAGCTCGTGAGCTTGATGGGACTGCTGGGCTCGAAGAACAATAACAAGGAGCAGGACAATCATGAGCCAGCTCCGCGCACAAAAAGCAGCAACAATAAGCCAGCCGTGGCGCCCAACAACCTGCTCGTCCTCCACAGGCTGGGGTGAGAGCAAAATCGAACCTGAATTTGTACGATTCCAATTTTAAAACTTCTGATTCTCCCTCTCAGGTCGCAGTTCTTCGACGCGGACGGCGACCTGGCGCACGAATTCTACGAGCAGGTCTCGTTGGCCGACGGTCGGACGACGATGCGACGCGTGACCCAGGGCTTGAGGCATCAGGGGCTGGTGGCCCTCGAGACCCCCCGACTCCACCCTGACTGTCCCTGCGTGCTCCTCATGTTGTGATCGAATTCAAGAGGCGATTGATTGATTATTTTGATTCTAATCTCTCATCAAAAATGCTTTCTTTGAGATTGATCGTCGCGACTCGGAGTTAATTATTTGACACACTTGGACTTGAACGTATATTTAATTTTAGTAACGCGCTTCGTGTGGCGTTGAATAATTACAGCTTTTAATAGTTAAAGCTAAAAAGTGATTTACATGTTTAATTTTTACTTGTTATAATTTGCTTTCAAAAAACACGCTTCTTAAAATGACAACTATTATTGATTTTTAAATAACAAATTGATGCCTCATTTAAATATTTAAGGTTGTGGCTTAACGTAATAGTTGTAAGGAAAATATGGATTAATCGAACCTGTCAGAAAGTTTTGCACGAAATTATTGTTAAAAAATTCACCGTAGAAGTTCATGTTCGGTACATTTTACGATACTTATAAAAATTATTTGAACTTAGATGTGAAGTATGTAAACAGCTAAAATGGGGAGTAACTTTATTGTTAAGCAATTGTCAAAAATTTATTGTTAAAACTTAACATATTGGTATGAATATACAGAGAGAAAATCACCCTTTAATGTACATAATATAATTATCCCAATCATCAGCATAAGCAGCTGAAATTGTTACCGAAACCAATTTGTTTGTTCAAAATTTTAATGCCAGGATATTTCCAGGCCAAAAATTTTAAAACCATTAAATTCTCAAAAACATTTAAATGAAAAATGTGACCCAAACTTTTTTTATCTCACATTTGCCCGTAGCTACGCTCTCCATTCCTTTTGTACAAAAAGCTTTATAAGAAAATCCAGACTTTGGCTATACTTAAATTTAATTGAAAATTCGTACGTGTTTACCACAAATAAAGGCTAGTCAGTCAGTCAGACACACAATGAGTTTCATATATAATAGTTCTTTTGCAATCACTGCTTCTTTTTGTCTTGCATTTTCTCCAGGGTGCGGATGATCTGCTTGGCCCAGTCACGCTCCTCCTCCTCCTCTGGCCCCGCTTGCAGACTTCTGCCCCCGAATTTGGGGAAGAGAATTACTGAGGCGGCGAAAAGGGTCGACAATCCGATGAAACTGGCCATGGCTGCGAAGAGCGGGTTGGCGGTCACGGCGACCTCGTTGCCCTTGACATGTCCCATTTCCGAGTCCATGTCGTCGGCCATGTTGGTGCTCGACTCGTCCTCGCCAGGTTGGTGCCAGTAGTACAGGTTGTTGTCCTCCGAGGGCACAGGGTACTTGTTGTTGGAAGGGTAAGAAGAAGAATAGGTGCTGCTCTCAGGTGGCTTCTGCAGATAATTTTCAGACGCCTCGTTGTAGAAGGACTCGAGGGCGCCCATGAAGGACCCTGGCGTGTACTGGGTGCTGGGCGAGTTGTGATGGGTCTCAGGGACAGGGGTGGGACCTTCGATGCGGTACTTGTTATAGCGTTCGGTGCTCAGTTGGTTGACCAGGGCGGCCAAGTAGAGGGCGCCAGGGTGCTCTGAAGTGGAGGGTGGTGCCATGTAGATGGGTCGAGGGGGCTCGGAAGGGCTGAAGTGGTCGGCAAGGGTTGATGCGGTCCCCAGTAAAAGGGTGAGGAAGACATTCAAAAGGCGCATTTTGTACCTGAGCAAATAATTAAAAAATTAGAAATAAAAATGGAAATTTTTAAATTAGAGCCTATTTTAATTTTAACAATTAAAATTAACTGGTTTGAAAATGACTACATCCTTGTACATTTACAGCGAAAAGAAAACTGCTTTCTTCATTGAAACTTCAAACAATAGAAAAATAAAGGTCTCTTGAAAATACTGCAGCCGAACAAACTGGTTTTATAAGCATTTGAATCAATATGTGATAAAAAAAGCAATTGCGCTTTTTGGCATCAATTTTTGGCCGAGATATTGCTTTTTAATTACAATGTATTTTATGATTTCAAAATTGATCAGCTTTATATTTTAAAATATACTTGCTTTTATATTAAGATGTACTTCTTTGAGGTGCACAATAAACGCACAAGGCCGGTGGTCAGGATGCTGCGACGAACGCGACTGACTTGAGAAGATGTGAGTTTGACTAGTGGGTCAGCAGCAGAAGTGCACCGTTAGGAGGCCACACCACAGCCAACGAAACTTGCCCCGCGCGTCGGGGGAACATAATTAATGCGGGAAACACGCATTCTTTTTTTTAAGTAAAATGGTAGAGGTGGAAGAGAAAAGTAGGATCCAAAATTTAAATACACATTATGGTAATTTTTTATTTCAATATATACTTAAGGCAAACAATACACTCATCGAATTGCGCCGCCGTCGGCTTCAGCTGCGCATTTATCGATTATTTCTTATAATTATTATTATAATTGCGCTTGAGGGAAAATTGCTGTCTTTTTAAATACAGTACATTCGTTGGTTGCTTTTTTCATCAGTTATTTACAGCTACAAAAATAGGAATATATGTATTGCATGGCGATTTTGGCACCCTTTCTTCTCTCAGTCTCACAGGGTCTGCACAATGTCGAATTTCCTCCGCAGGTCCATGTTCTCCTTCTTGGGGTCAAACTTCTTGCGCTGCGCTAACTGCGCCCTCAACTCAGCGGCTGTCATGTTCAGACCAGGCGGACGGTTGCTCTAAATTACAAAATTTCATTACAAATGGCAAATTTGATCAACAAATAGAAATTTAAATAAAATTAGAATAAATAAAATAATATTTTCGTTGTTAATAAATAATAGAAAATTCATTACTTTAAATTTCAATGTTAATATTTTAACCTTTTTAATTTTGGGTAAAATTATTATTTGTAATTTTTCTTTCTAAATAAATAATGTACCAAATCTTTCTGTGGTAATTTCTAATAAGGTGGCGTCATTGATGATTCACCTTTAGAGCGGCTTGCAAAGTCAAGGTCGAATTATCAAGCGCAAGGTGTACATTATTATATTTCCCTGACTGATACGCAGAGTGGGGAATTCTGCGAGGAAATAATTCGCTCGGAATCACAAGACCAGAACCGACCGGTCAAAACGGCGAATCGAATAATATTTTCCTCCGTACTCGGCAAGTCGCACCGAAAGCAGAGCTGCAGTTTAGACATTTCTGAGTTTGCTAGCAAAAGTGTCACCGTCAGTATCATATTTCGAGCAAGAACAAAAGAATGCCATCGACAATCACTCTCTCGGCGAGTCCGAGCGGCGGCTCGAGTTCGCTAGGTGGATTGTGTGTGCGAATTGAAATAGACACTTTTGCAGTGTGAGATAAAAAAAATCCAAGTTGTTATGATAAAATGTAGTTTTTCTCGGAGGAAATTAACAATTTTTCTAATTTCTCATAAATAGCAAAAAAACAATATTAAATAGAGTTTAATTGTATTAAATTAAAATTTAAAAATTTCTTTCACTTTACTCTGTGATATATTTTAAATTCTAGTTTTTGTTTGGTTTGTTTGCATTCTTTATTATTATTTTATCTTGATAACAAATTAATGCCTAAATTAAAAAAAATTTAATTAAATAGAAAATGGATGGATTTGAAATTCAGGAAATTGTTTCAAAATTTGGATTTCTCTCTCTCAATTTCTGCTATAATTTATAATTTTGCAATGAAGAATAAAGAAAATAATTTAAATTAATAAAGTGTTCAAAAAATAATCCAGCTAATTATTTGCAAAAATTTTGAATGCTTATTTAAATTTTGAATTGAAAACCAAGAATAAACAGATTTAAAAAATAATTAAATTAATTAGATTTGATTACAAAATTAAAGACATGCCTGTTGAGGTGACTCGGAACGTGAAGAATCGTCTTTTTCAATCTTGTCTGCCATTTTTGGGCTGTCAGCCGAGGCGATGCTGCCGTTGGACTTTGCCTCGACGGTGGTCGTCTCGGACGGGCTTTCCTCGCGGTGCTTCCGGTCCGTCTCGGGCGTGGTGGCACTGCTGGTGTTACTCGCCACCTCGTGTTGCTGCTGCTCCTCCTCGTGCTGCGACCAAAAACAAACACATTATACTCTGGTCAGGTGCCGTTAACTCTAACTCCTTCGGCAAACACACACGTTGAATTTCAATTAGATAAAGAAAAGAAGAGGAAAATATACGAGGCGTCCGTCTGGAGATAATTTCAAAATGAATGGCTCGCTTTTCAAACAAAATGTAAATATCCTCTTCGTTGATTGTCAGTGGCCAAGAGAAACTTTTCCTTTGACAAAGCAAGGTGACATTGAATGAAACATTGCTTCTTTTCATTCAGTGAAAACTACAATTTAAATATTGAGAAAAAAAACGACTATGATTATTATGGATAGAGTTAATCAATTAGAATAAATTTTGCCTTAAAAAAATGCTTTTCTAGTAGATTTTAACTAACTGACTTTTTCGGTGTAGCAAAAATGCATTTGCTATAAATAAATAAATAAAAAAAAAAAAAAACAAGTGGAACCTTTTAAAATTTGAGTAAAGCCGATCATTCGTAAATTTGCAACTAAAGCCAACTAAATCATTTTTTTTTTTTAAACAAACGAAGGTGATTTTGAACTTTTAATGCTAAAATTAAGTAGAATTTTATGGAGAGTCCAAAAATGTCGGTTTTTTTAATCAATTCAATATAAAATTTTTTTATATTCAAAATGAAAAAAAGTGTTCCGAGATTCTATTAAACTTGGTAAATTTTAAATCACGTTATTAATTTGGACATGCAAAAAAAAAAGTAAAAAAAAGATTGCTAAAAAATAATTTGTTGTCTTCACCAAAGTAAACAGTGAAAAGGAAATAAAATGAAATTGCTCCAGGGATAATAATTTTACTGCTGAAAAGTTATCATCTCCAAAAATAAGGCAACTATTTATTCTCCAATTTAAAAAAAATAGTAATAAATGAATTTAAAAATGATTTAGTTATAATGATTAATTTAATTTCATATTTGCAATAAAATTTATGACAGCACTAATTTTTTAAAAACAAATAATATAACTTTCATCTAAAAATGACATTTTAAAGCAGTCCAAACTGTCATCAAATAATGAAAATTGTTAAATAATTAGAAAATTTAAAGAAACTGACGTTGGTGGATGAAGAAGTCATTTTCTTTCAAATTAACAGATTTTAGATTTATTCAATATAATTTTGATAAATCCACGTATTTAATATAAAAATAAATTGGGGGTATTCACATTCAGAGTTAAAAGTTAAAATGCTGTTAAAATTGTTAAAATTAGCATGTGAATATTATTTTAATTTAATCCATTATTTTAAATTGAAAGCTGATTTTAAATCATATTCAATTATTAATTAATTTAATTGACTTAGTTTTTTAAATGGTTTGTGTGTGTGTTTTATTTTTTTTTTAATTTGAAATGTAATTCTAATTATATTGGTAAAAATTTATAAATTATTTTAATTCATATGATCAAAAAAATTTGTGGAAAAATTGATGATTTTCACTATAACTGCAAAATTCAGTGCAAAAATTTAACTTTCTCATCCAAAAAGCAACTAGATTATTCAAAGCTTATAAAATTTTGGTTGCACTTTCAATAATTTGTGTATATTTGACTAGAAAAAGTTAAAAGATGCGAGTTGGAGACAATGGTGAGGCATTATTAGTTTTGTCGTCACGTAACGAGCGGCGCACGGCGCAGCGACTCTGCTTTTAATCTCGGGCACAAACAGCGCGCCGATAAGACCGAATAACAATTGAGATAAGGCATTCCTATTCATTAGGTGGGCGTTCGTTCGGTGGCAAGCAAACCTGGTGTTGCTGCTGCTGCTGCTTGAGCGAGGTGAGGTGGATGACGCCAGGCATGTCGCCGCGCACCACCTGCTCGTGCGACTTGAAAAACGCCTCAGCCTCCGAGTCCAACACGAGCAAACGCGTCTCGTCCGGCACCGCTTTGATTCGCGCAACCACCTGCCGGTGATTCTCGTTGCTGATGTTTACGCCGTTCACCTGACAACATAAACAAACACGAATTTTTATTTATCAATTACAAATTGATTGAATATTGCAACAAAAAAATTGACAAATTTAAACATTGTTTTAATTAAAATAAGTTAAAATAACTTTGTAATTTCTGCTTGAATCATTTTTTCGTGTACCTTGAAATTATTCAAACCTGATAGCAAATTAATATCCGCCATTTCGTTGATTGTTATATATATTTAATAAAATAATCAGTAATTTTAATCGAATAAAATTTTAAAAGTGAATATTAATAGCAAACGCTTCTTGGAAAATAATCAGAAATCATTTAAATTTTGCTCGCAAGTATATGTCTCTGAAGTGGTTAAAAAATTCAAAAACTGCTAAAAAAAACTATTTTATAAAATAGTTTTATAAATTTATAAATAAATTCAAAGGATGAATCAACCCTCAAACGCAATATGAAATAAGTGGAATATGATTTAAAAATTATAATGCTTTTAGAACTTCAGATGGAAATTTTCTCTAATTTTAAATAATAAGCAATTTTTAATCAAATTGTTTTTAGTCAAATTGTAGAAACTAACTTCCTGTATCACCAAAATGTGTTGTCACTACCTTAATTTAATTATGAAATTTTAAGGTGGTCAATTTCCTATTAAAAGAGTTAATTGTTCCATTTTTTTTTAATGCCAAATTTTAAAATGCATGTAAGATGAGTTTTTTTTTTAAGTTTTTCCAACTGCCTAAGGAGAGTGACAGTATCAATTATTACAAGGATTAAAATTCCATTAGTACGTCCACTAATGCTTCTTGCTACTTGAGATAGATTAAAATTGATCGATGTATTATTTTCTTTATCATAATTTTTTTCAATTTAGAACTTGAGACTTAAAATTGTGTCCTATAGTGCTCAAGGAAGTTGTCAAACCACAAAAAGTTTATATTGTTTTGAGCTATAAAAATAAAAATGCAATTTAAAATCCAGAAACACATAATCAGAGTCTAGCTTGAAGTGATTTTAATTCACAAACGAATTTTATTGTTTCATATTGTTGTTATTGTTTATGTTATTATTTAATTAAGTTTTAAATTTTTGAGACAATATTGGATAATTTTTCAGTTATTAAAAAGTTAATTTCTCTATTAAAAATTAAATTTTTTTAAAAATGTTATGTATTTATTCTTTTAAACTCTCGCACAATTTCAGCAAAACTACGTAAAAACCTCTTGAAATTTGTATAGATTATTTATTTATTGTCAAACCCTTCAATATCAAAAATTAAAAAAATTAAAATAGAAACTTGATCAGCAGTTTTTTCATTTAATTTATAATTTTACGATGGATTGAAGCGTCTGATTTAATTCATTGTTCTTTTCATATATTTTCTTAAATTAATATTGACTGTGCCGAAAAAATGGCAATTTTTATTTATTTTTTTATTTTTGACAGGCGAAGAGAATTTCCACTCTGATAAGACAATGGTTTTTCACGTTTATGCAATATCAAATAATTCTTATGTAAAAAGGGCAGCTTCAATAGAAAGGGTTATTTATCTTGAAGCTCAAGTGGCGAAAATTTCACAAGCAGCCATAGGAATCCGAGTACTGTTTGTTCAGGACCTTTGGTGGCACCTTTGGCCTAAAATTTGAGGAAACGCTATAGAAAGCTCAAACCGTCGTGCAATCAGGAGGAATTCACGAGAATTTGCCTATCCGAATCGATTACCTGCTTATCTATAGCAAATTGTGCAGGCAAAACCGAGTCAGGGCGACGCGTGCCTTGAATCAATAAAAAAATACAGCACGCAAACTATTATAAAAATATCGCAATAGCGCGGCAGCAGTTTGATAGAAGGTTAAAGAAGGATTTTTCCTTGTTTTGTATAGAAATCTATAAACTTCGGCAGCTTATCAAGCACAGTTTTCTTCGATTATAATAGTTTGATTGAGTGGTGTTTGATTTTTGAGATTTCTCGAAGCTTATCTGTTGAAAGGGTTCGGAATTGTGAAATTGTGGGTAACTTCAAACGCCGAATTGAAAAGACCAGATTAATATACAGAAGTCTTGAAGAAATACATTAAATTTCGTAAAAAAAAATTAGCATAGTATAAGCTCAAAATTTTATTCATAAGTTCCTGGGAATTTTTTATTTTTATACTAAAAATTTGTATCTTCTTCGATAGAAAATTTATCAATTTTTATTATTCAGTATTATTTTTTTTTTATATAAAAAAATTTAATAAATACACTAATATTTTAAAGAGACAAGACGCTTAATTTAAAAATAAGATTGTTTATAAAATTGTTTGATGTTTCTTATTAAATTCATTACATTATTAAAAAAAAGTACAAAAAGTTTTATATTCTGCAAGATAAAATAAATACAAAATCTACAAATTAAATGCTTCACATTCGCTGGTTCGGTCGATTGTGGATTATTTAAATTTGAGCCTCTGTTTTGACATTGATTAGTAACTCTTTCCTCGGCTGATGCTTTTAACTTTCAAGCCTTTCAAGTGATAAGAAAACTCTCTAGAAAGATCCGAAAGCTCTTTTGTTTGGTCGATTAATCGACCGTGATTGGAGGCGAGAAGCTAATTGAACATGTCATTCAAAAGTAGCTTCACATATAATTTTATATATAAACTCCATGCACTGATTATCTTTGTTTGCAAAAAGAGATTAACGAAAGAAGCTAAAACGGGATCGAAATAATTGCAAAAAAATTTATATCAAATGGTCAGTGGAGCAAGGAGAACGAGCGGTGCATCAGGAATGCCTGGACAGTTATTCGCTTGCTCATAATTCGATGCAAATTTACGAATCGGTCGTGATAAAATTTCATCCGATTTATTTCTGTTATCAAAACTGAGTGAGCGAGGCACGTGCCCAGTTGCTCATTATATTAGTCTCTCGTAATTCCTCGACACACACGCCGGCCCGAGACCGCTGCACAAACAATCACGTCGCGCGTTTCCCTTTTCGTTTATTACAATAACAAGCAGTACAGCGAGTGGAAAAGTCGAAAAGAATAAGAATCAGAAGCGAAAGTGCAGCGGAGACTAATTTCGAAGTCGCGGCAGCGCGGGTAAAAGTGCAGAGGAATGCGAACGACGATTAATTTGAAACGTATTTCCCTTCGAAAACGAACAGATTGGTTGTTGTGTCGGTGAACAAAAAATATAAAATTAAAATTTTGTAATAATTTGTGTTATAAAACTAAACATTTTTGAAGCGTAAAAAATGCTCAAATTTATAAATAATTTTCAAAAAAGATATTGAAATTTAAAATTAATTATGGTTATAAAAAGTAAACTTTCTATACTTATATAAATTTTCATATATGAAAAAGGCCATATAATTTAAAATTGTAAAATAAAAACGGATTTCAGACCTTTATTAAAAAAGCGTTTTTATTATGTTAAAAACAAAATTATTTTAGTTCTCGTTATGAGTTAAGAATACAAAATTGAAGGACAACAAAATTGGAATAATTATTTCCAAATAAAATTCCTTACAAATTAATCGTTAAAAAGAATGGACTCTATTTTTTTTTTAATTTGTTCCTCAACCAATTCATCATAAATTGATTGTTTTAAATCTAATCTATAATTATAGATAAGTAATAAAATGTATCAAATGTTTACAAGACGAATTAAAAAATAAGCCACTGGTTTGAAGATTATTGGTAGAAATAAAAAACAATGAAACAGGTGAAGAGCTTAAGTTATCATCGGGATTAAAGTAGTAAATCCATCGTTCATGCCAAAATTATTGACTTCAAATATCAAAAAATTTATCATATTTTAATTTGTTCAGATGCCAATAAAAATTCATCAAATTGTTTAGTTTGCAAAACATAAAAAGTGAATAAAATAAAATATTCCAGAAATTTCTAATGTAATACTTTTTAATTTTGTTAATATCTGTATTTAAAATTTTATCAAGGTCTCAATATTAAATTAAATATGATTTTTTTTTTTTTTAAATATCTACAAAGCAACAAACAATGTATTGAACTGTTCAAAATACATTTTTCACTTGGTTACCGAATTGTCGCCCGCGGCACTGAGGGCATCAATAAAGCCGAGGTATTATTTGCTCATAATTTTATTGATGCAACCTCTCTTGTGACGCGCCGCGGTAGTTTTTTTTTATCTCGTTGCCAGCACACGAAAAGTTAATTACACCTGCATCCTATTATTACCTGTGAAAAAAATATTCCTCCGATATTGACGTAAATTATTTAATTTAATTGATTTTGAAATTTATTATTAAAAATAATATACAGACCTCGATGATTCTGTCGCCTTGCTTGAGGCCGGCAGCCTCGGCCGGCGAGCCGTCGTCCACCTTGCCGACGTACTGGCCGACGCGGCCCTTTTCGGCGTGCAGGTTGAAGCCGAAGCCGTCGAAGTCGGGCCACTTTTGGATGTGGCACAGCCTCGGCGCAACACTACTTTCCTCCTCGGACATTCCCATTTTTCTGTGTGTCCAACTGCAGACTGACGTGCTCGCGGCTCGACGGCGAATTCCTCACTCTCGTCGTCGGCTCGTCGCGTTTTCGGTTTCAATCGCACCTGTGTGTGCGCGGCCACCTTCGTTCTCCTCAACTCATCAAAAGCAGCGCAACAAGTTGGCTGCGTTCGAGTAGCGTCGGTCGACGGAAAAAAAACGTGAAAACGCGCTCGTTTAGTGCCCGAAAGTCATCTTGATACGATTTCCCCTCTCTTCTTTGTCCGTATCTTACCGTGGAAATTTGAGCCTCCCCTCTCAACCCCCCACTCCGCAAAATTGTACATGGAGGCAAAAGCTCAAAAAGCGCGGATTTGATTTGTAGGGTGTTTGGAAAAGAGATACTTATATTTAAGAATAAATTTGCTCAAAAGCTTTCCCAGAAATAAATTTTCATATTAATATGTTAAATTAATATTATTATAACATAAATTTACCAATTTAATAATCCAATTTTTACCGATTTTCAAAGATGATGCAAAAGTTCTTCAAAGTTTTCATCTCCTCTCTGCACCACCTTGAAGAATTTGATGATAATGGACAGCTGAATTAGAAATTCCTTTTTGTATCACCTTCCTATTTTTCTCGTTTTTAACCTTCTTCTGTGTGGAAGTGTCCCGCCAGGCTGTCCATAATGGACGAGGGTGACGACCTGTCCGATTTCCTGAGCCTTTTAGAAGAAGACTGTGGCACAGAAGCCGCAAAACCCTCGTCAGAAATTGCTCCTCCGGCGCCGGTGGCTAAGCCTGCTTCATCGTCGGGCTACAGAGAAATTACTGATCCGGACGCCTTCCTGCGGCCCTCCGAGGATGGCGGTCCGTCCCAGGTTCACGGTGGTGACACGGATTCCTCAGACGACGAAGACAACCGGAATTTCCAAGAGCAGAACCTCACCACCTTTGGCCGGGATGTCAAAAAGTTGATGCACGCTCGAGAGGAGACTGCCGAGAGCAATAAAAAGTCCTTTTCTCTGAGTGGACTCAAAGGTGTTGGAACCAAGACAGAGCAGAACGACCCCAAAGTGTCCTGGAGCCGGAATCAGGCTGTTGCTCCGACGAACCAGCAGAATCTGAGACAGGCTAAAACAGTTTCCGGTCTTTCCGGACTGCCCATGAAGGCAGCAGACAGGGATTGTTTTCTCGAGCCAATTTCTGGAATAAGAGTTGTGTAAGTTTAATTGAATTTAACAGCATTAATAAGATACATAAAAATCCAATAGAATATTTATATAATTTTTAAACATTTCAGAAATCCGCTGGTCACTCAAGAATTCATCTTGGAAAGATCTGATGGTCGACAAACAGTGTCCTGCTCGATGGTCAAGCGAAAATATGAGTCAAACTCTATTCAAAACGACTGGTTGACAACAGGTGTCATTGTCAGCTCCATGAAGAAAGTCTCTCAAAAGGTTCCTAAATTAATATAAAATTATTTTAATCTAACTTCAGTTATTTTTACATTTCCAGTCTAAGGAATATTTGGTTTGGACTATCAGTGATTTGAAGCAGGATATGGCCACAGTGACAGTTTTCCTATTCTCGAGCGCCAATACAACTTTCACGACTGCCAAAAAAGGAACGGTGGTTGGGATTTTGAGTCCAAACATCCTTCCTCCTAAGTAATGGTTCCAAATATTTATTTTCAACTTTAATTAATTTAATTTAAATACTTCAGTTCAGCAAAATTTGATCTCATCTTGACTGTGAATGACGCTCAGAGAATTCTAATCATCGGAACTTCCAAGGATTATGGCGTCTGCAAATCACAGTAATTAATAAAATAAAAGTTTTGACGAATTTTAAATTATTTACTTAATGTTACTTTAGAACTGCCAAAAACGAGCCATGCTCCAATTTTGTGAACACAAATGTGTGTCCGTATTGTACTTACCATCTTTCGAAAGAGTACAAGCGTCACTCTGGAAAACCGACTGCCCCTCATTCTGCTTTGATGAACAAAGTGCTTGGAAAATCGGAGGTTTTTTACGGAGGAAAATCTTATTCCGCCATAAAGCAACCACCTAAAAAGGTAATTGGTCAGTTTGTGAATTGCTAGCTTCACAATTAATATTCTAAAATTTTAGATTCCCAGAGAGCATTTGTCTCAATTGGCTCTGCCCCAGCCTACCAACAAGAAGATCAAGGCCAGAGATCACCTTCGAATGCAGTCCTTGCTGGCGGAAGGACAGGAGATGCCAAATACAAGCTCCGTGATTTCTGTCAGTCCGCTATCCTTGAAACCAAAAAACATCACTCGAATGCACCACATTATGAACAACACCAGGAAGGCAACGGTGCTTTCCGGAGACAAACAGCCAACACAACAAGGCAGCGTTTCTAAACTGGCAGGCGTCCTTGGCAAGAACCAGTCAAAAATTTCTGAATCTTCAGCGCCAAAACCGTCTTTATCGAAAGCAGCCCCTAAGCAAACAGCAACTGCTAGTTCGAGAAATGTTCAGAGCGCCAAAAGTTTACTTTCAACGCTGACTGATTCAAAAAAGGAAAGTTCGTTAAGCAAACCTTCAGCAATGACTCCTCCGCCAACCAAGAAAGTTGACCTTTCAAATCTTGGAGGCTCCAATGGTCGTCCAACGCTGAGTAAATTCAATTCTATAGACTTAGGAGATTTGTGCAGAAAACCTGTTCTCCACGATCAGGATAGAGCTAAGGTAAATTCACATTTTTATTGGTTCATTAGAATTTAAAATTGAAATTTTTAAGGTTGCTGCTTTACAATTAGTGAGAGCAAAAGGCCCATTCAAAAAGGAAAACCCAAATAAAGTGAAGAAGGCAGCTTCGGCGGCAAAGGTCAACGCTTCCCTGAAGAGAAAAGTTCCTGTTGAGGATGGTAAGAGTAAAATCTATGGCATTTTCTTTAGATTAAAAAACTTTTTCATTAGATGAAGAAGAGGCAAAGCTGAGAGCCGAATTTGAGCTGAAAAAGCCAAAGTTCTTGGCGATGATTGAGACTGGATCTCAACACCAGGACTTGGTAGAGAGTGCTCATCAAGAAGCCGAAGACAATTACTTCAACAACATGGAAACCAAGGAGAAAATTGAGGACAAAATGCTCAACACCCACAAAGTTGAAGTGAAAGCAATCAAGTGCACTCTGGTAAATTTCTTATAAAATTTTGATTCTTCGTTTCTCAAATTTCAAATTTTTTACAGTGCAATTATTTATCCCTGGCTCGAAGTGACTTTTGCCGAAAGCAAGGTCACCCGGTCAAACTGGTGCAGACGCACAAACGCTTCTTCCAGTGCAAGGGATGCAAAAATCACATATGGGTCCTCGAGCTTGTGCCAACGTCGGCTTGCTCCAACTGCGGACAGAGCCACTGGGAACGGGCAGGCATGATCAAAGTAAGACGAAATTTGAATAATTAATTTCTTCTAAAATCCAAATTTGTCATCAGGACAAGCAAGCCAAGTTTGAGACTCTGCGCATCAGTGCTGGAGACCGAGAGACCTTCAACCCGGCCAACATGAACAGTTTGGTGCCCGACTGAGATCCTGGCCAAAAGGTCAGTTCAATAATTCCCTAATTTTGGGATGAATATGCATTGTTTATTATTGCTAAATCCGTGATTCTTATAAATTTACAACAAAAAATACTGATTCTTCTTGAGTATCTGTATTACCCCTTTTTTCAAAATAGATATTTGTACAGTAAAATTGATTACAAGTTGAAGGATAGTCCGGTGCCCTTGAGATTGGTCTCGGTCCAGTTGTCGAAACGGCTGATCATGTCTTTGGACATTTGACCTTTGTAGTCGCCAACACTGCCCTTCCTCATAAAGGCGCCTTTCTCAATTTCCTCCTTGTCAATCAAATTGTACTTCCTGTTGATCTCCACCACATCTTCATAGTTCACCGCTGGGTTGTTTTTCATGCTGTTGAAGCTCAGGTGCTCTGTGAGGATTTCCACCTTTGCGTCAGACAGATTTTTGCCCAGGAACTCTGCAGTTTTTCTGATCACGGAGGGCAGGTCCTGAAATTTTCCTTATTTAAATTAAATTGGGACAAAAAATTAAGCGTTTTACATTTTTCATGTCCTCGTATTTGACGAACAGAAAGTTGGGCTCATCGCGCCTCTTCCAGAATTCCAAAACGTGTTTCCAGAAGGGGGCGAAGCACACTAAAATTTAATTTGGATTAAATTTTTTTTATACAATGATAGAGGAATTTGCATTACGCGAATCTCCCAAGAAAAGTTCGCAGAACTCGTCAAAAGTGCCCCTGTAGCCTTCGAGCAAGCGCGAGTGGTGATAATAAGAAACGCAGGCGTCCTTAGGATTGCGCGCCACGTAAATGAGCTGTTGTGAAAAGCGTGGGATAACAAAAAAAAAGTTAAATAAGCGCGGTGACTTGCCTTGGGCTTTTCGTCCTGGAATTGTTTCGTGGGCAGCAGCGACCATGGGAAGTGGGTTTTGATGTAGCGCGGCGACGGGAGGTTGTCCAAGAAGCCGATCGAGTCCAACACGTGGGGTGGGAAGACCACGTCGGGCCGGGTGCTCAAGAGGTCCTCATAATCGAAAAGGGTCGTGTGACTGGAAAAGATTTTTTTATTTAAAAAATACTTAAATTAACGAGAAATAAAAAATATATATATTTTTAATTATTAAATTATTATTTGTTCTATTAATAAACGACGGTTCATACTCAAGGAATGGGAAGCGGACTTGCAACGGCACTTTAGCTGCCTCGAAGTCAAGGTCGTTGGCAATGCACCACACCATTTCCTGGGTCCAGGTTGTGCCTAGGAAATTAAACAATAATAATATTTTCTATTCTCGCTTGCAGGAAACTTCGCATTATTTCTTATTTTAATTTACAAAATACCTAGTAATTTAAATTTTAATTCAGAGATTGTAACAATTGGATGAATAAACAACAAAAATAATAATATAATTTCTTGTCCTCCTGCTTGAAATAATTTTTTCCGCTCTGACATTTATTATATCTTACATTAAAAATACATCAAAATTTATTAGACGCATAAGTGGATTGTGAGGCCAAGGCCGTTCGCGAAATGCTGCTTTATTTAGAACGACCATGTTAAAATTTAGGAATTGGGTTTGCATTAGGTAAGACTTAATCGTTTCGCGTAGAAGTACGCACGTAAAAAGTAAAAATATTTCTCAATAAACAGGCGACACGGCCGGTTTACATACAATCCTTGCAAGATCACTTCACAATTATTTGCACAATTTCTCGCTTCACTGACTATTTACCTGCGCACGTGATGCGCACACATTCTGAACAAGAATAAAAAATAAAATATGCATTTGCATCTTGACTTGCTAATGGAAAGTTTAGCTTGAACCCGAGTAACCTTCTTACAAGAAGTGCAGCGTGCGCGCGTTTCTCTGCATTCAAAAAATGCAATTCTAGTTCATTTACTCGGAATGAAAGTGCTTCACTTTCAAATTACATCGATTTTCTCATTCTATCAAGATTTTCACTTAGTTTTCTATTTAACAAAGAGGAACTGAAAAAATTGTAAAATTTTTATTTAGCGTAAAAGGTGGTGAGAAATTTTATATTTTTTTTTTTATACAAAAACTTCATTTTCTTCTTATTTTACTTTTTATTTTTAAAATGAAAGTAATAATTTTTTTAAATTAAAATGGTTTGAGGTTTTGATACAAAACCTGTCTTGGGGAAGCTGCAGACAAAAACGTCGTCGGTGCGCACTTGGAAGCTCTTGATGTCCTGCGCGAATTCCTGATAGTATTCGGGCATGACGGCCCCGTTGGCCCGCACGTAGCCCTTGCGGAAAAGGTTGGTGAAGTCCTTGTGCAGGCTGTCGGCCAGCTGCCCTTGCAGACCCTGAATCACAACCCTGCTGTCCGAGTCCATTGCCGAGCGCCGAGAGACTGCCAAGTCGAAAAGCACATGTGCACCGAGAGCACCGCAGGTTCGCCGGCCAAGGTCGCGCTTGTTGGTCAACAAAGCGAAGCATAAAGTTGGCAGGAAAAAGTAGCGAGTAGTGGGGAATCCCCGAGAGTCAATTATCCTTCGATTCTCCGTGCTATTTTTATGCTGACAATTTCCTCTTTTTTTATAAAAATATAAATATTTATTAAACATTAAACTTTCAAATATTAAACTCTTTGTTTATAAGATTTTCAACCACATGAAAATGGAAATTTTTCCATTGGCTTAAAAAATTAATTGTTTTTTGTAATTAAATTTTACATTAATTTATTGTGCTTTACATTAATTTTTGATATTTTATTTCAGCACTTTTTTGTATTCCTACAATTCTGTATGCAAATGGCACGAAATTATAATTCACCATGCGTGACTTTGCAAATAATTATAAGAGTTCTTATATTAGGGCCTGCAGTCACCTTGTGCGATGTCGCGCTTGGAAATACAATTTATTTTGTTTGATCTGGCGCGAGTACCACTTCCTACTTTATCAGGTTGTAAACAGGAAGAAAATTATAGTCCTTCAATATGCAATTTTTAATTTGAAAAAAGGCGAGAAAATTGTCATTGAAATAAAATAAAAATATTTAATCATATTTTGTTTTTTCTCTCACCGCATTTTGGAAAGCTGAAAACCCAAGTGTCTTCCTTTCTGACGGCGAATCTCTTGATTGGAATTGTAAAATTAGAAAAGTACGACGGCAGGGTAGTACCCTCGGCCCTGATGTAACCCTTTCTGAAGGAGGAGACAAAATAGGTATACAGCAGGTCCTTCAAGTTCCCTTCAGGAAATTCCTCCAGCCGCACTAATTCCTCACTCATGTCGATTTAAATTTTATTCCAATTATGAGACACTTGTTTGGTTAAAGGCAAATGATAAACTATCGTAAAACTTGTGAAAGCACTTTGTGTATTGGAGAAACGAAAAATAAACATGAGCACCGGCGCAGTCACTCTTTATCTCTTTCGGGCTCAAAGTCTTCCTCTGAGGAACTGATAGCGAGCGCCAGCAAAATCACCACCAGAGTGAAGTCTGTCAGCAAAAGTGAGGTGCTCGCCAAACCAAAGCGCGCCATTTCTATATGAATGACCAAAAATTTTAGAAATGTAATTAAAAAATGAATAAATTTTACATACTTATCGGGCTGTGAGAATTCTGAGGGATATATAATCTGACAATTAGATCTCCTGTGAGGCTAAACTGCAACTGAATTTGCTGCGAATGGTATGAATAGGCAGAAAAGGAAGAGCTTTATTTTTGTAAGTCATCAGCATGGCGACGACTGTTGGTGCACTTTTTTGTGAGCTCGTCTTCTTCTTGTGCATAAGAATGGTCCAGCTCAAGAAATAAATATGTGAGCCAAACTCCTGAAATACGCAAAGTCATTATGGCCAAATATGAAATTTCATGTTACAGTGGAAATAATATTTAGATTTAAAATTCATCTGATCATATTTTTTATTTCTTAAATTAAAAATCAACTTTAAAATGAGAATTATTTTCTAGTAAATTTAAGAGCAGATTTGCTGCTAATGTAAGTGTTATTGCAAAATAATAGTAATTGTTTGTTCTGCTGCAGTCCAGTAGAGGCCGCTGCGTTGCGCTATTTTACGCATTAAATTTTTTGTCCTGCTATCGAATATCCAATTAAATTTTATTCAATTGATCTCAAAGTGAGAGGCTGCCGGCCGGTAAATTGGACAATGGAAAATTAGACCAAACCATGAAGAAACAGTTACACAAGAAAGACTTTCTCCGTTACTGCAAAAGTGCATCTAATGCTGTTGCAACAGCATGTTAGTTGCCAGTTAATTTAATGATTCATATTTATTTTTACTTGCATAATATCTAACATGCGTTACTTTGAAATTACTCTTGATATAAAATGCATTCAAATAATAAAATTCAATCGATTTAAGTCGTTCGAAAGAGTAAAATTGGTTTAAAAATCTTTTAATTTTTTATCATGTACAATTACTAAATAAATTAATTATTTTAGGCATATATAAATAAATTCTATGCTTCCAGTTCAATGTTTTGTTTGAGAATTCGATCCGTCCATAATTAAAGTGACATTGGGTTGTTCTAAAAATAAGGCGAAAGCTCATTAAAACGACCTCTAAACCTTTAACTTACAAAACAAGTTTCCAATTTATTTTTTATTTTTAACATTATTTCCGCCAGAGAGTTTTGCATTTAATTATTAATTCATTAAAAGTCACCACTTCCATGCTGTCCGACGTTGAAGCTGCGTGTGTTGTTGAGAAACATTCGCAGTGTCAAGTAAGTGACAAGCTCCCCTCTTTCCATCTGACGATAGTACTCGCATTTTGCTTTTGCGAATTATCCACTTCACTTCTGACAACAACAGAGATAACTTCAAACTGTACAGGTATGTCCTGAAATTAAGGTTAGTCTTCTGCAAATTGGAAATAATTTTTTAAAGCCAAAATTTTACAATTATTTTTTATCTCTAAGTGCAAAAAAATCCAATTAACGCAGAGATAACTTTGCTACATTTTTTAAATCTTTCTTCATTTCCTTATTATTGCACATTGAGTATTGCGTGAAGGTTAAATAAATGTCATTTTATTTATAACTATATACGAGCTCTCTCAACTAGCAAATGACACACACGTACGGTTTTTATCATTAATTTATAACAGCTCTATCTATTTACTCTCACTGCGTGCTAGATAGAACTGAGAAGATTTGCTTGTTCGTAGCTATTAATTAATTCGAACGAATAAAAAACATCTTTTTCTATTTTTACAATAATTTGCACTTTGTTTTAAAACATGCTCTAAAAATGAAATTAAATTGTATTTAAATTTTTGCTCATCCTAATTGACCTAATTTAAATGAAAAATCACTTTCTTCTTTTGAGCTTACCTGAGCTCACGTGCAAAGCCGACGCACAAAGATAAGATAAACATTGAAAACAACAAACTGGTTGTTTAAAAAGGCGAATTCATAGATCCAATTTTTTTTTATTGTCAGAGACAGGAATGGACTCCTCCTTAGGTTTTGAGCCTCTCCCGAGCGAGGAAAACGAGCGTTTGTCCGAGAACACGGACCGTATTTACGTGGATGGATTCTCCAGAAGCAGTGATGGAATTTTAATGCCCACCGAGTACGTCCAAGTGACTCAGGCGGTGCGCGACTTTGAAGTTCGGCCTGATGATGTTTGGGTCGTCACTTTTCCTAAGTGCGGTAAATATAATTGAGCTAGCTAAAAAAAAAACATATTTTTCAATTAAAAAACAATCAAGGCACCACTTGGACGCAGGAAATGACCTGGCTCATCAGCAACGACTTGGATTTCGCAACGGCAAAGAGCGTCCCATTGCATGAGAGATTCCCCTTTTTTGAGTACCTGACATTTGATGAAAAATAAAATTAAAATAAATTAATATTTATATTTATAGATTGACGACCGTGTCGTCCAAGTATTCAGAGGTGGTTTTCGGGGCAAAGGTGCCTTTGGAGGAAAGTTTGACGATGCTAAAAAACAGTCCGAGTCCGAGATTCATTAAAACTCACTTGCCGTTGAACCACCTGCCGAAACAATTGTGGACCGTCAAGCCTAAGGTATTTCAATTGTAAAAATTTGAGAAAATTTGACAAATTATAATTTTAGATTTTTTACGTTGCACGCGAGGTAAAGGATGTGATTGTATCTTACTTCCATCACAACAGACTCATGGTTGGATACAAAGCTGATTTTGAAACGTTCTGCCAAGACGTCATGAAGGATAACAGTGAGAAATTTTTAGAAAAAAAATTATCAAAATTTCAACTGAATTGCAAAGTTGAAGCTAAAAGTCTCATAATAGTAACGTTATTTGGTTTTCGAATTGTTTAACCCCTGCCAGACGAGAGGTTATGCAACCTGCTCGACTTGCTTGTTGTGCGTGTTGCGTTCTGGATGAAAATCAAGTCTCCTGCATATTTCGTTTTTCGTTACAGTAATCTGGTGTCCGTTCTGGACCCACGTCCTGGACTTTTGGCGCCTCCGAAACGAGCCCAACATTCTTTTCCTCACTTACGAGGAAATGCAAAGAGTGATGAATATTTTTTGAAGTTTTTGATTCGGACCCTAATATGATTTTTTTTTAAGGATCTGGCTTCGGTAGCTCAGAAAACCGCCAGGTTCTTAGGCAAAGAGCTGCGTGACGAAGAGGTGCAGAATTTATGCAACCACCTCAGCTTCAAAGAGATGAAAGCAAACAAGTCAGTGAACTTTGAGGTGGTCGCTGAGGCCCTTAAGGAGAAACATATCTCAAGTGACAAGGATTGCCAGTGAGATTTTTCAATTAAAAATCAATTTATTTTATTTACGACCGGAATGTTTAGTTTCATGAGAAAAGGCAAATCTGGATCTTGGCGCGAACTGATGTCGGAAAAACTGGCTGCAGAAGTTGACGCGTGGACAGCAGAGCGGCTCAAAGGAACTGGATACGAGTGCCTTTAAAATTTAAATTTTTTTCTTTTATCCACAACTTCCCTGCATTGTCTATCAGCTTTGTTTGTTTCTTAAAAAAGTAATATATCATATCAAAAATTTTCTTTATATTATGATTTTTAAATAAAAAAGTTGCACCATAATGATAATAAGTGGTAAGTAAAAATTGATACTTTGATTTTTTTTATTATGATAACACAAAAAAAGCTTCCTCTATTAACAAAATAGAGCCCCCAAAAAAACTCTCTGTCCATCCCATACAAATTAATAAAAAAAAAAAACATATTATGTGGAGATGGCACTGCGGTGATGTATCTATTAGCTTAATAATATAATACAAAATAATTTGGAAAAAAATTTCATAAGAAAATATGTTTACAAATATTACCTATTAAAATAAGTGAGATATTTTAACGTAAAAAGAGATAGCTTTCCCATATTAAAAAATTTAAATCTTTAATTTTCTTATATGGTTTTACAGAATTGCGTATGAAGGTTAAATAAATGTCATTGTCGTCGTGTAGAATAATACACGAGCTCTCTTATTGAGCAAATGGAACTTTTATTACTACTTTATAGCAGCTCTAGCTGTTTACTCTTGGCGCGTACTGGTTGAGAATTGCTTGATGTTTGATCGCAGCTTGCTTTTTGAAATAACTAAATGATTTTGAATGAATAAAAATTATTCAATTTAGATTTTGATAGTAAATATAATCTTTTTTCTTCATAATAAGAAAATGTGTTGTGGGATAGAAATTTTTGCTCATACTTATCTAAATTGAAAAATTACTTTCTTCATTGAGCCTGCGTGCAAAGATAAGACAACGAACTGCATTTATAAAAGGCAAATTTAGAGATACGATTTTTTTATTGTCAGAGAGCTATGGATGTCTCTTTAGGTTTCGTTCCTCTCCCGAGCGACGAAAACGAGCGTTTGTCCTCGTTTGACAGCATTTACGTGGATGGATTCTCCAGAAGCAGTGATGGACTTTTAATGCCCACCGAGTACGTCCAAGTGGCTCAGGCGGTGCGAGACTTTGAAGTCCGGCCTGACGATGTTTGGGTCGTCACTTTCCCCAAGTGTGGTAAATAATTGGAATTGTAAAAAAAAAAAAACATATTTTCAATTAATAAACAATCGAGGCACCACTTGGACGCAGGAAATGACTTGGCTCATCAGCAACGACTTGGATTTCGCAACGGCAAAAACCGTCACCTTACATCAGAGATTCCCCTTTTTTGAGTAAATTATAAAAACGTGAGGAATGTGAATAAAATTAATTCTAACAGATTGACCACTCTGTCGTCCAAGTATTCAGAAGTTGTTTTCGGGACAAAGGTGCCTTTGGAGGAAAGTGTGACGATGATAAAAAACATACCAAGTCCAAGATTTATAAAAACTCACTTGCCGTTGAACCATCTGCCAAAACAATTGATAACTGTCAAGCCAAAGGTATATTTACATTTGGAAAAAAATTGCATATTTTATTACATTTTAATTCAGATTATTTACGTCGCACGCGAGGTAAAAGATGTGATCGTCTCTTACTTCCATCACAGCAGACTCATGGTTGGATACAAAGCTGATTTTGAAACGTTCTGCCACGACTTCATGAAGGACAACCGTAAGAAATTTAAAAATGATAAGTTTTTAAAAATTGCAATATCTACTGAACTGCAAAGTTGATGCTAAAAATTTCCAATCTCACTAGTTTATTTATTTTGGTTTTCGACTTGTTTAACCCCTGCAAGTCAAGAGGGTATGCATCCTACTCGACTCGCTCGCTGTGCGTGTTGCGTTCGTGATGAAAATCAAATTATCCTTTCCTGTATATTTTGATTAAGTAATCTGGTGTCCTTTCTGGTATCACGTCCTGGACTTCTGGCGCCTCCGAAACGAGCCCAACATTCTTTTCCTCACTTACGAGGAAATGCAAAAAGTGTTTAAAGTTTTTAAAATCTAAAAATGTGATCCTATATAATAGCATTTTTTTTTAAGGATTTGGCTGCGGTTGTTTGGAAAATAGCTTCCTTCTTGGATAAAGAGCTGCGAGACAAAGAGGTGCAGAATTTGTGCAACCACCTCAGCTTCAAAGAGATGAAAGCAAACAAGTCGGTAAACTTTGAGGCGTACGCTGATGCACTTAAGGAGAAACATATCTCAAGTGACAAGGATTGCACGTGAGATTTTTAACTAAAAATTGATTTATTTTTTATTTTATTTATGACCGGAATGTTTATAGTTTTATGAGAAAAGGCAAATCTGGATCTTGGTGTGAGCAGATGTCGGAAAAACTGGCTGCAGAAGTTGACACGTGGACAGCAGAGCGGCTCAAAGGCACTGGATATGAGAGCCTATAATTTTTTATTTTTAAATCTACAATTATTCCGCATTTTCTTATAGCCTGTTCATATATAACTAAAAAGAAATAAAAATTATATTTTCTTCCATCACAAAATTCTTCATTTTGGTTTGTTCAATTTTCCAAATAATTAATTCATTTGCATGATCAAGTGGCAAGTAAAAATTGATGCATCGTTGATATTTTGTATTCAGCACTGCGTCACTAAAAAAGGAGAACCACAAAACGCTCTTTTCAATATATAGTTCTTAACAATGAAACTTGTTCAACAACATAATGTAGAGATGGCACTGCGTTGATGTCTCATTTAGATTTACAATTCAAGGGTAAAAGGCGCTTTTGTTAGAAAGAAAACGATCGTGAAGTCGTATTACGTCGGTCGGCTTGGCCTTCGCTGTAAATAGACTGCTCGTATAGAAACATGCGGGCCGGACTCGATCAGTGGTTATCAATCAAGTTGCCTGCTGGCATCCACACATAAGAGCACATTCTCATTTGAATTACACAAAAAGGTACTTAGATGTATATATTTTTTTTAATTTTCTTTATATAGATAATTGTGTTAAAGATTTTCTTTAGCCTTTAACCATTTTACTGATTGATATTTCATTTATGAAATTGAAAGTGTAAGTGATTACGATTATTATTTCACTTTAATTGACTTCATTTTTAAAAAGGGTCAAAATCAAATATCTTATTCAAGTGTGGAGAAATTTTAAAATTAAATTTTTTATTATTATTTTTTGTTTTAGTTGTATTTGTTTATATTTTTAGATTACACAGATTTTAAATGGCACAAGAGGACATTGGTGATTTTCAATTTGAAAATGTTGACGGTTTGGAGCACCACGGCCGGTTTTTCGCGGGCGGTTTCATCCGAAGCATTCCCGATTCCTTTTTCATGTCCAGCGCCTTCAAAAATGTGGTGAATGAAATCTGCGACATGCAGATCCACTCTGATGACACGTGGGTCGTTACCTTTCCCAAATGCGGTAATAATAATTTATTAAAATAAATATCAACGTTTCAATTCATGTGATCATTTTTTAATAAGGCACCACGTGGACGCAAGAGATGGTGTGGCTGATAAAAAACGACTTGGACTTTGACAAAGCCAAGGCAGTGCTTCTCGTGGATCGGTTTCCCTTCATAGAGTAGAAATTGATTAAATTCAGTGAAAAATATGCAACTTGCGTTGAAATTTTTTAATTTTGTAAGGGCCTCCGCGATCGCACCAGACTTTATGGAATTCTTGTTTGACGAAAAGCACCCAGCAAATACCTCAGTGGAAGAGGCAAAAAAATTACCCAGGCCAAGACTTATAAAAACGCATCTGCCGAAAAAGTTTCTTCCAAAAGAAATTTGGACGAAAAAACCAAAAGTAAAATTCCAATATTTTTTTATTATAAATTTAATTTTAAATTAAATCTCAAACAGATTATTTATGTGTCCAGAGAGGTAAAGGATGTGATCGTCTCCTATTTTCACCACAACAGACTTTTTGACGGATACTCGGCCAACTTTGAGACATTTTGCCGCAGTTTCATGAAAGACGAAAGTATATACATTAGAAATTAATTGAAGCCTAATTGCTAGATTTATTTATTTATTTTTTTAGTAAGTTTTTGCCCTTACTGGAATCACGCCTCTGAATTTTGGAAGCTTCGCAATGAGCCGAACGTTTTGTTCATCACTTACGAAGAAATGCAAAAAGTGACTATTTATTTTTAAGATCTAACTAATAATTAAATTTTTTTTATATATTTTTTATTTTAGGATCTAGCTGAAGTGGTACTGAAAGTTGCCAAATTTTTGGAAAAAGATTTGGACGCCGATGAAGTGGAAAAGTTGTGCCAACACTTGGATTTTAAACAAATGAAAAACAACCAGAGCGTAAATTCTGAGGCTTTTGTCGAGGTGCTGAGAAAGAAAAACGTACCCAGCGACAACAGTTGCTGGTATGAACCATCAAAATTATCTTGATATAAAAAAATTATACAATTTTGTATTTTAGTTTCATTAGAGAAGGAAAATCTGGAGGTTGGAAGAAGGAAATGTCAGACGAATTGGCACAGGAAGTTGACGAGTGGCTGAAAAATAAACTGAAAGGAACCCAATATTACAATGAAATTTACGGTTGACCTCCTGTTAGTACTCAAAAATAAACATAGTAGAATTTAAACATTTACAATTTAAACAAAATATTGCTGCTAGGAAGTGAAAGTTGTAAGCATGCGCTCCAAAAACAATTGAATTGATATTTTTTGGCATCATAAAAATTAATAGCTGACAAAAAAGTATGAGTATTATTATTGATACAAAAGTAATTACAAATAAACTTTAATTCTCATTAAAAAAATGCACAACATTAGATTTTTAATTTTTGCAGTTCACAATTATTTTATGTAGGGCATTATTTATGCTGGCCCCACCATTTAACTTAAATCAGGCGTGAGGAGAGAGAAACATAATATGCTTCTCTGAATTCTTTTATGACCTACTTTTATTAAATAGTACTTGTTGCGCGCTCGGCCGATGGAGGACACAGAGCCTCACATTCAACACTCATTGACAAGGCAACCGACTTTTTTCGATTTGCCTTCATTTGAGCAGAGACCTTAATTTATTTTCGTACTTCGATTTATTATTTCCGGAAATCATGAAAGAAGAGGAAAATGCTGAGATTTCTTTTGAGCCTGTTGAGTGCGAGCAGCATGGCCACTTCTACGCGTGCGGGTTCGTCCGGAGCAACCCTGGAGGGCATTTGCTGTCGGCAACTTTGGCTCAAGTGACGCGAGAAATCAGGGATATGGAGATTTTCACAGACGATACGTGGGTTGTGACTTTTCCAAAATGCGGTAAATAAAATAAATCCGATAATAATAATTAAAATCATTAAAATTTTCAATTAAGGTACAACTTGGATGCAAGAAATGGCGTGGCTTTTAAAGAGCGATCTTGATTTTCAAAAAGCAAAGGAAATTACTCTTCATGATCGATTTCCATTTTTAGAGTAATTTTTTTTAAATTTATATTAAATACTTTTTTAATAAAAAAATTTAAAAGGGCTTCGGCAATGGCTGAAGATTTCAGCAAATTAGTTCTTGACGAAGACATCCCTGTGAACGCTTCAATTGCCGCCGTAAAAAACATGCCGCGACCGAGATTCATCAAGACTCATCTACCAATGAGATTTCTTCCAAAGCAAATTTGGACCGTCAAACCAAAAGTGAAATATTTTTTTAATGAAAATAATTATAACATTAATTTTACTTTCAAAGATGATTTACGTTTCAAGAGAGGTAAAAGACGTCATTGTCTCTTATTTCCATCACAAAAGATTCTTTTACGGTTACAAAGCGGACTTTGAGACATTCTGCAAAAGCTTCATGAAAAACGAGAGTAATAAACATTTCAAGAAAAAAAAAATTATAATTTTTAGTAAAATTTTTAGTATTATTCTGTCCATTCTGGGGTCACATCAAAGACTTCTGGGGATTGCGAAATGAGGAAAATATTCTATTTGTGACTTATGAGGACATGCAAAAGGTTTAATAAATTAATTAAAATAATCAATTAATTGTTTTTCATTCTTAACATAGGACTTGGCTGTCGTCGTTCAACTGGTGGCGAAACTGCTTTTGGAAAAAGAACTTCCCGATGAACAAGTGCAAAAATTGTGCACTCACTTGAATTTCAAGGAAATGAAGAACAACAAAAGTGTCAATTTCGAGGCGTACGCAGAAGTGTTGAAAGCGAAAAACATCTCCAGCGACGAGAGCTGCTGGTATAATATGCGCGTAATTAAATCTTGTCGTTAATAATTAATTTTTATTTCCCCGATAAGTTTCATCCGAGAGGGCAAATCGGGGTCGTGGAGATCGGAAATGTCGGAGGCGCTGGCTATGGAGGTTGACGACTGGTCCAAAAGTGAGCTGCGAGGCTCAGAGTACTTCAAAGAAGTCTTTGGCGCGTAATTTTCTTACGTAATCTTGGATTTTAAGAGTGCGGTAATAACAATAATAAAAATAATTATATAATTAAAAAAAATACTATATTATTTTATATCCCAAAATTATTTTCAGTAAAAAAAATAATATTAAATAAAAACAAGCAAACAACTTTCCTTTTCCGTTTCAAAAATCTGTTTCAAATTCTTTTCAAGCAGTCTTAAAAAGGGCTTAAAAAATTGATACAATATTTTCAAAATCAGATAAATAAAATTAATTTAATTTGATCAATTAAAAAAACCGCATTGAACTCTTCAAATATTAATTCTTACAGTGACTTTAGATAAAAGCATATTATTTGACGAAGTAATTTTAAATTGGCCATTCAATGAGATAGAATTTTCATTCAATCAAAGAAATCATATCAACAAAGTAAACAAAGTTGTGAACGTGTGGAGAAAGAAACACTTGAGGCCACTTGACCGATTTTCAGTCCTAAATAATTTGGCCACCAATATTATTTCAGTCTGTATAGCTGCGGTAAATTAAATAATGAGAGGCTTTTGAAATAATTCATTAATCGGCTCAGTGAAATGAGAGGAACTTTTATTTTAAAGTGGAATATTCTTATAAAAAATAGATGAAGATAAATAGTGGAGTATTTTTCAAAAAAGGTTCGTTTATAAATAAAAAGTAAAAAATATCAAAAACTCTCTCTCGTCAGTCGCTTAATTCTTCAGTTTTCAGTTGCATGTCAGCTCGGTATTTGTAATCGTCAACGAACCAGTCGCGGTTCTTGACCACTTCGTTGCACCAGTAATCTGAAAAACGGTGATTTCGCTCACAATCCTTATTGTTTTTGCCGACGAACAATGAAAACAAGAATAAAATGAAAGTGCGCAACTGCACTCACCAATGACGTTGTTGATTTTGGGGCCAGTTCCGCCGTACTCGACAGGCAGCACCTCGGGATTCATGAGGCCAGCCAGTGGTTTTATGCTCCGGTGCGTGTGAAGCTGCAACGCAAAACCAAGCAGACACGGTTTCGTAATTCGAGATTAAAAAAAAAGAGAAATTATTTTTGCTTACTCGGCTCCTCATTTTTTCGTTCATGAATTTGCGGAAAATGTTGAGCACCATGTTGATGTGCAGAGGAGAATTTACAAAGTCGATGCTGCGGGTTCGAACCGGATAACAATCCTGCAATTTTTTTAGAATTAGTTTATTTTCAGTACATTGAAAAATAATATTGATTAATATTAAATTGATTGAAACAAAGAGAAGAAGATTTTATTTTGATTATAATTTATTTTAATTTTATACTCTGAGATTAAATCTTTCTCACCTGCCACGTGTGCACAAGTTTCTTGATGAGGTGAGGGGTGAGTTGAAGGGCATGGCCAAGGGAAACACCTTGCAGGTCAATGATGGCTCTTAAACCGTAGACGTAGAGAACAGACGACTGCCTTGTCAAAATCTCCATCACCATTTTTGAAACCTTTTCAGGAATCAATTAAAAAAATTATTTGCACCAAATAATAAATAATTTAAAAAAACCTTGAGAATGTCGTTGATTGATACTTCTTTAGGATTATGGATGGAAGCTCTGATAATTATCACAGTCTGGCCCGTCGAAGAGTCTCGCTTGAGTAAGGGAATAAATACACTGGAAATTAAATAAAATTAAATTTAAAAATCTACTTAAATAGAAAAATTATCAAGTTTGGTGTTTAAAAAGTTTTTTAACATAAATTTTTTTTTATTTCTATAACTGTACAATCTTCTTCTAATTAAAAATTCTTGCATTTTATATCCTAGACACTCACCCCATTTTGAGGAGGTTTAAAATGTCAGGTTGCTGCGGGTCCCTCAGGTCGTACCACTCAGGAGAAGTGGCTCGAAGCTCGTAAAAATGCCGGATTTTTTCCCTGGATCTCTGCTGGTTGAACTTGCAACCGCGCAAAAACCTGAGCAGGCTCTCATCGTCTGAAATTTTATTATTTCACATATAATAGAATTGAATCCGGTCTAAATAAATGATTACGTAAAAATTTAGACTTTTTATGACCGGCTGAGCACTTTGATTTCACGCTTTCACGCCGTGCGAGCATTTATAAATCACAATGTGCAAAAAAAACTGAGATTGCAGATACTTATTTTAAGTGAGTGACCCTTGCATCGCAACGTGGTGCGTTGACTGATAACTAAATATTTCAATTATGAAGTCACGTTTCACGCGAGAATAAAGAGTCTTTTTGACTTCTATCCAAGAATACTGATGAATTCGAGACAATGGGAAGTATCTCTATGAGACTTGAATTAATAACTTTTATATTTAATGTGAAAACGGAAACAGCACGTGAACGAGAAAGTCTCACGATCAGACTTAATAAAAATAGCCAAACATTTAAATGAAAAAAAAGGTTCGCAGTTTCAAAGACTTCCTGTTATATAATTCAAATTTAAAACATTTTTTTCTCTCTAGAGCAAAATCTATAATGCATTATTCTTTTTTTTTAGGAAAATTTTGGACGCAAAAAAATTTGACGAAGACCCCAAAAGCACATTTTTACAAGGCTGTGGAAATATACACTATATTATTTTAGCACCACATTTAAAAAAAGAACTAACACAAATTTTTTTACATTCAAATATCAAAGTCATCAAACTATCGATATTATAGGACGGCGCATCAAAATATTATTCAAAATGCAATTTCATGCAGGCCAACATTTTTTAAATACAAAACCAAAATTTCTTAAATGTAGAGCAAGATATTGATTTTTCAATAACTCACTGTAACTCACTTAAATACATCGAGGAAAAGACGAATTTTAAATTCAAATCACCATAAATCAACCCTCGATCGCGAACTTTTAATAATAATTTCTTGATAGTTTGATCATATAGAAATAGAAATGATTGATGTGCATTTATTTAACAACAAAATATCCAGGCTTTAAAAAAAAAAAAAAAACATAAAAATTTCCCTTGGTGGCTAAAAAAAATAAATGTGCAATATGATCCAATTTTTTTTAAAGAATTTTTATGAAAATGAGTTAGTTCAAAAATCCTACTTTTGTTTGGTTAGAGTTTGAGGAGGCAAAGACCTTTCATTTACCTTTTAATATTAACAAAAATTATCGTCAAGTTGACATGTGCCACAATTTGATTAAATTCAATTGAATATTGTAAAAAAAAACAATTGAAGAAATTGAAGGCAAAATTATATTACAAATTCTTCATTGAGGGGCACAGTAAATTTTGTCTTAATAAGACGAAAAAATATATTTATGAATCATTTTTTTAGATTTTTTAATTATTTTTCTATTGCAATTTTTTGCTTTTTTTATAAATCAAATTTTACGCTTCATTAATTTAGTAAAATTAAAAAGGGATTATAGTTAATTTGTGTGATACACTTACCGTCACGTGCGTTCAGGTACGAATTTGAATTGAGATATTGTCGAAGGTTGTTCAGGTGGTCCTGTCTGTTTTCGGCGTGTTCGTTCAGGAACTCCCTGGCGAAGTGCGCGTCCTTCTGGGTCAGGGTGGTGACGCACGTGTCCAGACACTCGTCCTGTTTGGACGGGCCGCGCTCCTCCACTTCAGGACCGACCGCGACAATCAACTCTCCAGGAGGCATGTTTCAATTTCTCCGGTCTTTCTCGATCTGCCGCTTTTCCTGCGTGGTAGCGAATGGAGAAAACAGTAAATAATGCGGCGTGATAAAAGTTATATCTCGCGTACGTGTGAGATTATTTATAAAAATCGCGTCCAGGAGCTGTGAGTGTGTCATAGACATATAGGGAGATAATAAAAAAGCTGTAGCGCAAGTTGAATTGCAACATGACCTTTTGGTTTTTATCACATTTACCCAATATGTGTGTGGTAAAAAAGCGACGTCTGTCACACGCTCTCTTTATTTACACACTAATCTTTTCCGCGTTTTTTTTTCTTTCATGCAATTTTTAAATACGCGTTTTTAGGAAAATAAACCGACTTGAAATAAAAAGGAATTTTGATATCCAATACAAGAGTATATTTGCTTAAAATTTAAAAAAGAAAATTAGTAAATTGTATTTAGAGACGAATAAAAAATGGGTTCTCATGAGCAAGAAAAAAAATCAGCAACTGAAAAAGTTTTGTAGCTCTTTATTTTAAATCAGTAATTAAATAAGTTTTATTTGTAAAAAAAAAAACTATATTTAATTTTATTCATTTTAATTATATGCCTAAACCGCTTGCAGTACAATTTAGATATCAATTAGTAGAGACTTTCTTTCAAGCGATGCGGATGCAATATTAAAATAACCTTTGAATTTGGTCGAGAGAGTGCATTGAATCACAGTGTGTGCCAATAAACGGAGCTAGCTGCTTTGAACTTCAATAAATAAATATAGATATAACTGCCGGTTGTTAGATATAGCGTGTCGGGTGGAATTAATGTCAATGTCAGTAATAGCACGACGGTCAGATTTATTTTTGCCTCTATAGCGCGGCGTTCCTTAACAAATTGTCCATGCATATATATTTTTTTAGAATGAAAGTTTTAATTTTATTCTTGAGAAAAGCCGCATTCCCATTAGATTAATTGATTTAGTATAGAAAAAAATTAAAAAGAAAAACTGGTTTTAATTTGAACTACATAAATTTTGAGCAAAAACATAATTATTGAAAATTATAACTAAAAATTAAAAGAATTACGATTCAAAGTTTAGAATAACTTTAGAAAAACTACAAAGATTGTAAAAATAAAAATATACAAAAAAAGGGTTAAAATCTGACTATTTCTTTGTTTGAAGTGAAAATTACGTAACGATTTTGGAATGAATTAAAAAAAATGATTATTTTTGTACTCTTACCTCTCACGTAACTGTGTTTTTTGCAGAAGTGAAGTACTGATTGTGAGAGAGGGTGCAATTGTGGAGGCCTGTCTCAAAGTCACTAATTAACGCGTGCACCACTTGACTTTTAGCCACTTCGGCGCCAGTCAAGAAATCCGTCCGTCTGTCCCAGCACCGCGACTCTCTCTCCGTTCAGCTGAACTCCTCCTGTTTATGTGGGGATTCGGATGACGAGACCAATGAGAACGTCTGATGTTCGCGTTGAAATTCAGCCGAGATAATTTGCGTAGTATTTAACAAAAGAGTTGCTACTTTTCTGCTACAAAAGAGATTACAAATTGATCTGCACGTTTGGCTCTGGCGACTGCTGGCCTTGGTGTCTGCTCGGCGGCGTGTCTTTCTTTCGAAAATAATAAAAGCAATTACGCGATCGCGCGACGCTGGCTTCTCCTCTCCACCGCGACCGCAAAAGCACTGGCGGCTGACAACAGCTATATATCGCATTAAAGTGGAAAAGGAACAATGCGCGAAAAAAAAAACACAGAACAGCACTTGCATAGCAACCTGACTGTGCTGCCACCTCGAAACCTTAAAAATCTAAATTTTTTTTTTTTTAAGATAGAGATTTTTAACAAAAATAATCTAGATAATAGTTAATTTTGAAAAAAAATAAATAGATTTAATTTCTAAATAATTTAACGAATATATTCTTTGTAAAAAAGAAGATCGTTGAACTAGGACGGAAATAGTTAAAATGATGCACATTATGTTGCAGTGAATAAATAATTATATTGACGAGTCTGGTGAAGATAATTATCTGACAATGCATGCGCATGTTTTTGTTTTTCTAGAATTATATTTTCTACGTTAACAGAATTTCTATGATATCGATTAAGATGAGTATAGTTATATTTTATTCTTTATTTCATTGGTAGTGTAAAAATGTGTGGAAAATATCATTGATAATTAAATGCTTACGCCAGATATTATGCATATTTTATTTTGAAGAAAAATCTTTATATCAAGTTCTAGGGCAAATTCAAACATTCAACATCAAAAACAGTCTGAAAATTCGTCTAGTTTTGTTAAATTTTCTTTTCTTCTGACTTAAGTCACACGCACTGATACTCTAAACATTAATCTCACATTTTTAGTTTTACACACCAAATTTTAGAGGCTGATTCAAAATAATAAATAAACTTGTTGAAAAAAAAAAACAACAACAATTTGGCACAGTGAAGCTCCGAAGCTTCCAGATTAGGAAATCTTCCTCTTGGCACATATGATTTTCGGAGGGCGATTTACCTTCTTGTTTGCATCTTGGCCTTGGTGTTGCTGGAAGCGTTGGTGGCCGAATTCAAAGGTCAATGACATCTCACCCACCTTCGTTCTTGGGAACACGTCTGGAATCCACTCGATGACGAAAGGGGTTGGATTCTTTTGTTCCGGTGCCGTCAAACCTTAAGATAGGAAAAAATGTTAAACAATTATATATTTAAACACCATGAACAATTTACTAACCAACTTTGAGATACGTTTTTAACTCCAAAGGCCGAATCAGAGGCATGTTACTAGAGGAGTACAGATACTTTTCTTCCTCAAGAAGACTAACAAAGTGGTCAAAAGTTCCGTCTTTGTTTTCAACAAAACTTCTTGTAATATCAAGAGCAACCTGGAACAAAATTAAAGTCAAGAATTTGAAACAAAGGAACTTATTTTTTTGCACTTACAGCTGAAGTGTCAAAAATTTTCTTGACATGAATGATATTCGTGATGTGCCAAGTGTACTTGATGAAGTTGCCAGATCGAGGCACAGGACTCCTGAGGGACGTAACCGTGCTCACATTCGGAATTCGCTTTTTCTTTCCTCCGTTGCAAATTCGCTCTTTCAGACAGTCAAAGAACAACTTTTAACAAACGAAAATCTTAGTTAATGGAACTTAGGAATCTGCATTCAAAATCTCACTTGGGGCACATGAAAGACAAGGGGATCTGGTCTACCAGACGTCTCGTAATGCATGGTCTCGTTAATTCTTTCAGTGACAGAAGCGAGCCAATCCAAAAAGGGGTGAAAAGCTCTTGACTCGTCGACTGGTTCTGAAATTTAAAATGATCATAATTATAAATTATTATTTTTTTAATAAAAATAACCAACCAGGAGAAGGATTAATTTTCTTTGGTGGAGAGAGCTGCACCTTTTTGCCAGCAGCCTTCCTCTTCGCAGAAGGCAGCATCTGCATGTCAGGTGGATGAGTCCGAGCACTGGCAACGTCAGACAGTAAAAACGAGTTTGCCGTCACAGATGGATCAAGTTGGTCTACTTTTTTGCCCATGTCTACCAGACTCATGGTTCGATCTAGCAGGTGACTGTCCAGACTGGGAAAGGAGAGGCTTTCGTCCTGTTCCCCAATCTTCATCTGAATGTCGTCCAAGTTTGCGTCAAGAGCATGGACCTGAAAAAATTGATGTTTTTGCTCCTCATACTTTTTCTAATAGATTAATTTACCTCTGTGATTTGTCCATCCTCGTTCAAAGACAGACTAGCAGTTCCAAGAATGGAGTGGTCGCCCAAGACTTGGAAACTCAGTTCTTGGCTGCCATCGGCAGTCTGTTTGGTAACAACGGCCACGATTTGATCGATAGGCAACTGATTTACAAGGAGTTTGCTTGCATCCAATGCATCTGTTAACGTGAAGGGCAGAAAAAAATAGATGCATTATTGTTCCTTACAATTAGAGTAAAATTTTAAGCAAATATTAAAATAACTTTCTACTGTTATTAAACCAAATTTAAAATTCTACTATCTTATTTTACATTTTAACTAATGCTTTTGGTTTTTATACTTTTTACTATAATTTTCTCCATACCTTTCATTGGAACCATTTGTGGGACTAGCAGAGAGACGTACATTGAGAATTCCTCAGACAGTTTGACGTCGCTGGCAAATGCAGAGACACAAGCGTAGTAATGCAAACACTGTCTCTCGTTTGGATTCTTTCCAGGAACTTTGCTTGTCTGAAAATTACCATTTGTACTCTTCGATCTCAGTTTGATTTATAAATATTACCATGTTATCGTAAGCCTTGCAGGCGCAGCAGTATTTGTGCTCCACTCGATCCTTAATCTTGGTGCTGAAGATGCTGAGATGGACGTAGCCCAAGGGACACTTTGGACTCCTCTTGCACCGAACGACCATCATGTTCTTCGACACTCTCTGCACAAGAGGCCCTTCCGTCTCCGACTGCAGAAGCCAAATAGCCTGCAAATATTTTTGTTGCAAATTAAAAGGCATCAAATTATTTAAAAATATCAAATACCTGCTTGATTTCCTGGCTGATATTGAGTGTTTGCAGGATTTCATTTTTAATTAGCAGCGGTTGGGCCTGGGCATAACATCGGACAGCTGCCTGAATGTGGCTGCAGGGGAGAAGCAATGACGGAAAACTATTTTTATCCTCGAAGTGCCTGAAAAAAAATACAAATCAAATACAATTACGATTATGAATAAAGTATTCAACCTTTGGCAATTTTCCACAAAGCACTGGCCCTGAGAGGTGAGCAAACTGAGGGCGTCACTTGAACTGTCCAGACTGGACGCCGAGTCCAGGTTTTGGGGTACATAGACGAAACCACGCACATCTGGGCCTTTATCTCGAACCCGTACAGAATAAAGCTGTAAATAATTTACAAATTAGCATCGCAAATACAAATCTATAGTTTAAATAGATAAAGTACCTGATTGGAGCTTCCAGTGATCAATTTGCAGGCGTCGATGGGCTTGCTTTGCTTATCCGTCATGCCTCTGTGGTTGAAGACGACGTCGCAGGCTCTGTTTTTGCAGCTGGAGCCGCGAGTGCCGTTGTAGGTTCCACATTTGGGACACTTTCGGACGCCTCGCAGGGTCGCCCTGCCCAGGTCGCCCAAGAGAGCACGCACCCTTGCGTCGTTGGGCATCGTAAAAAGGGGTCGATTATTGCGGCAGTTAGAGAGCCATTTTTACCGAAACTGCGGGATGTAAATTTTTATTCTGATAAAACAAATCTTAGAGAGGGTAATTACCTGTGCCACAGTCAAGCGTTCACTTAATCAGGGGCGAAATTCAGAAGAGAATTTAGGATTTCAGTAGAATCTCAGCTTTCATGTTTTGATTTTCACATATGCGTAGGCTGCGACGTGAAACATCTGTGGAGGTAAAGTCAGCCAATGAGAGATCTTTGAAAGAAACTTGCAGCCAATGGCAAGCGGGTTTGAAACTTTCGACTCAAATGGCGCGAAAGACATGCCCTCAATGCAAAGATTTTAATTTTATAAAATATAGAGCTTTATAAATAAAAGATATAAACTTGCCGTTCCTTCAAAAAAGAAAATAATAATAATAAAATCAACCCGCTAATTAGGATTGATTTATTTAACTAAAAGACCGATGAAATAAATTTGATACTTTTCTTTTGCATTTTATTAAGAATTTTCAGTCATTATTATTTTACAAGCAAACTGATTCCTGATAACAGCCTTTCAAAATGAAAATGGTATTTTCCTTTTTCTTGCCGATCAATTCTTTTATTAACAAAAGTAATTTAAGCCTTTTAATGAATCGTAAACATCAATTACATTACATATACTTTAAGGTAATTGTGGTATGGTTCATTGCATAGCAAACCTATATATACTCAAAATAGAAGACATACAGAATGAACGTAGACGTAACATTATTTGCTTATGGTATGATTGGGTATGATCAAAGAATATTTTCCTCTAGCTCTCAACCCTGAGGCTACCTTTTAGGAACAAAAGAAGGAAGCTTGACTTTTATTTTTTTTCCTCCATGATAATTTTAGGAATTTTAGTTTGGCATCCCTTAAGTACTCTACTGTGTGTGTGGCTTAGTTGGATCAAGTTGGCCCAGCATTTCTGCCAACCATTGATTTCGGTAATTTTTTACAGCTGTATCCATGCTTTCTAAAATACAAGCAGCAGCAGGAGATTGAGCTCTTTTAGTGCACAGGGGAACTCTTCTCTGAAATTTTAGTATTGGAGGCACACAACGATCAGGCTTCTCTTTCAACGGAATGGCGCAATTTGAACTCACAGAGCAGTCTTTTTCATTATTCACATGTTTGTCTAACTTCTGTTGGCTGCATTTCAAAGTCTGACTACACTCCTTGCCCTGTTGAAGGTCTTTTCCGCCTTTTTTTAAGGTCAAGTTATTTCTCTCAGCTAGATCCTGAAAGTGATGATAATTCTATGTAATTTTAATAGCAATGGATTATTTTCATGAACATACCTGCAAATTCTGCAATTGTAGTCTTTTACTCTGCTGGCTCGCGAGTGACGCCGTTTTCTGGCTCTCATTGTCAGAAGCAATTTTTACAACAACTTTTCTCTTCTGTGCAACTTGCAATCTGTGTGTAGCAACTGGAGTCTTTGTTTCCTCAGGATGAACAATCTTCTCAGCCTTGATGGGTGCAGGACTTGCAGGATTTGGAGCAGTGTCAGTGGAAGAATTTTCTTCCAGTGGATCTTCGGAAGGTGCGAACATGTGGCTGCAGTTGAAGATGGGCACAACATCCATCAGGCTGACTTCTGGCTCGCTGAAGGTAGAATTGTAGGTCCAATTTTTCATCAGTTCTGTTTCCCACGGATACTCGATTGTCATAAACCTCTGAAGAAGAAAAATTGAAGAAACAAATAATTTTCGAATCGATTAAATGAAAACTAACACATTTGCTTAGGGAGAAGCAGCTCTCACACTTCAATATGAATCTGTTTTTGCCTTCCTTTGAGTTGTTTTTCACTTGAATCAGGTCTTGGGCAGTGTATTTCCCACACGTTGGGCATTTATGGAGCTGAGAATTTGAGCCTTCATCTTGACGAATGTCTGCTGCATCACTTAGCTCACGCTCACTTTTTACTTTTATTTCAGACAATTCAGACGAGGGTTTGATGTCATTTGTACTGCAAGGCTCTAGCTTGATAGAGTTTGGTGTCATATATTTGTCCTGTTTTTCTGATAATTCTGCCGGCTTCATTATTTGTGTTTTTGCAGCTTGCAGCAATAATATTGGAGCTTGGAGCTGAAATAATAAAAAATGATAACATAAATAAGTATGAAAATGGGTTGATTTCTAGTTTTTAGATGTACTTTTACTAAATACATATAAAATTAAAGGAATATATTATGTACGCTGAAATTGGGGAAATATAAACAGCGAATAAATAACCTAGTTAATAAATGTAATTTAAACTTTTTTCTTGGAAATTAATAAGCACCGTTTAAAGATCCTGTATTTAAGTCCTGTTCCTTTTATCGGTTGACATGACACAGCGCGTATGAAGAGCCTTTTTCCAAAATTCAATATGAGCAGCACGATGATCGTATATTTGGTAATTGTTTGTTTACATTTTTGATGAACGGCAAGGAAAGCCAAAACGATTACAAAGGAATGAGCCAATCAGAATTCAGAGAAAGACAGCAGAGACGAATGGGGAGGGTGGGGATAGAGGATTGTTTGGAAATTTCTCAGTTCTTACCTCTTTTTAAATAAATTTACACAGCAGAATCGAAATATGTATGAACGTTTGAATCAATTAAAATAAAATATCTAAATTTCTCTTGTAAATTACAAAAAAATTGAAAAACTTTCAAAAGATTCCCTGTTCGCGGCTAAACCAAATGCACCAATGGCGGTGCAGATTCCAGGTTGGCGCCACCTGATTGGCCGGCAAATGAAGTGTTGTCAAAGCAAGAAGCAAAACAGAACAGATGATATCCCGAGCTAAATGGCGAACGTAGAAGAAGTTGCCGGGCTCGACTGCCGATGAGTTTCTTCAATCATCCATGCGAGACTAACACTTTTTAGACATTTTCGCAGACCAAAATGAAGAGCACTATTCTTGTGTTGTTTTGGTGCTGCGTAGGCTTGGTGAGGAGCGACGAGCACACGCACACGGTGAGTCGAAAAAATGGGTCGGCAAGAATTTTCGGCTGTTTACTTTGAGATCCGTGTCGCTTTCAAATTCCGACCCAAAGTTGGGCAATTTTACCGGGGACGCGTGTTTTGTGTTGATTTTGAAAACTTGAATTATCAAAGACCCAATTTCATTTATTTCGATGGCTGAATCTCAAATATTTCGGTGAAAAATCGGAGCCTCTTGAAAAGATCAAATAGAAAAAGTTTAAAAAAAGCGAATCAAAATACATGCATAAAAAAAATATATATATCTTTCAGGTGACGTTGCCTCTAGTCATATATTTATATGATAATTATGGTTTAAACTGTAGACTCACTTATTGATTAAAAATCCTCCTTTGTCTTTTAAAATTAATATCGTGCATATTAAAATGACGATTTTGCATCATAATTATGTATTGATTTCTTGGAGGCTATTGTATTTGCATGCATTGTAAAGATTGTCAGTAAAAATGTCAATGATGAACTTTGGAAAAATTTTAAAATTCCATTGTAAACTCAACAGAATATTTGCAAATAAATCAACCATTATGTATTGACCTGAAATTTTCTTATTTATTAGTTTATTTATTCTCCGTTAATATTTGTTTAAAAAAAGACGGTGGAGAATTTATCCAGACTGTTTTATCTCCAAAGAAATGCATTCATGGCAGTTTTGCACTGTAATTATTTTGTCTAATTAGCGCAAGCCCGAAACGCGTCCGAGTTGGCTGTAAAAACTGATAAAAATCTTTTGACGTTTCACATTTGACATTATCAGACTCAAAGCCCGCCCACTTTTGTTAATTTTCAACATAATAAAATAATTATCTTTCTTCCTGGTTATGCAGTACGAAGAAAACGAAGAGGTCGTCTTGTGGATGAACACGGTGGGCCCGTATCACAACAGACAAGAGACCTACGCCTACTTCTCGCTGCCCTTCTGCATTGGCTCAAAGCAGACCATCAGCCACTACCATGAGACCCTCGGCGAGGCTCTTCAGGGCGTCGAACTCGAGTTCTCCGGACTTGACATCGAGTTCAAGGGTAAGAAACTTAATTAATCAAGAAATAATAATAAAAGTTTGCATAAAGCCTTTTTTGGAACTCAAACCACTAGTTTGGGTTTCTTAGGAAGTGTGCAAAATTAACTGAGAGAAATTAGCTTTCATTGGCTGCATGCTCTTGAGAGTCAGTCACTCGTCAGACATTCTTTTGACAAAAGTTTATTTAAACATTAAAATGTTTGCTATTAAATTTTTAATGCTAATGAATGGTTTGCTTTATTTTCTGCCCACAGCTGAAATCGCAGCCACGCCGTATTGTGAAATTGAGCTGTCAGATGAAAGACAAAAGGCGTTTGTATATGCCGTTAAAAACCACTACTGGTATCAGATGTACATCGATGACCTCCCTATTTGGGGTCAGTGTCTACTCTTGTTATAAATTGACTGCTTGACTAAAATGTAATTTTTTTGTGCACAGGAATTGTTGGGGAGACCGACGAGAATGGTGGCTCGATGAACCACTACATTTGGACGCACAAGAAGTTTGACATTGGCTACAATGGCAACCAAATTGTAGACGTCAATCTTACCTCCGAAAACAAAGTTCGTCTCGACCTGAATGCCAAGATTCCGTTCACTTATGAGGTCAACTGGCGCAAGTCTCCGATCAAGTACGAGGACAGATTTGACAAGTATTTGGACCCTAACTTCTTCCAGCATAGAGTAAAAATAGCATGCATTATTATTTGAACAATTTCTGACCTGTTTTTATCCAGATTCACTGGTTTAGCATCTTCAATAGTTTCATGATGGTCATCTTTTTGGTTGGCTTGGTTTCTATGATTCTTATGAGGACTCTGCGGAAAGATTACGCTCGATACAGTAAGGATGAAGAAATGGACGACATGGTAAGTAATCAAATGTTTTCTTTATAAATTAAGTCTAATACTATTAATTGTTCCAAGTAAATGATCAATTCAGAGAATAGGATATTTTTAAACATTTCAAATTTGTTCTTATAATCGATATTTTGGTATTTCCATAAATACAAAGAATTAATATGCACACATCCTTATCTGGGACTCATGCCACTAATTTGGGTTTCTTAGAATGTGTGCAAAATTAAATGAGAGAAATTAGCTTTCATTGGCTGTATGCTCTTGAGAGTCAGTCACTCGTCAAACATGTTTTTATGTAACAAAAATATACTACTAAGTTTATTTATTATGAATATAAATCAAAATCCAATAATTTTAATTTGTAGGAAAGAGACCTAGGAGATGAGTATGGCTGGAAGCAAGTCCATGGAGACGTTTTCCGACCTGCATCTCAACCAATGATCTTCTCCGCTCTAATAGGAACTGGCTATCAGGTGGTCACCGTTGCCCTCTGTGTTATCATATTTGCCATCCTTGGCGAGCTCTACACCGAGTATGATCAAATATTTTTCCCATTAAACGTTTTCTAATTGAATCTACTTCTACAGACGAGGCTCTCTTTTGAGCACTGCGATCTTTGTGTATGCGGCAACATCTCCAATCAACGGTTACTGCGGAGGCAGTCTTTATGCCAGGATGGGTGGCAAAGTTTGGATTCGCCAAATGCTGCTTTCCGCCTTCCTGCTGCCAGCTCTTGTCTGTGGAACTGCCTTCCTGATCAACTTCATCGCAATCTACTACCACGCCTCCCGCGCCATTCCGTTTGGCACTATGGTGGCCGTGACCTGCATTTGCTTGTTTGTCATTCTGCCGCTGACCCTTGTCGGAACCGTTCTCGGACGCAACCTTGCTGGACAGCCAGACTACCCTTGCCGCATCAATGCTGTGCCCAGACCTATTCCAGAGAAAAAGTGGTTCATGGAGCCTGCTGTCATTATCTGTCTAGGAGGCATTCTTCCTTTTGGCTCCATTTTTATTGAAATGTAAGTTCCAAATTTTAATCGAATTATTTGCATCCTAATTTTTATATTTTACTATTGTATTAATTCCACTAAATTTAAATTTTATTTTAATCCACAGGTACTTTATTTTCACTTCGTTCTGGGCCTACAAAATCTACTATGTGTATGGCTTCATGCTGCTGGTGTTTGTGATCCTGATGATTGTCACCGTGTGCGTCACCATCGTGTGCACCTACTTTCTGCTCAACGCTGAGGACTATCGGTGGCAGTGGACTAGCTTCCTTGCTGCTGCTTCCACCTCTGGATATGTCTATCTCTACTCGTTCTACTACTTTTTCTTCAAGACAAAGTAATTAATTAATTTTTATGAAAATAAATATCGATACCAATTTTTTAATTTGTTTCTTCAGGATGTATGGGTTGTTCCAAACGACGTTTTACTTTGGCTACATGGCCTTGTTCAGCCTGACGCTGGGCCTGCTTTGTGGAACCGTTGGCTACATAGGCACCAGTCTCTTTGTTCGCAAGATCTACTCGACCGTGAAGATTGACTGAACTTTCAATCCAAGCTACTTTAATTACACTATGAATGTCTTGTTTCCACACACGTGTTTCGCAAGTATTTTTTATTAAAATTTTATATGTTTTCTGTGACCACATGAACCAACTGATGGGTGTGAGTTTTAAACAGGCCATTTTGCAATGGTTGTTAAGAAAAATTACTCCAATTTATGTCTCGAAACGACCGGGACAAAAGAGCACAAATGCATGCATGCAGTGTATATTGTGCTGTAGCTTTGTATATTGCGACGAATCCCGGCCATGTTTTGAGTGGTGCCGTTGTCAGTTGATATCCAATAGTCATCCGCAGTGCTCGCGCTCGACAAAGACTGGCGTCATTGGCTCGATGCATTCCAGCGAAGTCACCAGTGATCAGAAAGAATCATGATTGTTTTCTCAGCACGTGAATTCTGAATTGATTATTATTTGTGAAAATCAGAGCTTTATTTATTTTGTTAAGTGCGCGTGAATGAAGTCGTGATAACCCGAATGGCATTTGAATATAATTATTATTGTCCGCTCTTTCATACACTGTGTTTATATTACTAGCGGATTTTATTTTGCTAAAATTGAGTAGGCGCCGCCGAGCACCGACTCGTGGCAAGTGAATTTTTATGAATCGGAAAATTGTTGTTGTATGTGTAATATTGTCGGATGCATGTTAAGGAGAATAATAATAATTAAATCAAATACATATTACAAATCTTTGATCTGAAATTTCCAAAATTTATTCACTGCAAATCAGTTGTGTTTCGACCTGAGACGGTTTCTGGCATGCCCGTGAACTTGAGCTCTTTCCCCCCTGAGGTGTTGGTCGCGCCATTCCCTTTCGAGCCCAACAAAAGTCCCTCCGACGGGCACATGAGAGTTGGAATGGCGATTAGTTTGATTTGTTGTAGTCCGCCTCAGCAACCAGGTGGAAAGTCGCCGCACTGCCCTCTCCTCGTACTCTCGCTGGTCGTCTTGATTACTTCGGGTCGAGAGATTCGGGTCCCAGTGTCGGCCAAAAGGCCCCCTATTTTCAAAGTAATTTAAATTGTATAAATGAAAAAATTATTTTAATAACCTGGCAATGGGCAAAGCAGGAATTTGATTTACGGCGTTCAGAATTCTGCTCCTGCTCTTGGATTGGATACTTTTGATACTGCGCTCCTCTTCACCTTCTTCGCCGCTGTCCTCTGAATCGTCACTGCTGCTGCTCTCGCTTGAGTCAATTATTTCTGGCACGCAGTTTCTCATGGTGCGAGATGCTTCTTCTTGTCCTTTAAAATATTGTTAATTTTATTTAAATAGTACAAAATGATAGATTCAAATTTAATTTAAATTATTCTCGTAAAATATAATGTCAAATTAAAAAATACTGGAGATGGATTGATTTATATTTCTGAATGTGCTGGAAAAGCTATGGTTTGGTTTTTAATTTAGCTTTACAGACTAAGACTAATTCATTTTTAAATAAACATTTTTATCTTCCCTCAAGGCTCTTTTTTTTGTTCCGCCCCCATCCAATTCGCCCTCCCACCCCCCTCATATTTTTCCCTCCTTTCCTATTTTAAGAAATAAACACAATAATCACGTTGTTTCCACCTGCGTTGGGAGTTAGAATTTTCCGTTTTTTGCCGAAATAAAAAATCGTGACCTCGAGGTCCTTGATCGTGACTGTCACGTTGTAGTTTTTCCCTCCTTATTCTCTGGATGAGACGGGCATATTTTTTTAGTTCCCGAAAAATTCCAACGCGGTGTTGTGAAGTGAGAACGAAAAAGTGGACGAATTCATGCAGGTTTTCGTTGCACTTACGTTCGCGGCCGCGGCCCAACTCCCAGACAAACGTGGGCAGAAATCCGTGTCCAGGCTTGGCAGCGTCCAGCTTCAGACACGCCATCGTCGACTGCTTGTCCTGCTGCTCCTCACCACCGTTGGCCTGCTCCGTCGCCCTCAACTCTGTTGTGAACAAAACGTTAATTTTTCAAGTGAGCAGTGATTAAAGACAAATTTCACCTGCGTTCGGAACCTTGAGTGGCGCAAAATTCCGGTTCGGCGAGGGCGGCGGACTGACCATCGACCTGAACTCCTGGAAAAGGGCCCAGGTCGCCTTGTCCTGGTCACTCTCCAGCACCGGCACGTGCTCCTCCAACTGGCAACCCTTGGACGACATAAGAAGTGAGGACAAAATTTATCTTTTTGCATGAATTTTTGTTATTATTTACGGTTTGAGTTTCGACTGGGGCGAATCTGAGCACCCTGAGTCCGCAGCAGGGGTGCCTTCCGAAGGCTCGTTGTCCTCCGACGAATTGGGGTGGCTCAGGGTGGAGGCGGCAGCAGCCCGTCTGGCTGAGGCAGAACAGACCCTGACACCTTCCGCAGGTCAGCCAGTGGGCTTCGCCCCAAAGGCGCCAGTACACCCTTCGCCACGTGCGAAGCTGCATCTTCAGCTCGGCCACATGGTCGGACAGACTCCATGCGCTGGACCTTTCAATTAAAAAATAACAATTGAAAATTATCACAAAAGATTAGAAATAATTATAAATATACTTAAGTTAAAAAAGATAAGATTAATAAGTTTTTTAGACAAAAATTCAAGATTGAAGCAACTTTTAAAAGTATTTTGGACTACAAAATAATAAGAAACATTATAAAAAATAATCTGCATTAATTTAAAATATAATAATGATAATTAATTGTATTTATAATGTTAACTTGATTTGGAAAATTGTTTTATTTATTTTAAAATAAAAGTATTATTTTATATTAAATATTAATTATTTTAAAATTTAATTTTTTACATAAAATTTATATTTAGGGAAGAAATTTTAATTGTATATTTATTGGATTTTAAAATTTATAAATAACAAAGCGTAAAATTACCTGTTATGTCGATGTCTGAGTTCTCCGAGGGCGCCGATTTGGGTCGCGGACGGTGCGCAGGGAATTTGGTGCGCGAGGGCGTGCGAAGGGATCAGTCGGCGACACTCGCCGCACTCGAACATGAAGGCCAGCGAGCCAAAGTGGCCCCGACGGGGGTCGGCTTCCGGTTCGGCTAGGGCTGCGATCAGTTTGCAGAAGAGACGACCCTGAAGGCGGTCCTTCCGGTCTCGCAACTGCTCCACTTCACGGTTGCTGAACAAACCGGACAACCTGAAAAATAATTAAAAATCCATTTGAATTAGAATTGTTTCTGATATTATTGACCTTCTTATTTGCCTTTTTTTTCAATTTAGCTGTCATATAGCTTCTCGTTTATTAAAAAATATTTTAAATTGTATTATTTTCACAAAATTTTTGAATTTATTTTGAAAAAGTAGGAATAAATTTAATCCGTTATTATTTATAGTTTAAGAATTGAAGCTAAAAAAAAATATATGTATAATGATTTGCTTTTCTCACGCTCGGCAGGACATATTGCGACTTGACGATGAATTTGTGCGGCCAAGCGGAATTACGTATGTGATTTCGATTTTTTTCCCCAACACAGGCCTCTCTCGACACCCTACTTGAAAGCGCTGCCGGTGAACTTTCAGGTCGGTGTGTATTTCAAGAGGATTCAAAGTTGGTGCAAATTTGAAGTTAATCACAATTTCATCGTATTGCAAAAAAGTCTCTCGCAATAATTTCTTGGAAAATTGGCGTACCTCGATAGGATGGAGTCATTGATGCACGCCAAATTTGCCGGTCCAGCGAGCAATTCGTTTGCTCGTGAGTGGCAAAACTTAAGGCACTCCTCCAGCAACTCTTCCATCTGGAGAAAGGCGGCTGAAGTGAGAACAGCGACCACGTTGGAGCAGTCTGCGGAAAAAATACACAATATAGAGTTTTCAATCAATTGGGGAGAGAGGCTTGGATCGGAGTTATTTCTACAATAGAAAGATATTTTGCTGGACTGCGGTTGTCACGTGACTTAAATAAATTCATTTTTTCTTGAAAGTTCTCCAATATTTTTATATTTATTTGGCAAGATTTTGGGGGAAACATTAAGGCTGGGAGAAAAGAATTGATATTAAAAAACTTTGAATCTTTTTATTATTTATTATTATCGCTTTAAATTAAAACAGTTAAATTATTATAAATATGGAGAAATTTAAAGCCTATTTTCTGCCCAAAAATTCATTATTTCATACCTAATTTTGGCCAAAGTTCCTTTTCATTTGGTTCTCTGCGTACCCAGCTCATCAACCATTCAAAATTTGCAACGTCGCAGTGCACGGAAATGTCCATTTCATCCAGTTTTTGCCCTGAGAAGTCGTAAAAATATCTTCTTTATTTTGTAAAAGCACAAGTTTTATCTTGAAACCTGCTGTGACCTCTGCGAAATACCCCATTTCAGAGACCAGCAGCGCTTGGGGGCACTTGAAGGTTTTTTTCAGTCCCTTGACCTCGTCGCAAACGTGGATTTCCACTTCGGCGTTGCTGCTGCAGGAGAAATGGTTTTATCAAAAATACATTTTTTTTTACGGTACTGATGAGAAATGACAGACTTGATCTTGTGTTTGGCTTTGGCCGCTTTTTCCTGGTGTCTTCCGCGTCTGTTGGGCTTCTCTTGGCTCGGGCTCGTTGGCTTTTTTGACGCTTCGTCCACCTTTTTGGCACCTGCCGCCGACGAACCGGCGTTTTTGGGCACCAAGTACGGCAGCACCGAGTCCAAAAGCCCCTCCTGCAGTACTTGGTGCAACTTTCTCTTTGCTACACTTTGGTCACTGCAAAAAATTCAAATTGATGCAATATTGAATTTTATATTTAATTCAACATAAAACTTTAGTATGTTTTATTTATTTATTAAAATGATTATATCAATAACTTTTATTTGATATTTTTTATTAATAAGTTTATTTCTTAATTTAAAAAACAGTTAAATTTAGCAATTTTAATTTATTTTTGCCAATATATTCATTATTACGTAATGTAACCCATAATTTTATAACAAAAACTGCAAAATTAATAATACAATGAAACAAAAATGCAGAACTGAAATAATTTTTTCTAAAATAAACTTGAAAATATTTAGTGCATTAATTAATTGAGGGGACATTTTTTGTGTTAAAGGGTTAAAAATAATTCACCTCAAATTATTAACTTGCTGGGTGTCATTTTGCTCTCCTGAGGGGACACTTCGGACACCCTGGACGGTGGGTGTGTCGAGCAGCTGCCTCCAGTTGATGTGCTGGACACTCCTACTTCCGTCCCGCACTGCCTCCACCGTTTGGTGAAGTTGGTAGGAGGAATGGAGAAAGTCGAGGAAGTCCTGCACGGACATGTCCGAGCATGACTTGGACCTCGGGACGTCATCGGCCGTGTCCAGCGGGGGCTCCGTCACGGCCGCCTCGGCCATTCCTCCAACCTCAATGACTTTATAAAAGAAAAGTTATTCTCGTTTCTCTTGAGCCACAAAGAAACCGGTACAAATAAATATGGAGAACCGATTGATGGCGATTTTTAGTCTTGTTCTCTATTATATTGGTTATTGCAAATAACCATTCATTTTTGTATTCTAGAATGAAACTTTTGCTTTTTTGAAACCATTCTCTGAACATAAAAATCAGATGATTTAAGTCGTGAATGATTTAATTTATTGACCTATTAATATGGAAATTGTAAATATTTGAAAAAATTGTTATTGATAAAAACTTAAATTTTCATTTAGTAATTTAGTCCCTAAATTCTTCTGTCTCTGTTTTGTTTTCATTCTGACTGGAATGTCTAATTTAGATTTTATAATAGCAAAGAGACGAATTTCTTCTTGTACATGGAATGAAAACAATTTATATTATTATTGGAAGAAAAAGCAATTACCCGACGTTCTCTCGTACAACCGGTAAGTGACACACGGCGAGTGGAGCCGGAGCGCCCTAACCACACACAATGCAGCGTCGCCAGGCAACCGTCGTTTTTAGATTTATGGAAAAATGCCGCGGCGGTTTATTTTTCCCGCTATGCACGCATTCGGAAATTGATTCGGACGAAAATTTCGAGGGCCATGAGCGCGCCTTGTTTACCGGAAAAGTTTGTTCGTGCAGAAAATCACGAGATATTCGTGATGAGCGCGCTTCAAAGAGGCGCGCAACTTTGGCACATATTAAAGTTTATGACTACGAAATTGCCTTGCTGCTCTATTATTCATGACAAGACGCTGTTCTGAAGTTTCGTTAAGTACATAAATAAAGTTGATATAGTTGTAAATATGGATTATATTTAGAATGCAAATAGACACACGCTGAACTTGCAAGATGTTGACCTGATTTTAAATTTAGAACGAAAAATATATTTGGACTTTTTAAATCATTGAAAAAAATTATTTAATTGTTAGATAATTTTTGAATGAGTTTTTTTCTAACTAAAGTAAATATTAGGTAAGAAAATGCCGCTTTTTGTTAAATAAAATGTTTTTCCATTGCTTTACTCCTGAAAATCTAATCAACTTGGTTTCTGTCAGATTCAGTAACGGAGGCTTTAGCTAACACAAAATTCTCGTTTCTTGTGTGGTCGGACAGGAAGCAGGTCTATAAGGAGGATTTGTGTCATTCTCTCTCCATCTAAAGCCTCGTCAGAAACAGCGGAACAAATTAGAAAACGAGCGCGTGTCGTTTTGCACAATTTTTCAAGAGCAGACACCGCATCGATCAATTATTCATCAAGCGGGGAGATCAAATTTCTCCAGGGAGCGTAGAAAAATACGGAAAAAAATATATCGCATCCGTCCGAAGGATTTATTATAGGCAATCCGCTCGACACGTTTGAGGAGCGGGTCTGCATAATTGTTCATCAATCTTGTTGACACAAAAGTGGCGCAGTGGTATAAAATAACAAGAGTACGAGTTTTTTGCTACATTAAAATGTTAAAATCCATTCATTTTTTAATCTCTATAGCAAATATACAAAACAAAATAGTCGTTGAATTTTGTATATTTTTTGAAAAATTAAATTATTGAATTTGAAAAATATTAAAATCAAATATTCTTCTATATTCAGTTTAATTCTAATTCACTTTTCACTCTAAATTTGGTTTTGTCGAGTTTTTCTATCGGAACAAAGTCTCTGGTGATCCGTGCATCACAATTTCAAAGTTTTCCTACTGCCGCGGGTAGACGGTGATGTAAGACACTTTGGGCAAACCCGTTTTAGATTCAAGTCCTTGCTTATCGCCGAGGGTCACTTTTTTCTTGGCCACATTCCGCTCGGACGGTTCTTTCTTGAGAATGGACGACGGTTGTTTTTTCAAAGCCTCCTTTTTGGTGGGTGGCGGCTCCTTTTTGTCGTTCACAGTCGGCATTTGCAGCCGAGGCTTGGTCGGCTCGATTTTCCGTCTGTAGTAAAAGACCTCCGCGGCGAGCGTCACAACGGCCAGCCCAAGCCCGGCGAGCATTGCGATAAAAACACCGCCTGAAATTGAAATGTCATATTCCAACTACTCGTGTCTCAAAAATTAAAAAAAAAAGCTTCAACAGCATCAATAAAATTTGATCTTAAAATTACTTGTTAAAATTTAACAATCAATGGAAATTTTGAGGAATTAATTAAACAATTCAAACTCTGATAAGATGAGTAAAAATACTGAAAGTGAATAAACTTTGAACATCAAAATTTTTCAAATACCAAATATTTAGTAATAAAAATTGATAAATTTATTATTAATTTTAATTTTTTTTAGATATTTGATAATATTTTAGCAGCATTATAAATGACTGATGAGCTTTACAGTTCATTAGAATTCCAACCAAAAAGTGAATCTTCTAGAATATTGTTGTTTACCGATGCTTTCAAGCGTAATTCCTGAGTCAGCGCGTTGGCCCAAGTTGCACTGCGCCCTGCGCGATTTATTCCACGTTCTCGCCGTGATTTCCTCAAAAAATCTGTCCCTCTGCATTTGCAAAATTCTGAAAGAACAAAATTCATTGTGCGAAATTGCAACGAAATTTTGTATACAGAATTTATTCAAAATTATAATTAATAGTGTGGTTATTAAAATTGCGATTATTTTGAATATAAAATAATTTTGTCTCACGCCCTGCTGAAGTCCCTGGTGAGGGGGCTGCCTGTGGGGACGCCGAGGGCGTACGGCTGATCGGCAAACATTTCGCCCACTTCCACCAAGGAACAATTGCGGAGCACCTCGTACCGCAAAATCAACGCGTCGTGGATGAACGCGTAATTCCCATCTGACGCGACAACCTGCAATTTATTCGCGTCAAAACTTTTTTTTACACAATTAATTTCGTTGACAGAACCTTGAATTATTTCAAAATTGACTGTCAGAGATTATAGATTTTGATAGAAATAAGCATTTCATGAAAATATGTTTCACTCTGAATATTAAATATTTTGTGGAGATAGCAAGAGAGGAGGGAAATAAATCATTAAAAAATTTATTTGATTTACTGTTTATGTCAATATTTTTAGTAATTTTTATTTTATTTTTCAATTTAAAAACATTTCCACCGAAAGGTAAATGAAAATACACTTCAATGTTTTTTGTAGAATAATAATTAATTTACTATTAATTTTTCGTTTTATTTAATTGCTTCTCATTCTTTTTTTTAATAAAGTTATATTGCTTTTTTTAAGAACTTGTAAAAATTTAGTGTATTTTACGCACCCTGTCAAGACCATCACGCAGTGTCAAAACTCCTGTGTCAGAAGCGTTGTTTACTTTGGTGTTAATCACAGAGTATTGCTCTCGGACGGGATAATTCCAAACGCGGTAAATTGGTAAATCTGAGTTCATAACTTCAGCAGTCCACGCCCTGGCGTTTTGCAATGAAAAGTTATTAACATTTTTAATTTTCAATCTAGTAAAAATATTCTTCACCTGTAAAGAGTTTTTTCCGCTTCGTTCATGTTGAAGAAAAATGTTTCGGCAATTCCACCTCGCATCACGCCGTACTGAATTTTGGACTGGCGCGCCAGTTGCTCCATCGAGGAAATGGGCACCTGAAAAAAAGGGTTGACAAATAAAAATTAATTCACCAGAATAATACAAAAATAAAAATCTTGCCTGCATCTTTTCCACGGTGAGGAAGGCGGCCAAGTTGGCGGTGAATGTGGCGAGCATCAAAACCACAAAGAACCAATAGGCCGCCACTAATATTCGGGCTGACAAATTCTGCGACGCAAAAAAAAATATTTAAAGGGTTATAATCGTTTGCTTCATTATTTTAAATTTAAAAGTCAACCAAATATCATGACTGACTTCAAAATTGTGATCAAGAAATTTGTATAGCTTCAAACCAGAGGTTCATCAAGAAGTTAACTTAATATTCCCGCCAATGGAATTAAAACCTTTTGGGAAGATAGTCTTGGTTGCAAAGTCACACATATTCAAATGATTTTGGCGGGAAAAGTGAAGAACCCAATTTTGAACTTTCGGAAGATTGCAAATTTTTTTGTCGAAAAATTGCTGGATTCAATTTGATAAATAAAAAAATTAACAGGTGCATCTTATAATTAAAACAACTGGAAAAACCAGAATTACCTTAGGAGGCTCCCCACCACCTTGTGGCGTGAAAGACGTCAGTGTAAACCAGAAGCACTCTTTTAAATCAAATACTCTGAAAGGCGGAAAAAGACAAGGGAAATTATTCAAATTAGTTCACTTTGAGCTTTTCTCAAACAAAGACATCATTTCAATCAGAAGATTAAAGGAAACTGATTGCTTTCTTTCACTTAAGGACTAAAGACCATCTATTCTCTATTGGATTACTGAGGGGAAATTAGCTGATTGCTTTTCTAAGTGGTCTTAACTCGAAATGAGGAATTTCATTTCCCCCCCCCCCCTCATTTTAACAGTTTGTATCTTACAGTAATTTTTTGTGTGCCTACCTGCATTCATATGGGTATCTCTCAGGACTTCTGGAGTAACTGTAGGGTGAGAATTTCTCCAGCACATACATCAAAATACTAGTTATGATGATGGAAACGACTAAGGCGATCCAAACCTCGGTTTTTAACACAGTCATGAACTTAAAAAGCGACGTTTCCTGAACGGGTTGTTTTATAACTAAAAAGAAAAATAATTTTTAATTCAATTTAAACATTAATTTTGATTATTTACCAATAGTCAGTCCTGTATTTTCAATGTAGGGGGTGATAAAGTCGATGACTTCATCTCTCTCCGCAGTCATAGTTAGTGGAGCGCAAATCAAGTCAAGGTCCTAGTTTAAATAAAAAAAAAACATTTTAACAATAAGGTGAATTGTGTTAGGTTCTATTCTTTTTAAATTTTATTGTTAAACATCGCATTAATTTATTTCATCTGAAGCTGCAATTTTCATATCATGATTAATTTATCAGAATATTATAATTTCCTTCTTGCAAATAACAGAAATTAAAAATGAAACTTCCAATGAACTTCTGAAAAAATAAAATTGCCTGTTTTGCAAGATTGTTATTTTTTAATTTTCAATCTTCACACGTCACATTTTTTTGTTATAAATTTCATGAATCGCTTTGTTTTTCATTACCTCCAAAAAGATGATCCATTGAAATTAAAAAAAAAAAAATTAAGCCCTACCCCTTTGGCCAGAAGACCGATGCCTCCGGTCCATATGCTGGTGTTGAGCCTTTCACCCAACATTGTGATGGTGACGACGTCGTAATCAAAATCCATAATTCTTCCCAACTCCTCCAGCAAACTGAAATAATACCCTTCCCACTTTCCATTCCTCTTGAACGACCACGGCTCGGCCTATTTGAATAAAAATTTAAAAAAATGTAATTATAATTTTAAATTTTAACCTCCATCATTCCAACTCGCAGCAACTGCCTGGGCGCCGTCACTTCTCGTCCGGCCGCCACCAGCAGACCTTTCTCAGGGTTCCACGAGGCCAGAAAGGTGCGACCTGCGCTCCTCGCTCGCACCACGTTCACGTCCATGGCCGCCCTGTAACTGATTCGTCTCCTCACCGTGTCAAACTGCAGAATCGGGTGTCGCTGCAAAACCTGTTAGAAAAAAATAATGCGTTAATTGTGTATAAAAATTAATTGAGTTCAAAGACTTGTTGGTAAAGGGTGGTCAGGTCGTCCAGTTTCTGGTTGGTGCCTTCGTCGACCTTGTTTGGTAGGGTTGCACAGTCTATTCGTTTGATGGGCAATATCAGACTATCTCCGCTGTCCACGACGTCAATTAGGTAGTCAAAGACGCGAGTGATGTATGAAGAGATGACCTGCATTTTGCAAAATTTTGAAAATTTGCAAAAAAAACATACTGGGGAACGTTGAAGTTTCCAATGTCAATTAAAAAAATCCACCACTTTAATATTTTTGAAATTTATTGTCCTAGAAATATAATTTTTGAAAATATTGAACTGAAAATTTCACGTATGTCCTTTAATTTAATTTAATCTAATAAAAATAATTATAAATCTTTATAACTCCAGATTTACTAGCTAAATAAATAAATTTACTATGGTTTTAATTTATGTTTTCTTACCGGTGGGGGACTCAAACAATCGCAACCGGCCGAGTCTTTGCTTAAAGGACAACACATCTCAGGCACCGAGGGCTTCAGTTCTCCGACGGCGTATGGCAAATCGACCAGCCAATCCGTGGCGGCGTTGACCGAGACCAAATTCAGGACGACGACGAGCCACTGCTGGTCTTGGTTGACGATGCCGTAGTTGACGGCCGAGGTGAGTATGTTGGTGATGCTGGCAACTTCGGCGAAAAGCAGGAACATGTCCGGCCACGGCCGATTTTCGCGCAGCAGCCACGCTGTGTCGTTTCGCAACGTCGCGTACGACGTGATTCGAAGGCGACTGTTGGCCAAAAGGGCTCTCGTACCTTGTTGCATGTCTAGAATTAAAAAAAAATATATTTCAAAGAAAGTTTCATTTTAAAAACTAAGACGTTTTGAGGGTTGCAAAATGGGTTAAATCACCTTTTTTTAATTTCGAGCCGTATAAATTTTAAACCAGACAATAACTTATTGATCAGGCACCATTAAATTACTAGGTTTCGATTTTTTTTCTCAATAAATTTTTTTATTTTGATTCAGGATTTAAAAAAAAAGATTTTCTTGATATTTTTTTTTTGTCTTTCCATTTTAAATTTTAGTCCAAAACATTTGAAAAATTTAATTAACCTTTTTCAAATCGCAGTCGTCTTTAAAATTTATGAGGGCTTTTGTTGTCGTTCATAATTATAATTTCCACATGCAGATTATTATTATCGTTATTTTAGTATTATTGGGAATTCAATTTATTTGGAACTTGCCTGCATCATTTTGAAAAATGAGGGCCGCGTCGGTGGCGTTCAAATTGAGGACGTATTCCGCCGCGGCACGAGCAAACGGCCCGATGGTGGGCTCGATTCTAAAGTACGGGACGAAATTCTGGTCGGCAGTCGCCTTCAGTTTGACGTATCCGTTCTCGGTCGCGTCCACAATCACCGTCACGCCGTTCGACAACTCGCGGCAAACTTTCAGAATTTTGATGAAAATTATTAAATTCAAGAGATTTCATTTCTCACCGGCAGTCCATGTCTCGTCCTCTTTGGAAGCACTGTAAAAAACGGTCTGCACCGACGTGGTCACTTGTTGCCAAGAAGCGACCAACTCTTCCAGAGAACGTTTCACGTCAGGCACAATTGTCACTTGAAAAGTGTCTGCCAGAAGCACTGGAATTGCAATCAACAATGAATGATTTGTTCACAAAATTGTTATGTAATGCTTGCGAATTTTTGTGTTTATTCTTTATTCATTTTCTAGCCCATTTTTTTTATTGAAGTTCAAATAAAATTTGAACAACAAAATTTATCTTTTATTAAAAATAATAATAATAATAAGAAATTCTAATTTTACCACTTCTAATGTGCGGAAACTGAACAATAATAATTGATCACAAATAAAATTGATGCTGAAAATTGCTGAAAATTCCGACCATTCTATATTCCTTATTCTATTTTCTTTTCGAAATGAAAATTTATGTGATAGCTGGACAAGTACAAAACAATTTAATTAATTGAATGAATACAATTATAAGAAATTTGAATAACTTTTGGGGTTACCCTTGCTATGCAAACCCCAAAACTTATCCTACAAGCTATGCTTTTAAGATGAAGAACTCCACGATTTTGTTGAAAGTTGGTTTTTGGCAATGTGAATTGAAATAATCGTTCAACGAGAATTAAAATTATATTTATTATTGAAAATTTTATCCACTTAAATCATTATAATTAATTACCTAATATTTGATTTCCAAACATAAAAACAAAATCAATTTTCAACTTCCATAGAATTTCGTCTTATTGCAACAAAAGCAATTTTTACAATAATTCCATTCATGATGACGATGGCAAAAAATTTATTTTCAATGTCAATGACAACGGCGGACGCACTAATTACTCTCCCAAAATGGAACTGTGGAATAATGGGCATAACGATTTTCGACCGGCGCTCTATTTGTCACCAGCCAAAATGGAGCGAAAAAGGAGAACTCACGAAATTTGATGGTCTGCGTGGGCGGCGGCGGCAGCTGCCCGTCGCCCGTTGGAATGAAAAGGAACAAAATCAGCAGAAGCAACAGTCGCAAATTCCTGCGAGGACATTTGAACGCGTCGTTCCTCCGGTCCATTTTTCCTCGTCGCGGGGCATCCGACCGACTAACACAGACCTGTGGCACACACTCGCCGAAATCGCGCCTCGTTGCCTGGCGACCTGTTTTTCAAAACATATCAAAACACACTCGTTTTTTGTGTCAGACAATCTTCCTGTCAACCTTAACGAGAACTGCTCGCACTCGTTATGAATAAATTATATCAACTCTTCGATTGCGGAGAACTTTGATTTTGCTTCTTTCATCAAAGTGCCTCAAACTTTACCATTGAACGTTGAAGTGTGTTTCAGAAATTATAGTATGTTAATGATTTCTAAGGAGGGACAAGATTCCTTACAGTCGAATTTCCTTTTGAGTGCTTTAGGTTGTTGCAAAGTGTAGGATTAAATTACCCGTTCTCCACAATATTAAATGCTATCTTAAAAAATCTGTGTTTTATAGAAGATCCTTAATAAATTAGTTTCTTGTGGTTGCGTAATTTTTGTAAACATTTACATGAAACATTCATACTTTATAATGAAAAATTGAAACCGGGGTTGCTTGTTGCAAATGAAAAATGAAAAACTTTTTCAATTTTTCATGCAATCCACCTCGAGTGTAGCTTTCTGCTTTTGTTCATTCTAGAAATTTATTCAAAATAAATTTGAACCCTACATTCCATTTAGAAACTTTTTATGTTCTTCTGTAAATTTAGAGCCATAAAATGAAAGTTAACTTTACATTCTTTTCCCTTTACAACTTCTTTTCTCAAAAGGAAGATTTCTCATTTTCTCCCTCTTAATAAATTAACTTTTCGCTATACCCACGTGCCTTGAGCTTACCGATCTCTATAGACACGACTTTTAATTAAGACTAAAACGAAAACGTTTTTAATTTACAAGAAGAATTTTCCTCATTCTTTTTGTATTTTTATTCCTGGAGGGTTATGAAAAGAAAAGTGGGGAACGCTTTATGCATTTAGCCTTGATGGGGCAAATTTTCTCTCTAATGGAACTTGCTTAAGGTAGTTCCGGTAGCGCATTTTTGATGCTGCATACTCCGTTCAACGCAGCTTTCTGTCATATATTCAAAGGCTCCAAGCAGAATGAAAATTTAATCTTGATTTAACAATAATTAATTTAGCCATAACATGGAAAGCTAAATTATTTTATGTTCATATAAATTTCCTATGAAATTAAATTAATCTCAACTGGAATTTATGCAAAGATTTTAATTCTTGAAGAATTTGATCATCTTGAAATGATAACATATTTTTGCTTCGTCACTTTGACTCATTGTCAAGGGTTTTATTATAACGGAGCCTTGACGGATCGAGTTGCTCTTGGCAAAAGGAATTCCAAACATGAAGGGGGCAGGGCGCGTGCTCCAAGAGGAGAATGCCTGGCGAATTATTCGCAGCATCCACCGGGCCCAGTATCAATTTGGACTCTGGGGGTGAACACCATGAAGGAGAGGTGAGACAACAATTCTTTCATCAATTTATTTAATTAAATATTTCATAAGTTTATTCTGAATAATTGAAATGAAAACACATGCACCTTCCTTAAATGTTCTATAATTGTCATCAATGAGAGCTTAGCTTGTTAAAATATCCCAACAGCATATTACATAATTTTTTTTTCTATGTTTTCAAATTCAATTAAAATTATTTATTTCATTATTTTTTATTGATACCTTCATTGCTTAGTTTAGCAGGATACAATTTATAAATTTTTTTACTTCAAACACTTTTTATTGATATAAAACAGCTATGTTTTGCTTTAATTTTGTAACAATGAATTTTTTTAACATTCAATAAAGAGAATGAAATATATTTCTCCTTCTGGAAATTAAAAGGGTTAATTTTTCGTTTTCGTTGAGGTGTGCCTGCAAATGTCGTTGGACGGCAACCCGCGCAACACTGCTTCGCGTACAAAACGTCAAGCCATATCATGAAATGTCTAAAGTCAGGATTATTATGAAGCCAGCGGCGCTATTTTGTTTCCTGTAGGAGACATTCCATGAGCGCTTGTATAAAACGTTAAATTTATTCAACCTTCGATTTTCAAGATAAGTGTAGGAAATAATTTATTCGCTTTTGAATGTGAAATGTTTGCAACAACAAAAACAAAACCCACGACCCGGTTGCAAACAGCTTAATTAATTGGGACTCCTTTAACGAGAATGATATTGTTTTCAAGTTGCTGCTTACGTCAATAGAAACAAGCACTCATTGTTACGGTTCTTGGAAATAAAATTTATTTGGGTGAAGAAGTTGGAACGCGAGGAGACGTTTATGAGTAAAAAACAAAGTTTATTCCAATTTTGAAAAAAAAACTAAAGAATTTGTTAATTAAAAGTTTGTATTATTTGGTTATTTGTTCAATTTGTCATGTTTAATGTGTTTTTCATGCTCATAAAATAAGTTTGCATATTTTTTAAATAATAAATTCAGTTTAATTTTTAAACGAACAAATTTTATTAAAGACAAAAAACATCCAATTAATTCAATTAATAACTTTTAGATTGCAAAGCATTACATACAATTTTGCAGCCCAGATAAAAATTGGATTTTGAAACTTATAAACAAAGTTTTCCTCAGTTTGAAACTAATAAAAAACTTCCAGAAATCAATTAAGACCACGAAAAATTTAAAAATGAGAGAGCATTTTTTCCTATTTCCGGCCTAATCTGCTTCGAGAAATGGTTTTATAGCCTCATAAGCTCAATGATCCGCGAAGGTGGATTGAGATGTCTCTCATTTCCTGCCATTTTTTTTATTCTGTGGCTTCGATAAAAGGCGAACCGAAAATTACTCCAGAAAAAGCGAGATTCAAACTGAAAAGGACTACGTTGTCAAATTCCTTCTTCTGTATGAATATGAAAATTGAATCTCGTCTCATTTTCCAGTTTGAATTTTCCTCATAGTATTTCCAGCGGTGCTTGTGAAAAAAACGCGATGGTTTTCGATCCTCCGGCATTCATGTTGCTAAGTAAGCACCACTTGTGAGAATGAAACAGTCGCTATGAAACGAAATAGATATGCCTTGAATTTTCCGTTGCATAACTCTATTTTAAGCTCTTTTGCCCTCAATTAGAATTAACCTTCATCTGCCAGAGCAGCTCTTACATAATCTCCACAAAATAAATAAATTAACTGGGCTAAAACAAAAAGAATAACAATTGTGTTATTTTCGCTGATTTATACAGAACTTCAAAATTTTACTATTTCTAAATTCCAGATGGAAAAGGATCGATTTATTAATCAAAGGGAAATTCACAAGCTTTGAATAGCTTGATGGCTAAAGAGAGAGGGAAATAATTGTTGAAAGCGCGTGGGCTTTCTTTTTGACACCGAATCGGTAAAGCAGAATTTTTTTTATTTTGTTCCACTTGGTAAATTTCAAAAGGAAGTTTTTGGACGTGGAAAATGTTTGTTTGTCGATTTTAGCAAAAAATTGCATTGTTATGAGCGACTTGCTCTGCCATTGGTCGGCCAGAATATTTTGCCAAATATCCCTGCTCATTCTTTCCCAGTAGTTATTTCAAATATATGGAGATGTGTAAATTATAAAATTTTTGCAAAGAGGACGTTTTTGTTTGCCTAGTTTGCAAACTAGTGTTTTATTTAGCACTTTTTTTCATTGTAAACAAATAAGCAAAACCAAATGACAATTTTTTTTCTAATATTTCAACGGATTCAAGAAAATCTAAAAAAAAATATTTGTTTTATTTTCATAATAATTTGTTTCAATCAAAATTTTCATTTCCGGTTGGTTTATCTGGTTGAAAAGCATGATGTTTTATACTAACTGTTCACTCTCCCTCTATTCAACGCAGCCACGTTGAATTATAAATTTGATGCTTGCGGTTTCGGCTGCTGCGCTTGTCACCACACATTTGTGGCTCTAGTTCGAGCAGAAGCCTGTGTACCAGTTAATTCGCTAAAGTTCAAAACAGACGCTTGAAACTTTGCTTTGAATTTGAATAAAACAAATAATTTATTTACTGAAGAAATTTCCACTTTTCCACTTGACGTCTTCTTCATGTTGAAAGAAACGGTTTTCTCCTCGATTAAAAAAGCCTTTGAATAGTTTTTGCAACTCTCTGCAGACATGTATTATTAAAATATTTTACATCAATTTTTTTCTCCAATTTTTGCTCATGAAATAGCTTTGCAAACAGTTGCGGAAAGTATTCAAGCTTTTTTTCAATGGAAACATTTATTCAAAGAAAACATTCCGCTTTCCTTCGTCGCTCTTTGAACGTCTCCGTTTAATTGATTGCCCACTTGTTCTCTCAAATGTTTTATACAGGTTCACATCTTCACATTTCGAAAGCTAAATAAGGACGTTTTGCGATTCAAAATTAGAGAGAAGCGAATCAAGCGAACGTGCATTTATTGATTTTTGCCTTTAATTCAAAGCGGGAAATTAAAAGACCTTTTTTCCTTTGATTAACTCTAATTTTCATTCATGTAATCAGCAAGGTTTTTTTTTATAAAAGTTCAATTTCCCAATTTGGCGTGACCTAACAAAGATCAAAAGAAAAAAACCCATTAATTTCTGGAAATTTCAATCAGAAGTTCTTGTGTTCGCTTTTGCAGGTTATAAATTCCGCTTCGATGAATTCCCAATTAAGCAATTTAAAATTCCGGAAATCTGAATAAAGGAAATGAATTTACAATCAAGCTCAGTGATTTTTGCTTACAAAGTTATTTTTGTATTTAAAAAAAAAATGTTACTTTATTATTAAAAATTACAGTAAATTGTAAAGAAAAACTCCATTTTATCCTTAATCAAATGATAAACTTTACGGAAAATTACTAAAAAGAAAATCATTTGCCAGATTCAAGTTTCTTCCTCTGCTGCTGGTCGTTTTCGCGCGACCTTCGCACCAGCAGCTCAGCCCTGAGCTGCTTGCCAAGTGGAACATGACCCTGAACGACACGCTTCTCCTTTTGAAAAATCTCGAGTTCCCGCCGCTTGAGATTTTCGACTCGATGGTCGCCCAAGGGGTGCTCATCGGTCTCTACTCGGTCACTGGAGTGGCCGCTCTTTTGCTCAACGCGTTGCAAATTTACATCCTGCTCACCGGCCAAAGGTATTTTCATTGCCTTCACCAATGGATTAATTAATTTTAAATAAATTTCTAGCTCAAAAATGCTGAAAACGATAATCTTGATCAAAGGTTTTTTTAAATTTTTTATTTTTGTTCTTTCTTATTATTCCTTTTTATGATATGATAATTACTTCTGGAACTATTTATAATTATTTATTGGCAGACAATGAAATGAAAATTATAATATTATATTTCAACCTAATCCATTTATGTTGTAAATTCACTGCAAACTAAAATAAAATGTTTAAAGTTCCGTTCTTTTAGGGAATGTTTTTATATTTTCAAGACAAATTTCCACTGATCAAATCCGTTGAATAGCCGAACTATAAATAACCGATTCATCCTGTTTATTTAGGTCGTTTTATTCAATTCCGCAGGTCGTCTGTGGGAGCTCTCCGCCCGTATTTGATCAACGTTTCTTGCGCAGACATGCTGATGGCCATATTCTCAATTCCGTTCACGTACACGCAGTGAGTTTCTAAAAGATGAAAGAAAAAGATAAAAAGCTTTTACCGGATCCTAACAATGTCCTTTCCTGTTTCCGCCCACCCTTGACAACAAGTTTCCCAAAATATTTGCAGGAAAAAATGGTGATCAAAATAAGAAACTTTTTACTTGTGTTTATTTATCCAGTTTGTAGCTATAGATTTTAAATTGAAAACAAAATATTGCAAAGTAAATACTGAACTATCGATATAAAAAATTTCTTAAGGCATTACCACCAGTAAAGATTTTGCGAAAACTTCCGAGAGCCAGGTAGAATAATTTTTATTTCGTTTATAGGGATACGAAGTTGTGTCTTTTAACTATTTTTAATTAAAATATTTTGTCTCGAACCATGATAAAATCATTATATAAATTTATATCAACTTGATCTCCTCTTTCCTCAATTTACAAATGCCAATAATATCTGAGGAATGGATGTCGTGGAATTTAGTGCTTTTGGAGATGAATATCAATTCCAAGAAAGTTTTAACAGCGTCGTCTACTTTCCTCCTTACCTTACATTATTTTTTTTAAATCTCTTATCTTCCTTTTAGGAACTGTCAATACTCTTCATTCAAGGTCTTTTTATTTGCAATGCGATTCAAGACAAAAATATCGTTTTCTCCATGCGACGTCGCAAAAAATATTCAAACAATCAAACAGTCTAGAATTTAGTAATAAAATTCAAGCTGGGACAAATATTTTTCAACATATTTCAAATTTCATACTTTTATCTAATAAAATTTTCTCAATAAATATTAAAAGGATATTGTTATTTTTTCTGAAATCTGATAGTTAATCAAAAAGTTAAAATTAAAAAAAAATCTTAACAGCTAATTAAATTTAATAAATTGGTCATTTTTTAATCATTGTAAAAGTGAGGTTTAAAAAAATTGTATACGTTTGCATTTAATGCATTTTTGGTAGCGGCTCTTCCTATCCTTTTGATCACTTTTGATGTAACTTAATCTCTCGCCATCTCCAACACTTCGTAACAAGTTAAGACACCAGAAACCGCATAGCAAAACAAACTCATGGTTTGCTTGTGGCCCGGCAGCTATGGGAGCATTATTCAAAGCACAATTATTATTGACTTATTGAATTTACTCTGGGGAATCCATATGCGCCGTTGTTTCCTAGATTAAGCTCAGGTTCCCTCGCCAATTCCTGAGGCGATGCTTATTTATCTTATTTAACCGTCTTCACGTCTCAAATTTGAATATGAAGAGGCAACAATAACACGGCCCGTCTGCGTTTGTATCATTAAATTATTTCTCGCGCTCTGCAAACATCCCAACGGAACAATTGTTTTTGCTCGGAGAAAGGAAAAACTTACTGCTCAAATTATATACTAAATTTGCATAAGGAACTTTGATATGAATAAATTAGTTTTGCATATATATTAAAATGTAGAAAATATTTTAAGCATGATTATGCATAATTTTGTATTGTTTATTCGTCCAATCAATGCACTATCATACTGTTTAAGTTCAGAGAAAGTTTATTTATAAATATTGCTTTTGTAACGAAAAAAAGTGAAAAGTAGAAAATAACTCGAACTTTGTAAATGATAAAAAGTCAAACTATGGCTACAATTTTGCCAACTTAACTGGTTGAAGTTTTGTTAATTTGATTAAATTTTCATTTATTTGTTCATGAGGCTGATTTAAAAATTATTATATTGATAATTTCTCATAAAAAATATTGCCAATCTTTACAAAAATTTGAATTTTTAAGATTAGTGAAATTTGCGACAGTGTTTAAGCTAAAAAAATTTTAAAAGCTTATTTAATAATAATGGATTTTTCCAATTTCACATTGAGACCCTGGATATTAATTTTTAATACTTCACAAATTTAATTAAAATTACAATTCTAAAAAAATGTGGAAAAGGTATGGCCGTGTTCGCACCACAGGTTCGGGACTTTTTCGGGAGGAACTTGTGAGCTTTGGCCGCTCGGCCGCCACCTCCTCCAATGCTCGTTTCTTGCGCTCTTGAGGTCTTCTTGAGCATTGGAGAGGTGACGGGCGACCTCAGCCCCCAAGACTTCCGCATGCGGGGACAGCATGGGGGAGGGAGTGGGAGGGCATAGGCAATGTGACCTGTGATGTTAGGCGACCACACCCGGACATCAACAACCCCAATTCTCTTTCTAGCCATTCATACACACAAAACGTGGTCATATTTGATGCCAATTTTTATTTCAATTCTGCTTAATTTGGAAGTAAATATTCTGCAACCCGCCCTGGATTAAAGTTTGACTTTCCAGTTTTTCGATTCAATAGATTTGAAACTTTCATCCAGAAGTTTGCGTATTTTAATAAAAAAAGAAGTTTGAAATTTCTGCTCAGGACTATTTTTGCGGTTAAAGAATGGCGGTAGACCTTGGAGGGTCTCTGGGTCTCATGCAACTATGAAAGTTAGATTCCATTGTTGGACGATAAATTTTGAAAAATTCTTGGGCGTATCTCAAAACTTTGAAAAGAACGCGATCGTTTGGAGCGACAAACGGCACACCAGCGCAAAGCTTGTTTCACGAGGATGCCGAAAATGCCTTGGTTTTTGCGATTTGGTGACCCCTGACCTGAGAAAGTCGTCGGGAAGCACGCAAGGTCATATTTCAACACGTTTGAAATTTGCTTTTTTGGCTGCGAATCACATTATTGCCATAATGACAAAGGCATAATTACTTCATAATTTGTTTTGGAATTATAGATCAAAAAGTTTTTTGGCAATTCAATGGGTTTCCATTTTTCATAGAATCGCTGTTTCAAGTCGATTTCACATTAATTTAGTCGCCTTTTTAACTTGTTTGGTTTTACCAGGCAGGTGAAAGTTTCTACATACGCCCTAAGAATTTTTTCTAATTTGACATCCAACAATGGAATCTAACTTTCCTAGTTGCATCAGGCCCTCCAAGGTCTACCGCCATTCTCTGACCGCAAAAATAGTCCTGAGCAGAAATTTCAAACACGTTTTTTAATTAAAATATATATTCCTCTGGTTAAAAGTTTCAAATCTATTGAAGCGAAAAACTGGAAAGTCAAACTTTAATCCAGGGCGGGTTGCAAAATATTGATTTCCAAATTAAGGAGAATTGAAATATAAAATGGGCATCAAATGCGACCAGGTTTTGCGTGTATGAATGGCTAGGAAGGGATTTGGTGGTGTTGAAATTAGGGTGGTTGCTAAGCGTCACCACAGCCCTCCCTCCCCGCATGTCACTCCCGCATGCTGGATGACCTGAGGGTGGAGGCCGCGCGTCTCCTGCCCAATGCTCAAGAAGACTCAAGACTCAAGACGCCGAGCATTGGGCAGGAGACGCGCTGCCGAAGCTCCCAGGTTCCTCCCGAACCGTGGCGCGGACACGACCAGCCTTTTGCACTTTTCTTAGATTTGCAATTTAAAATTTAATTTGTGACGTATTAAAAACCAATACCATGCGTATCAAAGTGAAAATTGATATTGAATTGTTTGACTCAGACTTGATTATTGAGCAAGAATGTCGTTTTTTAAGTTATGGTATCAGAAACAGCACCATAGCAATACCAGTGGTGAAAAGTTTTGCAATTTTTTTCTCCGGTACAAACTTTTTTTTGCTAAAGTACTCTTAAAAAATAAAGTAATGTCTATTGCCACATTTTTGTTTTAAAAGAAAACACCCTGAAGATGGCATTCTCCTAACAAGGTGCGAGAATAATTATTAATTATGTTAATTCAAGAATAAAATTTGCCATCAAAATCACTTGTGCCGAATTTTAGCTGGTGAGACTGGTTTAATTTGTTTGCAGTTTCATGCTCGGCCGTTGGATTTTCCCGCCCTCCTGGTGTCCTGTGGTCCTCTACATGCAGCAAGTGTCGGTGGTGGTTTCCGTGTACACGCTGGTCGCGATGGGCTTTGACCGCTACAGGGCCATAGTGCACCCCATGCGACTGCAGATCGGTCGCAAAAGAGCCCGTCGGTGCATTTTCTCCATCTGGACGCTCACTCTGGCCGCCTCGGCGCACATTTTCTGGATCACCAAGGCTGTTCCTTTCCGTTACAATAGGCAGTAAGTTTCTCATTTCAAGATTGTTATGAAAAATAATTATTCCCTAGAGAATTTTTTATGTAAAAAATGTTTGTTATTGAATTAAAATATTTTTGAGAAGTAGCTCATTAAAATTTCGAAGAATTTTTTTTATATTAGACGCTTGATCAGCACTAAAACTTTATGCAGTCCAGTCAAATGCTGTTATAACCATGTTGTAACATCAAAGAGGCTCTCTAAAAGTTCGGACGACGTCAGCTTACAAATTTGAGCATCAAACGATAGACGCAGAGCCTGTTAACTTAATTAACGCACTTCAAAATCCCTTAGAACTCCCGACATGTTTGGAACCCGTTAAAAGCGTGGTTATGCAACCCGCTCGTCGGGTGTGCTCAAGGTGCTGCCTAAATTGACGCCTGCAAGGCGTTCCTGCACTTGGGAAAGAAAACTTTTACATTAATACGCCTTCGCGCCTAAATCAAGTTCGCTCTCAAAGCAAATTTGTTTAAATCTTTTAAATCCGGTGGTTTTGATTAAATTTAATTAATCACGCTTGTTAAACCATCTTTAAAATTTTCCATTATACTTTTTTGTTTAATTTGCATAATTTATATTTGTAGGAAGTTGTATGACTGCGCCGAGCAGTGGGACCCGCAGTCGAAAATTTCACAAGTCTACACTTTCGTCGTATTCGGGGCCACGTTTGGGTTGCCTCTCGCTTTGCTTCTTTGGGCTTATTCAGTGACTTCCTGGACTTTGTGGTTTAGCCACAAAGCACCAAGAGTGCAGATAGCTAATGAGAACGATTCAAACAGAATGAAGAACAGAGTCAAGGTACGCATTATTATTATCTACGAATTCTCTGACGATAATTGCGGATCTGTTTTGAAATATGGATGAGATGACAATTTCGATTTCCATGATTAATTAGTAATATTAAATATCATAGTCAGAGTCAAATTAATTACAAGCCATTTTGCGCTATCCGGTATTAGTGTATAAAATTGGTTAAATTCACAAAGAGCATTGAAAACACGCAATAATTACATAAAGTGTGAGTGCGTCATTAGGCATTCACAAAAGCAATACAGAATTTGATCCGCAAACGTTTTCATCCTTTTCCTCTTGCAGGTTTTCAAGATCTCGGTGGCGATTGTAGTCAGTTTTGTGGTTTGCTGGCTGCCGTTGCAAACCTTTGTCCTCTTGTACTATTCCCTACCGGAATTCCGGGTCTACCTCTCCGACTTCCACAAAAATGTGTACGGCATTGCCTACTTCTGCTGCCACTACCTGGCCTGCGTCAACAGTTGCATCAACCCGCTGCTCTACTGCTTTATGAACAAAAATTTCAGGGTAAGCGACCGATAAAAAAAACGCCTTTATTAAACTATCTCAAAGTAACAAGTTCATGAAAAGTTTCACTTGAACTTTGCAGGGAATAGAATAAAAATCGATCAATTTTTTTTCCTTTGTGAAGCCATTTTTGCCCTCTATTTTATTCACAGGAAGATCTGGCCGACTTGTGTTACTCCAGAATTTTGTGCCGCAGTCGAGTTGAGAGAAGGAGTTCAACTTCTCGAAAGTTTTCTGCCTCTCGGAAAAATTCCAACAACTCACGGGTGCGTTTCAGCGCTCGCTCGTCTTCTTCAAATGGTATGCATTTATTTGTCCCTTGAATATCTTTCTCTAAACTTTTCCTCTATAGTACGATTCGACTCGACGGTTGTGTGAAGAAATAAAATTTTTATTCATTAATGTTGATATATATATTTAATTTATTATTGTTCAATAAAATAACACTTGTAAACACGTGAAACAACGGTTTTGATTATAACAGACGAGTACATTATTGAAAGTCAGAAGTTTGAAGTTTTCATAGAGCCAGTCTGGCAATCACATCTTGAAATGGTCCGCTGCTCGAACTAGCTTGGAATGCTTTTGCGAATTGCTGCTTCAAATTTTCCGGAAGCTATCGAATAAAAATAATACTCCTGTTAAAAAAACAACCTTTTGCATTTTTCTGTATCACCTTTTTATAGAAGTCGTCCGCAGCAACCAGGAAAATCGCCAAGTCTTGGCTTTCACATCTCCCAATTCGAGCTTGGATCACAGGAAATCTAAAGGGTGGTTAAGTTATAATATCTCAAGTTTAAAGAAATGATTTAAGAAAAAGTTAATGCAGACTATATGAATTAAAAATTAGTTACACCACTTTGATGAAAACTTGACTTAAATATTAAATAAAAATTAACATAAAATGACAACATTTGAAAGGATACAGAGCTTTGAGCCACTGGTTGCTGGAGGCGCCAACAAAGATGCATGTCAGGCTCCACACAGCCATACCGACAGGCGAGCATTGTGTGAAGTTTGACAAGCACAAAACCAGCCAGTCCTGCAAAAGGGGCAACTGATCCCGGGAACAGGCATCGGCCAGTAACTGCAAAGAAAATTTTATTTAAATTGAAAATTTTTAAAAGGTTTTTAACTCACCTGGAAGACGACATCAGCCATGAGTTGAGGGTGCGGTTGGTGATTTGAAATGAATTCTCCGATGACCTTCGTCAGCATTTCTGATGGAGGGAAAAATGCTGAGAGGACGCCTGGGAGCACCTGGCAGACCGCTTTTGCCTCTTGAGGATAACCTTTTTTAACTCTGAAAATTAAAATAAAAATTTAATTTAATTTCACTAGAGATTGTAAAATTACTTGTCAAAGAGGGCGGATGTTTTCTCTAGGGCTTGCAAAAGAATTTCTGGGTCTTCCGAGGAATCTGCCAATTCCTGCTGGCCGGTGTACATGCACGCCAGCAAAAGGCGCAGACCGGCCATACTGGTGGCAGGGTGTGCAGACCTGAGCCTCTCGAGGGCCAATCGGGTGATTTGACCTTTAGAGGAAACGTCGAGTGTCCCGAAAATAGTCAGTCTCTCAAGCCCCTGGTATGAGTAAAGGTAAAATTTAAAAAGACGAAGTTCTAGGAAGATTTTCAGGCAACCTTAACTAATGCCATAGAAAGGTTGCTCTGTCCTGAAGAGGCCAAAGCCAGGGCCAGCTGCAATAAGGCTGGTGCCAATTCGGAGGCGTTGCCAGCTTCGAGCAGGTAGAAAATCAACGCCCATAGCGAATAAAGGTGTCTCTCACTGTGGCTGTTAGATCTGATTTGAAAGAGTTGATTTTCATAATTGAAAAAAGACATTTTAAATCATTAATTTAAGTTACCCTGAGGCCAGGTCCATGTGTTTTTGCACATATTCTATAGCCATGGGAACAAATTCGTCCGACAGGTCGCTCTGCAAAAGGAACAGCAAACCTTGCAAGCCGCACAATCGGGATGGAAGAAACCCACTTCGTAAACTTGTCTCCAACATTTTCTTCACCTTTTCTAAGGTTTCCGGGTCCATCTAAAAAATATCAATTTTTAATCAATTTCTTTTGTGGAGTTTCTATTATTTTACCAGCTCCAATACAATTGATGCCTTGCAAACGCCGAGAGTCAAAAGTTCATGCATGATTTCATCTTCGAGGGGGTGGTTTTTGCTGATGTCGAGGAATTTGAGCAGCATCCATTCAAATTGAGACCTCTCAGTGAAAACGTCCGAGAGCATCAGTACAGATCTTATCACGTCCACCAGCAAGACAAGTTGTGTTTGAGACTAGAAAGAAACTATAAATTTAAAAATTTCTTATTCAAAGAAAAATAATATACCTGAGGGTCTGCCAGTTGAGTGTAATGTTCAAGCAAAAAGTGGAGGCAGGAGTGAATGTCGAGGCCCATGGATTTCAGGCGCTGTTCTCGTTTAACAAAATCTTCATGAACTAAAACAAAAATAAATATCAAAATACTAAAAAAAAAATTAATTTACAAAAAATTACCAAGTGAAGAAGGGTTTTCCGACCGTTGAATTGTCTCCATTATGTATCTTCTGGAAAGCTGACCGTACCCATAGCTTTTCAAAACAGAGATTAATTATCCTTAAAAAAGTGCAAATTAAATATTACCATGACTTCAATCCAAATCTGTCCAAATTGCTCTCTACGTCCTTGCTAATTATGCAGTCCATTTGATTGAAAGCAGATTTCAAACTTGCATTCCTAAATCAAAATTATCTTAGTTTTGATTTTAATAAAAAATTTGATATCACATTTCATTATTTCCCCTCGGAATGTGGATGTAAGTACTGCAAACAAGCCGTCCAGGCTCTGGTAGAGCCAAACTTTGCAAAATTAATGACGTGATTCCTCTGACGGCCAAGCACTGCGCCTGACTAATGGCCGTGGCTTCTTCTGGCTGCAAATCGTGCTCCAGACTTGCATTTAATACTCCTAAATAGGCCATCCAGCTCTCTTCAAAGTGCTGTCTGTTTGACCAGCCCAGCGAGTTGAGCCTAAAAATCAAGCTGTTAACTTTTGTCCACCAAAAAATAGAAAAATTAAATTTTAACCTAAAAATGAATTGTTCCAAAACGTCAGTCTCAAGAAGAAAGTCGACAGGCAAAGTGGGAAACTGCACCTCCTGAGGCGGACTCCAGCCCATTTTGAGGGCTTCGGGAGGGGTGCAGGCTAACACAAAGAGGGGAGGAAGAGCAGCCAAACTGCGGATCACAGTCCGAAGGGGGTCGAGTAAGAATCGTGGCAGTTTCGGTTCCTTTTGTCGAATACTGTCCAGTAATACCAACAATGAAGCAATTTGAACTTTGGCGTTTGGACAATCGGCTGCAATTCCTTCAAAAATCACGAAGTAAAATTCTGCAAGAGAAATTTAAATAAATTTACCTGAGGGGGCTGGCAGAGATTTTACATTCAATAGACTCAGGGTTGTCGAGTACAGAGAACTGCAGGCATAGCACACTAGAGGGACTAGACTTGGTTCATTAGGCCAGTTCAGGGACAAAACGGCAGCTGCTGCTTCCAAAAGGTCGCTTAGATTGGACGGCGAGTTTTTGCAGTAGAAACTAGTGGCCTAGGTGAGGTTTGATTATTTTAAATATACTTTTGCAAAGAAATAGGCTTACCTGAAGACAAGTGAGGCCAAACACTAGAATATTTTTTTGATATTCTCTGAGCCATCTTATCGAAATGTACACCGTCACTGCCTTTGCGAGGGGCACCAACTTTGACATCCATTTCTTGTTTCCAAAGCACTCCGTCAACTTCGCCTCGTACTTTTCCTAGAAGTCAAATTTTAGATTATTTTGAAGAAAATAAATTAATAAATGTCAATGAAAGTACCATTTCATTGTAGTCAGGGGAGATTTGAAGAAATAATTGCAGCTGCGCAAAAAGGAATTTTTGGGAGGCAATGAGAAGTGGACTCGCTTCATATCCGCCATTTGTCAACTGCGAAAAAATTAAATTATAAAATCAGTAAATGAAATTATATAAATTTTGCCTGTTCGGAAGATTTTGCACCAATTGCAAAGCAGTGTTCCAAAACGTCAAGGTTGAAATCTGCATGTTCCATGACACTGATAGCGTCAGACATCGATAACTGTCCCATGAGTTTTGCACAACAGATCGGATCACAGGTTTTACACCTAGTAAAATCGAGTCTTAGAAAAATGATTTATCCTTTAGATAATTTGTTCACCTTTCTTTGATTTGGGAAATGAACCATTTCTCATCAGCTTCCCCACTTCCATTAGCAGTGACGGCCGGGGAATTTTCGGCCGAGTCTCCAAACACTTGGGCTCTCAATTTGGTCAATAAACTTCTGAGACGCTCGTGCCTAGTTTGATTTTTTTTTTTTTAGAAAAATTTAACCAAAACCAAAGAATTAAAAAACACCTGTCTTCCAATCCGTAAATGAGGGAGTCGAGCTCGCCCTGGGCCACTTTGCTTGCCGCCTCTTCCTCCGAGAGCAGCATCAGCATCTCCGTTCTTCTGCACGCCAGGGTAGTCAGTTGGCGCTGAACGGCCAGAGGCGCCACACTGGGCAACAATTGGCCCACCAGCAAGGTGAGCAGAGGCCACGTCTGCTCCTGGTGCACCCCTTCAAGCACTCCGGTGGCCAAACGCGAAACTGTGGCCACTGAGGTCAGAGGCACTGAGGGACAGGCGGCCAGCAGGAGGCCACTGGCCGCCGAGTCTCGGTGTACAGAGTGGATTAGCTCTTGGACCGGCACCTCCTTGCTCAGCAACACCACTTCAGCCAGGTGGTGGCGCAGCAGCCACTGAAGATGCTCCTCTTCACCTAAAGTGTCACACTGTCGAAAAAAAAACAATTTTTTTTTTTATTTCTTATATTTTCTTAGATCAGGAGGGGTTAGGCTGCTTCAGTTAATTCAAAATGTTTATTTTTTACAAATTTCGAAGCCGCCGTCGAGTGCAGGGTTTTAAACCAAATTGCCAATTGAAATAAAAAAGAACAGCTATGCCAAATTATCAAAAAGTGCCGCACACATATTAAATGTAAATAGAATGTCTAGTAACCATTCAGGTAAAATTATTATGGGGCAATGCTGGGAGTTTGAAATTAAAATAAATACCACACATACTTCTTGCAAGCAACGTACTACTAAGTCTGAGAAGAAAATTAGGCCGGCTCTGCGCACCGTCTCCACACTTATGCAGCAATGTCTGAAACAAAATATTTAGAAAATACCCGACATGTTAATTTACATCAAATCATTTGTTTCCAGAGAGGTTTGATACATAATTTTTTTGGATTTATAATCTTACTGTTGCTTTGAAGTCGGTCCTAATAATTTTGACCAAAATTTCCGCTCCCCGTATCCAAGAAGAACAAGCAGATAAGACCATTGAATAGAAAGAGTGGGGCAAAAAGAAGAAGATTTAATAAAAAGGTCGTTGATACTGTCCAAATGCAGTTGCTTTTCTTGGACTAGATGAATGGCCGACGTTGCCACTTTGCAGTAGGCGCCTGAAATTAAATTAATTTAAAGTAAAATTTTATCCTATTATGCCAAATGAATTATACCAGATTCAAGCAGGTAAATAACAAGGAAGAGCAAGTGGGCAGCCTGTTGTTGAATGAATTCAGTGGAATTCATTGGGATGCTGCAGGTGGTTACTAAATGTACGACCCTCTTCATGACCGTCTCAACAGTTAAGAACAAGAGTCTGCAATTACAGAACAATTTTTTAGTTTTGAGCAGCTTGAGGCACTTTGAGTTAACCTTGCAAATATAATATCAGGTGGGTCAGTGGAGAGTGAAACATTTAAAGGGTCTGCCATGTTTTTCCCCACGTCGAGGTTGAGGTGCTGAATTCTTTGCAGCACATCTTCCTCTGTGCTGGCAACAAGGAGGTGCGAGAGAACGACGGAGAAGCTGGCCAGCCAGCGTTGGTTTGAGATGAAAATGTCCTCAGACTGAAAAAGTTTATCACAAATTAAGTATACTGCAAAAATTTGCATAATACAAATAAAATCGATGCAATTTATTTTACTCATGTCTTACAAGAAACGACAACAACGGGTCCGTTTCTTCAAAATCATCATTTTCTGAAAGCTAAATTTTTAAATTTGTTACTTCACTAAGCACTACGGAATTAATACAAGAAATCATTTGCCTACCGGTGGGTCAGCAAAAAGATGGAGTAACAAAGGGTCTATATTGTTGGCCACAGATTTTGGAAGTGATCGGAAAAGCTGCAAAAGTGAGTCCAGTGCATCCCAGCTGTCCAAACGGACTTGGTAGTTGTTCAAGGTAGGCAGTAAAGCGTCCAAAATCTTTGTGGCCCAACGACGAGATCTTTCTTTGTCTTTCCTACTCTGATACAATATCAGAGCCAGAAGTCGTAAAACCTGCAGAATATATTTAATTAGTTTGAATCAGACAAATAAATATAAAAAATACCTCATGATAATCAACCAGTCTTAAAAGAACTGCAACTATGACTTCTTTCTGCGTCTCCAACTCAGATGAGTCTGTTAAATTTTGCCCTCCTCTGGACACAAAAACGTCCTCCACAATGGGAACCAAAGCAGGAATACCTTAAATAAATAATTCATCAAATTATTGGAATAAATAAATTAAAATAGAATTACAATGTGTTTGGGGTGGCTGTCCACTAGCCATGAGACCATCGCAGAGTTGCAGAATTTCCGGCACCCCTATTATTGCTTTCGAGTGATTCTTCTCATAGGAAAGTTGGACCAGGAATTTGAATATCTGCGGCACCAACAACCACGCCTTGTTTGCATGGCCTTCTTCGATTAGTTCAAATTGCTTGAGAACGAAATTGATGAATATTCTGTCCGAGTCGAGTAGGCAGTAGTTGACTCTCAAAAGGACCAGTTGGCTGAGCAAACTCAAAACGGCGCATTGAAGCTCAACGTCACTGGTCACTGTGTATTGCTAGGAGTTTGAGAAAACAGTTTGTTTTTGAGCTATAGTTATCATGTTTAAAATACCTCTAAAGATTTGATAACCATTGGCTCGAAGAGTTTTATGTACGCAGCAAGAGAAACTTTGTCTTTGCTTTTGATCGCTTTGTTGATCGGTTTCAGAGATTCTACTATATACTTTGTGTTTTTCTCGAGACTGCTTGCTCCAGACCTCAGTGCCTCCACATTTGCAAACACTTGCCTGTAGTGGGTGGCAAAACAGCCCTCATAGAGTCCTCCTCCATACATGGGCACATCAAATTCGTAAGGAGCGAACGAATTAGAGCCGAACAGACCTCGCAGAAGCTAATTAAAATTGTAAAATATTTGCATTTTTTTTTTAAATTAATTACTTTTTGAACAGCTTTGACGGTCACAACAGGACAAACAGACACTGTACACTTGAGGTAGTACAATAGCTCCTCTGCTACCCTTCCAAGCTCAGTGATTGTGGTGAATTCCAAAATTTGTGCCATCACCACTAGAGTTGAATTTAGCAGAGCCAAAAATTTCTCACTGGCTTGCAGATCAAGAGTGAGCTGCAAAGGAAAAATTAAAAATTTTCAATCAATTTAACGCTGAATCTACCTTGTAATTTGAGTGAGAACATTTGATCAGGTCCAAAATGTGCATGCTTTGCTGGCTGGCAGCAAACTGGCTGGCAAAGTGCCGTTGGCCCTTCTTGTCTTCCTTTTCCTCAGCTGTTTAATTAACAACATTAAACCTATTCAAAAGAAATTAAATTAAATTTACCTCCGAGCTTGTCATTTTGTTCTTTTTTCTTTTTGATAGGTGACTGAAGGACATTCAAAGCTTGAGGAAGGACGTTTTTGGTGGTCGGAGTGTCGTCCAAAGTCAAAGCAAACATTGCCAGGAGCTGGCAGGTGTGGTTCCATAGTTGATCAGTCACCGACGCTAACTTTGCTTCATTGATGAAGTGAACCCAAGGTGGTTTCGCTTGTTCTTCTTCGGAGGTGGCGTTGCTCGAGGAATTCTGCAAATCCTTTTTGCTCAAGCAGCACTCAAGGGCTCCTAAATATTTTTCATTATTAAATTGTTCTAAAAATTAATAATTTATACCTTCAAGCAAACTGCCAGCGAAGTTCAAAAGCTTTTGTTGGCACCCAAGATCTATTGTGGTCTGAGAAGTGGTAAGAAGTGCGCAAGTCGAGGAGAGGAACAAAGTTGCTGGGCTACAGTTTTCATTTGGCTTCATCTCAGATTGGCTGTAATGTTTTCAATTACATAAAAAAGTGTTAATTATTCAAATATTAAATTTACCTCGCTGATCTTTTCAACGTTGCCTTCTTTTCTTTTCTGCTCAAATAAAAGCATCCCCACGCTTTTTGGTGAATTCTCGGAGGATAGTTGTTAGCAAGCTCTGCTAAAGCCTCACAACAGCCAAACTAATATTTAAATGGTTTTAATTAATTGATAATCATTTTAAGAATTATAATAATTACAGTCAGGTGCTTTGTTCTAGAGGTCAGAAGCATGTTTTTCAAAGTCGAAACCACTCTCGACAAATTGAAGCCTAAATTCGGGAGCATATCTTTTTGACTCGAGTGCATAAATGATGAAGGTCCCAGAATTTTAATACTCAAATGCCTGGCATTCGCAGTCAAAGGGTTTTCCAAAGGGTTGTCGTGAGGCATGTAGAGATTAGGAATGATTCTGAAAATTATTAACTTGGATATAATTTCATAAAATTAAAATTAAGTAAATCCTACTTAGTTAAAGTTGAGCAGGCTGCTGATCGAACTCTCGAGTCCTCGTCATGAAGAAGGTGCAAGACAACATCATCCAGGAAAATATTTTGCAATCGGCAGCTTTTTGAAATGTAAGCCAAAACAGAAAACTTGAGCTCAGCAACCAATTCCAGAAGACGGACCTGGAAGGATTTGTGTAGTAAAAAAATCATAATAATAATTACCTTCTTTCTTACCCTGACAAGCCAGTAGGGGTTGCTTTTGTGCTGAACGACAGCGTCCAGTAATGTTATTGCATGGAAACTTTCCGAGCTGCCCATCAGTGCAGATATGCAAGTTGCCAATGTTGACAAAGTCTGGTGAATCGTAACTGACGATTCACTATTTATACCCTGAAATACATTTTGTTAATTAAGATATAATAAATAATATAAATTTGCTTTTACTTTCAAGATGGGATCCAACATTTGATCAATTTTGAGTCCCGAGGTCCAAAATGAGTTTTCATTTGATCTAAAAACAGCACAAATAACAGAGGCCGCTACTTGGCTTGCCAAACTTTGTGGTTGAGGGTCACTGTGATCAGCAAATAGAAGAATATCTGACAACTTTTGACTCTCTGAAAATTAAAAATTTTGAAGTTGAACTATTTAAAAAAAAATTATATTTCCAACCTGGGTCGTTTTTGTCCAAGCACAAATTTATTGCCTCGGGGTAAATAGTGAGCACTCCAGACAAGCATGCCAAGGCCAGAGTTTTTACACTAACCCTGACCTCAGAGTCCTCCCAAAGACCTCCATCCACACCCTTCAAAAGAAACTGATGAGCCAACAACCTGGCGCAGTGCTTGAGGACCACGTCTGGGTCCTCAAAGTTTCCCACGTTGCAAGGTCGAGCAGATTTGGGCGAGGTTGGCTCCGATTCTATAAAAGACGGGGCAGCCTCACTTTCCGATCTGTCTTCTGCAAATGAATCGTCGCGTGGGATGCGAATTGGAATGTGGACTGGGCTTTCAAGGACGTCAAGGCCTGTTGATAGAATTAAAAATTAAATTAAAAAATGTTTAGAGATTTATAAAATAAATAAAACCTTGGAGGGAAAGAAGAGGTTCAACTGTGGGGTCGAGTGGTAAATCCAAGTCTTTGGGCAGTTCGGTGCCCATGTGCAATTTTGAAGCTGGAAAATGAACTGCGGGTTCATCCATCAGACTACTTGGCTCTTCCCCGGTGTAAGAAGTAGCCACACTCAGTTGACCTGAATATGAAAAATTAAAAACAAATCTTCTTGGTAAACGGAAATATTACTGAACGACCGCTTCTTAAGAGAATTCTCTGCATTGGATATGTACGATTTGCTCTGGCCCTTTGGGTCCGTCAACATTTCTATCACGACTGGCGGACAGTTTCGCAAAAACTGCTGGAGACACTCCATGGCCGCATTGGCCACATTGTGGTCGGGGTGGACCACAAATTGCAGACAAAGCTCATAAATCTGTTTTAATTAAACAAAATTTATTTCTATAATTTAAAAAAAAAAATCCATACCTGAATGTAGGAATCTTTGCTAACGAGTGGGTGCTCCAGAGAGCCATCAGAAAGTGACCCTTTGAAATGTGGCACCATTAGTCGAAAGAAGCCAAGGGCACCAATGATGGTTGAAGTCTCTAGATCATCCTGAAGAGGAAGGAGTGCCGACAGGACAGAATTAAGACTCCAAGCCAAAAATACAGGTGGTTTTTTGCAGTTCAGGCAGATGGAGAGGACGCAGTTGGCTGCCGTTCGTCGTGACACTGCAGAGGTTTGATTTAAGTTGGCCAGGAAAGTTTTCAGCAGCAACTAAAAAATTAATAAAAAAATTCCAATTGTTTATAAATCAAATAATTTTTTGCTGAATCTTGCCTTGATTTCCGCATCAACAGCAAACGTGCCGATTGCACTGAAAATTTGCTCGACAGCTGTGGCCAGCGTTTCAAGCACCAATTCCTCGGGCCTCTTTGCAATCTGGTCCAAACAAGGCACCAGATTTTGCATGTAGACCCTGCCCTTCTGCGGCCTGATCAGGTGGCTCAGGGCGCCAAACCTCCACAGGGCGGCTCTCAGGGATTTGGGGTTTCCGTTCTTTTTCAACTCCTTGTGCAGCTCGACCTGAATTTTCCCTGCGTTGCCTTCCATCAAAGACTGCCAATGAAAAATTATAAAGTTGTCAAAACTAATATAAATTTTGTAACAAACCCGAGTGATAACGTCGAGACTCTCGTCGGCTGCCATCCGCACGTCGGCATCCTCATCACCTGCCGTGGTCAGCAGGGTCTCGAAAGCGATGCTCAGCATTTTGGTGAACTCGGCCGTGTTCCGCAAACCCGGGGCGCACAAAGCTTCGGCCACAACAACACAGTGCTGCATCTTTTCCTTTTTCCTAAATTGAAAAATATTCAAATGAATTTCAAGCCCGTTGATTTGTTGAAAATTTTCTATCCATAATTATTTGACATCAATATTTTATTTTAAAAATTTAAATTTTTCTTGCCTGTTTTGGGTGTCTTCAGAATTCGCCAGGGCCGGTTTCAGCGACTCAAACGCCTTGATCAGTTTCTCAAGACTGGCCATCGCGAATTCCCGCTCGGATCGTCACTAAATTCAATCAATTCACGCTCACAATCACGACATCGCGGCAATCAAATCTCGGCTTTTGACAGTTCTTTTGAGCCATTTATTTTGATTTTTCCGACCCAGGCCGTTCCAGCTGGAGAGACCACGCCCCTTAGTCTCGAGATCTTGAATTTAGCCGCCAAACCAGCGTGCAAACGCCAAAATCTCAATACAAGCGTCTGAAGGCTGGAAATTGATTTTAATTAATTTCCATTATAATTTAATTATCCTTCTATTGCAATTCAAGGCTCCAGTTAATTTTTGATCATAAATTTGTCCACCACATTAGGAATTGAGTGCGCCGGTGCAGAAATAACCGCAGCCAGCTGGGATTGGAACAAAAATCGATAGCTCTGCGACGGTGCAGCAACGGCGATTATGCGGGACTTATTTGTAAATAGCCGCAGTTAACCGGCAGACATGAAGTTGCTCGACGAAAACGCCTTAAACCACCGATCTGCCGCTTTAATTTTGTTAATTTTCGGTTTAACTCAGACACCACCGCTTACGAGATGTGAAGTCGCCAGCTTCAATTTTATAGAATTCGCCTACAAGGAAACTTCTAAAAACGTAAATGTTTGAAATTTGCTAAAAATCAAAATCTTAAACCTTGTTATCTTAAATCTTAAGGAAATGACGTACCAAGAGTTCGAACAAGCGTGCCAACAAAGTCCTGAGTGCCAGCAGAGTTCCGGCGTAGCCTTGGAACACTGCGTCCGAAACTGCATTTCGCCTTCTTGCTACCAAGACTTGTACAGATTTGATGAGGTAGAACTTAATATTTATTTAAAAAAATTGAAATTTTTACTAAAAATTAATAAATCCATGTCTAGTTGGAGGAGGGTGAAATCGATGTGAGGCTCAACTCCTTCAAAGGATGTTTCATCCAGAGGCTCAATAGACAACGATCTTAATCCTATTCCAATTTTAATAAATTGGACAAATATAAGACCAAACCTGCGGAGCTTCAGGTATTAGATACCTGCTCTCCAAAAATAGTGATGTTCCTCTTCTGCTTTTTTGTAGACGAAGGGAGAATTTTTAAAAATAAAAAAATATGCGATTTTAACTGATAAAATAAAACGCTTTGCATCTTCAATAATAATATAATAATTAGTTTATTGAATTAATCATAAGCTACACTTGAATTGGGTTGAAAATAATGACGTACTACAATATTTTTATGCTTTATTTACAAACACAGGGCTGTATATTTGTTAACCTAGACTAGTTAACTTGATCGTCTGCTCTCTCCGAAAGGAAACCTTTGGAAAAAAATAAAACATATCGCTTCTTCAAACTAAAAGAAAAATGTAGTTCATCCGCTCCAAAAATGAAAGCAAAAATCGCCAAAAATTGAAGAGAATTAAAATTCTTGCAAAAGCTCTCTGTAATATATTATTTCTTGCTCTCTGATATATAACTTTTTATTGTATATGTGCATCACAGCATAGGTTTTTAGCAAAAATTTTGTAGCATTTTTTTTTTTAAATATATTTTTCAAAATTTTGAAAATCACGACGGGAAGTGTTTAGGAGAAAGCACGTGTGGTGAGAGATTTTGCGATCAGCTCCTCGGGACCATTCCGTTCATCATGATGTTGGCGAGTGCGTTGCGTCGCCGCCGCCAGCCCCCAAGGCTCTGCGCGTGGTACTGCAGCGCCTGCACCCATTCTTTGGTCTTGTTTTCAGACTTGAAAATGAACGTGTCCCTCGTCGCGATTTCCTGCACCTCGAAGCAGTCGTCGACGTCCGGCACCTCGGTGCACACTATGCACTTGTCCAACGACAAAGGCTCCTTCAAAATTTTTTAAAAAGCATAAATTAAATTATAAATTATAAAATATATAATTTATTTAAAATAAAAGAAATAACTTTGATATTTAATTTGAAATCTAAGAATGAATTATTTAATTTTTGTGTAATTTTTGTTTTTTATAATAATAAATTATTTATCAGGTTATTTACCCTGAGCATAGTGCATCTTCCAGCCTTGTCTTTCAGCAGCAGCAAACACGCCTCTTGGATTCCCGTAGCTTTCGGGAAAGTCAGTTCTCCGCTTTCCTGAGATTCCGGTTTGTAGTTTGCATTGGGCTGGAAATTTATTAGCTAGAAATTTAATCACCCAAAAAATTATTCTGCTTTACCTTTCCAAGGGTGACCAGCAGGACGTTCAAGTGACTGAGCTTGATTGTGCGCCCTTTGCGCCAGTTGCTGTCCGTGGGCTGCGTGAAAAGCAATCGGCCTTCCATCACAAAATGCGTGATTTCAGGATTCCAGCCGAGCACGTCGAGGGCCAGTTTCCTCAGCTTGATGTTCAGATCGGCCTCAGAGTTGCTCCTCCGCCCTGGCACGTTTATGATCGAGATTCGGCGCCACAATTTAGTACTGCTTATTTCCTTTGCCTCCTATACAAAAATTTTTATGAAAATTCCAATTAAAACACTGGATTAAAAAATATCAGGATATTCTAATAAAAGTTCCATTGACGGTGAATTTAATTTAAAATAAAATAAAATATTTAAGATAAAAATCCTACCGCGTTCATGTGTTCGAGGTGCGCCTCGATTTTCTGCTGGGCCTGCTTGAGAAGCTCCCTGGCTTCGTGGTGAGGAGGGGTGGTTTTATACAGTCTTGACAGCAGCAAGGGGTACTTTGTCACCCTCTGCACGGGCACCATCAAGAAGGAGTTCAGATTCATCCTCCTCAGGACGGCGTTTTCCATTTGTGACACTCGTAGGAAAATCTTCAAAAGTTCCTTCTCCTTTTCTAAACTTGCAAGCAGCAAAGATGCGCCGCCCTTTGAACAAAAAGTTGAAGAATCAATTAAAAAAATTAAATCATTGAATCAAATTGCTGTTTAAAAAATTATTTTAGCTTAAAAATCTCATTTAAATGGATTTTTTTCCGAAAAATACCTGTCTGATGCAATAGCTTTCGAAGGCGTTCAGCATTTGCGTGCAGCTGATAAATTGTCTGCCCACGTTAACGGTCAACAAATCCTCATCTCCCTGGTCCAGAGCGATATCCACAGCGTCTTGCAGTCTTTCAGCCAGTTGCTTGCTCATTTCGAGCAAGTCCTATTTTAATTTTTTAGAATTAGCAAAAAAAATTAAGTTTTAAAATAAAACCATACCGGAACATTAAGGAAAATTGCATCGAGTTGCTCCTGAGTCAGCAAACCGGCCACCAGCATAGGTCTGTAGAACTCCTCCATCATGATTTGCAAATCCCTTCCATACTTGACTTCCGTCTCCAAAAGCTCAGTTATAATTTCACGCCTCTCCGACCGTCTCTTGCCGCACTTTCGGCAGACCAGCGGTGCGTAAACAACGCCACTGCAATAATTTTTATAAATTAAAAATGTTGAAATTGTGTAACAAAAAGTATAATAAAAAAATTGAAATTGAATTGATTTGCATAAAAATATACCACATTAATATGAAAATTTGCACAATTTTTCTGTTAAGCAAGAAATTTGCAAAGAAAATTGAAATATTAAATTAAATTTTAGTTGAATTGAAACAAAAATGTAAATTTGTAGAATTAATAATACAAAATTTAATGAGTAAAAACATACCTGTCTGTGACTTGAGGCTCAACGGTTTGTTCGCAGTCTTCACAAAGCAGGTCACCCTGGTCAGGGTTGGTTCTTCGTTGCAACAGCCATCGACTTCGGCTGCTCTGGCTCGTTTCCGAGCCGACCCCAGAATCGTTCCGCTCAATCTCCGCAGAGCTTCTCCGGCTCTGCGTGTTTTTATATTATTTTTATTTCTAGTTAAATAAATAAATAAATAAATAAGTTACCTTAGTAGGGGACGAACGAAGCGGCGGGTGCGAGTCTTCACTCGAGTCGCTCACGTGGCTGGCGAGCTCCATTGGGGCGGAGATGGAGTTTCTGAGGGCGGGCAGGTCAAGCACCGGCGGGCAGTGCAGACCTCTCTCCTTGGCGCCTGCCAAGTACTGCAGAATGTCGTACTTGGAGGCTCCCTCGAAAATCGACCTGGCTGCCGGCGGCGGCACCGAAATTTCCTCGTAAATTGGGTCCCTGATCATCTCGTAGTGGTCCTCGATCTCCTCGTCGTCAAACTCTTCGTCCTCGTCCTCCACAGTGACGTAAACTTTACTGCTGCCGTTAGAGGCCTGGAAATAAATTGTGACAAAAATTTAAAAAAAAAAACATAATTTTTATTTTTACTGCAGTTTTTTAATTTAAATTTGTAAGAAATGTCCTAAAATTGAAATTTTTGAATTAATTAGTAAATAATCTTTCACCTCATCGTCGGTGATGGAAGGCTCATCTTTGCCGCTCTCACTGCAGACAACACTGACGTAAGGTTCTTCCTCAGGCTGATTCACCCTGATTGAAACGTACGGCGCCTCGGTTGACACTCGACTCCGCCGCGTATTCTCCACCTATTATTTTTATCCGATGGTTAGATTCTACTTTTATTTACAGAATAAAACAACAAGTCGCGACAAGACAAGGCTTGTGGAAGAAAAAAATGCATATCAGTCTGCGGCTGTCGAGGATGTTTATAAAAACATTGCTCAATTTTTCACACCACAGATTATTGAATGCGTGATGTGTGCTCTATGACTAGTGAATTGACGTTTACTCTATGAAAGCAGTAAAATAAATTACAATTATGTGCGAAAAAAAATAGTCGTACATGATAAAAAATTAATCATTAATTATGATTACGCAGGAAAGAATCTTAGATCTTTTGAAAAATTAAATTTAATTTTAACTATTAAAAAACATACAAAATTTGAAAGAAAAAGAAGTTTTAAATATTGTAAATTTTAAAAAAATGACCATAATATATCAGATTTTTATTCATTTTTCAACCTTATAAATCTTTTAAATTTACAAATAAATGAAGAGTAAAAAAACCGTTTTTTTGTTAAAATTAATTTGAAATTTTTACCTTTTGCACTATGGAACAGTCTCCGACTGTGACCTCGCCCATCTTGGTGCAAATATGGGGCACCGTCGAGCCTGAGTAGTTGTCGTTGACGTCCCCATTGAGGGTGACTATGGTGGTGTTGGCGTCCTCGGAGCCTCCACCCACGTTGATCCGCAGGGTCAGGTGGTCCTGGTTGTTGACCGTGACGACGGTGCGTCCGGCCACAGGGCTGCCCACCACCACCACCTCGCCCTTGGTGGGGGAGGCGGCCGGGGGCGGCGGAGGCGGCTCTCGCGGCCTCGGCGGACTGAGCATGCGCGAGACCGGCTGCGCAGCGAAGACTTGGCGCGAATCGGCGCGCCGGTGCGATACGCGCAGGCGCATCGTGTCTAGGAAGAGGTTGTGGTGGTCACCGCGCACGTGCACTATTGAGCCACCCTCGCGGCGCCGACTCGAGCTGCTGCGAACTCCACGGCCTGGAGCCACTGGCGCCGCTTCTGCAACAAAAACAAGAAAAAATATGTAAATTGGTTTGTAGGGGAAAAATTTGGCTGTTTCAAAGTAAAATTTTTTATCAAATTTGTCATGAAATTTTAGAAAAATTTAATTTTTTTCAAATTGAACGCTTTAGTTTCAAAAAAGACATTTTCCAGAATAAATAAGGATAATTTTGGTGAAATATGTTACTTTAAAATCCTCAGTTTTAGTCTAAAGAAATATTTTAATGTTAATTTATATTATTCTTAATTGTACAATATTAAACCCAATTACAATTCACTAAATCTTATTATTTTTAATGAAATTATCAAATAAATGGCCTCATTTTAAAAAATTCTTCAAAAAAATCCATTCTTTTACTATAAAAAATTCGGGTTTAAATAAATAGTTAGTTGTATAATTTTATTTAACAAATAAATATAATATTATTTAATTATAAATTTTCCTCGTGTCTGATTAGAGAGAATAAATAAATAAATTAACATTTATAAGTAATAAAAGCACGAAAATTAAAATTGAAGGGAAAACAAGTTGAATTGAAAGTTTTGAAACGATGAATCGATCATAATTTCATTTTCTGCGTCATTTGAAATTCCAAACGATCAACTTTTACGAATGGCTGCTGGGCAAAACACGAGTTTATAATTAATGTAGCAACAAACACAGCACTAAAAATGGTCAGAGCAGCTTCGCTCGGCTCGCGTCGTCCATTTAGGATGTGTGTCTTTCTTTGTGTCTGGCCGCGGCAATTTGTTGACAAGCGCAGATCCAGTTATTGAGAAAGGTTAGTGAACGGTTATATTTTATCGTGCAGACCGAGTGAATTCCACGAGAGCTGCTCTTCGCGGCGGCCACTTTTTGCCAGATATCAATTGTTGTCGCGGCGGAGACAGAAAAGCAGAGTCGTGCATTTATTAATGTCCGTCCATTCACTTCAGAACTGCGGGAGATCAGCGATAAATCGCTGCCGTGGCGGATTAATTCGGGCAGGTGTTTTCGAGTGTTTCTCCATTCTCATGTAAATTGATGTCGACGCGAGAGAGAAAAGCGAGCAGAGCTCCCGAAATGACACGACAGAATTTTTGCGGATTCATTGAACTCGGCACGTTTGTGTTGGACGTCAATCAATACATCTAATCAGACACGTGAAGGCGAGAACCAAATAGGATTACGTTTGTTAAAGTCGATGTTAAAATGCGAACTGATCAAAATATGGAATAAATTAAGTTTGCGAGAAAATTCGATTAGGTGAAATGAGTTTGGTGAACCTGACAAGCAAAAATTACCTGAAAATCTTTTTGATTTGAAAAGCTAAATATGAAGAGACTCATGTTTTGAGTGACAAAAATTTGCTTTTTGTGTATTTGCCCAAAAACGTTTTACTGAAGTCGGATTCAAATTTTGTAGAAGAACAGACTTTGTAATCTTTAAGATATTCATATTATTTGCTTAAAGAAAATATGAAAAATTCCAATCTCATAGCTATAATTGGTGATCTATTGTAAGTTAAACATTTTTTGTTTTTTGCAAATAACAATCATTCATAATTTTTTTCTTTAAAACAGTCTAAATTGCATAATTATTTTAATCATAAAAAAGTATTTTATTTATTTATTTATTTAAATTGAAAGAAATTGTAAATTCCAGCTGTTCATCAAGTATCTTTTCTGCATCCAAAATCAATTGCATTTTTTAATCAATTTTGACTTATTTTCACAAAAATTGTAAAATAATGCCAAGATTGATAATTTAAGCTCCAAACCAGCTTCAAACCGTCTAATTGTAAGTGAAAATCGGCCAAAAAGTGGCTGAAGGTAAACCGCTCATACGTGTATTTAATAAGTAATTAATTTATAGATTATAAATTAATTTAAATATCTAACTCAAGTGCGTTCTTTTGATCTTGAATTTAAAGAAAAAAATACCTCGGGAATTTTTGTATCGATCGTATAATTATAAAAAAATTGTGATGAAACTCGTTTCTGTTTAGAAACACTAGAAAGGGTGAAATTAAAAAAGCATTTTCTGTTGATTTTTTGCCTTCCGTACAGAACTTTATGCTGAAGAAGCTCCATTATGCAGAGTTAATGGAGAGAAAGAGAGACAAACCGCTGAGTGCGTCCGGCGAAAAATGATAATTTGCCGGCCCAAAAGGATAATAAGCGGCTTCTCAATATTCCTCCGCCATGTGTACGCGTTTGTTTCAATTACACGCCGGCCAGCACGTTGCTCGAGAGCTTTCTAAAGCTGAATGAAAAGAAGCAACAGCTTCTTTAATAATAATCACGCTCGCTTTCGGTTCGTCGGCCGGCACTGCACATTATTTGAGAAACTGCTTTCTCTGCAAGAGTCGCATGCACCCTCGGGCCAACGCTAAAATGTAAATATATATTCTTCTTTCGGACCAGTTGGCCAATTAAAGTGGCATTCTTTTTTTGCATACGCAGCCGCCGGCGGTCGAAAGTTTTGAACCCTTAATTCCGATCGATTAGCGTGTTTTAGGCTGATAGGCAAATTAAGGCTGGAATTCGGATAATTGGCCTTTGTGTCGGTCTCGGCCACTCAATTATTATCACACGGCTTTTGGCACGACGCAGTTCTAGAAATTAATTTTGGAGAAAGAGAGAAATGAAAAGTTGACCTTAAATGGAAATGAAACATAATTAAGTATCAGAAATATATCTCCGAACTTCCTAAAGGGATCTCATTAATTACCGAAAATAATGTCATTGTCCTCCAGCCAAAAAAATGGGCAAATAAAACTTTCAGGTGTAAAAATTTAATGCTAGGCGCACATGGGATGAAAAAATTAACAAAATGAGGTTCAAAGAACTACCAATCATCAGTTTTTATTATCCAGCAAGTTATAAAAGTAAAAAGGTAAATTTTTTAAGAATATTTTAAATTTAAGAATCAATCATGCCCATAAAATTAAAATTTCCGGCATAATTAAACTTTATAAACGTCAAAAATTACTAAAATTAAAAAAAATGTAATCACAAATAAAATTATTTGTTTTACTCGATTGATTCATGTTCTAATAAGAATTGTCTGAAATTAAAATATAAATTCGATTTTTGTGGTCTCAACTTTTATGACAGCTTCTTTTGGAGTTGGCCAATCTTTGCTCGCCCTCTTTTTTTTTCGCAATAAGTCATCTCTCTTTGGCTAAACTCTTTGAACACCTCTCGCTAATCGCCTTCGAAAATCACGCGGCGCGTTTAATGAACTCGAAAATGCCGTGTGTGTGAAGCCTGTGTGTGCGCGCGATCGCTTCTCTCTAGCGCGCTTTTTTTTATATCTTTTTTGATCCGGTCGTGCGTTTGACAGGTGGTTTGCCATGCTCGGAGGGCTGCTCGCGACGGAGGAGCAGTGCCGTGGAAAAAAGCGAGACAAAAAGATCGCAGTCGATCGACTGAGAGCGCCGCTATTGTGTTGCAGAAAACTGGTTGCCCCGACCACAAAAGGGATCAAAATCGCGCTGCAGCTCCTCTTTCCACTCGCTCAATGGCCAAGGTCGCGTCACCAAAGTCATCTCGGCTAACTGAGAAAATGACACGGCTAGTGATCTGAAAACCATAAAACATGGTGGCTCCCGAGTGCCCTCGCAGCACGCGATTTTACAATAGGAGAAAAGTGAATGTATAATAAATTTTTACAACAAGATTTCTTAAAAATCATAACAGATGCTCAAATAAAGGCTGATTTAGCACCAAAATCTGGCCAAAAACTTCCTCCTTTCGTTTTTAGATGAAAATACTTTGCAATGAGTCCGAAGAATAATTCAATTTATTTAAAATTCATGTTTCATTTTAAAGTAAAGTTCAAACAATTTAATTATAAGCTAATTCAATCCAGTAATTTTTACCGTGATATTTTTGTAAATTATGAAGGTGAAAAGCTGAATAAAAAATAAATTTAAGATAGACAAAATTGTAATTTTCTTCTCTATTTGATTTCGATATCTCTCGTTATAATTAAAATTTTTAAGGAAATTGATGAGTAAGTTTGCAATTAATGTTTTTTAATAAAATTTGATTATCTTTGAGTAGTATTGAAGTTTATCTTTAAAAACAACTAAAAATATTTTTAACTAATTTGCTGTTAGGACAGAAATCACATTTTTTCCTTTTTCACTTTTGATTAAAAGAAACAAATTTCCTTAAAAGAAGAATTACAATTAAAAGCAAAGTCAACGTTTTGAAGCGTTTTAATGTAAAAACCTGTCCTGCTCGAAAATATTTTATTAAAAGATGATATAATTAGAACAAATTATGATACCTGCGCAGCTTTTATTTTAGTCTGGAAGGAGAATTGTCCCGTTATTTTTCTACCAAAACGCGTCTCTCGCAGGTGGTAATTTAATATTTCTCCCTTTCATAAAAACCATCGACCGCACTACTAATAAAATCAAATTAATTCACATTTCTCGGTAGCTCTCGATTCAACGCCTGTGAGCCCAACAACAAATCCCATCAATCTGTTGCTCTTTCAATTTCACCTTTTTGTTGTACACTCGGTAAGTTTACAATTTTACATTCTCACGAGAAAAGCGCTCAGAGGCGCGTTTTGCACTTTGCGTGCCGAGCAAAGAAAATCGTGGCTGGTTTTCTTAAAAAAAAAAAGATAGTTTCCTCGCAAGTCTGGGGAAAGAGATCAATGGATGAACTTTGCGTACAGTTTTAATTGTAGGTGTAGGTCAAAATCATAGAAACCGCCCCGGAGGTCAAATGACCCTTTCCGACGGAGCTTTGAACTTTAGAAAATGTTTTGAAATAGCTGCTTTGTGCAAAACCAGCCGGCTTTTTATTGCTCCTCCGCTAAATTATGGCATGTTTTCGTGATGAGAGGAGATGCTTCTTTTTTGACCGAAAATCGTTTCGTATGTGGATGGCGAATACGGCTTCTCTCTCTCTCTGCCCAGCCGAGGTTGTTGAGGAAAGAAAAGAGCTTTTCTCGTTCGGTTTTTTCTTAGCTCACAAAGCGAAGCCATAAAAGCACGCTGAGCTGGTGATTTTCGCTGCGTATAATTATGGGAACCATCAGGCTTTTTCAAAAAGCGGCGCATAATATTTTTATCCGTGGCGCAAAACTGATGTATCTAATTGCAAGTTTGTATCAGGTGACTTAAATATATGGATCAGATTTTTTGGATGCTTTGATTTTTGACATGGCGATTTACAAAAAATGGAATATTGAAGTGACAAATTGAGAAAATATTGATTTTTTTTAACTAAAATCAGAAATTTACGCTCCTAACAAAAAAATGTTCATCTTTTATAGTCATTCTTTTCTCCAAATTGTTACAAAAATGAAATACAATTAAAAATTATGAGGTAATCATTGTTGGATAAAAAAAGGCACGAACATTAGCAAAAATTTGGGGAAAAAATCATGTTGATACAAAATTTAACCCTTTAGCTGATGAGAAATTGACAAAAATTTAAGTGTTTTCATATCTTAAAATAATGTGAACATTTTATTCGAGTTTAAAATTTCAATTTTTGGCACAATCTTTAAATTTTAATAGGACGTTCTTACTCAATTTAGCCAAATTAGTATCGAATTTCACAGCAAAAATGTTCGCTTTATTTATTTTTTTTTTAATTTGAACCGCCTTAATTTAAGCTTTTAAAAGCTAAATAACTATAAAGGAACACTTAATTGGCTGTTATTTTGGTTTTTATCTGGTAAATTCAGTTTATTCCAAGATTTATTTATTAAGAAAAGAGAAAAGTTCCCCGCGGAATAATGTAATTTTTTTGGTCTGCAGTTCGGCGGCACCGGCGTAATTGGTCTTCTGTGAAAAAAGCGGTCCACGAACACACGGAGAGTGACCGGCGAATTAATCGAGATGCTGCATCTCTCAAAAATTATGGCCAATAACAACTTTCACTGCTGAAAAACGAATGCGCTCGTTACGTCTGCGATCACCGCAGAGAGCTTTTCGGGCGCGCGCGCGTAATACGCGAGTGAAATTGAAAGAAAATAAAAGTTAATTTGATTTTCGAGTTTTATTTCCTTGATCCGAGAGTGGACGCGGTGAAGGGGCGTGGATTTTTTGCAGTTGTAAAACAATTGCACGACTTTTCTCTTTTTTTTCAGTTGTATAAATAATAATCGTGTAATCAAGTTTTGTAATTTTCGCAGCTTTATTTCAAGTTATTTATTGTTAAATTGCTGCACTCTCTGGATTACGAAACTCATTGGTGCGCTGAGAAAAGGAAAAGATTGATCGCTAATTAATAATAGGTGTTATGAGAGAATCATTTTTATTGTTTGATCTGCAGAAATTTCCGAAAATGATAATCTTTTATTGCTGCAAATAAAAATACCAACCATTCAGATCCAATTAAAATAATTTTTAATTAACTGTCAACTCTTGATCCTTTAATAACACATTAAAATTGAATTTTTTTTCAATCTCTTAATAAATTATTTAATTACAAATTTATGAATTGAATTTATTACCCTTAACAAGATTGGAATAATAAGTAATCTTTAAAAAAAATGACTACAAATGTATTAAAAAAGGGTCTTTGATCAGTTAAAATTGAGGTTTCTAAAATAACTTAAAGTATATAGGTTCTTTTTTAATAAAAGAAAAATAAAAAATTTACATGAAATTATGTGTTATTTAATATTCGGCAACAATCTAATGAATTCTTTAATATTCAGACAAAATTCAAACTTGCTATAATTATTTCTAACTAAAATTCTTTATAGTGGATTGATTAGTGGATGCGATCTTCTATCGATAGCAGATTTTTAGAAGATTGTTAGTGGTTTCTTCTATCGCCAGTTCAATCCACTAAAGAATCTTCTATGATAGGAGAATGTTAGTGGATGAGGACTGGCTGGGTAACATTTATTTAATATTTAATGAAGATGCACCTATTATTTTATCAATTTTTAATATATTTGAGTAAAAAAAAAATATATATTCAGAGATTTTTCACGTTAATCTTTGAAGTACATTAACTCCAACAAAAATCAGCTATTTCTAGAAAAAAGGTATAACAACTTTAAAAAAAAATCTCCTTAAACACTTAATTTTGATTTTTAAATAATAAAATTCGCCAAGTGCTATAGCTTAATTATTTGTAATTATTTTAATTAAGCCTAAATAGTCACTGATTTTTCATAATTAAGGCGTAGCAAAAAATTGATTTCTGATTTTTTTATTTTGTAATAGAAAAATTTAATGAAAATAAATTCTACGCATTATTTTTCCTTCAGAAATATTAAATTTTCCTCGCCAAGGGGAAAGCGTTCAGTTGTTTGCGCAAAATAATAATTTTCAATTTAATAGAGTGACATTGCAAAAAAGAAAATGAAAAAAACAACGCGCGTGTCCTACCTGCGGGCTTGCAATCCTCATATTTGTTCTCCTCGTCCGAGTCCTTCGGAACGTCCTCCTTGTCCGAAGTGTCCGAAGCGAGTTGCTCGTGTGGGTGCTGCTTGTTGTCTTGAGCACAGTCCTGCTGCGACTGAGCCGGCCTTTCACTCTCATCGGCGGCCGCGGCGGCGGCGGCGGCAGCGACTTCGACGGCGGCTCCAGAGAAACCCACCTGAGCAGCGCGCCCCGGGCCAAGGTCATTGCCACCCGTGCCCGGTTTCTCTTGCTGACATTTTCGCAGCTCGTCCGACTTGAACTGCACTTGCTTCTTGCGCTGCTTGAACTCCTGGTACGTCGGGAAGTGCAGTCCCGAGGGCTGCAAAAATTGCAACGAAAGAACCAAATTTATTTTTGTATTTTTCAAACATTTTTGTTATTTTAAATTAACACCACAACAATAAATAAAATGGAAAATAATTTAAAAAAAGAACATTTTTAATTAAGATTGTGTAAAAATAAAAGTTTAGTAATATGTATTATAATTTTTTCCTTTTCTTTCAATATTTTTAAATATTTAAATATTTTTAGCATTCTTGTGACTTTTCAACCGAAATAAAAATAATAAAATACAATATAGAACTTTTAAATTCTTGGTCAAAAAATTTGATTCCTTTAAGCGTACCAAATTATCTAGTAATGTAATAAATTTACCAAACATGAAACAATTAAACCATTGAAAAGAAATAAGCTTTTATAATTATTAAAAAATGCAATAATTATATTCACAATATTAAACCATTGCACTTTTGAACCCTAGAATAGCAGAAAATTTTTAATAAAAAACGGAATTAATGTCAATTTGTTGTTTTTTTTAACATCAATAATTATTTGAATTGAAAATTTTTAAAAACACAATTGAATCCTTGTTAATTAAATTAATGGTTATTTCGATAAAAAAATGACAATTAAATATCTAAACATGCTAGTTTCTCATTCAAAAACAAATTGCGATTTAATAATTTGGTAATTTTAACGACAGTTAAAAGTCCAAATTCAAATTGACTTTGCTTGTGAACTGATAAATATTCATCTTGAAAAATTTACATTCAAAAGAAGTTAATTGCTGTGTGTAAAAAAAGGATTTATCAAGAAAATCAATAAAAAGTAAATCTACAGAAAATAAAACTAAATTTCTGAAAAGCATTAAAATTCTTAAATTTTGTTATAAATAATGAATTAAAATAATAAAATATAAGACAAAATATGAAAAAAGTACTCACCCCTAGAGTTCCGTATCCCTCCTCGGACGAAACCGAGGTCTTCTTCAGGATGGACTTGATGGAGACCTTCTTGAGACGCCTCCTGCGCGGCGGCGGTTTCGGGGTCGGCAGTTTCTCGACGAGCGACGGCAAACTGTTGGTGCGCGGCAGCTCGGGGGCGGCTGGGACCGTCGGCGGCGGCGGCTCGGCCTGGGCGGCGGCCACGGCGTTGTCGTCCAACTCGTCGCTCTCCGAGTGCTTCAGGTACTTGCCGATCAGCTCGTACGCGCTGACGTCACACTCGAGGATCGACCGCCGCGGCTCGGGCGCTCCTTCCGGCTCTCCGCGCTCGTCGCCACTGCTCGCTGCGTCCGAAGTGTCCGACGTGGACACCCACTCATCCGCCACTCGCAGACGCTCAGCCAATCGCGCCCGGGTTGGTGAAAAACTTTTCGAACGGGCTCGTCCAGAATTCTGTTCAAAAATTGGAAGAATTACTTATTTTAGAAATTCAACTCTAAAAATAAAATTAATCATCCTTATATTTATATTTATTGACAAATAAAAACAACAACAATAATAAAAGATCCAAAACATTGACTATTTTTAAATTAATTTTATGCTAAAAGAAATCGAGCTTTAAGATTTGTAATTTCCATTATATTTTAAACGAACATCCAAAGTGGTGTGTTTTATTTATTTACTTTTGTACCGAATTTTTATCTCACAATAAAACCAAGAATAACGTGGAGTATGCCCGAGGGTGAATTGCGTTGCGTGTACTCGGAGCCTTTTTGACGCCCTGCATTGCTACTGAATTAATTTACTTTTGAAAAAGCTCGGCGATCATAAAAGCAAGACAAAAAATAACAGCTAGTTGCATAATCAATCGTTTCCACGAATTGCTCCACGGCTCTTTATATATTTTAAACGTCTAGAACACCAAGACCTGCTTTTTGTTGCCACAATAAAAGCACTATAAAGGATAAATAATAAATATCCGATATAATATTTTGATTTTTAAACGTATGAAAATGAATAAACTTGTTTCATATTATGCTTTGAACAATGTAAATTTGAATTTTTCTCTCATATAAAACTTCTACAAAATTTGCATAAATTTATGTTTTTTTATATGATGTTGAAAATCTTTTCCCAAAATCCACCTCTTCATTTCATACGTTGCTTCATAGCAAAAACGGACAATGAAATAATAATTAATAATTGGCTGAAGCTTAAATTAAATTTTTGTTACTTCAACAACTGGAGTGCTTTTTATGGCCAATGACTAAAAATCACCAAAACTTATATGGTTTTCATCGAAAACGACTCCACATTTTTTGCTTAATTTTGTTAAAAAAAATGTGAATTTTGATAAAAAAAAAAAAAATAAATAATAATAATAAAAAAGTACATTAAATCGACTAATTTCTGTTTTAAAGTTTTTTTTATTAATAATATTTACCTCAATGAGCCTTCATTAATAATTTAAAATCTGACGGTTGGGAAAAAATAATAATAAGCCTTTTAATTTTTCAATTATTTTGTGGCAATGAAATTTAAAAAATTTAATATTTTGATGAAATATAAATGACAAAATTAAAACTGATGCCCAAAAAAGGGTGACTTTCTCCTTCTTTTCCGCTAAAATTTTAAACTGACCTGTTCCTTGTAGGCGAGTCGCGACCTGCGCACCATGTCGTAGGGGTCGACGTCAGGGTTGTTGGTGTTTTCCTCCTCGTCGGACGGGGTGGTCGGCGTGGGTCGGAGGCGCATGGGTTTGATGGTGGGGGCGGGCGGCAGGGGCAGCGCCGGCCGCACCTTGGTGGCGCCCCTGGTGATGGTGCCGCCGCGCACAGTGCCCTTGGCCGCCCGCTGGCCGCACGTCTTGCACACCTTGCCCATTTTCTTGGTCCCTGGACACGCGCAGATGTTGGTGCTGTACTCGGTGATGGCCGGTGCGGCCGGCGAGGCGGCCGCGACCACGGCCGGGTGCACGTACTGCCGCAGGGGCGAGTTCCATGGGTCGAGGTGGTCCGGCGCCAGGGGTCCGAATTTCTCACGATATTCCTTCAAGTTAAATTATTAAAATTTTGAAAACTAATGAAAATTGCTGCTGATTTACTTCAAATTTGGAAGCATTTCAAATTAATAAATTATCGAGAAGAAATTTGGATTTATTTGTGGGAAGAAATAAAATTAAAATAAAAAAGGTATAAACCTTGAAACTTGAACCAGATTTTGTCAAAAAAGAAATATGAAAATATGTACTTTCAGACATAAATGGGCAGAGCGCACTTTGCGCTCTGCGATCTGCCAGTTTCAGAAGCCAATTTTTGAAATTTTTCAAAGGAAATAAGAAATTTTAACCACCATTTTTTTAAAGATTTTGTTTGCCTACAGTTAAGGGTCTTTAAAGTATACTTAATTATATAATTATATGAATTTTTTTATAATGATTCATATTTCGCTCTAATTTAAATTTAGGTTTCTTAACTTTTAAATGTATTATATTTATAATAATTAAATCGTGCCTCATTATAAAAAGCCTAGAAACTTAAAAAAAAAAACATTTTATTTGTTTAAACCCCTTTTTTTAAATATTGATATTTTCTTCCAATTTTTAGTGATTTTATCATTGTATTAGTAACTTAAAAACAATAAAAACGCCTTCATTCTAATTGGAAATTAAATTAATTTTGCTTGCAAGATAAAAAAATTTACAAAAAGCTTGTTCCACATTATAGATAATTAAGTATTTTTGTTTAAAAGTGTTTTTTTTTTTTATGAATCAAATTTTGAAATTTTGTTTGGAAGTAGTGAATTAATTTTAAATTTTAATACTGTTTTTCAGTTCGTCTTCAATTATACCTGGAGGTAGTCCCTGTGCAGAAGAGCAGCCGGGTGGATCTGCGGGTGTTGTTGGACGACGTTGACGTGTTGGCTCCTCTGGTGCTTCTCCTTGGTCAGCCGCAGCCACGACTTCTTACTTTTCTGGTAGGTGCCCCTGCTGACCGAGCCCACCATCATCGCCGGCTGCGAACAAATCCGAAATGATAACAATTATTAACCGCGGTGAGAAAGAACCGTGTAATTAGAAAAAAAAATGATTGTTCGCATTGCGCGTGACACGGTCCGCGATTTTCGCTGCAAATGAAAGGGTTATTTTCAAAGACTGGCGTTGACGTAAAAGGACTTTTTGCACTTCCTGGTCCGCGCGAACAAACAAGAAAAATATAGACTTGAAAAGAGCAACACGCAATCACACTTTGGTGGCAGAAGAAACTGCAAACTTTTACTTTATTGAAATATTGTTTGAATATATTTTTAGGAATGTGAAAAATATGCACGATCACTTTTGTTGATCAATCATGCTTGTCAAGAAATTTTCACTTTTTAATCGTTTAAACAAACTTAATCAGCTAATTAATTGGCGAGTCCATACAAGGCCACGCGTCTTGGATAATTAGAAATTAACTAGTCGGCCGGTCATGCATCGCGCAACAATGGATCCGAAACTTGCAAAATAAATCCAGCGGATCTCTATTCTTGCTTCACCGGCAACAACGCCAGATCTCGTTATATAATTCTAGAACTGTAAGTAAGTAAGTGCACGTCAAACAAGTACACACACTCGTAAGAAGTGTGTTTGTTTGTAAATGGCTCTCGGACGAGATTGCTACAAAAGCCCCTGATGCGGTACAAAAGGAGTTTGCAGGCGCCTCATTATTTAGCGTGATCGGCCAACACACATTTTTTGCGCGTCCTTTCCGCCTCGCAAATTAACAAGAAGAGAAGTTTTTGTAACAAAATTTTATATATTACCAACAATACCAACCAAGGAAAATTTCAATATATTTTGTAAATAAATGTTATTATATTATTTCTATAATTTTTTTACACATATTCTATTGAAAATCCTGCAATGGATTCAGAATTCTTGTTTTGTTTTGCTGCAGAATATTGAGGTTTTGCGTAATTGCGAATTCGTGCACTGGTCCAATATTAGCTCGTTAATGAGCCATCTTTTTGCCATATCGGCCGAAACTGATGGGCGGATTCTCGTTAGTCGCAAGGTTGAATCGTTTTTGCGACTGGTGATTTCTTTTGGCCCATAGGCGTGTCGAGCCAAAATTCCCATATCAATCAAAAATAAGACTGCGTTGTTCAGAATTTAGGAATGTCTGAATGCGTAGGAGTTGCACTTTTAGAGATGAACGCGGAACTTTTTATAATTTTCTTATTTTAATATTTTTAATAATCGTCATTATTTGGCATTTTTTACGTCATCATTCTATAATTTCACGATATTTTGTCTAACATTGTTTAAATAGTTAATTTCCAGCAGATAATTAATTGTCTTTTTATAAATTTTGTATGATAAATAGACATGATTAATAATTAAATAAATATAAATACGATAATAAATTTAAGCAGTTATATCAGGAACTTTTCTAATTTTGTTTATTTATTTATTCTCCATTCAGGTACAATTCGATTTTTTTTTTTAAATAAAACGTGAATTTCATTGATCTTCATCAACCATTTTCTTTTCTTTTTAAGTTTTATGAAAATTATAAAATCAGAATTTCAACAAACTTTTGTAAAACTTGTTCAAACTAAAACGTGTTGAAGTTTTGATATCAAATAGAAATGATACATTTTATCTAAAATAATCTGACCTTAAAAGCCATTTTAAAGATTTGTAATGTGTTTTTTAGAAAGAATCAACAAAATATTTTAAGCGAAACGTAAATTTATAAGGAATTGAACTCTTCACCCTTCAGTAGAATTTTTAGAAAATTCGTTTCGGCTTCAAATAAAACTGTCAATTTTTTTTAAACTTTTTTTTTTTAATTTTTTTTTTATTCTAGACTATGAATTTGAAACGGCCTTGCCAAATTTAGTTCTGTCTTTTTGTTCAAAGCAAATATTAGTTTCAAGGCTTTTGTTTTACAACCTGTAGAGCTTTCGCAAAGAAACGCGGTCTCTCGTTTTTGTTCTTTTGCGGAGAATCCTTGGGGAAAAATCGTGCTCGGATTGTAAAAAGTCACATGCAAAATTCCTCAAGTTCAATGTCGGCCGATAAAAAGTGTATCACACACACAAACGGATAACTTTTCCTTTTATTCACCTGCAGCCAGATCTCTAAACGACTTAAAAGGAGATATGCTTGTCTTTTATTGTCTGCTCCGTAGAGATGCTGTTTGTGGGTCAGGAGATGCAGCTTCGTGTTTTTTTTTTCTTTCTTTCATTCTCTCCATATATGCAGAATGATATTTCGGGGATCCTCTCGCGCGCATAGTCCGATCGTTCGCGCCCAACGTAAACATTTATTTTCGAGCCACTACTTTCACCTTCACCTTTCTATTTCATTGCTTCCCTTCGCGATATAATTAACAATGTTGGACCGGCACCTGCTCTACACGTCGTCGTCGCAAGCGAAAAAAAATCCACACGCCCAATTTCAGTTTCACTCTGTGCGCCCTCCGGTGGGCAATAACACGTGGAATTTGTTTATCCCTGCCATTGTCAAAGTCAAAGCGACTTCTTTTATGACCTTTTCTCGCGAGAGTGAAAGAAGCAACATTTGTCTTAATTGCTTGTCGCCGGACAAATTAAACGTCGTAAATCAAATTTTTTATTCGAAAGAGCCTTGAGTGCTTTTGTGCCATTTCCAGAAGATTAAGATCACACGTATGTTAGTTTTTGCTCGTATTCTTTTAATTATAGAGTGACGAGACGTTCAAATCGTTAATTGAATGGTCTGAAATTATCAAATTAGAGCATGATTAGCGCGCAATTTGGGACAATATCGTTTTTTTCTCTTAATAACGATTTTAGGTTGTTCTCCGCAATTATACTTTTATTCTCATTCCTCAAGTTGGGCAATTAAAAGTAGCAAAAAAATATTTGATTAGCACCGGAATCCAAAGGCTACATAGTTAATTTGTTAGTAAAAATAAAGCAAGAATAAATAAAAATCATAAAAATTTAATCGGGATTTGGTTCTTATTTTTATATGACCTTGAAATTTTCAAAACTAAAGCCATGTTTTGGCAAATAAAATGCTAATTAAATCTTATTAATAAAAATATTTTTAATTAATTGCCATAAATTACCATAAAACAATTTGTGTTCACTAAAAGTTTAGAAACAAATATTATTATAAATTTGCAGTTTACAGACGAATTTTTTCTATTAAAATATCACAGAATTAAGTAGATTTTAATCATATTTTAAAAACATTTAAAACAATTATTATCTGATAAAAAATTATATCATAGAATAATAATTTTAAATTAAACATTTAACAAAAATAAATGTGTGTAATATTAAATTATAATCTACCATTCACACTATTAAATTCAAAATAAAAGTTAAATTTGCTTGCTGCGAGCCTTTCTCTGAAGCTTAAATTTGCTATAAATTTTGAAAACAAATTTAAATGTTCAAATCCTTTAATCAGAAATATCAATTCTTCTTCAATTATAAATTTTCTGTCTTCAGAACTGATTTTTTCTAATTAATCAAATTTATCTTGGAAATTATATTTTCATTTCGCTCTCGGAGGTACCTGTCGAGGACCCTGTCGGTGGCCACCTGAACCTGAACCTTCTTTCTCCATAGTTTGCGCGAAAAGCGGCAGACGGCAGCAGCGACTTGATCGAGAGCGCGGGCGGCGCCGCCTCGGGTGTCCGTCCGTCAGTGTCCCACTTTGCATTTATGGGTCATCTCCGAAGGTATGCACCTTCGAGTGTGTAATATACGTGCACGGCCGTCAAAGTGATATCAAACCTCCACTCTTTTAACTTATTTTTTTAATAATGATAGTGTAATGAATGAGCCCGAACAAAAAAAGCACACTAGACGAGCAGACGATCGAGGCTTCATCTTTAACAAAAATTTCTCCGTTTTCTCTAAAACGAAATTAAACATAGGGAGAGAGGAAAGGCTTTCATTGATGAATGGCTTGTGTGTGCCTGCGGTTTTTGGAAGCACGCATTCTCGATTATTTATTAACCAAACTGTCTGGCTTTAATGAAATGAGTAAGAAAGAATTTTCACGTATGGATTTAATTTTGAGCTCGCGGTGCCCTTAAAGGAGTTTTTGACGAGTATGATGAGTGGTCAACTTTTTTGTGTGCGACATACAGACACACTTTGCTGGATTTTCGCGCGATGTCACTTCCTAAAACGTACAAAGCGCTTACGAGCTTTATTAAATTAGACACGAAAACCTTGATTTTCATCCGGGTTGGCTGTAAAAAGTGTAAAAGAGTCGAAAAGAAGAAGTTGATAAAATTAACGTGAATATGCTCAACAAATTCAGCAGTAGTTAAATTTTTTCACTCTTCTTTACAGAGAATTAAAAATAAAATGACCTGTGAAATCTGAGAAATCTCCCAATAATCAGAAATGAATTGATTTCCCAAATAAAATTATTGATAAAGTATAATCAATTATTCTAAATTTTATGAGCATAATAATCGTCAATTAACATAATTAATCTTGAAATTGCTTTGAAATAGCGGCAAAAATTTATTTAATTTCATACAATTTCTCATCTTTATGAATGTCTGAATTGCCAAAGGATTAAATACTTGTAGGTGCAGCAATAATTTTCTGGCCGCAAATTTCCTTTTCTTTTTGCGATCGACCGAGAGCGTTTTCATGCTCGATCAAGCGTGTTGCGAAACACACTTCTCGAAGATCATTACGTGCGTTTAGAGAGAAACCATCTCGCGACACATTATTAAGCACATATTCGTGTTTATAATTCACCCATCGAGGAAGGGGATATATCATTAAAAATGTGCTCATTACACCGCAGCGCAGTTTAATTGATCGAATCAAAATAAAGCTAAGCGCTCGATTTCATATTTTTATTCGTGCCGGCACGCGGTGTCACCGAAGAAAAGAAAAGATATTTCCAACTGCTGAGGGATTAAATTATTTAATTGCGTGCTTGGAGAAGATTACGAAATATATATATAATTATTGCAGCACACGCTGCAGTGACGAAGGGAAATTTTCAGCTGAAGGTGAATTGGATCGAATGAAACATTAGCTGGGTGAAAAAAATTAGGACAAACATGCAAAAAGTAGTGAAATTTTCGGCTAGACAAAAGGATCAGCAGGAAATGGATTGTTTGTTTTAGCAAAAACACAACAAAAAAGCTTATCAACTAATATTTGAATGAAACTTCAAGGAATAGTAAAAATTTGATTATTAATTTTAAATTATTATTAAATATTAAAACCTTGCAATTTTCAGAAATGAAAACTCATGAGGAATTTAGTTAGATTTCATGAAAATTGATCAATTTTCTATGATAAGTAATTAGTGGATCTTGTTTTTTCCTTGCCTTATTTTTCTCATAAAAATTTAAGGATAAATTGAAAACCCAGTTTTTTTTCTGAACTTTTATTATTATGTAAAAAAAAATATTAAATTTATATTATTTTAACACACTTAACGTTTGTATAATAATCTATCCTTGCGGCTCAAGATTTTAACTGATTAGTTTTTCAATTTGCATTTTGTCAAGAGCCATCTGAATGCCTTTGATTTTAATCGCTTGCATTTAGCATTCCTGAAAGGTCTCCCGCAATTAAAGCAAAGGATGAAACAACTTTGAAGACCTTTCTTTGAACACGATCGTGATAATCTCGAGAGCACAATCTGCAAATTAATTCATCTCACATCCGTCCGAATTTGCATAAACAGCTAATTCCCAATTAGCCGCTCGGCCTCGGATTCGGTATTCGGAAGGTCAGATTTTTTCAACTTTTAACTCACCCTTGGTTGGAGGTAGGCGTAGGTGGGCTCGACCATGTAGGGCTGCATCTCCAGGTACTGCATGCTAACGGCAGGGCTCCAATTTGCCATGACCTGACATGGTGCGCTGCGGACAAACGATTTAATTCGAATTAAAATTTATTAAAAATAAGTCAAACTCCCACGGTGAATTTTAACAAAACAAAAAAAGCAGCCATGACCGCGTAATCCAAACAATGACACCCGACGCCTGGGGAAAACGCAAATCGCGCAAAAAAATAATAAAGAAAGAAAGAGCTCTCAGAGGAGCGAGTACCGTAATCCAAAGTAGAAAAGTGTGGGTTTGCGTCACACTCGGCGTGAGCGTTTAATTAGAGATGCATTGCAAGAATGGGCTCATCCATACTGTGCCCGGCTTTTGTTCTTTTCACCGAGAAAAATGCGGCATTTTTGGACGGTTTTATTCATGAGCGTGGAGAACTGTTAAATTCGTGTTGCTCTTTTGCATTCGTAATTTTGTGGATATTAAATGCAGCAGGAGTTACGTAAGTTTAAGGCTGTGCAATTCAAGCCTCGGTGCACATCTCGCTTTAATTAAATTATGAAATATTACACCGAGCTGGATTTTAATCCAAAAGTTGAGTAAATAAAAACAGAAGCAATTTCTGCGCAGAGAAACGTTCTAAAATTATAAAAATATAAATTCTTTCGTGCATTTATTAAAAAAAAAAAAAAAAAAAAAATCAGCATAAATTTAAAAACTTTGGTTTTAATTTTATCAAGAAATTTTACAGTAAAATTCACAATCTAAAATACAAAGCATTCTTAGAATTAAATGAAATTTGAACAGGACAATTTCAGAGTCTTTTGTTATTTTATTTCAATCAAAAAGCTGGAAAGAAAAATTCTTGATTAAATATGTGAAATATTTTATCCTCTGATTATGTGAGTCTGAAGTCTGAATCAATTTTACTGATATTTGTTATTTCTTACTTTAATTAAAATATGATGTTCGTCTTGAAAAGGGTTTTATTTCTATAATAATTATTTAAACTAACGATGATGACAAATTTATTGAAATAAACTTCAATTAAATAATTTTAAATAATTATTTCTTCAATTATTTTTATTAATAAAGTTTTCTGAATTTTATTCACGAATGAAAACTCTTTCCTGTTATGAAATCTGTAATGGACCAAATGTTGTTGCAAGATTAGATTTTAGTGGTCTTCGTTGTTATATTATAATTTGAAACTGTAACGCTTTCGGGAAGACACTGTGAAGAGATCGGGGTGCATAAATCGCTCTTTCTAATCCGCACACATGCATGAAACCTCAAATCACGCTTTTTCCATTACCAACTATCTCGTGCCGCGCTAATCTAGTTTCGCGGCGTTAGGAAACAACATAATGAAATGGAGAGTTGGGACGAGACGCGCTCCAAATTGGCTCTTGACGCGTTTATTAGCGTATTCGTTGATCGAGATATTCCCATGCTCCCTGCGAGAGTGACTTTTCACCTCTGTGTCGCAATCGAAAGCACCTTCACCGTGTGTAATAAAATAAATATATAAAAATTGACAAGGATGAACGAACTATAAAAAAATTAAATTTTTACGTTGTGAGAACAAAGCACCTTGAAATAAAATGGATTAAAATTAAAGAATGTTGTAAATAAGTCTTATCATAATAGAGTTTATGGAAATTTCTCACTATTTCTGCGTACGTCAAATAGACCTGGATAAAATTAATTATTTTAAATCATTTCTATTAAAAGTAAAAGGTGCGCCACAGAGCTCTGTTTTATTCACAATAGGGAATTTTACCGCAAAAATAAAATAACATTTTTCAATGAATTCTTGACGAGTTATATCAATTTTTAATTTTAAAAGGTCTATATCAAGGACAATTTTTTTCCTTTAGCTCAAAACTTTTATCTGCTTCTTGATCTATTGTGCGCCACTCATCTCTAAGTACAGAAAAATTCAATCTAACAGTCTCAGTTTTTCAAAGGAATGTAAACTTAAATCAATTTTAGGAAAATCCCTTGATAGAAACACTCCCAAAACAACTGGTCTAACTGGCCCAGCAGATCTGGACCTATAAATCGGGGCAAATTCCTAATCAGTCTTTTTTCAGTGTACTTATTTTTAAAAGTTTTCAAACAAAAAGTATTTTGCTATGTTTATCGTTTGTAGCTCTGATAAAAATTAAATTAATTAAAGAAATTTGTAATAATTAGTAAAATTTTAAATTTTACAATTCAACAGAAAGATCAATTTTTCATAAAAGTCAATTTTCATTCAATAATTCTAAAAATCCATCATCAATTTAAAATTTTCGATTATAAATAAAAAAAATTGACAAACAGGCGGAGTTTAATAATTAAAGACAAATTTTAAATCCTGATAAGAACACGATTTATTTTATTTTTAATTTCCTCGGTCCCAAAATAATATGATTTCAGGACTCTTATTGATAAAGTAATATCAAGTCTTTAAAACAACGGTGGTTAAAATAGTCTTTGCTAAAACTGGCTCGTACTGTTGATGCTTTATGGAAAAATATTGTTAAAATTTAAGTTCTAAATTGCTTATTTTATTTGAAAAAGTGCAGTTCAACAATTTTCCTTACATTCCAGAATTAAGTGCACAAATTTAAACCATTAAAGTTAATGATCTAAGTAAATTGAGTAAATTACACGCTCTCACTGCACCTTTTTTTGCAAACAAAAAAATGTCTTTGGAAGGTCATTGCCAACATAAATCTCCGTCTCTTTCGGTAAAAGGATGAGAAAATCGTATAACTGTACACCGAGGCGCTCTTTAATTACGAAATGAATCTACTTCGGAGGTGACATTAAGTGTCAATTTGTTATCTCATTTCTTCCCATACATTCCAATTAAAATTCGCGGAAGCTGTCATTGCTCGAAGAATGGCCAGAGGTCGTTGAACAGCGAGATTTTCGCCGCATAATATAATTGGCCCTGAAAGGTGAGAAGCCGCAGGTTCAGCAGCCTCCGGGCCTCGTCTGCGAGTGGCAAAAGAAAGTGTTGTTTTGTTATTTGTGCAGGTGGAATTCGTGGGCGCCAATTAGCGATTAATGACCTCTCGGGCCGATTTTGCGGTATTCGATGGGCACGTAAACATGGACTGGCCGCAGGTGTATAATTTTAAGCACACACAGACTGCGATTTAAATCGTTTTTTGATTGAGACAGCTAGGCGGAAAAGTGACGATCGTTAAAAACGATTTGCTGGCTATTTTCTTATTTAATTTTTCGAGGAAAATAAATATTTATTCATTCATAGCTGTCTCATTAAAAATTCAAGAAGAAATTGAAGAAATATTCAATAGCTGAATCTAGTAATTTAATGTTAATAATTTTAATTGGCTTATTTAGCAGAATTTTAGTTTCGACTGATGGTTGTGTCTAGCCTATAAACCCAAATTTTGAAAAACAAATTGACGTGTGGAAATTGTAAAAATGCGCACGATAAATTAATTCTGTTTACTTCTAGGCCTGTTTCATAAAAAACAAACAATTCTGATTAATCTGAAAAAGCATCAAATTCTATTGATTTTGAATTTTATAATAAATAAGAGATCTTTATAACATGGTCTTGTCTGCCAATGTAACAGGATTTTGAAATTGAAAATTACTCCTATTGAATTGTATTTTTCACAAAGAAAAAAAAAATCTGGTTTTTCTGAAACGGCATCAAAATTCATATTTTGAATTTTAAGAGCCATCTAAACATGGTCTAGTCTGGCCCAGGTCTGGCGACTCTGGCGATTGAACCATAATTTTGAAAATAAATACTGCCCCTAGGTAACTCGTAATATGCGCATGAAAAATTAATTCATCTGAAGTGACTAAAATCTTTTAAGCAAGTTTCACAAAAATAAATAAAAACTGATTTTTCTGATACGGCATCAAAATGTTCAAAAATTGAATTTTAAGAGTCCTTTAAACATGGTCTTGTCTGACCCAGGTCATGCCAAAGTACCAGGATTTTGAAAATAAATACTGCCCCAGGTAACTCGTAATATGCGCATGAAAAATTAATTCATCTGAAGTGACTAAAATCTTTAAGGCGAGTTTCACAAAAATAAATATAAACTGATTTTTCTGATACGGCATCAAAATGTTCAAAAATTGAATTTTAAGAGTCCTTTAAACATGGTCTTGTCTGACCCAGGTCATGCCAAAGTACCAGGATTTTGAAAATAAATACTGCCCCAGGTAACTCGTAATATGCGCATGAAAAATTAATTCATCAGAAGTGACTAAAATCTTTTCAGCAAGTTTCACAAAAATAAATAAAAACTGATTTTTCTGATACGGCATCAAAATGTTCAAAAATTGAATTTTAAGAGTCCTTTAAACATGGTCTTGTCTGACCCAGGTCATGCCAAAGTACCAGGATTTTGAAAATAAATACTGCCCCAGGTAACTCGTAATATGCGCATGAAAAATTAATTCATCAGAAGTGACTAAAATCTTTAAGGCAAGTTTCACAAAAATAAATATAAACTGATTTTTCTGATACGGCATCAAAATGTTCAAAAATTGAATTTTAAGAGTCCTTTAAACATGGTCTTGTCTGACCCAGGTCATGCCAAAGTACCAGGATTTTGAAAAAAAATACTGCCCCAGGTAACTCGTAATATGCGCATGAAAAATTAATTCATCAGAAGTGACTAAAATCTTTTAGGCAAGTTTCACAAAAATAATTAAAAAGTGATTTTTCTGATACGGCATCAAAATGTTCAAAAATTGAATTTTAAGAGTCCTTTAAACATGGTCTTGTCTGACCCAGGTCATGCCAAAGTACCAGGATTTTGAAAATAAATACTGCCCCAGGTAACTCGTAATATGCGCATGAAAAATTAATTCATCAGAAGTGACTAAAATCTTTTAGGCGAGTTTCACAAAAATAAATATAAACTGTTTTTTCTGATACGGCATCAAAATGTTCAAAAATTGAATTTTAAGAGTCCTTTAAACATGGTCTTGTCTGACCCAGGTCATGCCAAAGTACCAGGATTTTGAAAAAAAATACTGCCCCAGGTAACTCGTAATATGCGCATGAAAAATTAATTCATCAGAAGTGACTAAAATCT